GGGGGGGAGAGAGAGAGCGAAGCTTCGCGGCAGGCTGTCTGTCGTTTTGTGACACTTGACTTTGGAACCAGGGCCGAATGCAGAAGTGCACTACGACACTACGACTGCGCCATCCCCCCATTGCCAAGTAACATCCGCGTCTTGAAGAGCGACTCAAAGTTAAAAGGTGACTTTGATCGATGAATCGATGTGGCGATCGTACGAATCTCCCTTTGCGTTGTCGTTGAAGCGCCTCTCCGCATCTCTCCTTCCGCACTCGCCAAACATTCCCACCCCACCCCTGTTCACCCGTTGCAAGTCGTCCCCATGATGAAGTCCCCTGTGCGCGCGGTGCTGTCCGCCACCCTCGCCCTCATTGCTGCCTTTTTGCTCAACACTATCCTCGCTGACGCTCGCTCCTCCTACGAGTTTAGACGAGCGGATGCCGCCACAAAAAAGGCGTGCAACGCCTTGCGATCGCAATTGCCCTTTGGAAGAGTGACCAATCAAGGCTTGGGTCCGGATTACCTCGTCTCTGTGCAAACGTACTACTCTCAATTGCAAGCGAAGCGCTTCCCTGCTTGCGTCGCATACCCTCAGAATGCCCAGGAAGTTTCGACCGTCGTCAAGGCCATCAAGGCCAACAACCTTCAGTTCGCAGTCAAGGCCGGCGGTCACCAATTCAACAATTGGTCCAGCAGCGACGGTGGCGTGCTCATCGATCTGCAACGCTTGACCGCCAAGAGATTCGACGATGAGAGCAAGCAAGTGGCCTACTTTGAGCCTGGCAACCGTTGGCGAGACGTCTACGCCTACTTTGTGCCCCAGGGCGTGACCCCAGTCGGTGGTCGAATTGGAGGTGTAGGCTCCGGTTTAGCGCTCGGTGGAGGTCTCTCCTACTTGTCCGCTGAGCATGGTCTGGCCTGCGACACCTTTACCGCCCTCGACGTCGTTCTTGCCGACGGTAGCATCGTCAAGGCGACAGCGGATAACGAGTACAAGGATCTTTTCAAATCCCTCAAGGGCGGTGGAAACAGGTTCGGCATCGTCACGGGCTACCACACCAAGTTGGTTCCTGTCGGTAAGGTCTACTCTGGCATCGTCATCTACACTCAAGATCAGTGGGAGAAGGTCATCAAGGCCACATCCGACTTTGTCTCTACCAACACTGACAAAAAAGCAGCCATCATCACCACCGTCGACTCGTTCGGCATTCTTCCCGATCCCACCACCAAACTCAACTCCTTCATCATCCTCTTCAATGTCTACAACGGTGCTGACCCAGGAACCACGTTCGATGCTTTGTGAGTCACTCGCGGTTGCGACGTCAAGGCTACCGCCACTGAAATCTCGGCGGCGTCTCTTCTTGAATCGCAGCACCAACATCCCGCATGTTCTAGACACGCGCAGCACGGGCGACTACATCAAAGCAGCCGAGATGGTTGACATCGGAACCATTTCTCAAGGTGGCTTCTATTCCAACGTCGTGCCGCTGAAAGTGGGCTCGGATCGAGAGCAGACGTTGGTCAACAATTTCAAGGTCTGGTCCAAGGAACACATTGGTCAATACATCCTTGCCACCGTCGACTATCAGCCCATTGCAAAGAGCATCACCGATGCTAGCCGCGCCGCTGGCGGCAACGCTCTTGGTGGCCCTGAAGGTCCATACATCTGTGAGTCATTGCAGTAGATTAGTCCAACTAGCAGACCCGCACCCTTACCCGCACCCACTCGCCATCTTTCAGTCGTCAACATGCTGCTCGCTTTCGATCCCAATCTCGCAGCCGACAAGCAGGAAGCTCTTCGAGCGAGCTGGGACAAGCTCACCAACAGCATCCCTCACGACGAGGACATTCCCAAATTCCTAAACGATGCCGGTTTCCGTCAAAACATTTTGCAATCCTACGAGCAATACCCCTTGATGCAGGCCACTAGCAGAAAGTACGATCCCACTGGGTAAGTCGGCGGGAGCTCGAGATGCCGATGAGAATGTGGCCTGGCTCACCTGCTCATTGCGCGGCACTTTTGACTGACGATCTATCTGCCCTGCGCTGCGCTCATTCACATCAGTCTTTTCGTCAAGAACCAGCCTGGACCAAACTTCTCCACGTAGACTGTTAAAACCAGAAATGTCGCTTCTTTCCGGAACCTCAACTGCCTCACATGCTGTGCTCTGTATCATTCCACGTACCCTGAACTCACTACGGTATTGCATGCATGTCATACCCTCTGCGAGCCTCGACCGTCGAAGTGTTCACAATCCTGAGCAACGCTTTTCTTTGCCTTCTTTCTTTGCGTCTACTCTGCACCCGTTTCTCAGGTCTCTAGTCCATCCGATCTTGCGTGTCATATTCACGCGCCGTGTCAGGGAGACTGCAGTGAGCGCATGCAAATTTGCATCTGGAGCAGCATACGGCACAAGTACAAGCAACATCGGCGTGACGGAATGGGATATCACGACTTGGCGGCGTTCGCAAACAATGCGTTCGCCTCTCGAACCAGCTCAAGCTCGGCATGGCCCATATCTTTGCGAATAGCAATGGGACCCAGACCCATCGCAGCGCGCGCCTCTTCTCCCTTGACCTCCTCTGGCCTGCCTCGACCGACAAACGACGTTTCACCAGCTCCTCCGGGGAAGTCGGATGGGGGAATGCCAGCTCGGAATGCGTTTGCTTGGCTCGCCACGTACTACAGGCGCCACGGAATGGCAGGTGGATCAGCAAAGTGAATCGAACGGCTTTCCTCGAAGCTTTGACCCACTTGAGCGTTCATCTTGGTCAGAGGAATAGCCTGTGCGGGGTGAGAACGGCCCGTCAGTACCGTTGAGTAGGGCCCGCGAGTGGCAAAAGGACTCACAGGTATGTACATGACGCTCGAGTCTTTGCCCGGAGCGCCCGTGTGCTGCGCCTCGACAGCATGCACAAGGTCTGTCAGCGCGAAGCACATGAGAGAAGGAAGAAGTTGGTCAGCATTCTTTCCTCGGAAGCACAGCAGAGACGGCTGACAACGCGTCACACGCACCGCAATGCCAAAGAGCCACATCACCGGGGCCAACTTCAGGAATGCTGAGCATGCTTCGGTCCAGCTTCAGATGCGGGTGCGTATTTCCGTTGAGCTCGATGTTGCGACCCAGCGTGCAGCCGGGAAAGTCGCTAGACTCAGTGTCCAGCTTCCAGTTCTCAGGCGAAAGGTATGCCGAGGACCACGATCCATCAGCGTTCTTGGCAGCTACATCTCCAGGCTGCATGATAGATTTGCTGTGGCGCAGACGGACGCGGACGGAGTCAGTCCGAAGACACACACTACTGAAGATTTTCAGACGCCGCCATGAGACATCCCGCACTCACAAAAAAGGTCTAAGGACGATGTATGCGGTGGTCTCCTTTAGCAGCGGGAGCACTTTGAGCGTGCCTTCGCTTGGTGCAGTACGGCTCATGCTGAGCCAACCTTGCCAAGGTCTAAAGACGCCGCACTGGCCTGGCCCATCATACATGTCCGTTCTTGCGCTAAGCCTCTCTCCGTTTGGCCCGAGGCTCCAACTATCGTGTTCCTCCCAAGCCAATCGTTGTGACTGATTTACATCGAGGTCTCCGCCTTCAGATGGACCTAGCACTTTGCTCCAGCAACCTCGAAAGGAAGGGCACTCCCACCGCTCGATGCCACCTCCATCGATATGAGGACCGAGGGCGAAAGCGGAGTCGCCAGGGAGACGAATGCGCAACCTGTCCGCGTAGGTCAACGGAGTGCGTATGCTGGCGGTCAGAGAGGTAGGCGGCTGCGCTGACGCGGAAGTAGACCGTGTCTTTTGAGCTGGAGCATGAAAGAGGGAGAGGAAAGCTCGAGAGGTAGCCAGGAAGGAAGGGTGAGAACGGGCTGCTAATTGTGCTCGAGACCAGTACAGCTCGAACACTTGAGGATTGTCATCTGGGAAGCCTGAAGAGACGAGCGTGCACCGGGACCTGGATCAGTAGGGCTAGCACGTGCATACATAACGCACGTCCGCTACTCACCTCTGGTCGAAGGGTTGGCTCGGACATAATCGCGAATGTGTTCCTTCCACACAAGCGCAGTCTGCTCAGGAATGACGCCTTTGACGATGACGCTGCCTCTCTTCTTGACTGCTCTGAGCTGCTCAGCGTCCAGCCACTTGTGCACGGGCAGATTGGCAGCTTCGTCTCCGGGATATTGAATCTGTGGGACAAGTCTGTTGCCGTGCTGGATGACCTTGTTCAATTCACTGTCGAGCGACACCAGCACTTCGTCGAAAGCCTTCTTGAGCAGTTGAGCGCGTTGAGGTGAGCGGATGATGGACCTCTTGAGCTCAGCGAAGCGCTCAGGAAGTATCGCTTCGCCTTCTCCAGACAGGGACGCAAAGACGGATGCGATGGTGCCGCCATCTTTAGACTTCGGATTCTTGCTCGACGATGGCGGCAGATCGAGCTCTCGAGCTGTCGAGCCTTGTGAAGTAGCAGCTACTGCGGCTTGCACCGCTTTGGTTGCTACCCCCCGTTGAGAGGCACCGGACATCCTGGCGATGGCTGAAACCCCTTGACAACGTCTGCTCAAAGCGTGTCGGGTCATCGGACGCGCGGCGCGAAACAGTAGCGAAGGAGCAGACATGGCAGCGAGGATGACTTGTGAGCGTTTCGAGAGGCCAAGGTAGGTCGACTGCAAAGCACGGCTAAATTTGTCCGTCCAATAAGGTGGTCCGTTGTGAGCTCGAGTGAGAGCGGGATGAGAGCGGCCGGCTCAGGGATCCTCCTTTTAGCTGATGAGGCACCAGTGTGATGCCTTTTGCCCCTTGTGCTATATCGCTCTGAATGGCCGGTATGTTGCCGAGGTAGCCAGTAGAGGACCACCTCGCAGCTTGAATGAGAGCGATACTTCGCAGGTGCGGAGTCCGTCAGGGTGACGAGAGAACACGCTGCTGCCCGCTGGTCCCGTAGCAGCTAGCAGATGCTGGAAAGAGGGAGATACGAAGGCCCCCGCAATCAATCGCCGGCTCGATCGGATCAGAGACTTTGAGTGGCAAGCCACATCGAGGGTCAGGAGTGAGACAAGGCCCGTGTAGCTGATGATGCGAGAATTTCAGCGGTGAGGCGTGGGCAGCGAAGGCCAGGCAGAACACACAGCATCATGTAGAGGCAGGCAAGTAGCGAGCCATGCCACCAGCAGCCGCAGAACCTCGACTGATGAGGCTTTCGGTCAAGCTACACCACACAAATTAGCCGATCAAGCTGCAATCAAGTGCGCCACCATCGCAGCGGGGTGACAGAATCCGCTAATTAAAAGTATCAAAACCACGACTTAATCACGAGCAGTAATCAGAATCGATGTGCATGACTTTATACTGAGGGACCTGCAGGCCGGCCAACTTCGGTATCTTGAAGGCCGAATCTGCCACTATGACTCTTGATTTTCGGCCACACGTGACTGGGATCACGTGAATACAAATTCGAAGTGGCCCATTTTGATCCAAAATCAATCTTGAATTCATGCGCGGCGTCGCGTGCGTCTTCTTAGACAAACAAGTCAGAAGAGTGTGATTTGAAATTCAAGACTGATGAATGAATTTGAGGGGTTTGATGCCAAAAGCACGCTTGATTTGCGAGAGGAGCAGCAACGCTGAATCACATGCGACGGTGAACACGGGGAGATTCGTGATTCGTGGTGATAACATTCACGATTGATTCTTGAATCGATTCTCACCATCCTCGCCGTCCATCACCCGTTCCCTCGTTCCAGCACCTTTTGAGATCGCTGTGCCACAACAGCAATCGTGCGCTCGCTCTTTGAGGGCGGAGAGGAAGGACCTTCGTCCCTCACAAGTAACAGCCCCTTGATGCTCTTCTGGTCTTGCCATTCCCCTCGACTGAAATGGCATACAAGGAGCGTTGCGGAAACGGATCATGCACCATTTTAGGACGACAGCAGAAAAGATGATCATTGCAAGTCATTACGAGAAAGTCTAGGCTCAAGTACACGTGCAAGAAGATGGAAGAAGATGGAATCGGGCTCGAGAGGGACATGAAGGGACACAAGCAGGCATCTAAGGATGTATGGATATCTCATCAAGCACAAGGGGACGTCGCACCTGTTTGCCTGAGTTGACCTATCGGTACGATCTAAGACTCGCAAATGGGCATCACCGGTGCCGCGCCGCGCCGCGCTGCGCCGCGTCTCGCTCGGTCAGTCGGTTCACGTACCGCGTAGCTGAGTGTGAGGGGGGCACGTCGGATGACGTCGCTAAAGCTTTACAGGTTGATGCGCGGTTTGGGAGTCCACACGTTGCGCGAAGATGTATAAGGCTAGAGGTGCGCCACAGGGACAAGGATGAGCGGTATGAATCAGCACCGCTTTCATTCGGAATCTTCTTCGCCAGCGTGCTCCAACTCACCGCCATCTCGCTAAGAGTCCTGCTCATATGCTCGTTCTTGGGCACAGCGACAAGGAAATCAGCGACGGGGCTTGCGCGCGGGTAAGGGATGGAACACTCACAATCTCATCCGCCAGTCGGTTAAGCTCCTCGAGGTCGACGGTGGGCTCTCTCAGTCCACCAAGCACACCATCTCTCGCTTCAAGACGCCTGCGTCGGTTGGCCAGGACCTGCTTGTACGCCTTTAATTTGTTGCCAAGGATATCCAGGCGGGCTTCGGTCCACTGCTCATACAGCTCGTTCAAGTTACTGCAGTCAATGATGTTGTGCAGATTCTAAAAGGCAGAAGCAACAGCAGTCCAAAATGTTGCGTCAGCAATCCCGTCCAACGCGCTCTGCGACGGCGGGGCTTCGACCTACGGAAAAGTCTTGCGTTGAGTGACGTGGTCGGAAGCTGGTCACCATTGTGATGCGCTCGCTTGCTCCCTCACATGGCAGCGCACAGTGAGTGATACTACCACCTCGCATCACAACAATGGAGCCCAGAGAGGGAGCTCGAGCTTTGAACAGCGAGCCGTCTCCTTTACGCAGAGCCGTCTCTCCACCGGTCATGTTGCTTACCTACAAAATATCACCAGCGCACAATGCAGTACTCAGCCACTCGCCAACGATGCATCAGCTACCAAATACCACTCACATCGCTGAGCATGAGCACGGCCACCCAGGGATAGGCATCTTTGTGGTAGTCAACGACCAGAGGCGCTGTCTGATCTCCACTGTTGACGGTCTTTGAGCCTGCTTCGTCGCTGAGCAGTGACACTGACGGCGGCGCAAATGGGTCTGCGTCAAGTCCTCGCATGTAATCGACTCGCGACATTCCCTTCGGTACTTGGATCTGTCACATCTCGGGAACGCGAAGCAAGCGTTAAAGGGGGCACGACAGCCGTAATTTGCAGTCGACTCACGTTGGTATGTCCAAGCTCTATGTCCATGTACGGTACCAGCTGGAAAGGTGAGGAGCGCACGTCAGCTGGACGGTAAACGCCATCGCGCAATACCTTAACATGCTACTGACTTCCTCGCCGGCAGCCTCGGAGATGGCTTTGAGCGTCTGTGAAGGCAAGCGTGTAATGGGACGGACCATCAGCACCAACGGCTCCCGACTGGGACGGTACAGCGCAGCTCACCTCGGGGTGTTGCCAAAATTCGGCGACAAATTCTGCCGCATGGGGTGCCATGCCACGTAGCTGGGCGTGCGGTCCTGTCATGTGCGAATAGACTAGGCAGTGCGACAGGACCGCCGGGTCCAAGATGGCTTGTCTAAGTGCAATCACACCCTCCCTAGACGCCAAGGGAAAGGGCGCAGTGACGGCGATTGCAGACTTGGCGTAGTTGCAGTATCGGTGTCGCGTACATCCACGTCAGACAAGGGTTCCCTACTTGCGAGGAGGACATACTACTCACCGATGGTCCATTGTGCGCCTTGTCGAGGCCTAGGTCGCCCATACTCAAGCGCTGAGAAGGTGGCTCGTACGCGAGATGCACCTTTGGGTCGAAGACTGGCGTTGAGCGCACCGTGAATGGTGATACCTGTTTGGCAGAAGGCACGAGCTTCTCTTGCAAAGCCATGGCGAATCGGTCGCTATGAGGAAAAGGTATCACAAGCACTCTGTGAGTATTGGGGACGGTGGTTATGGAGCTCTGCGTGCACGAGAACGTCTTGTTGTCAGTCACGAATCCAGACGCAAGCGACCATCGTCGCAAGATTGCGGCAAGACGCACCCACTGACCTTTTATGGCTCGCACCAACGATGTGATCTAGTCTTTCACGACGAATTTAAGACCGCTCGACAGTGCTCACAGCTCAAGCTGTTTCCCATTCACTTTACCGCGCATCTTCCGGTCGCCCAGATCTCGACTATCGATAGATACACCCCTGCCTCCGCCTTCGAACACTGCGCCGCAGTCGTCTCAATGGCCGCTAGCCTGATGCTTGACTCATTGTGCCGAGCTTGAAAACTAGCGACCAGTCCAACCGCGGGTGACATAGCGTGTCCGTCAGCTCCCTCCGGATAGCTCAGCAACTATATGCGTCCTTGGCTGGTCAGGGGACGGGTCGCCACGGCTAATCTCGCTTGTGTTTATCGTATCTGCCCATCCCACTGACTCCTAGCCCTACGCTTCACAGCGCCCACCACCTGACATTGTGGTGGACAGAGCTCGTGGCGTGGCTACCAGTCGTAGCGCCAAGGCGTATCTCAGATACCCCTTGTAACAGAACCGGCTTGACGCAGCATCTCCGGCCTCCTGAGAGCGACGATCAAGTTGACCCGCGGCTTAGAGCCCGTGGGTGCTTGCAGACATCTGGAATTGGACGCTTATGGTGCAGCAGCGATTGCGGATCGAGTCCATCTTGTCTAAGCTGACACTATCCTCAAATCATGATTGTGATATGTAGTCCCATCATGGTCAGGTCTCCACATTTAAATTCTCCAGTCTGATGTCGCGTCGCTAAATGAGTCACTTTGGCTCGACAAGGCCACAGTCAATGCGATGAGAGAGCGCAGTGCTTCGACTTCGGAGCCGGTACATAAAGTTTCAGGCGGAGTGGCTTGATCAATACAGATGAATCATTCTATCATGAAGTCTTGCGTCGAGCAACCCGAGCATCGAGATTCAGAGCCGGTGTTCGCCTGCATTCGCGATTGCGGTGACGGGCTGCTGAAATCTCCACGAAAGCCATGCGTTGGATCGCGTCGTGCGCGTGGAGGCATTTTGCAAAGTCACGAGAGTTGAGCCGCGGCTTGTGTTACGAGCGCGCGCATGCAGCACAGCCCATCTTTCCCCGCGTCTTGAATGATAAGACTCCGAGCCACGGCTTGATTCTCACTCAACCCAAGCAAGCATCAGCAGCTCATAGCAGCCAGGCTGAACGTCACAGCACGTGAAGAGTTGGGCCGACAGCGCCTAGGATAATCTTGAACCCGCAAGTCTTCGACTCACGATTGCAATTGTGATTGATGGCTAGACAGGTCGAGCGTCTGGCTCAGGCTTAAGTTTAGGATAGTCGCCTCGCTAGCTAATCAGTCTTGTCGGCCCAGACGTCGTCTGACTGAACCCACGACTCGCGCCATTACCAAGCCTAGCCCGAGACCTAGAGAGCTAGCATGCATCCACGCGCAGGCGATGCTGACACCATCTGAATGTAATTCGGCAACAAACGCGCAACGTCTGCGGATGGCAGTAAGGTCACACCACCAAGAAGAGAGAGAGGCCGTGGACGCCTCGCCCGTCCGGGCGTGGGAAACCAGATCAGCGTCGCGCAGTCCAAGCAGATCAGGCGAGTACGGCAGAGGGCCGTGCTTATCGCGATAAGGTTCTCAGACTTGCGAAGCACGGGTAGGGAAAAGCTTGTAGGCAGTCTGCCTCGCCGCGATGCTAAATTCGCAAAGGACGGAGCATTTGTAATTACAAGATAAGTGGTTTCACGACACGGCATTTTCGCGCATCTTGATCTATAGAGATGAAACGACGCATTTTGCACTTGACGGATCTAAAGACGCGTCCAGCTGTAACCTTAGCCTTGGGGAGGTGGTGTGCAACGACAGATCGCGCAAGGTTGAACAACACCTAATTGAAATGTTGGATCACGGCTGTTGCCATCGTCAAGAAGACCTTCAGCTACATCATCCACGTTTGTACCTTGCAAAGGCGACGAAGATGTCTGGTGTTCTATTCTTGGTATCTTTGGCTTTGCTCGCCGCGTGCTTGGCTGTTCGAGCCATTAGTTCGAAAGCAGTACCGAGAGTTGCCACAAGAGGTGTAGCCGTGCTCCAGCAAGGGTTTGACAAGACGGAGAGTGTGAAGCCATGTGAGTGAAGTTCGGTCATCAAGTCTGCTCCATTACAGCTTGGCAATGGTCGTCTGAACATGCGAGCGGACCTTCGTAACCCGGCACACATCAGCTGCTACGTTGGCCTTCATACCAACGCCTCCATCCGATCATGCGCTGACACCAGCAAACATTGACGTGCACGAGGCGCGAGATCATATCTAGTGAGCTTGGGGCGATGATCATGGAAAGGACTTGCTGGCAGAGATTAGCCACTGAAGACGATTCTTTGATTCTTAGTGGCAACAAGGTCATTCGACATCCGTACCACCAAGTGAGTCGGACTCGTTGAGACGGTCGAGCACCGGAGAGGTTTAACCGCGAAGCCTCGTGCCACAGACGATGGCTCATCAGCAAATGCAACCTGCTGACTGGATAGAGCCGGACAAGAACTACAAAAGCGATTTGGAGTGGAAAGCCAAAGTGCTGAAGGCGCAGGGCAAAGCCGTCTGCGACGTTCTGCCAGATTGCGAGGAAGCTTGTGGAGAAATGTTGATTCTGTTGAGCGAGTGGCTCGTAGCGAGGTATCCCGAATTGTACGAGTACGAGGCTGGAGACAAGCGAGGCATCCGCAATCTGGTCACTGGCGAGACGCACGCGCTCTACATCGAGGATCGTGCGCGGCGAGGCGTAGAAGCACTTCGCGTCATCAGTCGGTGAGCTCCGAAGTGACATCCTGGAGTAGCTACGAACCGGACTGACGCTCGATGGACTCGATCGGCGCAGCTTGGTGCAAGACGACTTCTTGATTGCGCGGCCATCGTCCTCGGAGGACGGATCCTGGATTTGCGCTGGTGGCTTGGTTTGCTTTCCTGGTGAGCTACACGAGTAGCAAGCCTGTGCTGCGAGTGTTCTCGTTGACGAGGCGACTCTCCCTCTTCCGCTTCAGGCTTCTACCTCGTCTCGCACAAGATTGGTCTTTCCTTACACGACACGCATGCGCCGGTGCCGCAATTTAACGAGAAGATCCTGCGCTCGGTAGAGCGATCTCTGACGCGTCTGAAGCCCGAGGCGCCGATCGAGAGGACGAGCTGGGAAATCGTTGATGATCCTGATCACCTCTTTTGGGCGCCAATGGCAGGACCTTTACCGACAGAGCCCGGTAGAAACGGCGCAGTCGCGGTGCCAATGATGCCGGAGCACCGCACCGGGCGACCAAACGACGCGTGTGTGACGGAGAACCCAGCAGACCTTGTACTACGCCTTGACCATCAGACGTGAGGAACGACCTCGAATTTTCTCCGACTTTCTCTGACGAGGACCTCTGCCTCATTCATGCAGTTTTATCAAGCTTCCGAAGAGTGGCTGCGTGAGTAGCGCGCGTCGAGCGCACGTCGAAGGAGATGCTGATATACTTGTGCACCGTTCCAGGTCTTTTTTGGCATTCATCCTGTGAGTAGGCTGGCTGCCTTGCCCTCTCAAAGATCAACACTTTGGCAAGACTAAGACGAGATTGCTTGCCAACGATGTAGATGCGGCGCAAGTTGTCAGAGTTGGCCACTCTGCCTCTATTACCTGCCCTCTTGTTGAAAGTGCATGAAGAGGCGCCGGCGGACTTGATGGAGTACAAGGCAGCACCGCTCTATTCCGCCTCGGTCTTGCCCTACCTCAAAAAGCTTCACAACCAGCAGATTGCTGAGGGGCTGATTCGTGGCGACGAAGACCCGAGCGACTTTCGGACCGCGATGCGAGCGCAGTGGGGAGATCATGCTGCCAATGTGGCGAACAGGCATGAAAGCTGATCATCTAGAACTTTGAACCCAGACAACACCTCTGTCTGCCGTCCAATTATCTCCTACCCTCTCGAAATACATCTGTCTTGCTCTTCCTGAACTCTCTTTGGGCTCGAGTCGTGTCTTCTCCGCCCACCTTGCCCCAACCCCGCAATGGTATGACCAGCACAGTGCCATTGTCCTCAGCTCCAAGCTCTTCGGCAAAGCTCAAAACAGCCTTGGCAGCATCGCTGGGATGTCCCGCACCTCGACAAAGGTCGACGACTTCCTGGTCTGAGACTTTCTCACCGACGCCATCGCTGAATGCAATCACAAAAGCGTAATCATCGCCCTTGATCACCTGGGTTATGACTTCTGGCTCGGCTGTAACGCCAGCCTTCTTGAAGCCCGAGTCGCCAAATGCGCGAGTGTTTGCCAGCGCCCCCATCCAACGAGCTTCGCCGAATGAGTCTGTGATCATGCCCGCGCCGACTTTGCGTAGACGATCCGCTTCTCCCCTATCGTCTGGATGGTGATAGTTTGTCAGGGGGATCGCTCGCCCGTCAGATCCGCAGAGCAGCAGCCGAGTGTCGCCGATCTGGGCTGTGGTGATGCTTAGCAGGCGAGACGAATACCACGGCGTGGCTGGAACGTCGAGCGAATGTAAGAGAGCAACGCTAGCGGTGGAGCCTCCGACGTTCAGTTGTTCCGACTGCTGAATTTCCTTGTCGGCCATAAGCCAAGCAAGCGTACATCTCTCCGCAATCGTCATCTCTTCTGAGCTGACTGCGTCCGGTGGATCCACAAGACCAATGTCACTGCCGTCTATAATCTGTCCCTCGCTAGCCTGCGGCGTGGTGGATTTGACACTCAGACCTCGCTTGGCGGCCAGCTCTTCAGCCGGCTTGCTGTCGCTAGCGTCGACATCTTGCGGCGTCTGGGCTTCCATGGGTGCTGACGTCCGAGGCGCACGTCCAGCGGAGCCTCTACCAGCCCTGACGGGCTTGAGTAGCTCTTGTCTGACCCATCGCTGCATGCCGCCTCCCGCGAACCTTCTAAAATAGCCGCCGAGTGAGCGAGTGAATTGCGCGATCTTGGTCGCTAGGCGAGGATCTGCTGATTCGAAAGTTGCATGCAACGTGTCCTTGAGATGCGTGGAAATGGCTCGACCTCCGTGGCTGCGCAAGAAAAGAGTGATGCGGGTGATGAGTTGCACGTCGAACAGGATCGCGTGAGGCGTTCGCACTGGGCTGCCCGCGCACGCTCACCCGTCAAAGCAGCCGAACCAAACAATCTGTCCGTATTCCTCCATCAATGCCTGTTCCCTCTCCTTTGCGTCGTCCAAATCTTCCACTCCTTGGGCATTCGCGGCTTCTTCCGCATCGCTTTCAGGGTGCCACCTAGCCGCAGCCTCTTTGGCGATCCTGCTCCAACCAGAAGCCAAGCTAGCTTTGATGGCCTTGGGTGGTAGCAAGACGCAAGAAGCTGACCAGGCATCTTCTTGGTACGCTCGAGAGCCTCGACTGGAGCTGACACCAAACACCGAGCCGGCGCGCAGCGGTATCCGCGCAGAAGCGGAGCAGGGCTGCGATTCGTTGTCCTTGGCAGATGTACCAGTTGCCCTGACTCGTACATAAGGCCGATAGTGTCTGGCCTGGCTGAGCTGGGCCAGGGGGCACGCTCGACACGTGGCAAGGCTCCTGTGGGGCGGTGATAGCGCTGTAGAGCGCAAGAGCCGGCAGAGAGTCGTTCTCGAGGTCATCTTGTTCGACCAAACTGGCTTCTGTCCGTCGTCAGTGGCGGGCGCTTCCTCTCCCTCTCCGTGGCGATCTACAGCCTGACTCTTGCCTGCTTATCCTGTCCTGGATGAGGGCTTCTCAAGTGCGATGACCCATGCATGAAAGTCGAGAAGCAGACGGTGACCGGAGCGGCTCGAGCGAACAGCAGATGGCATCGAGCTTCAAAATTTTGCCAACTCGAGGTCGATTGCGCCGCATCGTTGCAAACTTCTTGACGATCCTAACTTTGAATTCAAGGACCCTTTTTCAATTTTGATCCTCCTCAAATGGGCATAACGTGTGCACTATCACGTGAGCAGCACTTGTGCTATCCGCGTCACGTCCTTCTCGCGCGGATGGACGCGCTCAAACCGCGCGACTGCTAATTTAAGCGCGTGGGTGCGCCTAGGCTATAGACGAACTCTATCCTCGAAGGCGGGCAACTCGCCGCTGCATCCATGCGGTGCTCCAGACCGCATACATGCATCCGCCAACTTGACAACCTATCAATGTTTGATCGTCGCAGCATCCTCCATTCCCTCTACAACGTCAACTTCAAGTTCGCCCCGACTTGCTAAGCACCCTGCTGCTACTCCCCTGCATGCTTAGAGAGCGCACCCGCCAATGGGGACACATTTCCCGCGACGTCTGCACGAACAAGACTCTGATCACGCATAACGGCACTGGCACCTCAGCGTCTACAACCCACGAATACCACAGGTACAGCCCTAAAGCCGCACCAGGCGCAAGCTCTTGTCACCAGACGTCCGCTGTCTCTGCTTAGTCTTCGGGACGCCCTTCCGCTTCTCGATTCTCCGACTGACATACTCGGGACGCTGTTCACGCGACCGCGCAAATCCGATCGATAGCGCCACCGGTCCTGCGACAGATTCACTGCACAGAAAGCATGCCACCTCCATTCGGGAGACAAACAACGGCCGGTGGCGGTGGAAAGAGGAAATCAACGGGTGCAAGGAGGAGAAAATCGGGAGCGGATGGTAGGGGTGCACATGCGGATGTAAGCGGAGGTGAGTACTCGGATGGTCGAGAGGGTCTTGGCGCGCACAATGAGAACTATGAGCACTATCGATGGTACTGCCAAGCAGAGCAGGGGACGGCATTTGTCGATGCGTGTCAGATGATCAGCAAGCGAGCCCCTTCACTCTGCGGCGCGAGGATCACTTTTCCGCCGAGCGGACTCATGGCGCACCTGCAGTGGCACGGTACAGCAATCACCGAGCTACTCCTATGACCTTCGTGATTGTGACACTGACACCTTGCGCGTGCCTTGCTCTCCCTGTCTGGCAGACACAACGGTATCTCGTCGCAAGCCTCGATTCAAGCCAGGGACACTAGCCATCCGGGAGATTCGTCGGTATCAAAAGTCGACGGATCTATTGATTCAAAAGCTTCCTTTTGCACGAGTTGTACGAGAAGTGGCCGACGATTTCATCACGAACGCATACGATGGAAGCGGAGGGGCGGGACTGAGGTGGCAGAGCAGCGCGATTTTGGCCTTGCAAGAAGCTACGGAAGCGTACTTGGTGCACTTGTTCGAGGATGCTAATCTTTGCGCTATTCACGCCAAGAGGGTGACCATCATGCAGAGGGACATTCAGCTGGCTAGACGCATCAGAGGCGTGTGGGGTGGCATGGGATGAGCGACTGGCTGGCTGGCTACATCTTCTTCAACCTTTAATTCATGATTCTCACTCGCTTTGGCCTCTCGTCCCTGGCTTAAATCGTGCGCACGCAATACCCGCCACAATCACGACCACCGTCAGACTTGCTCCGTCACACTCACGTACTCCCACTTCGATTGTCTCTCGTCATCGCCTCCGAGCAATTGCACTCGAGCCTGTACCTTTCACTGTTCGCTGTGCACGCACGCCTATGCGTGCGTGATCACCCCGAGACTTGGCTCCGGGCGAAAATGGGTCTGTGTGGTGAGATGTCTACTCGACATCTGAGTGCTGCTACTGGTCACGAGTCGACCTTAGCTGTGCGCTGGGGATTTTGCCTGGCGCTCATGCGATTTCATGGTGGTGGTCACCAGAAGCAGTCACGAGTACCGGCACCGCAAACGTGAAGGAAGGAGAGGCGGACCCGCGCGTCAATTCTGTCCGTGTCAAGCGCGCACGGACGGAGGCGGGGATGCATGATAAGCTCGCCTGGCTGGCTGACTGCTTTTCGGGCTTGTGACTCTTTTTGACTTGCGATTCTTGGCATCTAATTCGTCCGCTTCCACATCCATCTCTTCAAATGCCAGTCAGGTGAGGATGCAATGCGCACGGCTACGTCGCGCATAGATTCATAACTGCTGTTTGGAACCGCAAGCCCCTGAGAGAGCGTGGCGAGCTGCTTGCGCGCGAAACGCACAAGAGCGCTCGACGCTTCATCACGCGCATCAGGACTTGCGACCGCGACCAAGGTGCGCAAGGGAAGAGCCGAGCGGTAGAGGAAGGGGAAGGCTTGTTCGGGAACTCACTCACAGAGCAAAGGAAGAGGCAATAGCATCCATCGTCAAAAGAATGGCAACGAGGGCGGCTCAGAACGCAGCGGCGAACGATGAGCTGGTTTCAGCTCTGCACGAGAGGCTGGTGCAGACGGGAGAGTGGGACAGGTGAGTGGTTGTGGTGGTTGCGTTGGCGTTTGCGAGCAACACGCTGTGGCCCGTGCCAAGGCGTGCATCTGGGCCATCCGTCGCATCTGGACGTCCTTGAACTGAGCCTTGTGCGCTCTGCACTGTGCTTTGGCATCCTGCCTTTCCAACGCAGGGTGTTGGAAGCACTAAGGCGCGGACTGGAGGAGAGCGGCTGGGATGCTTCACTACGAGAAAAGGCGTTTGGTGAGGGTCACAAGTCAACAAGGACCATCGTGCAGCTCGACAACTGATCGCACGCGTCGCTCATCATCTAAATCACAATGATAGAGCAAGCAAAAGCTCAGACGAGACCAATAAGCTTACTCGACCTCGTCGAGATCTTGGAAATAGAGGCGCACAGTAAGTGGCGGGCAAGCTCGATGGCTTGAGTGGCTCGACTGCAATCGGCACTCATGCAAGTTCGATGGTATGCGCCCCATTTCCTACCGTCCAGCTTCCATACCGCCAGCAGTCAGATCAGAAGTGACGAGCATGCTTCGGGACTTCATCTCTAGGAATGTGGAGGACGCATGAGTGCTTCCGACCGATCCATAAGCCTCGAACACTTCAGCAGTAAGGCCACTCTACAAGCAATGCACGATGCTCACTCCTGCCAAGCGGCTCGAGAGGCGCAAAGATCGGTGTACGATGGATATACGTCTCGTATGTCGCTCTTTCACTCGGCGACGCGTGCAGTGGCGCTTCATGGACGGTGTTACGACGATGAACAACATTGAATTGTTGTTCGTCCCCAAAGCAACAGGGATTCTAGTGCGCTCGTTCGAGCGCTCGATATTTCAGGTCTTCTCCGCGCAATGGCAAGGGCGCGGCAGTGCCATTCTCTCTCTGCCCAATGTATCAGAACTCTCCAAGGTCGTCTCGAAGAAGAGTATTGCGCTAGTCCTCTGGCCGGATCTGCTCTCCATCTCGCAACACTTTGACTAGCTTTGCCTTTGTCTCGCACTCCACCTTTCCGCACATGCACCTCGCTCGCACGTTGCGTCCGCCGCACTTGTGATTCTCCCACCCTTCAAATGCCCTCTGCTTCCGCCTTAGTACATGTCCAATGAAGAGCCCTGTAGCGTGACGTGAATGGATGCGGTCAGCGTCAGAGTCAGCCTGGCGAAGCGCAACGACGCGGAGCAGAAGGTGCATTCTAGTTCGTGCGCTGCAGCTAGGCTGGGATCTCACGATCCTCTCTCGGTACTCCGTCTAGGTCCTTTGGGGTTCGTAAACATACCGAACGTTGTAACTTCTAATACACTCCATTTTGACTCGAGCTGATGGCCCGTCTAGGACATGTCCCTCCCCCGCGAAAAAAAGGAATTCTGACGACCCATGCCACTGACTGCCGAAGTGAAGATCTCCCCTCCCCTCCCATAGCTTTCGCCCCGCGTCTTCGACAGCGACCAGACTCACATCGTGCACCTCGTAATCAGCCAAAGTGATGTGATTCTTCAGAATGGTATATTGCCTGCTCAGCTTGATCTTTTCCGGCACCGTTCCAATCTGAGCTGCGATGAGTTTCTTCAAATCTCCAATCGTGTCGTCTGGACTGCACTTGACTCTGACTGGTGGTGTTGATGGTGCGTGGGGGGAGGGGGGGGGGAGAAAGACAACAAGATAGGGGGGCGGATGAGCAGATGTATTAGCACGAGCTTGCATGGGATCGGGACTGTCATGAAGCTTGTATGCGCTCCGCGACTTTGACTCACCACGACGACCCAACCGATCGTTGGCGTAGATCTCGATGAGACGAGGCATCCTTCAGCTTTTGCGATGTTCAGCTTGAGGCGTCGTACGCCAGATAATGCTCGCTAGACGAGATGAGGCAAGAACCTCCCTTATCAAGGACAGCTGGGCTGCACGGATCGACGATCAAAGGCCATGCACAAGAAGGGTGGGGGAGAGCCGAATCAAACGAATCACGCGAATGGCGAATCAGTCGTGAGTCGGGCTCGGGGAGACAGAGTCAAGAGTGGCGGTGCAACTGTGCGTGCCTACACGGGGCGGTATATATATAGAGCGCGGTATGGCTCACTCACTGCAAAAAAAGCTACATACGCGCACCACTCCCGCTGTGATTGGCGGTGGGACTCTTGACTGTCATTGCTTGCTTCAATTTGAATTCGCGATTAGTCACGACTTTGCGATTCAGATTTCAAGATTCACGATTCGTGATTGTTGGCTTCTTTTTGCCGAAGCCCGACCGCGGCCGCGCACGAATCAAGTGCGGATAAGCATGCTCGCTGCATGCTGTTACCGTACATCTATGCAGACCGCTGGTCGACCTTTCCAAACTCGAAATTTGTCTTCTTGACGCTTGTCACGCTCTCACGCAATCGTCACCTATCCCTTCGACGTGATCAACATCAGTCACAGTTGCTCCATCCTTCCTCATCGAGCGTGTACCCTGTGTTGGCTCTTCGCAGCTGAACCCGCCTTGCGCTGCTCCCCACGTCTTTTGCCTCATCGAACGCCCGAACCGACGAGCTGCCAAGATGCTACTCCCACCAGCCTCGCTGACCGCCTCGGTCGCATCTTCCAGCAAGCTAACGCTCACTCGCGCCGCATGCTCACCACTAACAAGCCAATTCAGCAAAATACAGCGACCCGTCGGCTTGCTAGACAGGCGCTATACCGCCTCTGCCCGTCGCCCCAACTGGCCTGCTCGGCATCGAGCAACTGCGCCCAGCCATTCGCCTACTCAAGCACGTTTCTCCTCCACCCGTCCGCGAGCCAATTCCAGCAAGATTCTTCGAGCTCTGCCAAGGTTGAGCTCAGGCTTGACGCTGGTCGGTGGCACGTTGGCGCTGCTTTTGGCTCTGTGCGCCTCATCGCAGAACAACAAGGTGCACTCCGATTCTTCTTCCCTCTCAGCCATCCCTCTCTCCACTCCCTCCTCCTCTCTTCCACAATCGACCAAAAGAACAGACATTGCCACTGGCGAGTCTCTACCCAGGTTGCTTCTCTCTCCAGCCACGAATGAGAAGCTGCATTTGGTGGGGCTGGGAGTGAGGACGGTGAGCTTTTTGAGAGTGAGGGTGTACGTAGCTGGGCTGTACGTCGATGGCAAAGGTCTGGAAAGGGCGAAGAGGCTGCTGGGAAGCCAGGGCAAGGAAGAGAGCACAGAGGCCGTGCTGAGACAATTGTTGCTGGGTGGAACAGAGTGTCTCATCCGCATAGGTGAGTACGAAAGGTCCGTGCACTGGCATTGCTGCAAGGCTCTCTCTGCCTTCCAAATAATCTTTCGCCGCTCTTCAAGCTGACCCTGAGCGCTGTAAACCTCTCTCGACCCGCGCTTCAGTTCCCGTGCGCAATACCGACATGTCACACTTGCGAGACGGATTTCTGCGCTCATTGCAATCGCGAGCCAAGCTAGCTCGTCGTTCGGGCAGTCTGAATGCAACAGACGAGCACCTCCTCGATTCAGCCTTGGACTCTCTGCGTTCGCTCTTTCCCAAGGCTTCGGTGGCAAAGGGCCAATCTTTAGACCTGAGATTTGCCGGGGCTAGTAGGATGGATGTGCTTTTCAAGGGCAAGAGGTTGGGCGCTGTGGGAGAGAGACCCGCTCCTACGGGCGTGAGGGGAAGGGATACCGACGACACAGCCTTTGATAGGTGGGCAGGCATCGGAGAGCTGCTCTTGGCCTACGTGGCTGAAAAGGGCGAGATTTCAGCGCCGGTGAGTCGCCGATCCTCTGCCGCACTGCCCTATCCGGCGACTGTCCGAAGCTTGATGGAGACTCATGCCATGCCAGATTACCATCTTGTCGTTACAGATCAAGCAAGACATCGAAATCAACCTCCAGCACTTGGCGCAGAAAGGCTCTCTGCCGATCGAATAGAGTCTGAGCCGCTGCCAAAGATCATCAATGCCCGCGCGCCGCATACATCACCAGCGGCTCAAGCACGCTTCCAAGAGAAGCTTTTCACCATTCATGTGTAATTTGATACATTTTCCTCATCGCTCAAGATGGCACAGACGAAAAAGGCCACGCATGCTACTGTGGCTCGTAACGAGATGGGAGGCAAGAAGAGGCTCTGCAGGCCGAGCTTACCCACCGAACGAGCCCACCAATGTTCCCAGAAGCGTGATGATCGCTCCTCTGTACAGGGCCTGCAGGTATTCGAAGATGCCCGGCAAGACCCGTCAGCAAGAACATCGCTGTAATCAGTAGAGTGAGAAAGCGAAGTCACTCACCTCGACACCTTCTTCATCGACCAATTTGTTGAGACAGTCAACGAAGCCCTCGTACCTCTCAACCACTGGTGCTCCGAATCCTTGTTCGGCCGCTTCTTGGGCAGCGCTAGCAGTCAATGGCTGATCGCAAGGTCTGAGTGCTATGATAGGTTCTCGCTGCTGGGACAAGTGATCACTGGACGTCGGAAGAAAGGGCGCTTGTTCTCTCGCGAATGCGGCACCTGCAACGGACGCTGGTCTAGCCGATTCGTGGTTGGCCTGTGTTGGCTTGACAGGCTCATCTTCCGTATCCCTATATGCGTGCCCCGAGCCATTCGAGCGAGGCGCCTCTGATGCACCTTCATCTTCCTCCTCGTCTTCAATCGCAAAGCTGGGTCGCGGAGCGGGCTCAGCTGCATCGCTGGGCTGCTGTGGCAGAGGTTTGTCCGGCGCATTGCTTCCATCTCTGTAATTGTCGCTTCTCTGACTGGCATTGTGATGACTGAAAGAGTTGGGCGCGTTTCCGTTTGCGCGAGGCGCAAAAGCCATGTGCAAGGGTTGCTGGCTTTCTGGTCTCTGCACCGCCAAGCGAACTATGACGATCTCCACTGGACTGAGGATCAAAGTCGATGCGACATTCCATGCCAAGAAGATTGCCAGCCCCAACGCGCCAACTTTCAGGGATTCGTCTGTCGGTCCAGAAAAGTATTGGTCATCCGGTGCCGCGGGTTTGACAGGTGGAAGACCTCCTAAGGCTGGGACTGTCAAGTATCGGACCAGGCGAGTGGCCAAGCCGACCCAGGACACATGCAGCAAGGTCGCCGCAAGTAGTCCAGGCACTTGGAACAGACGCCAAGGCTGGGCGTACTCTGAGGGGGAGAGCAGCTCCCTGAGATTCCGCATGGGTGTCGTCATTGGCAAAGCGCGAGGATGCACGATTGTCCTGATAAAGCATCCACAAGGATCTGAATCAGCTCAAGTCATTGTGCACTTTGCTAGTGCTTCGATGCTACTTACCGAGTCGTAATCACGCTCATGGGAAGAGTGACTATGGCGACGAGAGCCATGAAGAAGAGGTTGCCCCAGAAGCCAAACTTGTCCGGGCTAGCAGGCGCACTCCTGTACGCCCCACCAGAAGCTGAGATGGCGCCAGTGTTGAAGATGACGCCGGCGATAAAGCCGAGGGACATGAGCTGGATAGCGACGGGTGCAGAGCCTCTGTATATGCCGCTCCAGCCTTCCAATCTATACGTCCTTTGCAGCATTCCCCACACGCCGTTCACCACCGGTCCAATCTTTGCGGCTGCCCTAGCATCTCTCAGAAAGTAGGCAGAGATGGCGCGTGGATTTGCACCGCTACCCAAATTTGTGCTGCCATCCTCCAACACAGAGTCGAGGGAGAGGGCTTTGGGCAAATAGTTGGCTCGCAAACGCACGAGCGCGCCTGTGAGCGGCTGCGATATCAGCAGTGACACGGAGATGGTGATGACGAGAAAAAAGACGGTGAATACACCACCGAGCACATCCAAGATGAAGCCCATCTTGAGACTAGTGCGTCTGAGCGAGCACGATTTGACTTTCTGCTGTTGTGAATAGCGGCTTCCCTTGTCGAGTCCGTTTCGTTGAAGGCGTGCAGAGCGGATAGGCTAGCAAAGTCCACTAGCGACTGAAGGTCGAGAGCGTGTGAGCTACAATTGGCGATGCTGAAGGTGGTGAGGAACTGACATGAAGTCTTAGGAGCACACTCGCCCCCGCACCCCTCATCCGACGAGCACACAATCGTGAATCAGCGCAGCACAGCAAGGTCGCTCGGCTGCGCGCGCACCGACCGAAGCGCGCACACGCATTACGCAGCAGCGGCATGCAATGCGAACGTCGGCAGACCTCCCGCCCGATCACCAAGGTCCGTGCGTGCTCTGCAGGCGCATCTGCGGCCAATTCAAGACTCAAGGCTCTTTCATCATGCTGTCAAGTCACTTGAGCCACGTGATCCTTTCATTTGAACTGGTAACTCTATTCTTGTTTGCAAGCAAGTTCTTGATTCACATGCAAGTGTAGCGCGATGTGGTCACGTCTGCCACTCCTTCTGATTCTGAGATCATACCTGTCCTTCTGAAGAGCAAGCTCAGGCAAGCAAATCATTTACATGCACCACCCTATGACGACCAGTCAAGATCCAGTCATTCTCGATTGCTTTGATGTATCATTTGACGACCGAAGGGAGGCATGTTCGTTACGCGCATGGACCAAGAACCACTTTGTGAGAGGACACGTCGATGATTTGGAGCGCATCATGAGGAGATGGGTCGGAGCAGGAAAATCGAGCACGAGAGCGCAGTGCTTGGAGAAGCATGACGCGCACGCCGGGCACAGCAGTGCCTCAACACACTTCTGAAGCGGCGTGATGGGCGACGAGATTCACCCTGCAACATACGAAGCGCTAGCTTGCTCGAGGCTGCGATTCGCGCGGGTTACGTCGAGCCTCCGCTGGGTCGCTGCCCGAGCATAGCCATCAGATTGGCAGCGTTCATCGGTTGCTGGCCTCCGGGCGATGGCATGGCATGACCAGAGCCAGGAGAGTGACCAAATGGTGGAGGTGTAGAGACGGGGGGACCGCCACTAGCCCCTTCGCCCGCGAACGAACCTGGATGTTGGTGGTGTGATGAAGCGCCCTGGTGAGGTGGCATCATGGGCGACTGCATTGGACCAGAGCCAGGCGCAGGTCCCTTTCCAAAATGTTGAGACAGGACTTGATGCTGCACGTGAGGAGGTAGGCTCATGATGTGCTGCTGAATGTGCGGCGGCAGTGCGCCCAACAGGCCAGGAGGCGGGGGTGGCGGCATGTGTGGTCGACCTGGCCCTCCGGCTCCATTCCCAGGAAAGCCTGGCATGTTCGGCGGTCTTGGTCCCATGGGGCCAGCACCAAGCGCAGCGGCAATGTGTGGGGGCAGTCCGGGTGGCAGGCTGTGGGGCCCAATCGGCCCTCCTGAACCCGGCCGACCCATCATCCTTGGGTCTACGCCGAAGGAGAATCGACCATCAGGCCCTCCAGCACCCGATGGAGGCGCTGCCCCATTGCCATTGCCAGGCGAAGGCAGTCCACCGTACATGTGGTCCGATCGATGCTGTTGAGGCGAGACGCCGCCGTACGGAAATCCAGGAGGGAGTGGAGGACCACCCAGCGAAGGAGACATCATAGGCCCACCAGATGGAGTCTGGTTGCTGACAAGACGCTGGTGAGGCTGTTGGTGTTGTTGAGCGTAAGCGTCGTTGGGCTCAACTGGCGCGCGCTGAATGAAGCTGAATTGGGGACTCTGCTGATGACCGCTCAGCTCTTCTCGCTGAAGAGGTATGCGATTATGAGCTGAATGACGATCGGTCTGGCTTTGGTGCGGCCCACTGTTGCTGTCGGTACTGTGAGTAGGAGCAGAAACGTGGGCAAAGGCAGGTGACGAGCTCAATCCGTCCGCGCGGTGTTCGGTTGCTGGGCGCTCTTGGGCACCAGGATGGGAAGGAACCCGTGGTGACCTGTCCCGAGGGGCATCGGGCTGGGTGCGACCACCACCGCTTGACTGGTCACGGGTGTGATTTTGAGGTCCATCGCCTTCTGGGCGGTTGGCTCCCCCTCCAGCACTGAGAAGAGCCATAATCTTCTCCATTGATGCGATATCCTCGCGAGAAGGCTGTTTCACCGCTGATCGCTCAGAAGCGTTCGGCTCTCCTGGCCGTAACGGCGCAGCAGCCTGCCCTTCACGCTTGCCAGAAGCGGCCCCATCGCGGAAGTCAGTCGCCGGGGAGCTGGGTGCGCCAGCACTCTTGAAAAGATCAGCCATACTGAGAGATTGCCCAGCAGATGCAGAATTGCTTGGTTCGACGGACGGTGCTGCGGTGGATGTCATGTCGACCGCTTTAGCCTCCGTGAAGCGTTGTTGGGCAGCTAGAGCAGCAGCTTGTGGATCGCGAGGCTTGCCATCAAAGAACCGCGCAAAGCGACTCGACCGACCAGGAAGGCCTGGTGGGCCAGCAGCCAAGCTTGCCGTGTTCGTCTGTTCCGCCGCTCCACGCTGACTTGTGCCACTGGTCGCCGTAGTCTCTCCATTCTCACTCGGCTTGTTAGCATCAACCGGCGCTGAGGATGTCTCTGGCTTATCAGATGCGTCTTCTGTGACCCTGGAAGTCCCGAAAACGGATCTCTCCGCAGCTGGCCGTGCTAATCCGGGTGGGGCTGTTCTTGCTCCATTTGCTCCAGCGTCGAGTTTCTCCTTTTCAAGTCTCTCTTTCTCTTTCATTTGAGCTCTGAAAGCCTGTATGCTGTCCATACCAGAAGCAGAACCAATGGTTGCAACTTCATTGTCGGACACTTTACGTGCAGGGGCGCTCGTTGGCATTGTCGAGCCAGTCGAAGGCAGACGAGCTGATTGAGGAGTGGAGCTGGATTCGTCATCGTTCATCCAGCTGGGTTCAGCGTCTTCAGCCATCCAAGACGGGAAAGCATTCTTCCGAGCAGAGTCCACACCCCTCTCGTCTCTGCGATCGCGACCCAAGGCGCTCCTGGGTGGATTCAAGCCAGCGGACCGCGGAGCTGCTAGAGCTCCGCCTCTTCGCCAATCACTTGCAGAATCTGCTTCCCGCTGTGCCGCTGCTCTGAGCCTCCTTTCTGTTTCCGGACTTCGAGGAACGCTTTCCCACTCGCCTCCGTCGTCCTCAGCACCATTCATCGCTTCGCTGCGCGGAATCCTTCGCTTCTCACGCAAGCCGCCAAGATCCTTTCCAGAAGCTGATCTATCTGTTTCGCGGATTTCCTTTGCGCGCGCACCACGAGGACCACGCTCCTCTAGTGGCGTCGTTGACGACCCATCGCGACGTGAACCACCAAACTATGTCGCACGCGGGTGAAGGCGTAAGTCGGACTGCAGGGTATCAGAAATTGCTCTGAAGAGACACGCACCCGTCTATCCGCTCCAGGACTATCCAGATCCTTGCCTGCCGGCCGGAAAGTGCCGCCGGCAGAGAGCTGTCCAAAGGGATTTTTGCCAGACGGCGGGAAGCGGCTTCTTGGGAGGTCTGTGAAATGCGCAAAATGTATGAGTGCTCGGGCTCATTAGGTGCGGGAAAGCTGCAACAAGCTCACCACTGAGACGCAAAGGACTAGGCACGTCACTGCTCTCGTCATTGAGACGTCTAAATCTGCCGGCGCGTATCAAAGAGCATTCAGCCCGAGCGATGCGCGAGCTTTTTTCTCGCATCACCAGCGTTCTCACCCTCTCTCCACTCCCTTTCGTGTGCCCTGGAAGCCACTGATCTGACCCTTTTCAAGACTGCCGCTCTGAAATTCGCCATCGTCCAACCGCTGTCCGCGATCAGCTCTGTCTCCTCGCTCGCCTCGAGCATAGTGACCATATTCCCTGCCCTCTCTTCCTCCACCTTGACCGATGTTCTGGCCACCCGGATGGCCATGGGAGCCATGAGTCGACCGCGGTGTATAAGGTTCCCAATCCCTGCAAACGTCGTCAAGTACGATGAAGCCGGTTAGCTCGTATCGCCCGCCAAGCATGCGGGGTGCATCCACAAATGGTCGTGACGCACCCGTACCACTCTTTAAGTGATGGCATGCCAGCCGGCAATGTGACTAGCGGACTCTTGCTGAGAGATAGCAGCAGAGTCGTGGAGTATGGCTGGGAAGTCCTCTCACGGACATCTTGGGCGACAGGGGGCGCGCGAGAAGTTGCGCTTGTATGCTTGCCTAGAGCCTGCGGCACAGGCGACAGACCAAGCCCGGGGGGTGGCCCGGCTAGCAAAGAAGAGATTTGCGAAGTTCAGCGTCGGGCTTGCAACAAGCATTTCACAATTTGAAGCAATTCAGCTCACAGACAACTGCTGTCGAGGCCATAGATGCAGACGGCTTCTCCGCTAGACGCAGTTTGAATCGAAGAAATCAAGACGACACTGATCCACCGACTTGAACTCGCCCCGTTCCGAGTCGACGATCGTTGTGCCTCTTCGATATTGAAGTGAAATGTGTAGGCTAGCCTGTAAGACAGAGATCGAAACAGCTCGGACTCGGAGGATGATGCAATGCAGACACTGCTTGCTCTCTTGAACCGGAGGACGATGTGGAGATGAGTTCCAGAGCTGGCTCAAGCCAGAAGCTATGCCGAATATTGTTGTGCTGATTGTCGTTGATACAGACGATTGCGGATTAATGTTGAAGGCAGACGGAGCCGGGGCAGGTGATGTTGCGAGCCATTGTGATCGACGCTGTAGCGGATCAGCTATCAGAGGTATATATACGACTCTGCCAGTGACAACGCTCTGCCATCCCATCACACGCACGGGCGTCGAGCATGACCCACACGCATGCAAAGCGCACCACCAGCAGCAGCAGCCGTGGCGGGAACAGCTTGCGTGCAGCGCCACACGTACAACAACCACAATGCGCCCCACTCAACCTTTCGCAACCACGTGGTAAGAGCGAGCGAGCTGTTATTGTGATTCTGATTGCATGGATGACTTGCGACCATATGCAAGCGAGCCTTCGCGGCGTGTGCACACCTCTCTCAACGGCGCCTCCTGACATGCAGCACGGATGCCCGCGTGTGCGTACTCACACGCGTGACTGCGACTGCACGTACCGCGTGCCCGGGCGGGGCGAGCGGGGTGGCCTATACTGTAGCTGAAAGCGCGCTATACAGCGGATTGGTTTAGTTGTGCGTGAATAATTAAAGGTGCGGCGCTGCTGCTGATCGCCCGCCCCGCTGCAGCATCGCGATCGAAAGGGTGAATGAATCATGAATGTCGCCTCTGCTGCTGGCGCGATCGACGTTGCAGCGCGAACACTCAATAATCAGACTCGCACTTCCCGTTTTCGGCTGACGCTTCGAGCAGAGCAACTCTGAGTCACGCTTCACGATCCGTGTTGCACTCCGCTCCAGCAACCACACTTGGGCCATCGCGTCCAGTCATTGCCTCTCTCACACCTCCATCTGAGCGCTTCTGGCGCGGCAGCGGACTTACACATGCCTCAAGCTTGACTTCGGAAGAAGCCCTAAGCTGGGTGCGTCGCACGCTTCGACCCCGCTCGCTCGCCTGCCTCTACAGCAGCATTGGCTTTGGCTCTTCTGCGCGCAGAGTCGAACACGCAAAGTTGGTGCTTCACTGAGCGCCATCTCGACGAATGTGGGTGATTTGCTCCTGTATGCTGGTGCACCGACCTAGGTAGTCAATCGTCAGGCCCGACCACTGCTAGGTTCAATTCCTCGACACCAAACGACCTTGCGCCGCAAATTTCACAAAGTATGGCGTCCGACGCTGCATCGGGGCCCTCGATGCCTTCTCGCTCCCTTCCAGAGACGGAAGCGTTGTACCGACAGTCAATCGACTCAGCCCGAGAAGCCTCGCTCAGCAGACGCTTCTCGCGCTCCTCTCGCACTTCTCAAAGCAAGACAGCTTCTCAAGAGCCCAACGCTAGAAATGACGGGACTCAGAGGGTGTCGAAAGACGAGTCCGGAGTGATGCGCAAGCGCGACAGCCAAATGGGCCCGGCCGATACTTCCTTGGATGCCAGCGCCAACAATGAAGGGTCCGCAGCAGACCAGGGTGGAGGAACTGCAAATGGCGCTGCGCAAGGTGACGAGGATGTCGATACTGATGTGGACAGCGAGATTGCGCACCCCTCCTTCTTGGGCAGCTCCGTACGCTCCAACCTCAGTGTGCGTCCGACCATCCTACCACCAGCAGCCTTTCTCGCGCCGAAGAAAGGCAGCGCGAGGATGTCGCCTGCAGCCACACGAACTCCGAGTCCGTTCAACTTTCCAATCTCTCAGTCTCCCGTAGCTGGGAGATCTCTAGAACAGTCTCCTACCTCGCCTGCCACTGACGTTGCTCATGCTGGCGCATTGCGCGGCAGTAGTGGCTGGACGGAGGCTTCCTCCAGTCGAGCGGCGTCGCAGGGGACGGGGCACGACAGTGCCGGCCAACAACAGAGTTCACACAGAGCTCACAAGTCGACCAGAGCTCCCTCTGAGCACGCAAGTCGAGATCCGCTACTGCCCTTTTCGACCAGGCAAGCGAATGCAATGTCAGGCTATGATGCTCAGAGTTACACTGGAAAATCACCATCGCCAAACATTCGTTCCAGTCCAAACAGCCGTTCATCTCGTCTCGAGGTGCAGCCATCGCCCAGGCCGAGAAGCAAGAGGAGCTCGATGCAGGAAAGGCCGGCAGAGAAGCCAAGCTCCTATCCCCGCAAGTGGAAGTCCTTCCAAGGAGCAAACAAGTTCTTCTGCTTTGGACGCATCATGACAGCCGATGACAATCCTCTGCCGTTCTTTGGAGCCACTCTAGTCGTCGTTGCGTTCCCAATTCTGTGGTTCATCTTTGTCGCTCCTTTCACTTGGCGACATGTAAGCCCAGCGCCTGTCATCCTGACAGCATACACCTGGCTTGTCACTCTCTCAAGCATGATGGTGACCTCCTGGAGAGATCCAGGAGTGCTGCCCAGAGACTTGGATCCAGACCCGCCTTGCACCACTAGCGATGGCGACCCAATGGATCCAGAAGATCCGCTTGCCATTCCTCTGCCTCGCGTTGTGCGAGTCCCTCAGAGCACAGATCTCAAAGTCAAGTGGTGTGAAACATGCGGCACATATCGGCCACCTCGCGCTAGTCATTGCAGGACTTGCGATAACTGCGTGGAAAACATTGGTGAGACCGCTAGATTTACTGCTCGACATTTTCAACCTGCTCACGAAGTGTCTGCTTCGCTGTGACAGACCATCATTGCACGTTCTTGAACACTTGCATCGGCCGCCGCAATTACTTTAGCTTCTTTTCCTTTCTCATCGCTGGCATTACGCTCTGTTGCCTCTGCTTGGTCTTCAGCGCTGTCCACCTCTACCTGCTCACGCGGCGTTTGGACGACCCACTTCCTGGAGGCGGTTTTGGCTCTGGTCTCGATTTCGCTGGAGCTCTGCGCAAGGCTCCGCTCAGCGCAGTCCTCTTCCTCGTACCTATCTGGGTACTGGTCCCTTTGTGCGTCCTGTTCGGCTACCACATGCGCTTGGTCAGCATGAATCGAACTACAGTGGAGCAGATTCGCATCAACTCTCAGAAGGAGTACGGAGAGAAATCCAGCCAACCCGATGCTGTGGCATCCCATCGCTGCGTGCCTGCTCTAGGAAGACCAGGAAGGGATCCAAACCCTTTTGCGGTGCCAAACTTTTTTGCCAACGCTTTCGAAGTGCTGTGCAGACCTATTCCAGAAAGCTACATCGACCGCTCCGGTCGCGCAGTGCCTGATAATCGTAGACCAAATCCTGCTTGGCGCAACAGCTCGATGGGCCGACAAGCCAGTGATATCGCCAACGACGGCAGTCCACGAGTATAGGATTGGCCTTCGATCGGCAGTCGCGCTGTGCCGAGATTGGCTCCGCCCACACATTCATTGAACATATCAGCTTTCTGCGCACCACCAGTCGTGCTTTCCTGTTTGTCGCAGACACCTCAACACTCTTTCCAATGCGTCTCTAAACAACGCCGTGTCGGTCGTTTGCATACACTCATATCTCTTGATACCACGCTAGCGATAATACATAGACAAATTGCATTGTTTCGAGCCTTGTCAACTGTTGAACATTCTCGAGTGCAATACGTCGTGCCGACCTTGCAGGATCTCGCCCAATGGCCAAGTGACGGCTGGAGCGGAGGCCCGCGTCTGGCCCGCGTCGTGAGACCCTTCGTCTTCCTGTATATGCCAAGCACCTTCCTCTTCCCAGTCCCACGCCCAGCCTTGGCTCAGGTCGTCATCTCTCACAGCTTCGGGCAGAGCGGTAGCATGGTTTGACACGCCATGCATGTAGCCTCTTGATGAGCGAAGAATGGCGGGGTGAGTCCGATATTGACTCGAAGTGGTACGATGTCCACATTCATCTGGATCTACGTCATCGTCTAGACCAACACTGGGATTCCCTCCGTACTTGTCGACGATAGAAGTCAGTACTGATCTGAGTTGAAAATGCAAGAGGCTGTGAGCTGCGTATGTGCCTATGACGTTCATTCGAATGGCAGCAGAGACGATTGCTCTCGCTTGCAAAAACATGTGCGTCCTGACCGAGGCATCTGCGGAATAAACACAGATGCGGCCGCGCAGTCACATCAGCTACCAGCCAGACACGCAAGGAGCGGTGCCATGGCCATCCAATCACCTCTCTCTATGCCGAGTGCTGCGCAAAATACGCCCCAGCAGATTGGCAGATGGCCCTCGCTTTCACCTCTTCTGATCGCACCTCGATATAGATCGAGAATTTCTTCTGCTCGTAGTCGGCTGGTGGGTCTCAAGTCTGCTGCTTTTGCTTTCGGTGCTGTTTGAGTAGTTGCAGGATGTCCTTTGGTCAGAGCGATCGGCTTTGCAAATGCTTTCGAGTGAAGAGTCAACAGTGCGACGCCTTGTGTCGTGCTTGCGCGTCTTGCGACGTTGGACAGTAAGCCGGCCTCGAGCGAATCGTCGAGCTTTCTCAAGCCAATCATTGCAGCCGAAGCGTAATCGCAGCGGGGCTCCATCACGTCTTTGGACTCGCTTGACGCGCTCGAGAGATACCCTGCGGCGAGTCCATGCGCGTCGCACAGGTAGGGCAATGAAGTGCTGGCATAAGAGTCGAGCGAAGAAGCCAAGTACACTAGCAGTTGACCACTGCTAGAAAGTGGTGCATTCCGGAGGCCCGAGGTGAGGCCGGAGCTAGAGGCCAAAGGTCTGGAGTCCATCGTTCCGAAGGCCCTCAGGAGCCCGTGCGCCGCGAATGACTCGAGACCGGACGAAGCTACAAATCCGCCTACCATTCACGACAGATTGTGAATGTCAGAGAGAGGTGTGGGGCTGTATGCGAGGGGGAAAGTGTGCTCCTTCCGCGTCCTCAGACTCACCCGTTGGCAAGTTGGAGTCCCCGAGCAGCAAGAGCAAATAGTCCATCTGACTCTGCGTGCCTGCTTCGTGATCGTCGTCCACTCTTGCAGAGTCGCTAAGATTCATCCATCTCTCGGCAGGCTCTTCGCGGGCCTGATGCCCGCTGTGCTCTGGAGACGGCTGCGTCCCATCCTCTGTGTGGGTCTTCCGTCGCTTTGCCCTCGCCTCGGAGGCCTCCATGATTTGAGCGCAGCGCCGTCTCTTGGCTCGATCCCACTTTTTTCCAGCTACGTGGCTGTCGGAAGGCGAGATGGTGGTTGTCCCGCACGCGCTGCTGAATGCGCGACTGCACTGTGCAGCGATCAGACAGCGCCCTTCACCGTCGTCTCTGGAAGCTTGGCGGACCATGTGATTCAGGGATGCCGCTCGAACATCTCCCATCTTGGTCAGGAGTCAGAACAGAGCATTGAATTGACGGGCAAGACTCCACTCGGTCTGCTGGCTCACGCCCGTCTCATCAGGATGCTTCAGAGTTCAGAGTAAGGTGCGAGCTGCGCCAACTCGGCGGACTGACAAGCGTAAATCACTAGACATGTGTTTGAGCTTCCTTTAGATATGGCGTGTATGCATACAACAAGACAGTAGGCAGGCGTTGTGAAAATGGGGGCGTCGGGCAGAGCAGCGAGCCGTCGACGTCGAGCGTGACTGCACTGGCCCATGCTCGAATAGGATGAGACATAGACGTGGTGCGCGACATGGACCTCAGCCCTTGCTATAAATAAGGTAGTGTGCACTTAATCGATGTTGGAGGAAAGACGAGGAAGCGAGGGGGCACACAAAGCGTGAGTGCAAGGTCCACAATGCGTGCATCCGTACAAATATTACAGGCTTCGCTGGAAGAGTCGGAGGTGTCGAAGGTCGAGGAGGAGGCCGGCGATGCAAGTGGTTATCAGTGGTGCGCGTTCATAAGGTCATTTCCGTGCTGAGGTGACATGTCGTGTTGTTGTATCGTCGAAAGGTGTTGAGAAGAGTGATCCTGCATAAAAGCAGGCATCTGATTCATCGCAGCGTGTGCTGTCTGAGAGGCCTGTCCCATCAAGACGCCCATCCCTATATCAATGCCTGTGCTCTGGTGCGCGTGACGATGAGCGTGAGCCGCGGCCCTTGCTGCAGCAGCTTGCGACTTCTTGGAAGGGGTCTTGGCCGCAGCGTTGGAGATAGCGGTGGGGTCTCCTCCGCTGCGCTTCACCTTTTTGGCCCATCGAAGGCCGCAGGCATTGCAAAGGGTTTTGGGTCCCAGTGGTCCTTTTCGCCACTCAGGAGAATCGATCCGCCCGCAATCTGTGCACACATAGTCGCCCTCATCGCCTTTGGGTTTCTTCTGGGGACAGTAGCAACACGAAACCATTTTCGTCAGTGTAGCTCCCACGCAGCAAAATCTCTGCTTCTGAGCTTACCTTTTTCCTGCTGCCATCCTCTGTCCCGTCCAGATCGCCGTCGTCATCCTCCTCGCTTTCTTCAGCAACGCCTGTACCAGACGTCAAAGTGCGCTGCATGGTGGAAGAAGGTGTGTTGCCAATCGTGTTCGATCCCAGCGGAGGGCTGGTAGGCTGAGACTTGTGACTAGCAAGATCGCTTCCGCTCTCTCTCCGCCAAGCTGCGCCGTTCATCGAGCTGGCGCTCTCGCGCCTGTGGTCCGCCGCAGCTTCAAGTTCCGCTTTGTAGAAGAAGTCGGGATGATACGCAGCATCGTCCAAAGAAGCGCGGCCTTGGGATTGCCCATCGGTCCCACTCTTGCGCTCATCGAGGTGCCCATCACTTGCGTTGTACCGCGAAGACGATCGCCGCGCCATGCGTTCCCCGTCTTTGAGATCCATGTCTGCTAGCAAGAGACGCAACCGCTCATTCTCCAACTTGAGCTCCAAGAACGAGTCCAACATCGCCACGTTCTTGGTGGGATAGACTCTGGCAGAGCAGAAATAGTGCTTGACTTTGCTGGAGCTGGACGGGGACTCCTGCACGCCATCGCCGGCCTTTTTCCCTTCGTTCGTCTCAGACATGGCGCCGTCCCCGCCTGCATTGTCTGTGAGCATCTTGTCAATCTCGTCGTGATCAAGCTCGCCATTGGCATCAAGTTGCAGAGGTTTCGGAGGAACATACGCATGTCCGGTGGTCTCAAAAACCTCCCAGTGTTCCTCGGTATCGTCTTCATCAGGGCTACCAGTATTCGATGCGCCTCTTCGTGCTCGATTTGGCCCGCGTTGTGAACCAGGCTCTGCAGAGGATGAATCGCCTTGGGAATCTACACCTGATGTTGACGGCGAGTCACCCGCAGCTGTGGCGAGCTCGATGTCCGCGCGCTTCTGGCGCTTGTCGGCTGCCGTCTGGGGTTTCCGCCGAAAACGGTAGTAGCACGTCATGTCCGCCTTCTCCGTCGACATGCGGGCAAATTCACGCTTGACGTCCTCAACGTCTTCAGGGTGGACGTACTGGTGACGCGAATGGAGCAGCAAGTCAGCGTTGTCCAACTCCATCTGAGCATTTGCAGACGCGGACTCACATTCCAAAGAGGCATGCCGCGCAGCTCTTCGGCACGCCATCCAGTCATTTGAAAGATGCCAGGTGTCGCGTACAGAAATCTGGCCTCATCGTCGAGCACATGGACCATGTCGAGCAACTCCTCAACGACTCTTGCGCTCCAACCCTTCCTACGAGTGAAGTCGCTGGCTGCATTGTGGCCGATAGAGGCTCGATCGGGGCCTCTCAATACCTGCGAGCCCAACCCTGGCGGATGAGACGCAGCGTGGCCTTGGATCGAAGGATGCGCAGGTCCTCCTATCGAACCCGACGTATTCAGCACGGGCCGAGAGGCGGAGCCTAGCCACGACGGTGTGTTCTGAGTAGCAAAGCTGGTGGAGCGTGAGAAGGCATTGTGAGGGGAAATGTTGCTCAGGTCGCCTGGATGGGCATCCATTGCATTGTCTCCTCTTGCCGGACTCCCATGACTTGTCTTAGAGGTGAGCATTGGACCCCCACCGCCATGTACGTCACCGCTGTACACCCTCCTGTGGCGGGCCAGAGCTGCGTGCGAGGACTCGGCTGCAGTGGCGGCTGCAGAAGCAGAAGCCGCGAGAGAACGCGCTGTCGCTGGGGTAATGGGGCTTTTTTGCTGATCTTGGCTCACTACCTGAGAGCTTCGCTGACTTGGCGGGGCTGTCAATTGCGGCGGTCCCATGGATCCAACGTAGTCGGAGGGAGGCAAGCGAGCGGATGCGGGCTGATGTGGGAGACCAGCGTGATTGCTAGAAGCATTGGAAGAGGAATTGATTCCAGATCCACCGAAAGTCATTCGTCGTCTCTTGCCTGAGCCGTCATCGCCGCTCGACGTGCCACCTGGCGTTGCCGATGAGGAAAGGTTACTGCCATCTCCATCGTAGCCTCCACTCTGCATGGCAGATGGACCGAGACCCAAGGGAGGTCGGGATCTTGAAGAGCCTGATGTTCCGGATGCGACGTCATCGATTCGCTGTTGTTGCTGTTGCTGTTGCTGTTGCTGCTGCACTTGCATGATCTGCAGCTGCATCTGCTGTTGCTGAAGCATTTGGAGCTGCTGCTGCTGCTGCTGCTGCTGCTGCTGTTGTTGTAGCGCAATCCCACCACTCCTCGTTGCATCGTCTCCACCGCCTGTGCCACGAGCCCAGTGAGGCTCAGTGCCCAAGCCGATCTGCCCATAAACCGCTGCCGCTGCATTCCCCTCAAGCTGTCCGGCAAAGGGGTTGCGAGATCCGATCGTGTAGCCGGAGCCCGCTGTCACCGGCTGTCGAATTGCGCCAGTGCCGGAAGACTCGCTTTGATTCATGTAGGCAGCGACCAAAGCATCCAGCTCAGCGTTCTTGAACGGCACCTGTCCGCTCATTCCAGCGGCTGCCGAGTTGGCTCCGGTACCAAACGAGCGCATGCCTCCGTTGCTGAGACCCGCATCGAGGGACTGAGAGCCGAGAGCAAAGCTTGGTCCGCTGGCTGATGGTCCAAATTGCTGCTGCTGCTGCTGCGAGTGAGACTGCTGCTGAGGAGACTGCTGCATCCGCTGCTGCAATTGGGAATATTGCGCTGCGCTTTGGTATGGGAAGCTCACACTCGAGGCTGATGGTGACTGAAATGCTTGTTGCTGAGGATCGTTGCCTGGCTGAGGCGTACCAGGTGGTTGGCCAAAGTGGCCGAGGAAAGGGCCAACCCTCTGCTGATGACCTTGATCGCTGTGCCTTTGTTGCTGCTGGAGCTGAATGGATTGCTGTTGGATCTGGCGTTGCTGCATCGCCATTTGGGCTTGCATCTCTGCTATTTGCTGCTGCACCCTCTGGGACTGGTCGTTGGAGAAATCGGTGTCACCCGACTTTCGGTGAGAGGTCGTCTTGAGCTGCTTTGAGTGCCCAATGTCGGCTGAAGGCTCCTTTTTGGGCTTCATCGTATGCTCGAGACTTGCTCCTTTGGTGGGTCGAGCTTGGCCAGCTTTTGACGCTCGAGCTGCTCTCACAGGTCGGCGCGATTGCCGTTTATCTCGCAAATTGTGACGTCGAAATCGCTGTATTTAGCGGCACCACGCCTCAACCTCTTCTGACCTCTGATCCGCACTAGCCGATGGGAATACTGACGCCGTAGAGCTTACCCCACGCGCCCAACGACTCTCTAGTCTGTTGTGCTGCACCGAGCTCGAGCCTTCTACGCGGACACCAATGTACGCCGCGGAGGTGAAGCGTAGACGCGGACAAGGCGTCGCGATGCCAATCGGCGATTGGGCATGCGAATCACAGGCGTTGGGAGCCGTGCGCTTGATGGCCACCTCTAGTGCAAAAGTGGGACAGGTAGGTATGTACCGGTACAGAGAGCGCAGAATCGATGAAGCAGGGCAGCTTCAGGATCGGACTTGGAATCGTATCTCAGAGGCTGACCGCGCTGTAGCAGGATAGGTAGCAATGATGCTATGTATGCTGAGTACCGCAGTGCTGTGTCGGGCTACCAGGCCGAAAATTGCGATGTTGACTGATTGCCAATCGTTTGCCGTGAATCTGACTGAAGAAATCGAGCAGATAGGCGATGAACGCGCCGGAGACATGTGAGTCACACTCGTAATGGCGAGATTCAGAGGTGCGAGTAAGGGTCACGAGTGGGATGAAGAAGGGGCCTCGGAACGATGACATGAGGCGGCGGTCGATGGGAGTAGGGGTCCAAGCTGATTGTCATGGCGGTCGACCAGCGCAAAAGAAGACCACGCATCAGCAGCAGCATATACCTCCTGCGCATAGAAAGGACGCGCGAGGCATGCAAATTCATGCCCTCCATCCATGCACCAAGCACGCAGCACGCAGCACGTACGCAGCAGCAGCGGCGGCGGCGCGGCCTCTGGCGTCAACTCGATCGTGACTTCTCCTCGATCCTTGTCTGCTTGCTTGCTTTGCCTTAGCTGCTGCTGCTTCTCATCGCTGTGTGCATGATCGCTGTGGCTGTCCAACGTATACAATCATGAATTACGAATGCCTACACCTATCCCCACAGTTTGAGTCACACAGGCAGTCGCGAAATGCGCCGCTCATCTGCTGCGGCCCCCGCGAGTGACATGCGTGCCTATAAACCACTTACTATTGTGACTTGTTGATTCCTATCTACAGTCATTTGTGTAACGAAACGTGTGCACAGAACCCCGCGTCATGCACCGCACAGCAGAGACAATCACATGTGTGGATATGGATACATGGTAGCGATAAGGAAGACATCCCTCGGATGCGGACGGGGACGCGGATGCGCAACGAGCAGCAGCGCCAGGCACTTCAAAAGCTCCGTACCTGCTGCACTCACTACTTTTGCACCTACAACAGTTGTGAGCACCACTCACTTGTTCTCCTGCTGGGACTACTGTGCTTTGACTGCTGATGCTGCTGCTGCTGCTGCTGCTACCATACCACATACCCGCGACAGAAAGCGCAGCTGGCAGGCTTCCATGCAATCTCGAAAGAGGGAAAAGTCCTAGCGCGGCTCTTTGTTGCACCGCTGCATCGCCCGGCTGCTTGATGAACTGCACGTCCAGGGTTCTCGTGACATGAACATGGAAGTGTCAGGGTCCACAGAGAAGATGCGTGATGTGCATGCATCAGCATGCATCCGCTTGTCAAATCCCCCCTTCCCACCACAACAGCTCAACTCCCCGGTTCAGCTGTCGCGAACGCCTCTCCCAACGCTCATGATCTCCCATAGTAAATCACGAATCGTGAACGTCGAGTGCTGCTTCTCGCATCTTGTACCAGTCAAGAGCGGCGTTTTGAAGGTGCGGCACTCGTCAGCCACGAGCTGGCCGCCATCAGCCCATCTCTTCCGTGACCTTTTGCAATTTGCAAAGAATGCGCCTTTCGCGCTCCAGCCGTACCTGCCTTCCTTCCTTCCTTCTATGCAATGCTTACCAAATCCGGGCGGCAGGCTAGTTGCTGCTAGCAGGGCATGCGTGTGCTTCCACTGTCACTGTACGGTGTTGCTCCGACCGTGCATAGCCGCGCTCCTTGACAACTGATGCAAGGTGGCCAGCAAGGCGGTGATGGCGCGCGGGCCCGCCTTACCTTATTGCCGAGCAGGAGAAGGCCTTTTTCTCTTGGCCGACCGCACCGGTACATGAAGTGCGCGCGAGTCATTTGATGATCCCGCTTGGCTCTGCTGCATGCTGCAATCACAATCAAAATTGTAAATGATAAAATATGAGATGTAAGTGAACATTCGTGATCCTGAGTGAGCTTTGCGATGATGAGAATCAAAAGAATAATATGATGAGAATCAAGAATAAAGAGCAAGCCGCCACGAAGCTCAGCTGGACTAGCATATGCAACGGCATTGTTTTAAATTATACGCACTCACGTTTATTCTTGATTTGCTGGGTCTCACGCACCTGTCGGAGTCCGGCGGGGTGCAGCTACACTCACGACTTGACAGGCGTCGGTCGACGCGACGATGAGCTAGCTGCACCCTAGCCACCGGTATAGCAATCAAGAATTAGCATCAACAGCACGCGCAAGACGCACGCGACAATTTCTGAAGGAATCTCGGTCAGTCTGATGGTGGGTCAAGGTCGTCGACGCAAGACCCCAAACACAATTTAGCTCTGCTAAGTGCCCGCGATTGCTGCTCAAGGCCCTGTGCGCGCAAATCAATAATTGTATTCACGATTTGACTACACGTACGCGTATGACCCGGCACCTCGATCGCGTCTGGCACGTGTGACGCGCCTTATTCATGATGTTGGGCAAGTCACGTGTCTTGATTTTGGAGCCACGTCGGTTGATCACGTGAAATCCTTCCCTGCATCCGCTCAGCCTGAACCGCTTCGGCTGATGAGCATCATGAAGCTTACCCAGGTTCGAGGCTACAGCTCATCAGGGCCGTCCACCTAGACCTTCCCCATGATTTCGACCAGCTGCACCACCTTCCTGACGTCTTCAGCACTCGCGGTCTCGTTTCAGCTCACCGCGAGTCGATGATAACCACTTTTGGAGCGCTGCGACCTTACTTTGAAAATTTGACGGTCCGGGACGCTGTCTAGCAGTGAGCGCACCACTAAGCGCCATTGCAGGTCGCACGTCGACTTTGCGGCCAGCATTCCGAGACCGTCCTACCAGAAAAAAAGGAAACATCATGCCGCGAGCACTACCGACAGCTCCACTGACGGCCGCAAGGCTTGCAGCTTACGGAGCTGTCTCCACTGCGGCCTTTGGACTGGTGGTGCTCCACGCCTTCCTTTCCAGACCCAACTTCTACTCGGCTGGCGTACTGCTAGCAAGGTCCAATGGCAGCATGCTGGTGTTGCTCAATTTTGGCATCTTCTGTGCGCTGATACTGGGAAAATGCGCACAAAAGGCATTCTTTGGTCAACTGAGGGCCGTCGAGATCGAGGTGGGCAAGCTATTGGCTGAGCGTACCCTTATCGACTCGATACTTACACCCGTCGCTCCTCTTGTTTGACAGCACCTCTACGAGCGCAGCTGGTACGCGGTCACGGAAGGACTGCTTGCGATGACAATCTTCAGAGATTCCTTCGACGCTAGCTTTGTGCTGCTCTTTGGTACTCTGCTGTTTTTAAAGGTCTTTCACTGGTTGTGCGAAGATCGAGTCGACTTTGTGAGTAAGGGTGCCTTCTGCGATGTGAATCGGTCATGTCAGCCTTGTAGCGCACCTACTGAACACATGGCGTCCTGCCTCGACCACCTGCGCGGACTAGATGGAGCAAGCACCCTCGCTTTCGAGGCTCTTTCACGTTCGCATGGTATGCGTCTTGTGGACACTCCTCTGCTTGGACATTTTCTTGGTGGCTTTCGCATGCGAAATCATCTTGCTGCACAAACAGCAGGTTGGCGTCATGATCTTGTTCGCAAGCGAGGTGAGCTGAGGAATGGTGCCCGTGATGAGAGTCCTGGTGGTGCGAGAATCTTGCTCACGATCCCCATTGACGTACACCGCAGTTCATGATTCTCACCGCTGGATTGCTGCGGACTACGGCAAAGTACATTATAAACTGTCACGACCTGCGCCATGCCGAACCATGGGAGGGCAAGAGCATGTACGTCTTCTTTGTGGACCTTGCAACAGGTGAGCACATCGTCGGAGCCTTTCAGCGCGAGCAGCACTAATGCGTCACTTTGCCTGCAGACTTCATGAAGCTCTTGATCTATCTCGGCTTTTTCCTGCTCATCTTGACATACTACGGTTTTCCACTCAACATGGTGCGTGACGTCTTCCTCACAGCCAGGAGCTTCTTTTCGCGCGTCAGGCACTTCTTCCGATACCGTGCTGCCACTCGCAACATGGAGTCTCGCTTCCCGAACGCCAGCGCGGCAGAGCTCAACGCGACAGACAAGACGTGCATCATTTGCAGAGAAGAAATGTCCGAAGGATTGGCAGCTACGGCCAGTGACGATGGCGCAGCGGGAGCTGGTGCCACGGCTCAAGCTGAGCAACCACGTCCGCGCGGGCCAAATGAGACACCTAAGAAGCTGCCGTGTGGGCACATCTTCCACTTTCATTGCCTCCGATCCTGGCTTGAGCGGCAACAAGCTTGTCCGACCTGCCGTCGAACAGTCTTCACCGAAGGTCAAAGGGAGGCCTCGACAAATCGTCCAGCAGCGGGCGCAGCACCAGCACCAGCACCGGCTCCGCTCGAAGCACAGAACCGCCCGAGACCTCTAGCTGCACCCGGCCAAGCTGGTCAGCCACCGCCAACAGGCACGAACCAGCCCGCTTCTGGTCGGCCTTCGCGAACCCAAGTAGAATCTCAGCGCCTTTCATTGCGCGACTACCTTGAGCAACTTGCAGCGGACACGCGACAGGTCAGACAGAGTGCTGATGAGCAAGCTGCAAGAGCTGCCCAAGTCGGTGCGGCGACGACAGCTTTCCCCCCGCGCACTGACGTCGCAGGAGTTAGCGCCACTCCCTCAAGCTCGAGCGCCGCTCCCGCTCGACGTACAGAGCCTGGACCGTATTCCACGCTGTCCTCTGTGCCAAATTCAAATATTCTCCTGCAGCCAGACCCCTTCGCGTCTTGGCATTCAGCAACGAGGTCTGTGCCGCCGAGATCTCCAACAGACAATCAACAATGGAGTGGTGAGACTCCACAGCTTGGCGCAGTCTGGACACTTCGCGGACAAGCGCCAGTTGCCGAGCACGCTTCATCAACGTACGATGGTCTGCCGCCTCCTCCCTGGGCTGCGCGCCGAGGACCAGCTGGGTCGTCCGCAGAGCAACACGACCCCCAAGCCTCGAGATCGACCAGGTCAAAAGTTCCCTCTCCCAAAGCTTCTACGTCCACGTCTGCCGCGCAAAGTGGCTCAGCGCCGACGTCAGCCTCCGGCGCCATTGCACAGAATGGAACGGCGGCGAGGCACGAGGTATCTCCGAGCATGGAACGAAGTTCTCCCCCCGAGGCAGACGCGCAGGAGACAGCGTCATCCGATCCTGCCAATGCTCGTGAAGCCGCACGAGCGGCGGCTCTCAAGCGATTCGCAGCTCTTTCCTCGGCTTCAACAGAGCCAAAGCCTCTTGTGGTCAGTGATACCGATGCACTCAGGCAACCAAGACCAGCCTCGCCACAGAGCACTGCCGTGGTCAACGGCGTCAGCGAAAGCATTGCCAGTGCTGAGTATGGAGGAAGAGATCTGGTTCCACTTTTTGATCCGCAGCAAATTCCCGACTTTGAGCAGCGATACGGACGACATTTGCCGTATCATCTATCTGTGCCCGAGCCGTCGGCAAACATTGCCGTGCGCCTCGCGCACGGTTTGATGAACATCGACTCATCCGGGTCTCGAGACAATCTTCCTTCTCTAAACAATCTCAGTCCCGAGCAACTCCAGCGCCTGTCACAAGACACCCGCGAGGGCCTAGAAGAGCGACTTAGAGTCTTGGCACAGGTGCAAGGCACGCTGTGGACTGCTGTCGATGAGCTCACCAAAGCGTTGAGCGTGCTTCCCGAAAGCGACAATGTGGCAGAGAGCACCGGCATAGCGCCCACACCTTCTGTGAGCTCCGTTGCTCGCACGGACGCGCCTGGTGACACCCAGCAAGCAGACGAGGACGCTAAGGGCAAGGCCCCAGCCGAGGGTGTCAATGCGCCTGCTCAGTGAAATAGCTAGAGCGCAATGGTCCCGAATGCCACGAACGACGGTCGTTGCCCCTGCGGCAATGTCGCAGGCGTCAGTCAGTCAATCATCATCCATTTACCCGTGAATGTTTTGGTCTGCGTATGCTTTAGACGCTCATAGACGCTCAATTTTTGACGAGCCATCGCCGACATTTTGCATGTACAGCTTGACGCTTCTTCTCGGGGTCATGACTATAGGTGCTGAGAGACTTCAACAAGGACTGCCGCTTGATCGGCTGCTGCGTGCAGAAGTTACGGCGAGCGGGCCGCGAAGATACGTGGCTGGCTGGCTTGCTTTCTAATACGTGCGATGCATGAGCGCGTGCGCGTGCGCGTGCGCACGCCAAGCGCCAAGCGCCAAGATTCCATTCCACGCGCAAGCCACATCGCACAGCTGCAGAAGAAGCAGATCTTGGCCTCCACACACACTCACACTCACGACGAAGACTGCCACGACGCGGCGAATGGCTCGTCGTGACTTGCGCGCATGCATGCATCCTCCATCCACATCACCTCGTTTGCAGCTGAGGTGTCGGAGTTGCTTCTCCTTCCGTCATGGGTTTCGCATCGTCACTCAAATCCCCTGCTTTTGCCAATCACAATCTTTTCGTGAATGCTGGGCCCCCCACGCTCCTGATTTCGCGCTACATGCGGCGAACGCACTTGCAATTTTGGTCGCTGCGGAGTCACCTTCTCTTTCTCCAGTTACGAGAAGAGCGGATTTGTTAGTCATGCTCAGTATCGGGAGCAGACGATTTCGCCGCCTTCAACGTCATCAGGCCAGAGAGTCGCTCGTACAAAACTCTCTTCCTGGTGAAAAGGTGCTCGTGACGGCAACGGATGGTTTTGCCTTCGGGCAAAGCATGCTTCTTGGCAGCACCGCTCGGTGTCTGACGCACAGTACCGGAGTCTAGTCGCAAGCACTTGCCTTCTCCGCAAAAATGCCCGAGCCTTGGCGCCCTCTCGGCATATTCAGAGACCTCCCAGTCTCCAACGCGCACTTGGGCCTCCAGCAGCTTTGTGCCTTCACAAGTCATGCGCACCATGACGCAGCGAAGGACCCTGACCAATCCCGCTCGTCAGGCGTTTGCACAGTCGTGAGTCTGTGTGAGGTGCCAAGCGCCCCGCATAATGAGTTAGACCGGTCTAGGTCAGGGACACTCTGCCGACCCACAATCACCGCCGGATACTTTCTCGCGATACCGATGGTGATCGGTCTCCGCAACTTAAAGGGGCTTGGTCCTCATCAAAGTGCTGAATGTCGCATCCCGCAAGCAACATCCGCGCCTCATTCTCTTTGACTTCATCGCCGACGCACAACGATTCGCAAGGATGACAGACCATCATACAGCTACGAAGGCTCACCCTGCGGAGGCTGGGCAGCAACTCTCCACCCAAGACTCGCCGGTATACGATTTTGCTTCTCAAGAAAAGAGGAACACCTTATCGAGCGAGCCAACGACAGTGGCGACCACACCACCCGCAGTGCTGAGCGATGATGAGAAGGCTCTCGATCAAGAGCGCGCTGGACAGCTTCACTCCCACGGCTGGTGGAGAAGCATCACACATGCGATGGGCAACCTGCCAGAGTACAATATCAAGAATGGCAAAAAGCTCGATGGCACAGCTCTTAACCTGAGCATCGGTATAATTGCCTCATCGGCCTTCCTGATGTTTGGCTACGACGTGAGTACAGATGGGGAACGCTCCTAGAGAGCTCTTTTCTTATTCACTCATTCTCTCATGCACAGCAAGGAGTCATGTCGGGTCTTTTGACGCTAAACGACTTTCAGCGAGACCTTCCATTGATGACGCCAGATACCGCTGCCAATGCACTCTGCGAAGAGCCCGGACAGTGCCAGGGCTCACCGTCTATCCAAGCGGCTGGCGTGGCAGTGTATCAAGTGGGATGTATGTTCGGTGCTCTTCTCGTCCTCTTCTATGGAGACGGTTGGGGTAGACGGTCCAGCACCTTTTGGGGCTCGCTCGTCATGATTCTTGGCACTATCTTTCAAGCAGCTCTCGGTGGGAACGCGGCGACGTCGTACGCTCTCTTTGTTCTAGGCAGAGTCATTGGCGGCATCGGTAATGGCGTTGTCACCAGCACTATCCCCACTTGGTGAGGTGTTTGCGCGGTCGCTTTGGCAAAACGTCCCTGCTGACCCGATGCTGTCCCCAGGCAATCGGAATGCGCAAAACCACATCAGCGAGGCATGTTGATTATGCTCAGTGGATGTTTGATTGCCGTCGGCATCGCCATCTCTTACTGGGTCAATTACGGCTTCTTTTTCCTGTGAGAGTTTGGGTGCTTGGCATCCCCTTTCAGCAATTTGTCGATACTAAGCATGTGCCTTGCATGCATCACAGTGAGGGCAGCGTTCGATGGCGCTTTCCAATCATGTTTCAATCATTCTTCACCATCATCGTCATGGTTGGCCTGCTTTGGCTTCCAGACAGCCCACGCTGGCTCATGATGCAGGGGCGAAGAGCTGAGGCAGTAGATGTCATCGCACGTCTTGCCGGCTCCTCTCCCGACGATGCAGAGGTGCGACAAGAGGTCAAGTCGGTGGAAGAAGCCATTCGCGTTCAAACTGCTGGCGGTGGGTTCAAGTACAGCGAGCTGCTAGATCGCGGACCCTCGCGCAACCTTCAACGCGCCACCATCGCCATCCTTGCTCAATTCGCTCAGCAGATTACGGGAATCAACGTCGTCACCTACTACCTAGCGCTTCTGCTGGAAGACTCGCTCGGCAGAAGCCAGCAGGAGAGCCGTCTGATCGCGGGAATCAACGGGACGGAATATGCGCTTGCAGCTCTCATTGCGCTGCCACTGGTGGAAAGGTCCGGACGCCGAAAGCTCATGCTGATCGGTCTCATCGGCATGTGTGCCTGCATGGCAGCCATCGCTGGCTGCGTATCCACCGGGACAGTCGTAGATGGCGTGCCTGAACTTGCGAATGGCCCGGGGATTGCAGCTGTAGCCATGTGAGTGTTGCGAAGAGTCCAAGCGTCACGAGTCGCGAGCGCAACGGCTGCCGAAAGCTTGTAGGAGTTTGGAGGGTGTGCACGCGGCGTGCACAGCACGTGAGTTGGCGCGGCCTATAGCTGACCACGCCGTCACCGCCACCCATGACAGGATCTTCCTCTACAATTCATTCTTCGCCGTTGGCTGGCTTGGTATGACGTGGCTGTACCCCGCCGAGATCTCGAACTTGAGGACAAGAATACAGGTCAATGCGCTGAGCACTTTGATGGTAGGTCACTCTAACCACGTGCTGCTCCTTCCGTCTTCGTCTCGTCCGAAAGCTCAAACCCTTTCTCCCCTCTTTCCCCCCGCTGCCTCCTTCCATTTCCCACCTCTCCTCACCATCGCTCCCTCCCTTTCATGCACGAAGAACTGGGCCAGTAACTTCCTCATCGTCATGATCACCCCTCCAATGCTGGCTTCTATTGGATACCAAACGTATATCGTATTTGCCGTCTTTAATGCGGCGCTCTTTCCGATGGTCTACTTTTTCTTCCCCGAGACCAAGGGCAGAACCCTGGAGGAATTGGGTGAGTGCGGTGCAAGAATGCGAAGAAGAGCGAATTCATCCTTCTCACCGGAGCATGCCATCCTCGCAGATGTCATGTTTGCAAGCGCGAAAGCCCTCAACAAGTCTGCAGTCAAGCACAGTCTGGAAATGCCAAGGCTGCTTGGCGAAGAGCTGGACAGGGAACTCAACAAATACTTTGAAAGTCCGGCGTCCGCTCGGCCAGATGAGGAGCACGGTTTTGCAGCGAGGTAGCGACGCTCACAGTCGTACTGCACCTGCTCTGATCTGCTCAAACTTGTGCACGTCCCATACCCACATTGTGGCGCATTCACGTATCCACAGGCGCACCTGTTCACACAGACGCATTCTTATTTATCAATGACTTTTTTCTGAGCGCTTGCTTCTGTACAAATCGATGAACTGACTGCACCTTGCCTATGAGCACTTATGGAGGGGTACAGACTGGTTGATCAGGAGGCGAGCTTGGGTTGATGAGGGTGTAGACGGTCTGTGACCCAGCAAAGAGCGTGCAAGCTATACCAAAAGCGAGAATAGCGTAGTCGAGGATCTTGTCCTTCCTAGACGTGGCGCACGCTCGAAGGTGAAGCAGCGGCGGATCTGGCCGAAAACATTCCGCAAGAATCAGCAAGATGCTTTCATTTCGCGCGACTTTCGACACTCACAAATGAAACACAATGGCACACATGCAACGCTGCCGATAAACGAGACAAAGACGTCAAGTGACGCGGAGCCTGCCCAGGCTGCAAAGCTACAGAGGACGACGGTGCTGCATCTAAAGACGTTCTTCCAGAATTTGATCTTCCAGCTTTTTGACATGCGGTGCGACTCGTCAGCCCCAACGCGATGACACTCTACAGACACCACCACTTACTTGTACTTGCCACTTTTGGCCGTGAAGATGCCTCGCTCCAAAATCGAGACGGCGGGGAACAGCTGGAGGGGCGTCGAGAGGAGAATGGCGACCGAGTACAAGAATTGCATCGCTTGCACGAACTTGCTGTTCTGCGGCAAGTTGGTAATGACGACAGTCTGAACCTTGCTGCCAAACGCCATGTAGGAAAGAGCACCAGAGGCGGTAAAGAGCACCATTGTACCAGCCATGACACCAGACAATGCGCGAGGGAATTTCTCTGGCTCCTTCATGCTCTCCGTGATGGGAATTACGAGACCGACTCCTTCAAAGGTAAACACTGCGGTGCCGATGAAGAGAGAAAAGGTCGAAGAGTTGAACTGGACGACATCCGCAACGCCCTTCTCGACGAGCTCAGTGATCTCGTACTTGAAGAGATAAATGATGCCGAAGAGGATAAAGACGTCTGCGACGAGGGCTGTTGAGCTCAGCTTGGCAATGCGTCGCACAAGACTGAGAGGCAAAAAGATCAAAGCTTGCGCCAAGATCAGCCAGACTGTCGGCACAAGTGTGCGGCAGTGGGTGACTGCCAAGACGAAGGCTTGCAAGTTCTGCGCCACAAAGACGGTGTATGCTGCGACAAAGCCAAATTGCGAGAAAACGATGGACGTTAGGATGGCCAACCTCATCTTGGGCCCATAGAGGATGCCTCCCATATCTCCGAAAGAAGCTGGGTACTTCAGGTTGGCCTTGACGAGGAGCAGGAAGGAGACCAGCGAGATCATGGCCACTGCGCACAGGACGATGGTCGAGAATAAGAGCCCGCCATTCATGAAGGCCTTCCCCAGGAAGAGGATTCCTGTGCCGACGAAGGACTTGAGCAGCATGAGCACCGCTTCCGTCTCTGTAGCTTCCCCTCGCGGGCGTCCACCTTCAGAACCCCGGCGAATGCGACTGTTCGATCTTTGCAGAGCTCGTCGAGACGCTCTTCTCGTTAGCAGAGCGGTGCGCTCGGTCGGCTCTCCATGGCTTCCACTTGGCCGACCGAGCTCCCTGGCCTCCTCTGCTCGTAGCTGTTCATCGTCGAGTTCATCGCCATCGTCGTCGTCTTCTTCATCGATGTCCTCCAAGTCTTCTCCTCCGTAGTGACCATAGAGTGCCAGGAAATCGATGAATGACCTCAGAGCGCGCGGGGGCGGGCGACCCTGCTCCCCAGCTTGTGTCAGCACGAAGAAGCGGCTAAAGAAAGGGATTGCGTCAGGGATCGATGCGAGCAGCTAGTCCACTTGATCGAAGCTCACCGGAAACCGCCGGGCTCTCGGATCGCCGAAGCGTCCAAATCAGGATCGATGGTGGAGGTGCGAGGCAGGTGCAGGCTCTCGCTCCTCGTCCTCTTTGCGCTCTGTCTGCGATTCTTGTGCGCCCACCTGTACACGTCGTCCGTGATTGCGCCTCCTTGCATCGTCGCCGGACCCAAATACTCTTCCGTATCCGTTTCATCTCCCGACGAGTAACCAGGAAAGCGTACCTGATGCGATGGGCCCGCTGCATCTGACGCAGCTGAGGCATCGGTAGTATTTGTATCGATACGCGGGAAACCCGAGGCATCGGGACGGACGAGACTACGCGGCAGGAGAGGCACAGAGCGTGCCAAGACAAGGTCAATCAAGCGAGTCATGCCAAGCCATCTACACGCTCTACTCACTGGCGATCGATGATCTTTGCTTTTTGCTCATCGCTGATGGGCAAGCTATCCAAGTCGGCAAGGTTGACCGGTGTTGTCTCGTTTTCCGACACTGCGGTGCTGTTGGGTCTGGATCCGTGCACGCTCGAGCTAGCTCTGCCTCCTCTGACAGTCACGCCTGACTCGGATTCGATCGGGTTGGTAAGCTCCGTCGCACCGAGACGAGGAGATTGAACATTGCTCGCCTCTCCTCTGGGCGGAATGTTTGGGATCACGGGTGATCGCGCCAGACCAAATGGAGCGTCTTGGTTGGCTGAAGATGATGACCTAGCGCGGAGGGCGACTGGTCTCGCTCCCGACGGGGCCGAGTCCGACGAGTCACCACCCGGACCAGACATGGCGCTTTGGCGGTTGAAACGGAAGGCACGAAAGGTGAAGGCGAGGGCTAGGGGGACTGCAGTAGCGAGGCACGCGCGATCGGGGCCAGTACAAGGCGAGCGATGGTGCTCGCAGGCAGTTGCGAGGCAGCAGGAATTCTGAGCGTGTGCCAAGGTGGAGATGAAGGGATGTCCATAGAAGGTGCGGTGCGACTTGAGCGTAAGGATAGTTCCTAGGCAATTTCGAAATTTCAAGGTTGGGTGGGCGGGGGCCAAGCGAACGCCATGTGCATGCTCCGCTGCCTCCATGCAGCAGCTGCGATGCTCGGCCCCTGCTCCTGCTGCGTCATGCCCCTCGCGATCTTGCCTAGATTTCAATTTCAGCGGCTTAATTGATTGCGCGCGCCGGCAGCGCGCGCAATTCACAAGATATTAAGAAAAAAGAGACGCATGACCGAAGGCACCTTCAGCTGACGTCTCTCCTGCCTCTCCATGCAGTTCACCCGTACCCGTACCCGTACCTACCTCTCCTCCGTATTTTCCTCAGACCAAACCGGCTTAGATCTGTCACATTCTTCAAGGCGGCTCCACCGTTGTCTGACCAAGCACACTATGTATATCCTCAGGCTTGAGACCTGCTCCTTTTCCGCACAAGACACTTACATGCGCCAAGACTCTGAGCCCTTTAGAGCTGACTTTTCATTGCGTCTGAGTCCTCATGTGTACATCTAGGGACTGTGGACGTCACGTGCTAGGACAAATTCGACCACAGTCAAAGTCTTCACGGAGTGGACTGTCCCTCATCGACCCGAGGCTTGCGTCGAGTGTCGCATTCTCGATATCCTTTTCGGGCGAAGCTGACCGGGATCAGTCTCTCCGGCTTCTTGACGCTCCATGTAACGCTTCTTGGCCCTGGAAATAGCCGAACTGGTTGGACCGCCCGGCTTCCAGAGTGTAGGATCCATGAGCCGAATGGCTGGTCCATGCTCCTGTTCGAGCTTCTTGACCATCTCTTCTTGTCGCTCAAACGTCGCTCGAGGTTGCGTAGGTCTTCCCTCTACTGTCCGCAGAAACTCCTCTGCTGACCTATGGCTTGGTGTTGATTTTGCCCAGTACTCTGGCCGCACAGATAGTGCTGCTTTGCCGTACTCCTTGAAGAGATGCTTCCTGACGGCATCTCCGAACGGCAATGAACCGTCACCGCGAGCCTGCTCGATCAGCTCGTTGAATCTCATTCTCGCAGGCGAAGGCGCTGGGCGTGAACGCTGGTAGCGAGGTCTGTCCGCCCACGCAACGCCTGTCTTCCTTTCCATGGCACGATGGCGCCTCACAGTACGCTCGCTTGGCGGCTTGCGTGCATACGCAGAGTCAGTGGAGGACGCTCCGTCTGCTTCCTTCCAGAGATCGGCGTACTTGTAAGCACGTTGTCCCGCTGGGATCCTGCCCTTGCTGCGCGCTGCACTTTGGGTATTAGATGCGCCCCGAGACGCGACATCTGGAGTACCGGATGAGGGCGGTGCCGATGTCTGTTGTGCGGAGGCGGCGCCTGGTGAGGACACTGGTGAGTGCTGAAAAGTGAATGAGCGGCAGCCAAAGCAGCAATGTTGGAGGGGCATTGCTATACTGTGTCAGACAGGTGTGGCTTAACCAATAGCAGGCTAGACTCACGCTGATACGTCCAGGGCTGTGAATCACATGCGTGATAGCGTCATGATCAAATATCTGACAGGTGCAACAGTTAGCGGAGTGCGAAACAGACGAAGATGAATGGAATTGCGAAGAGCCCCTCACTTGATGGTGACCGTCGTGTTCTGCATGTTCCAGCGCGCCTAAAGCCAGGTCGTGGGCGTGCCACTGAGAGATGGTGCTCAGAATGATGTTCATTGCAGCGCTTGGCGTGCGCAACTCACGTGGTATCCACCTAGCGGACTCTGGAGCAGGTCGGTGAAGCTGTGGTGTTCGACCTGAACGCTGACGATGTTTGAGCCAGCAATCTTTGTGCGGAGCCTATGCGAGGCGGAAGACTCACGCTGCTCCCATGATATTGACTTGGACTCGGCACTCGAAGGTCATCGTTAAAGCTCTGCTTGGCGTTCTCTTGATTACTTGAGCTTACGTCGAACGCACCTGCCGGAGACTCGAGACTCACATGAAGTGTGTCACCGCTATGTGTGGTGATCTGTGGCGCTCCTTGCTGCTCAGGACGAGGGCTATGACTGGCTTCTGCCCTGTAATGGGGCAGGTGGGCTGTGACTTGACGTGCTGCACCGAACACTCGTTCAAGCTCATCGCCGAGAGGTCGCCTTCTGACAAGAGCAGCATCGAGTCCTGACATTGGTGCTGTCGCGGGACCCGGAAGCTTGGAAAGAGGCGTAAATCCGCCTTGTCCATGTCGAGGCTGAGCTGCCCAGACTAGCGAGAACGCAAGAACGACCAAGGCCACGCTACCTTGCCGCATGGCGTATATTGCATTCGACAGGCTGAGCGCTTGCGCGAGAGATGTCCAACGTTGATCAAAAAAAGCGATTGTATGCAGGGCGGGGCTTCGCCGCTCTTCCGCGCAGCGTCGCGTCTAGAGACGTGTAGCGAGTAGTGCCTATACCGGTACTACTACTGATGCCTAGGTGACTTTCAGACGCGCTGAGGCAAGTGGACTGATTTGTGAGAACAAGCTAGCAAGGGTTTCTGGACGGGAGAAAGTGCTCAACGGGGCAAGCAACGAGGGAGCCCCTTCCGGACGCTTCGCACAAGCTAGATATGAGCGCACGAGAGGCTTGAACAACATGCTAGAGTGCTATCCTACCTTTGATCTCGCAAACTGGCGAATTGGTGGCAAGAGGATTGCGTCCACGGCGCAGTGGGAAGCCCGCAAGAGGCGCGCCGAGTTTGCAATTCTGGCCGCTTCTGCGCATTCGTGCAGGCAAAATGGCTCTTCGGTGGCGAGGAGGCAGGCAACATCTGGTAGTCATTGGGAAGACGCTTGAGAGGCTGAAGCGCTAGCATTCATCTCGAGAGCGCCACATGGGTGGCAAGCACCTGTCGTGACGGCGAATTGTGTCACCTTGCTGACGATCGGAGTGCAAGCTCCGAGAGCACTCCCCGTACACGATCGGCAAGGTGAAAGAGGCCACCAAATATGACAGAGTCCTGCAATTGGATACACTCGACGCGATGCCAATGACGCGGTTGTTGAATGGTGCAATCTGGCGGTGAGTGAGCGGAGAAATTTTCTGCTCACGGCTCGCGCATCACCGCCACCTCCTTGACGGTCAAAAAGTGACGCCACGATTGTGTGGCGTGCCAGAGGGTCTTGTGAGGAGGTATTGTCGCATGCACGTTCTTTCGAGTTTCACTGACTTGTAGTGATGTGAATGATGAGGGTTATCGCGGTGGCCTGCAAAGGCGATGGCCAGCTGAAGCTGAGGATGCTATGCCCGCCACTAACGGCAAGCCAGTACTTCAAGTCAAAATTGTCGCACGACGACAGCGTACTTCTCCATCTGAGCGACCGCAGGCGCTTACCATGTGTCAGCAAGAGCGCCTTACGAGTCCAAGATTGTTCGCGATTGCTTGACAGAACAGGCTTTGCTATCCTATCATGCGCCTTTGCTGCGACTTTGCGGTCAATGATGAAACGGCAAGCCAAAGTTTCTTGCTGTATCAAATGCCGCGCCAAGTTGAGTGCGAAGAGTAGCCTATCAAAATGCGGTATTTGACAAGCTCCTCGGTGTCGCGTCTAGAAGTCGTTGAATCGCGCATATTTCATCCAATTTGATGGCGATGATCCAGCGGATCTCTTGAAGAACACTGCGAGCAAGGATCGCACTCCTAGCGCAAAGCTCGCAGGATTGAAGTCGGGCTTGAACTTGAGACGCGCTTTGTGATCAGGTCCCAAAGTATGAACGGTCGTCAAAGGGCGCAGTCGATGGCAAAGTTGTTAGGCACCTTGTGGTGAAATGGTGAATACGTCGCAAGTTCTCAGCGGCTGTTCAGGCACGCAACGGTTTAGTCTTGAGTGTGCGCAGTCTTCTCGTGGCTTGCCATGCGACCAAGGCATAGTGGACGAGCAACTGCGCTCATCGGAGTGCCTGACTCTTAAGCCAAAAAGCTTGCACCCGAGTATGCTGGACGCTTCAATGATCACGGAAGCGCCGTCGGCAAAGCTTACTACAAGATTTGACGGCTAATTTGCCTTGTGAGAAGCGCGTGATTGTCACAAGGTTGATTTGATATGCTGGTTGCTGTTCGTGCGGACATATCCGGCACGGCGACCAGAGTCGCGTCCGTGAACGCGGTCAGTGGTAGCGTTGTCGAGAGGCGGGGTCTAGGACGTGATGGTGATTGCGTCCTGCCTGCTCTTCGGTGCCACGTATCGCGCCTTGTCGCTTGGGCCTTGTATGCCGTCACATACGTCAGAGGCTAGGCAGAGCCTATGGCAGAAGACGCTGAAGACTAGACGGCACCAATGGCACGTATACAAGGGCGCTTGCCCGCGATTCGATAATTGCAGACCGCAATTCTTGATTGCAGACTCACAATCCATGCAAATCTTGATCAGTGAAGTGCCGCCAGTGATGACCGCACTCTAATTCTGCAGACTCTTGACCGCCGCCGAGTCGATCTGCCTCGGCCCGTATGATGTAAATCATACCCATCGCGGTGGATCGCCTCCTGAGCAGCCAAGACCGCACCTGTATGATATATCGGTACAAACGGTCGCCAACAAGAACCTTGAATGGTGAAGACTCGTAACTGATGTGTTTGCCTCACCGCTGTTGCCTACCCAACTCTTCAATAAGTATCCTGATTGCTCAATGCTCATGCAGAGAATGCCTTGATCTGAATTCAAGTGGCCAGCCACGGGTAAGTGAGGCGCCGAGATATATGATGCTGTGATGTGGATGATGATGTTCGCAACCTTTTGCATGGAATCAACATGACACGGCGCCTATACACGAATCGTGAATGTCGACCTGGGCAACATCAGCCGCGCGCCATGCACTTGTGATTTCAGTGATTGGGGGCCGGTTCGTCGGAGCTTGACAGCGATGCAGCAGCATGCACCATGTGCTGCATCGTGCATGCAGCAGCAGCGAAGCCCGTCGTTCACGACTCTTGATTCTGTACCGCATGACGGCGCGAGGGCTGTGCCTCCGAAGGACTTGGTGAGGACTTGCTGATGCATGATGTATGTTGCGCCCCCTGGCGTACATGCATGCTTTACTGCAGCCGCGAGCTTGAGACCCATGCAGCAGTCAGCTCATGGCAAACATGCTGGCCCTTGCGGGATGGGGGGCCGTGGAAAGGCTGCTGCTGCATGGGCTCATCCTTGAAGACTCACGACTGATCAAGGAGCTATGGATAGCGTGTTAGCTCGGTGTCATGCACAGGACCTGGCTCGCTCATCGCTCGCCTCTTGCATGATTGATGGCGCGGTGCTGACCCGCGTCGAGGCAGAACCCTTCCATTGACACTGACGCAGCGCCCAGCAAACGGCGGGAATGACTTGACTGCGCTCATGCGATCGAGAGACAAAGTTCGCAAAAGGTGCCTTTGCGAGTGTCGCCGCGGGGCCTTTGCAGCAATTGTCTGCTCTATATAGTGTGACTGGATAGGATGCAGGCATATATATACATTGCTTTCCTTGACTCCCACCTCGATCCCCATGCATCAATTTGCTCTGCTCTTGTCGCTTTCGACTGTTCTTGTCCTTCATCCGTTCGCCCTCACCCCAACACAGTTTCCAGCCCAATTGCGCAGAATCGTCAGGTAGATCCAACCAGCGGTAGACAGACTCTCGCACCTCCGCCCCTCTCCCATCAGCACGCACTTCTTTCGATTCAAATACCGGTCAGGATCGGTTCTAAGCCATCATCTCCCCTCTGAACATCCAAGCGCTTCAAGCAGCAGCTCCCCCCGCCTCCCGCTTTCCCAACAGCATCTCATTACCACCACTCGTCCCTGCTCACAGAACTCTCCACGATGCGTTTCCACATGGCTTCCGTCCTGGCGCTCTGCCTCACCACGTTCATCGCATCCACCGTGGCCGACACTACTCAGTTCGTCTCGCAAAATGCCGCAGCTCGCGCTGCTGTAGCTGCACGTGATGCTAGCGCACTCCTCGCTCGCGGGCACCATGCGCATCCCCACGCCCGTTCCCTCACACTGGCAGAAGGTCGCAAGTTCCGTGTCCGTCGTTCTACTGCAGCTCAGCGCGAGGCTCAAGCCAAGCTGAATGCGTACGCTGAGAACCAAGCAGCTATCAACACCAAGGTGAGAAGCGTGCCGTACGCCTACCGCTCATAAAGCCGAGGCCTTCTGACTCACGCTCCTCTGATCGGCACCCACAGTGGCAAGCTGCAGCGATGGAGTCTCTCAAAAAGGGCGAAACCCCTCAGACCTTCGAGCAGTTCGCTGCTCAAGATGACGGATCAGCCGACGACAGCTCAGATGACGCGTCCGATGAGTCGTCTGACGACAATGACGACGACCAGAAAGCTACGCCCAAAACGAAGCCCATTCAGGAAAAGGCTTCCGATTCAAAGCCCGCTCAGGACACAAAGCCCAAGCAGCAAAAGAGCCAGGACACAAAGCCCGAACAGCATCAACAACAACAACAGCAACAGGTCCAAAAGCCCAAGGCTAGTCCGACAACTCACACCGAGACGCATGCCTCGTCCAGCTCCGAATCAACCTCAACTGGCCAAGCAGGCGCCGGCTCAGGCAAACAATATTCTGGTGATGGTGAGTCTGGACCAATCTTCGTTGGCGCGCAGTGTGCTGACTGACACTCTTTGCGCCGTTCCATTTAGGTACCTTCTATGCCACTGGTCTTGGCGCTTGCGGCTGGACAAACAAGGACAGCGACTACATCGTTGCCGTCTCTCAAGACCTCTACAACACGTTCGGCTTGTCCAACGATTCAAAGGTCTGTGGCCGCAAGATCACTGCGCACCGCGGCAGCAAATCAGTCACCGTCACTGTCAGCGACGCTTGCCCTGGCTGTGCCTGGGGATCGCTCGACTTCAGCCCCGCCGCGTTCAAGGCCCTTGGAACTGAAGACGAAGGTCGCATTCCCATCACCTGGACCTTTGCCTAGGCTGTATGCGGCCTTGGACCAGCATCTACTCAACTCTACGGGCAAGCGACGCTAGTCGTTGACCTTGTCAAGAGGAGCGAACCGGGTGTTCGCTAGGTGGTGCGGGCGCTTGCGTCCGCGGTCCAACTGCCCAGATCTGTATCATATCCATGGCTACTCTGTTCCCTGGCTCTTTGTCTCCGTCTCGTCATCTCAGCGACCGGCTCTTCCCGCTACAAGCATCCACTCGCGTCCCCTGCACGCATCGCACGCCGTTACGATCATCCGGCTTCTCATTCTCTACTGTTCCCGCACGACCCGTCTCGACTCGCACGTCTTCACTGCAGAGCTTTTCTGGCAAATTGCTCAGTCGTCTGTTCGACGCATTCAACAAGACCCTCGACGGCACTCTTGTAGTACTCTCCTGGTCCTCGATGGCATCGCTTCGCCCTTTCCTTCGTCCCGTTCCTGGCCAGGCTTGCCGTTGTACTCGTGTATCTCTACCTTCGCAGGTCGATCGCAGATTGTACTCTAGTTTCCGCGCTCCTTTCCTAGACTTTGCCAAGGGGGCCTTCATAGCAATCGATGAGAGGTGGACGCAGCCAGGCGCTGCGTTCGATGTGTCGACCACAAGAACAGCGACCTGCGGACGATGTGGGCTCTACGCGAATGTGGACGTTGCCACGTCGTCTGCCGTCTGCGAGTCATTGCAAGTTGTGCGATAAATCTGAAGATGAAAAGGAGTCCCTGGCGCTGCTGGATTCGTGATTCTGCGGCCGCTGCGGCTCTCTTTCGAGTCTCGTAAAGTAGGTATGGGACCTGAAAGCGAGGCAGATTCTGTCGCGTGATGGGCCGGCGGAGCAAAATGCGGCGTCGTCGACTGTGGCGCCGCGAGAAATGTGAACGTGAGAGGGCAAACGTGGAGGGTGTGCGTGCAGCAGCAGAGCTCTTTCCACTCCACCATCATATAACAGGAAAGACTGAACGGCTAACAAGCTCGACCAAAAGCAACTTTGAATACGTGATCGACCTGTACTGCTAACGATGACGAGCGCAAAATCTCGGTAAGTATCCTTCTGCCCAAGGAGGACCCGTCTCACAAGACGATGTCTAAACGTGCCAGCACATGCTTATAGACGCTGATGAGCGCATCACCCACGCGTCGATACCAGGCACGATTACTACCAAACGGACCAGGTCGTGCACCTGTCCATCTATGCGAAAGGCTTGACGAGGCCAGAAGTCAGCGTCAAGATCGAGAGCCATGCTTTGAATGTGCAGATCCGGCCTTCTGACACGCAGAAGGATGCAAATGAGCTCGTCATTGATCCACTGTTTGCGGAGGTGGATGGCGAAAAGTCGACGTTCGATGTCAAGGCCAGCAAGATTGAGGTGCACTTGGTCAAGAAGGCGAGCGGACAGTGGTCCGCCTTGCAAGGCACCTCGACCAGCCCCTCCGGCTCTTCTCCCAGTCGTAAGCATCTACGCACTTCGTTGCATTTTCGTGTCTTTCTCCGCGCGTCTCTGATCATTTTGGCCGCTTTCGAATGTGGATGCAGAGGCCACTGTCACAGCGCCACAGAATTTCGCAGCTTCATCAACGTCGGGTATCAAGGCACGTCGATCCAAATGGGACTCATTCACCGACGACGCAGACGAACCATCTCAAAGCCAACAAGGGTCAACATCTGACGACAAGACTTCCACAAAGGAAGGAGGCCAAGATGGCAATATTGACGCATTCTTTCAAAAGCTCTATGCCGATGCCGACGACGATACGAGAAGAGCCATGCAGAAGAGCTTTGTGGAGAGCGGAGGTACGGCTTTGAGCACAAATTGGAAAGATGTGGGAACGAAAAAAGTGGATGTCGTCCCTCCAAAAGGAGTAGAGGCGCGTAAATACGAGCAATGAATGACGTTGGACTGCTCGACGACGCCTTTACATGGGCGAGAAAGACACTACGTCACGAGAATCTCGAGCATACCGAAGTTCGACGACGATGGTATTGCCGTCGGCAGTGCTGCCCTGAGTCTCCAAGGTCACCTCCTGTTAGCCAAATTGGCAACTTCCTCCTCCGACAGCCCTTCCAGCCTGTAGCAACAAGCAAACCATCAGCATCTTCACTGGGACCGCGGTGCCGTCCTCTACCAACTCGCTCACCTTTTCAACAGATAATCGACCTCGACCACCTTCGTCTCGGGGATGATGCGTTCCCTGTAAATCCTGACCACCTCCTCTGTGTCGATCTTTGCTGTGCCCTGTTTGCCAGCAGCCAAGAGCGTGTCCAGATCTTGCCCGTACACTTTCGCCTTCTCTGCCAGACGCACGAGCAGAGCAGCCTCAACTGCCGGTTTGGTGATGAGCGCTTCCAGCTTGACGCGATCTCTTGCACGTATGGGCTCTATAAAATCTGCTGGCGAGGATTGGAACTTCGACTCGGATACGAACATGCCTAGAGCGCGACCCCGCAAGTTGAGAGGTGAGTGTATCAATGGGTCTGCCCTCCTTGTGACGTGCTCTAAGCTCGACTCAAATTTTCGCGTGCAGCCACGTATCATCGCTCACCGAAATGTATGCGCCTAGAAACAGCGCTCAGCACTTCCACATCCCTCGTAGCAGCGCTGCCGTACTGCCCATCATCCGCCTGCAGGCCATGTTTCCGCGTAATGGCGGGCACCACATCGTCCCTGTACCAACTCCAGATGCGCGAATTGGCATTGACGACTGCCGCTTTGAAAAGGACATCGGGGTATGTCAAGGGAGGCAAGATTGCTTTGGGCAGTTGCTCGATGGGCGTGAAGGGGTACTCGTCCGGAGTATCGAAGCGCCGAACTTTGGCTGCGGGTGAGTGTTTCGAGCAAGGCAGACAGGTAGGCGAGACGAGGCGCGCATCGTGTCAGCATATAAGTGGCCAAACAGCCGCTGCGTGCCGGCACACTCACCATGAGCAGCCTCCGTCTCTTTGAGGAACCATTCGACCCAGCTGGCTTCCCAATTCTCCTTTTCTCTGAGCTCCTTGAATGCTCCTGGGGCGTACATCGGCGGATTATGAGCATACTGAGCCCTCTCGATGAGATCGAACACGATGGTATCTTCGAGCCTGATGAGCACCGCTCGGATGTGATCGAGGGAGAGGAGCGTCTGGCGATCCACAGAGGTGTGTTGCCCTGAAGATCCGTTGGATGACATTTTGGTATCCGTGGGCGGTGCGTTGTCGAGAAGCTGCTGCCGGCGAGCGACTAAGGAACGCAGTGCAGTGTAACAGGGAGGTCTCGCGTTGACTGTGCGTAAAGCTCGATCGTTGACCGGGTGGGGCGAGCTGCTTGCTTGTGAGCGCCAAGCTGACCGACTAGGATGCCCTCCAAGAAGGTGAACGTGTTCGTGCAGATGACCGCTCCTAGAGGTGTAGGTGGAGCTGCACGCGCCTGAACGACTCCAATGATGAGCCGCGCAATGATCGCTTCGCCGGTGGCTTTGTTTGCTGTGGTGTGTGTGTATGTGTGTGTGCGTGTGTGGCTTTGGGCGTCAGAGGGTGCGTGCTGCCTTTAAGAGATGCCAGATTCGAGCAAAGCGAAGTCAAATTGGTGATTTATGGGTCCATGATTCACATGATTGACCCAGCATGCAGAGTCAGAAGAGTGATCATGTATGCAACCGCGCGTGCGCATGCGCTCGAGCCACGGCCGGGCTGGGCGCCGCAAGCAACTCCGTTATTGCGGTCGCGTGACTGTGACTGTGACTGTGACTGCGCCTGCTCTGTGTATGCTGCGTGCATCATGGGTGGAGCCAAATGGACAGCACCACGCTACGACACGACGACCAGCATCGCACCCATCGCACCTTCCGGCAATCGTGAATGTGCAGCTTTTAGGCCATCATCGTCATCATTTGAGCCATCGTTACAGCCCAGCCATGCGCCACGCATCCTCAAGACTGATCGCGCTCTCCCTGTGCGCCGCAATCCTCCTTGCAAGCGTCCTGCCAACATCAGCTCAGTTCTTTCAGCAATTCTTCACTGGCGGAGGTGATGGGCAGGTCAGAGAACAAGAGGCTCCACCTGTGAGTGTGTGACGCAGCACGCAGCACGCAAAGGTAGCCGAGGCTGGGTTTGATCCTCACTTTCCAATTACTTTCATCTCTGCCCGCAGACTGGCGATGCGAATTGGTTCGAAGCGCGAGTAGAAGCGGGTGAGTCAGTCTCTGCGGAATGCCATGGCCGACCCGCCCTGCGCCTCATCGATCTGACAAGCTTCTCTGCTCGCGCACGCCTTCGACATGCTCAGCCACCTGCACATCCTTCCTCTGCCCTCGCACCCTTTCCTGCGTTCCCTCGCCCTCCCACTGTCCATGCCCCTTCCCACAACAAGTGAGTCCCGGAGCGTGCTGCCTGAGACCAGCAGGCTCGCCGCCTCTTGCACTGACCACCACGACTACGCTGCGTACGCTGTAGATTCGCTGCCCTTATCCAGACGCGGAGAGCGGCAAGATGGATTCAGGCGGCCACTTTTGCGTACAGGCTTCTTCTTGCGATCGGATACGCGATATGCGCAGGCTGGGCGCGGGATTCAAGCTCTCTGATCTGTCTTAGCTGCGTGCAGTGCAATCACAGTCCAAGCCGACTGTCATGAATGCGATAATCGTTGAGGCTCTGGCGTCGAAGTGATGCGAGCGATGCTGCCTCGAGCACCTCATCAGAAGCCCCGTCCTGTCGAAGGTGGTCGACGTTGGGCAGTCGTGGTGAATGGTGAATTTGATTAGTGAGAGGGGATGCGCGCCTCCACCCCTACTGCAACCGACGTCGGCTGTGATACGCGTCACGTGAAAGCAGTCTGGCAGGGCGACCCTGAGCTGAACCTCGATCAGCCCATAGCAAAGCGCCATCCAGCTGTCCGCCTTGACATATCCGCGATGGACCTTTCCTCAGTTCAAAGCCCAGCACGCAGCTTCACTCACAGCAGCGATGGGCCCGCCTCGTCGTCACCGTGGAGGAGGCAGCAAGGCAAAGGCGGGCACTCCCAGAGGTTCTCATCAGCAACCGCCTGCAGTTGCTTCTTCCTCTCTCTCCCCTCTCTCCTCATCTCCTCTCCAGACAGGCAACGAGCTGTTCACGCTGCGTGGACACGGCACTCCGCTCTTGACGCTCGTCTTTCAAGAGGCGAGTCATCAACACGCTGCATTGGCTCGCATGGAAGCGTTTTACGAAGGGGCTGGCGCGCCCAAAGGCGTGTATCTGGATCTTGAGGAGGCGAGCAATGCGCGCTTATGTCGCAACTACCAAGCATTCAACTTGCCACTCGACTCTGTGCGACAGTGGCTTGCAGCAATGAGGAGACGCCACGGCGATGGCGATACTCAGCAGGTCGACCCTTCAGAGACATTCGAAGGCGCTTCTTCAAGCACAAGTGAAATGCCGTGGTGGGAATCGTACTGCAATCCCACAGAATGCGCCGTTCTGCGACAATTGCACTCCCTCGAAGCGCTGGTGGAGCAGAGCAACAGCCCTTTTCGGTACCTCGTCAGCGTTCTGCAGCGATTCGCCGCCTCTTCCTTAACTCACGAGCAAAATCACGCCCTCTTTCACCTGGTGCCGTCATTCGCATCAGCAGCTCAACGCGCATGGGATGACTTGCCCCGCAAAGCCAAATCTATCATCCAGCACGATCTCCAGCTCAGAGGTTATGCGGAGAGCGTATGGGTGGATGAATTCCAAGCGTATGTGGCTGAAGATCCCAGCGAATTCGGTAACGTCGCTGCAGAAGCCTGCGCAGAGGCCAGGGACAGGTTGCAGCAAGAGAGAAAGCAAGGATGGCAAGCGATCGGACTCGATTCATGAACATCATCCACTCGGCGACGGCTCAAGCCGCGCACGCATTATGTTGCTGTATAGCATCAGATTAAAGAGGGCAGCGGCCATCGAGGCCGTTGTTGGCGCCATTGTAAGGGCGCATCACGTTGACATGCAGTACGCGACGCCAGCGCCAGGATATTAGCAAGGTCAGGTTGCTACAGCAAAGGGTGGAGAGGGGAGGTTGTAGTTATTGAGGGGCGCGGCCATCGCAGAGGCACGCGCGATTAGTCGAGACATTAAGCGACGCAGAGGTATTAGCGGTGAAACTTATCGGCGAGAAAAATAAACTTCTGAGTGGCTCCCTCAAGGCACCGCTGGTGGAGCAGGAGCGTTTTCCAGGAGCAAGGTACCGACGAGGGCATCCCATTCGTGATCAGTGCTCGCGGAGCACGCTCGGCACCTCCCGCGCAGCGAAGGGTCGCTCCTGCTAAGGCCGTATGACCTCCCTCGCGCATCGACAGGTCTACTGCGCAAGATATGGCTGGAGATTTCCAGGCTGCGTTGTCGGCCGATGCTACGAGCTGCTCGGCATGCGACAGCATTCACATGCGCTTCAAAGACTGGATCCGACGAGAAGCTCGGTTCTCGCGATCTTCGCTTGGCCATTCCAAAAGCTTCTGGACCTTGCGAGGAGGCGTGCGACGACGATGTCGACCTGCAGGAGCGTACCGACATGCGCCGCCTTCGCAGAACGGGATGCGGTGCTTGTCGGGACACAAAAGCGGCGGGCACAGATTCATCCGGTCGATCGCTGACTTCTGGAGCGTTCCACTGGACCGTAATATCTTCATCGATAGTGGTGCGCATCGAATCCTCTGTCTGACCAGCATCGGGAAGCTCCCAGCTTCCGTCCAGCGTCAGACCTAGCGAGTTTTGGCTTACGGAACGGCCGATCGCCCACGCAGCGTCTTGTGAAGTCTGGCTTTCGCGTGGGCTGACGGATGGCCGTCGCATCAATGGTCGAACATCGAGGGCGGTATTATCGATGTCGCTCAGTACGGCCGCACTGACAGCTGAAGCGTTCAATTCGGCCTCTGGACTATCAGGAGCGACTCCTTGCGCCAGATCGATCACACGCGAAGTTCGTCGATCGGCGTAGCGTTGATGCCACATGGAGTGGCCATCTTGCAGATCACCAAACGACGAAGTACCATGCTGCGCTTCCTCTGGGTACGGAGATGCGGATCGATGTTCGACGTCTTGCTCCGAGTCCTGCTCGGCACTCAAGACGCGCAGAGTTGTCAGATGAGGACACGCCGAGAGTGTCTCGCGCAGCGATTGCGTGTTGGCTTCCAGAGGGCCGGGATGAGTCCAAAAGAGGTTCAGCTTGTGCAGCGCCTCGTTGCGTCCCAGACCGGCTCGCAACAGTCGGCGCGCCCCAGGTGGAATGTCTATAGCGAGCAATCGACAGGGTAGTGAGGGTCAGCAATAATGGCGAGCACGTTTTCACTTCTGGACTCACAACCCTTGGGCGAGCGAATAGACAGTTCGCGCAGCTTGGAGAGCGAAGCCAGCTCATGTTCAAACTCGGAGAGGTCATCGTTGAGCGAGTGCGTCCAGGAACAAGCCACCGCGGAGCAGGTGAGGTCAAGCATGAGCTCTTCGAGCGTATGCTTGCAACAAATGAGAGTTGCGAGGACTTGTCGAAGGCTCGGATGGTTATGACTGTCGTGAATGTTGGCAACGGCATTGGCGCCGGTCGATACAGCGGCACTCCTGAGGGAAGCAGAACCTGCATATCTACCAAGCTCTGACCGTCGTCTTGCCAGTCGTCGCTCCGACGCTTGCATCGTAGTGGTGCAAAAGACCAATCTGCGGACCAATTTGTGGGGCGCCGGTTCGCCGATGACCGAGCCAGTCATCGTCTCCAAGAAACGTGCAATGTTGTGTCGAGTGAGGTTGGGCGTATGATACAGTGCTTCACGGCTGTAGCGGTCATGCGGGTGCATCATCAGCATCGTTCGCAAGTATTGAGATGTATGGAAGAGGCATCGACTCACGCATCGGGAAGGCATGCTCGGCACACCGGCGCCAATGTCAAGGCACAAGCGGTGGCATCTGGACCATGCAAGGCAAGCTTGAAGATGAATGCTACAATCTCTGGTGGAAGTTGGCAAGACATGTCGTGTTCTTCGAATGAAGCTGGTGGATGGCTGACTCTAGTCTCGGATGTCGATAGGCGCAGGGTGACGAGTCAAGGGCTACAAGCAACGTGAAGTCTTTTTTTTTTTTTCGTTTCGTCGATATTAATCAGAACTCGCTAACGTCGGTCGTCGTTAATGTTGTCTAGACTTGAGTGGAATGATTCTACGAACAGCGCCGGGCTGCTGTCAAGGGGTGGTAGGGGAGACGGGACAGGATGGATATCAGCGAGTGTGTAAGGGGGATGGGATTGGGATGATGGGGGAAGGAGAAGGACGAAGCCAGTCGTGACGCTCTCGCTTAAGGCGCATAGTTTCGAGCCCGCTCGGTGTCGCAAAATCTGACGTGGCCGGCACTGCTTTTGAGGCCTGACGAGATGGGTCGAGCGTGACCACTGAGAACCTCGACAGAGCTTCATAATGCTGTACTTTGCGATCGAGGAGCCACATCGTGGTGGTGGTGGAGCTCTTCGCTGCGATTTGCGCGCGGTGATTGCGCACAAGCCTCCATCCATCGTCTCTCGAATGGTGGGGTCGTGCGCACTTGTCTGACGCTTGGGCCCCTCCGGTGACTAAAGCTGCCACCTTTCGCGTGATGACGTGCCTTGCGACGCCCAACGCTGCCTTAGACCGTCGAGCGATCGAGAAGCAGAGCCCACGGCATTCATATTGGTGGTGGCAAGGCAGGAGGGCTCGTGTGGCGTGTGAAATGCAGTGACTGCGGTCTTGCCGGTGGTGGACCTTACCATTCACAATTGCATTCCGCCAAAGCAAGATCCTGATCGTTGCTCGAGGCAGAGGCCGAGGGTGCTCAGTGCGTCGCATCAGTTTCGTCTACTAAGCTTGGGCCTCTTCTCTTGCTCACAGAGAGCACACACACGTCAGGCGTGCTCAGCGGGGGGCGAATCCGCAATACCCGTCTTTGAGGCCAAAGCCCACGCCCTGACGCTGGCATCCTTATTGGAGATAAGTCGATCCCTGATTGCCTACCGCAAGTAACGAGGTCCTGCGTCTGTCTGATCTTTGCAAACCCTTTTCCTGGAGTACGCTCAAGCGATGGGATGCAGGGCGCTAATACCATCATTCAAGGAGACCATTGTGATTGTCGAGGCTATTCAACCGATGTGACTCGTACCACGACAAGGTGCTGACTTGGGTCCCGAACCGCTGCTAAGTCCGTCATGATGGCCCCTCCAAGACTGGGCATGTTCGCCGGAGCAACCTACAATGCCACGCCCCAGCGTTCCTTTAGCAGACCGGTCGAAAAGAGACTGAACAGCAGCTAGAAGACATACACATTAACAGTAGACGGTGCTCTGGGCTGACAAGGCTCAGAGGGGTTCGAAACTTGCAGCAAGGCTCTCTTCTCGATGGCGGTCTTGCTATAGGAGGCGTGGCGTAACGACCCACATAGGCACGTAAATGGAAGAGAAGAGAGAAAGAGATACAACGAAGATGAATGCGAGTCGTGTGGACTGCTTGGGTATCTTGGAGCCTAGATCCTCTGCAAGATAGCGCGAGGAGGCTTCCTATTTGCCGACTTGCAGCGCTTAGGCACCAAGGGTTTCCTTGGTACCCCTGCCACCACGGATAGCACCGGCGCCAACAATGCCGATAACGATGAGCGCAAAGAATAGCGCAATCCTAGATGAGAGCAGAGTAGCGAGCGAGGAGGCGTGTAAGATAAAGGTCATCCGATGCGAAGCGCCTACTCACGTTGAGATCCATGAAAAGGCCATCAGAGCTTCGAGGGAGACGCAGTACCTGAGCAGGTCCGCATTAGAGCAGTTTACCCCTCCGCCTAGGGCATCTGTGATGGTGCCAGCTCCGGCCAGCTGGAAAAGGAACATCCAGAAGACGAGGATAGCGTGCCCAGCCACTGAGGTGAGGATGCCGCCCTTGCCTGTGAGGAAGAGCACAGTCTGTGCAACAGCAGGAAGGTGCAAGGAAGGAGAGAATGTCAGTGGCCGAGCTTGAAGTTTCGGGCATCGTCGTCGATCATTGCGTCCGGCAGTACGGCCGCAGCCTGCGCCGCCCGCTGTATGCACTTCACTCACCAAGACAATCGCAGCGAGGAAGTTGAACCAGCCAACAAAGGTGAGGTACCTCACACTTCCAGTCAGGTGCGCAGTCTGACCCCCATCGTTGTTGTAGTTGGTGGTCAGAGTGCTGGCAATGACTGCCACGATGAAGCTGATGACAGCGACAAAGATGAAGGTGACGGGGTGGCCCCTGCGGATGACTGCGCCAGACACCATGTTGAGTTCAGATTGCGGAGGAGTCAGCTACTGGCCAAGACTGCTTGATGGGTGAAAGCGATTCGGCAAGAGACTGTTTGTGCTTGAGGAAGAGGTGGTGAGCGAAGAGAAGGTTTGGCACCGGTGAATGTGCACCTTTATGTGCGATGTCAAGACGAGCGGGGTTACGATGTTCACATCCCGTCGCCTTGACTCAGAGTGGCTGCGCAGGGCCAAGGCCAGCCTATGACGCACGCTCGACAAAAGAGGCCGGCCGTGACTCTCGAAGACTTTTCGCTCCACCACCAGCACAGCACACAGCATCCATCAGCTCGTCCACAGCAGCACAACAGAGTCAGACCGCCGCGCGGGAGAGCATCTCCGCGGCCGGCGCGCCTATACACATGCTGCAGCAGCATACGCTACGATCACTCACTGACTCCACTTTCGAATTTGCGTCGTCTCATGCAACGGCACGCGAAAACACGCGACAACGGTTGCGACGGGATTGATCTAAGTGTCATACAAGATATATAGAGCAGCAGGACGCAGATTTGAAGCGAGCTTGTCGCGTTGTAATCAAATATCAGCAGCGACGCGTTGATTCATGCTAGCTGCTGCCGCCTTCTCGGCGCCCGACCCTCCGAACGCATGCGACGTCATCGTGAGCAAGGCGGGAGCTTAATTGAGCTTACGTCCGCCTTTATTTTTTACGGCATCACCACACCCCAGCATCGGCAGAATTAGGCGATTGAATCAAATGCCGACATATCAAAAGGTGCTGCTGTCATGCCAGCTCTCGTGTGCTCGGCTCATGGTGGTTGACATGTACGGAATACAAGCAAGCAAATCGATGGCCGTCGGATCCTCCTCGACCACCTCGGCCGACGCGTCTTAAATTCTCGGACACCCTTCACGATTCGTGCGCACCGCCCGGAAACGGAAAGGATGCGGCGTCTCTGATGTCGAGTAGGAGGAGGAGGAGGAGGGAATCATCGGGTATAGCGAGCGAGATGCACGCACAGCTGAAAGCGGGATCAGTCTCGATTCGGACCCTGCGCTAACCGCCCGACGCCGTATACCTACTTTCGTGATTCAAAATTGTGTTCGTGAATGTGAATCATCGAACAGCGCGTGTGGCTGCCGGGCTGCACGCTTTGCGCTTCGAGCGCATCCGTCGCTTGAATAAGCTGCACAGACTGATCGGCGCAGGCAAAACTGAAACTAGGCGACGCATGTGGCTTACCCAATCGTGAATCGTGAATCGTGAGTCTGAACGAACATGAAAAGCAGCACCGCTACCAAGACCTAAGTGTCCGCTCCGCGCCCAGTCTAAATTCTTGGCTCGCTATAGACAGTGTGAGTGTTGCACGCTCGAGGGCTCGCATCTGCGCGTTGCTTTGCACCACCCGCGAACGACTGCCCCTGCCGCTCTTGACATCATCCGCGCCAAGGTCAAAGATTGATCGTAGAAATCGCCTCCTACTAGGGCTTGCAAGCGCATCACATCGCTTTTTGGATATTGTGGACGGTGGGACCTGTCAGTAAGCTGAGAATTGGGGGAACACCAGCCAAGGGTTTCGCCCACAGTAGTAGTAGGCTCGCTTTTTCTTGCCGAATTCTTGCAAAGCTATAATCATGTTCACATCGTCTCGCTTCGCCCATCACCTGGGATGCCGTCTTCAGGGCGCTTCGGCTCCTGAACGCCTTGGCGCTCGCTACGCTCATCGTGCAGTACTATCTCCAGCTGGCGCAACACACCGACCTGTAGGCCACCATCCTTCAACTATTGGTCAGGCAAGGTGTTTCAGTTCGTCAGGCAGTCGGAGCCAACACTCGAGAGTTGCTCCAGGATTGCGGGCGGCAACGACGATCGGTGGCCTGGCTCTCATTGCTCTGAGCGGGCTGGTGTTCTCTATATCTCATCCGATCCACAGTGACGAAGGCCAAGGCAGTTCGGACAAGTGGAAGCATGAAGCGACCTTGCTTTGCCTAGTGGGACCGCAGGGCAGCGGCAAGACGACGCATGCAAAAAGACTTGCAAAGCGCTGGCCCGAGTTCTCCATCTTGTCTGAAATTCCTGCGTCCTCGTCTCTGGAGAAGGGCAAGCGCTATATCCTGGATGGCTATCCGCGAAGCTTGGAAGAAGCTCGACGGATAGAAAGCGAGGCATTGAAGGATGACGGCAAGATCTTTTGCTTGCTGTATTTCGATCTGCCGCTCGACGACTACATCAAGCGACACAATCCAGACGAGCAGCGCAAGAAGGCATTCAAGGAGCAGCTGGACCAACTCGAGCCGCTCATCAAGCAGTACAGAGATCAAGGAAACATCTGCGAGATCAGCGCAGATTGGAACAGCGCCGATGAGGTTTGGGAGCAAGTGGAAGCCAAGACCGAGCAGATCATTGAGCTCAGAGACATGGGCGAGCTATAGCCTTCCTGCTAAGAGATGCCCTTTGCCTCGCGGCCTTTCGCCCGTGCGCCAAGCCGTGTTCCGTACTGACCTGCGTGAGAGCAGTGCTCATCCGAGCTGTTGTCATGATGCTCGCGTTGTGGTTGTAAGTGACACGAATCGCGATGAGGCAGCACGTCGTTTCTTGTGCGTTCATCGCCAAACGTGATGGACCAGGCATCTTTGCGCGCCACGTCCCTTCGCACAAGCGAGACAGTTTGGCGGGACAAGTCTTCCAACCTGAGCTACATCGGCGTGCAGTCAAAGTGGACAAAGCTTTAGTATGCACGTTACTGGTGCGAAAGTGCTTACCACAGGACTGTATAGCAGTCACGAGTGAGATGCAGCTTCTCTCTTCCTTTGGACATCCTAGAATAGACTCGAGACGACTCATCTGACTGCGAGCTGCGCATGAGCCGATTGCTGTGCTGCAGCGACCACCATCGACGCGAGGCGACTCGACTCGCGGCAAAAGTCTTGACTCTTGCTGCAGCCTGTGCGGTCCCGCGTGTTGGCAAAACACTGAATTGAGACCGTGCAGCAGCTGCTGGATCGGGCGGCGGGGCGGAACGGTTTGCGCGGAGGCTTGGCACCGTTCCTGAAACTCTTCCTCTTCGTGCTTGTCTGTGCTGCTGCATGCTTGGTAGCACCGCTGATGTGTATGCCTTGCGTGCGCAATGGCAGGTGCATGGAGGAGCGTCGTGTGTATTACTTCATATACTTTGGGCACAGTAGGAATATAGCAGTAGACGGGAGTCAAGAGTAGTCGCAGTAACAGTACTCACACACGCGGTAATGAAGGCTGAGGGGTCATCGGGAGCAAGGTGTCGTATAGCTAGCTACATATGATGGGGCTGATGGCTCATGCAGCACTACCGGAAAAGTCGGCGCGCTTTGATCACCACAGACCAGAATTTTGAGAATCAAGGACTCGTTTTGAATGGCCGGGGTCAAGGAGCGTACTTCCAGACTGACTCAAGAACAGTATTCAACTCGCTCTGATCCGAAGCTCAGGCAAGACGGGTCGAAGTCACGATACTCGACTTGGGGTGTCAGCATCCTGGTCGTGGATCACAAATGCAGTCGTCAGGAGGCACCGCATCGCTGTGGCCATGTACATCACGAAGACCCATCGCTGAGCAGCCTTGGGAGCGGAGCTCGGTGAGAAGAAGGGGGAGGGGTTGGTCGAATTGGCAGCGTTGTCGGTGGCCGGGGGCGCGCAAAAGACGTCTTCCGAAGCATGATGTGAGAGCTGTATATATAGACATCTCATCAGACTGAAAGTCAAAAATGATGATCGCTTGATGAAAATTACCAATAATCTTGAATCTTGAATCTGAATCTGAAACACGAATGTTTGAATCACGAATCGGGAGCAAGTTACAAAGTTGTCAGTGCAGACACCCTGAATATAGCTGCACCTGCTACTGTATATCGAGCCGCTCGTACAGCCATCAAGATTAAAAGACGCTCTTTCTTCTGCTCGCTCGCCCCGCCGCTCACCGGCGACTCAAAATTTCAGCCAAGTCGTTTGGGCCGCGTTGCATACAGCAGTCAAAGTATGCGCGGTGAGTCGAGTGCAGCAGTCGTGAGTGTTTCAATGAGGCGCATAATAACTGCGGACATTTGGAGGTTGGTCGAGGCCATGCCTGCACTGCTGCAGTCAAACGTGAATGGAGGCCACTGCAGCGACCCTTGCCGCTGTTGCATTCCCTGCTGCTGCTGGCCTGATTCCGCTGCATGATGGCCCAGCCAAGCTGACCCCGAAAGTCTGCTGCTGCCGCTCAGCGCGTGGGCGCTCCGCCGCGTATGGTGGTTGATGACGGGCCTAAGCAGCATTGCGGTGTTGAATCGCACCCGCATCGCAGAAACTACGAATCGCCATCCACCCTTGTCACCATACATCGTGACCCCTGACAGCATCTTCAGTCCACGATAGAAGCGAGGTCTGGCAGCCAGTCCCCACGGCACTCGCTCCCATCTCCACTTTCAGCTCGTTCAGAAAGAATCTTTCGTATCACCTCGTGCTCCGCCCACCTCACCTCATCACGCGGGCAAAGTGCAAGCGTTCCACAAGAGGCGCACCTGCACCACTCCACCACGCATCGTCTCACAGCAAATCTCTCAGCGCCAGCGTGCCCTTGATGACCTGAAGCTGAAGCAACACCCAGCATTGACGATCTCACTCTTCACCTCGTCACTTTGCCAGGTGTAGCAGGCCGCCAGCGATCGAAAGGTCATCGTTCGTAGCTCGTCAAGGGCTAAGGCGCCTCAACATGTCCCACAACGAGCACGTGGTCGACCAAGACCCACACGCATCTTTTGTCCACGATGCTATAAGGTTGTTTGCTGCCGTCAAGAGCGGCAATGTCACCATCACGGCGCCAGATGGCTTTGGCAATGGCACATCGTTCGAGGATGGAGGTAGACCAATCTCGTTTGCAAATTTCTTGGATCAACAGGTGAGTGGTGATCTGCATGAAGAAACTACGTTTCGTCGATCCGCGCGGATACAAAGAATGCGGCTGCCTAACGTCCTTCCATCCCATCGATGAGGCAGAGAGTCATACACGACGTTGCGGTAGCGTCCTTGACTCTGTATGCGTGGGAATTCTTCTGTACCATTCCGCAAGAATGGTCTCTCTATCGGCATCGTAAGCTCCTGTCTCCTCAAGTTATTCTCTTCGCCGCTGTGAGGTATCTCGCCATACCTGCACTGGTCTTGCCGGCATACAGCGCTTTCAACGACTTCTCAAACGATCCAAAAGGCTGTCTGCTGCATCAGCAATTGACCATCGTGCCTGTACAAGCGGCCGTTGCTGCCATCTTCAGCTGGCGGACCTGCGCAATTTGGGGCTGGGCGCCCAAAATCAAGTGGGGACTGCTGGCTCTATTCTTGGCTCAGATCGGCTCGAGCTTCGCTCTGCTCTGGTACAGCGGACAGAAGCTTTTGCCGACCGGTGCATGCATGCCCGTAGCCAAGCCCGGCATTCCAAACACGCTGGCTTGGTTCTATGTGACCGCCTTGATCTTCGACGGCATCACTGTTGGGCTGTCACTTTGGAAGCTCCTTGAGCTCAGCCAGAGTGGTGGCCCCGAGGAGCACACAGTACGCGCACGCGATCTTTGTAGTCCCTGGATTCTGGCAAAGAAGCTACGCAGCCAATGGGCGACCATGACACCATTGCTTGGACGCCTGATCACTAGCGGACTGATCTACCTATTCGTCGCATCCGCTTTCAATCTCATCAACTTTGCCTTAGAGATTTCCAACTGGATTCACGCCAAGGTCAGTCATCGTTCGCAGTCTCGTTCTTGACACGTGCGGAACTTACACCTCTACGATTTGTGTAGGCTCTCATCCCGCTGTATGCTCCACTCATGGCCATATTAGGTCAGCGAACCGTGCTCGTGGAAGCGGAAGCTGTTTATGGAAGGGGCCGCGGCAGCACCGCGGATCGCAATCGCTCGCTGGTCGAGCGCGTGCTGCGAGAAGGGCGCAAGTCATGGGAAGGGTCCTTCGTGATCGATCCAACAGCTGCTCTCACTCCTCAATCTCCTCCAGTCAATGGCAGCACAAGTCAATCTCCCTCTCACAGCAGGCCCAGACATTTGACGCTGGACTTGGGCTCTACCTCCAACGCGTCCCCCGCGCAAGCCGAGTCAAGCGCACATAGCGAAGGAGCTCACCTGAGCCGGACTACCACACACGTGGGCAACAGCTCAGCCAGCGAAAAGGCCAGCTCTGGCAGCCTGACCTTTGCAGCGATGCTAGATACTCCTGTGACAGATGCAGACGCCCGACCCAAGCGTTCTCGTACCAAAGGTGGCAGCTTTTCAAAATTGCGAGACGCACTCCCGAGACAAAGAGGACGGAGCAGCTCCAAGGGTTCATTGAGAGAGAGTCCTGGTCAATCTGAGACCGAAGCCAGAGGTGGAGCGCCAGTTCTGTCTCCGGCTGCACGTGCGCTCGCCTTACAAATGGCCGGCCTGGATGTCGACACTACCGTAAATAGGTTTGGAGTTGCGAGCGGAGACGACGCCCTGCTGTCAGCCATCACAGCCAGCCATGACGACGATCTCGATCGAGTAGAGCGAATCGAGGACACTGGCGCTCCTTCGTCTATCCATCGGTAAGCGGCGAGCTCCTGCTGCGTGCTGCACCGAAGCCACCCAGTATCTCTTCGTGTTCCTAGACAGCGCCGCTGTTGTCCACCTCGATTCATAATTTCTGCGCATATATGTACCATTATCGCTCTCTCACTGCCCGACTTCCGCCTCATCGTCACCTCAGTAGTCGCTGCAAACCAAAGCAAGTCTTGCGCAATTCTCAGAAGCCGTCTGCCACACCGCGTGTCCTTCGCACAGCACGTGCCGGTCGAGCCGGATCAGTGAGACTAGGGTCGCTCTTTCGGCATCACTGACTCTCAAGTTTGACCCGACTCTTGCCAGCCAAGCATCTGCGTGGGCAAGTCTTGATGGAACAATTCGAGACCAGCAAGGGTAATGCAAGGCCGTTGTTGAGAGACCCCATAGACGAATGGCAAAGTTCAAATCTGCGGTTCTGTATCTTGGTCCTCACGAGTCCTTCCTATGACCGATCTCCGCTACGACTACGTGACCCGAGGATGCAGCTGTCTGAGCCAGAGAACGCCCCCTCTCACCCGAGGCTCTCACGCTCAGGCACCGCAACGTGAATCACGAATGTGCTGGTACAACAGCACGTGCGGAACAATTCCGAGTCAACTGCACAATCTCGAGAATCTGCGAGAGCAATTCACGCGCAACCGCATCAAAAGGCGGAGATGCATCTTCTCCGTTGGCTGAACAAGCAAGCAAGCAAGCAGAGGGAGACTGTGCATGAGAGATTGCGGACTTGCAGCACGATCCAGCGCAGGCTGAGCAGGTGACGGCTGATGATTGGGCTGATTCAAGATTCAAGATTCACGATTGTTTTTTCTTGGCTCGCCTGCATGCCGACGGACCCTTCATCCATATTTGCTTGCGATGTGCTTGTGGGCTGCTGCTGCGGTAGCTATAGCTGCTGTATACAGCTTTGCCAACAATATGCACCACGGACCCCCTTCGCCTTGATCGAGTGCTATATACATACTTTCAGATCGTATATGATCTGCCGTGGGTCCGGCGCCTCCCCGAAGTTGGACGACGCCGCGGCCGGAGAAGGACTCCGGCCTGCATGGCTGGAACATATTGCGTACCTGCTGCTGCCTATTCTTGATCGTGAAATTTGAGGTCACATCGGGTCAGACAGGCATGCAGCCTTCAAGACTTGACAGCACTCGCGACAGACGCACGACTTGCTGCTTGCAGCTGATGGTGCTGTATGGCTGCACCATTGAATATCGCGTGTTCGCGGAGCACCATGTTTCGATAGCAATCTGTGGATCAATCAACGTGCTCGACTCAGACTCTTGACTCCATCGATCAGAAGCGCGCCCACGCGCACCATCTCCATGCAGCCTACGCGCGCGGTGCGTCGCGGCTGATGGTCTTGCATGCTCATGCTGCAGCCAGCCTCTTTCCCGCCCCCCGCGTGTGCGCGTGAGCATGCAGGATGGATGCTACGCAGAAGACTCGGACCCTACTACGATCTCATGTAATCATACAAAGAAGTGGTAACGTCCGCAATGAGCAAGCGCTTAATCGGCGCCGAGCTCATGGCGACCCGACACTCGCGACTGAGATGAGCAGCAACGGCCGCTCGGAATCAATGAATTATGGGGCAGCATCAACGGTGCGGTTCGGGCAGCTTGCGCGTGTCGGCTGCAGCCCCGCGCAGCAGCAGGATCGAGGATAATCAAGAATCCCAGCCTTAACTGTTTTGCGTCGCATTGCGCTCAGGACTGCCATCGATGACGAGTGTGTTGTACTCACCACTCACCACTCACGACTCTCGACGGAGTGGAGCTGAGTCTCATCAATCTTGAATCATGACGACAGGAAGACCGCCGTCGCTTCAGCCATGCAGAAAGATCAACCTGTTTCATTCAACAACCGGGGTTCGTCGCTCGATCAACTTGTGGCTTCCGTGCCTGTCGCGCAAATCTAATATTCACATTATATTCTGCGACTGGACAAGGTGGACGAGCACGAGAGTTTGATCGAGCAAGCACGATTGACCCACCCGAGAGCATGGCTTTCGGTTGCAGTTATTCAAAGCAATGCGGGCATGCAAGACATCGAACATTCAAGCCTGCGGAGCGAAGAGGAACCCTGGCGATTGCATGACGGCATTCCGCCGGCGATGTGTTGGCTGATGGGCGCCCAGGTCAGTCAGCCATTCTTCATCATGACAGCATGCGTGCTGTATCCTTGCTGCACGCAGATGAGCCGTATAGCCATGGAGCCATACAGCATCACTCGGCGCATCTCTGGTGTATGCATTCGTGATTCCTTCTTTCAGCATGCACCACGCCAAGCAATGGCTGATGGCTAGCGCACTCTACACCGCATCAGCGCCTTTGCATGAGGGCAAAGCTATGTTCAGTCTAGCACTTGCCACTGCCGCCGGTGCTCGATCGGGATGAAGCTTGCACCCCGCCATCTCGAGCGCTCGGCAAAGAAGCGACAAGCTGGGCCATGATGTTGCTCACCGTTCCCACTCTCTCGCATCACCAACGTCGGACTTGTCCTACGCCACGGCGTGGGGGGGCCACACATCACCCGAATCGTTGCTTGTTTCGCAATTCCGATGTTTGCGTACTCTTGATTGCTCTGACACTAGTGGACCGGACCTTTGCTCCCAGCACTACTCAGCCTCCCGTAGCCAGCCGAACAAGTGCTTCTTGCAAAGCATGTCCACCAACTCGTGAGTGAAGGTCGTCGCTGCGATCTACGGAGGACTGCGCCTTGCTACCGCGGATTTTTGGGGCTGGTTGTGTAATCATTCGCGCTCAGCTCGCCATCACTCGACCTGAATCCAGACACAAGTAACGACTTGGCGGGCAGCAAGAGCATACAGTCGTCTAGAGCATACAGTCGTGTCAAAGGCCCTGCGTGGCTTGGCTGAGCCAAAATGGCTCTCGTGCCAGCCGCTCCCTTTTTGCTCCTATAAGAAGTCCCATTCTTCGGGCTTGATCCTGCTCCTCCTTCTGCTGCACAGACCTTTGACCTCTCACTCTCGTAGACGCGCAACACCCGACATTGAACCCTAAGAGCAGACTCCTCTTGCAACTATTCGCATTCCAACGACAGGATGAAGTTCCCCCTGCCCACGCTCACTCTTTTGGGCTTCGTCGTTCCGACGATCGCCCACCCATCGCCACCGTGGCAGAGCCCGCACGTCTCGAGCAACCTTTCACGTAGACACTCCTATGGTTCTGCAGCACACTCAAAGCTGGCTGCACGCGCTGATGCTGTAACCCAGCCAGATGTCGGGCAATACATCCTGGATCCCAAGTTCAAGATCACTGCTACTCCTCAAGTTCGCGAGTACTACCTCATCGTCAAGGATGGAGAAGCAAGTCCTGATGGCGTCTCCAAAACGGTATACGCTTACAATGGTACCATGCCAGGTCCCGTCATTGAAGCGAGTACTGGCGACACCCTTCGTATCACCATCGAGAATCAATCCGACCGCAACCACCTGACCCACTTCCATGGCATTCCTCAAGTAGGCACCAATTGGGCCGATGGTAAGTGGTGGCGCTACGCCATCGTCTTTCGTCCGATTACTGACCGTGCCGCTTGTCCGTTGTCAGGTCTTCCTGGCCTCACAAATTGTCCACTTGCTCCTGGCGTGAAGCAGACTTTCGAGTTCAAGGCGCCAGAGGAATTTGGCACTTACTGGGGACACTCTCACGTTGCGCTGGGATACACCGAGGGACAAGTATTCCCCATCGTCATACACAGCCCCGACGACCCATACAAGCGCGGCAAAGACTTTGACGAAGAAGTCGTCATAGTGCTGCAAGATTGGTATCACACACCCGCTTCGGTGTTCGAAAAGCAATTGCTGAGCGTTGACGGCTACAATAATTCCATCGCTGCACCGCCACACGACTCCATTCTGATCAATGGTCGAGGTCGCTTTACCAACGCTACCCTCGACTCGAACGTACCCTGGCCTCAGCTCGCACTCAAGCCAAGCACCCGCTACCGTTTCCGCTTCATCGGTGCTCTCTCTCATGCACAAATTCGCGTATCTCTGGACAAGTACAACTTGGATCTCATCGCAGTCGACGCAACGCCAGTCGTGAAGAAAAGCTTGAAGCGACTTCATGTCAATGGTGGACAAAGGTGAGCGCTGCACGCATAGGTGCGAGTGGAGAAGATTGTACTAAGAAATTCCCGGCGCAACCCTCCGCCTTGTAGAGCCGATGCTATTTGGAAGAGCCCGTCGAAGGGGCAACTTTGGCTGCGCGCGGAAGCTCAGACGCAATGCTACGCGTACACTGATGGTTCGCTTCCATTCGGCTTGCTGGCGGTCAAGATCCTCAATGCCAATGGAACTGTGCCTAAAGGCAGCCCGACGACCTCTACGACGGCCGACACTGGTCCAGAGGCATGTCTTGATCTACCCGATTCGGATCTGGTTCCGGTGAAGCGCATCGGTGCCTACAAGGTGGAAGGCGGGCCAGCCGCGGTTTTCACCAACAACTTTGGCGTCATTAACACCACGACCGGGGGGACTGGCACAATCGGCGCTCCAGGCCAGCTGGTCAACGACACCGTCAACGGAGTCTCGGCGCAGCTCCCTATCTGGTACCCACCTGTGAGCTAGAAGGGCTTTAGACAGTGGCTATCCAAATGGCTTTCTGTTCCCACCTGACCAGACTTGCTGTTGCATGCGCAGATTCAAGCCTTGGAGGATGGCAAAACGCCCGTGATTGTGGGTGAAGCTCGATGATGTGGGCACCTTAACCCCGGCTGATCTCCCATGCTCTTCGCAGACCTATGCTACTCAAACGTTTGATGACAAGTACGCAGTAGGCGACATCATTTGGAACAATCTCGACCGGACTCAACATCCCGTCCATGTTCACGGAAGTGAGCTAAGCAGCGCAACATCGGGTTGTGGCATGACGCGTCGCTGATCCTATCGTCTCGCGTTCAGACACGTTCCAGATCATCGCCCGTGGCAATGGCACCATGACCAACAGCAAATGGCAAACGCTCAGGACCAGCAGCCAATACGCTCTAGCAAATCCAGTGCGCCGCGACACTCTGATTCTCCCTCAGCAAACCTGGGCTGTGGTACGCATTTTGTTGGACAACCCTGGAAGTGCGTGCGTCCGTTCGTTCGCGTCCGTGCGTGCTCTTCGCTGACGTGCAAACCTCTGTCAACCTCGTCGTGTTCGCACGGTGCCAGTCTGGGCACTCCACTGCGTACGTGACAAGATCCGGCCTGGAACGTGGATACGCCTTGCTGACTCGTGCGATTTCGCCATTGTTTGCAGCACATCAACTTCCACGCGCTCTCCGGATTTCTTGGCGCCATGATGTGAGTCGAAGAGTTTGAGAACTTTTGAATGTACGCATTCGATTACAAGGTAGTGTAGCGCTTTGCTGACCCGACGGCATGCTCTTGATCTCGGTCCGTAGCGTGCATCCCTCCGCGGTCGCCAAGGCGCGCACCCCAGACGAATACCGCACCACGTGTTCAAGAGGTGAGAACATGGGTAGCCCGCAGATGGCAGGTGAGGCACGCGCGCTGATACTCGACCTCTGTGTGGGATCCTTGCCGCAGGCGCGCAAATCACGAACGGTACCCCCAACACAACAGCACCCCCTTAGAGTGCCTTCGAGCCACCTTGTGCCGCACAACATGGACGTTTCTCTGGGACGAAGAGTGCTTTTTAGAGTGCCTCGATGTGCGTCGTTCCGCAAGATTACCATACACCTTGAAAATCTTAGTCCGCTTCTTCGCTACACTCCCGAAATTCTGAATTACTTTCTCCGTACATCTACAAGAGACTATCACCGTGTAATAACCTTGCTTCACCGATCAGATGACATCTCTTGGTGAGATCACTTGGCCTTAGGTCGTGTGTCAAGGACTGAGAGGAAAGCATCTTGAGGCACTTGAACGCGTCCGAAGCTCATCTCTCGAAGGCGCTTCTTGCCTTCCCTGCAAATAGCCAGACATTTCGTAAGCATTCCATCTCGCCAGGGGCGAAGTATTTGTGAAGCCTACGCACTTTTGTTTGGTGAGATGTTTGAGCTTGCGCTCGTAGTGCCTGATTCAATCAAGTCGCGTCAGCTCTGGACGGCCCGAAGCGGATCGCTGCCAGGCCAGCCACTCACCCGCCATACAGACCAGCTGTCACATCTCGTCTGTACGCCTTGACCGTCTCGCGCGCAATGACCCTTAGGAGGAAAGTGAGAAGGGCATGGTAAGGCGAAGACCTGCATCCATCAACAAGCGCAGCGAAGAACGCACTTGGCACCGACGATCGCTTGAATCGCGATCTCAAATTGCTGGCGAGGAATTTTCTCTCTCAATCGTGAAGCCATATCTCTACCTGCTGCTACGGCCTTTGAACGATGAATGACATTTGCCAAAGCATCCACTGGAGTACCATTGATCAGGAAAGAAAGCTGCGTGACATTTTTTAGAGCAGAAGCGCGACCACGTAAGGTGAAGACTCTTTCAGTCGAGACCGCTTCGTGCATACACTCACCTTCACAAGATCTGAGGCCATATATCCATCATCCTCGTACTCAAACGCGGCAAATCCGCCTGCGCAGCCGTTGAGCTCACACCGTCAGCTAAATGACGAGAGAGAGGGATGCTGATACTACCTCGGCCGCGTGAGGCAATACTCACTGGAGCGAGACTTGAGCTTGCCAAAGAAGTCTGTAACGATCTCTGCCAAAGGCAGGCGGTAGACCATGCGCACCTCGCGAGAGTCGCCGTAGGACGTGTCGTCAAAGACACAGTCAAGCTCTTCGCCCCGATGCTCGGCGCAAAGCTCCATCATTGGACCCACTGCAAGAGGCTGATATTTTCAGCTGCCTGCGAATCGGATGCGATATCGCAAGCAAAGTCCAGGCTCACGCAATCAACTCACCATGCTCTTCAGGGCAGATCAGCGTGCCTTTCACCACAGGCTCGGCTATTTCCGCGTAGGAGCCACCTTTGCTCGTGTCTTCGGGAAATTCCGTGGGATTGTTGAGGTGTGTCTGCTTCCCGTCTTTGGTCGTGAGTCTGAAAGGCACGGTTGGAGCGGTGACCAAGATCGTTTGACCGTATTCGTCTTCAAGTCTCTGACGGAACACGTCGAGATGTAGGGTGCCAAGAAAGCCCAGACGGCAGCCCTGGCCTAGAGCCATGCTCGACTCTCTGGCCACTGTGACACTTCGATCATTGAGCGCTAAGCGAGTGATGGCGTCCTCCAACTTTGGAAAATCTACAAATGCGTCGGCGTGGAGGGTCAGTAGCAGGCCTTTCGACGGCAAGATTGATTGCTCACGCATACTCACCCGTCGTGTCCAGTGGAAAGGCAGCTGCAAAGACCATGGGCACAGTCGGCTTGAAGCCCTCCAAAGGCTCGACTCGAGCATTCGCGTGATGGAGAGTGTCTCCGATCATGGCCTCCTCCAGCACTTTCATATTCATCATCACCCATCCGACCTGTCCCGTCCGCAGCTCGTTCGTGGAGTTTGCGGTCGGGCTGTTGACACCAGCGTTCAGAATCTCGTAACGCTTTCCGGTGGCAGACGAGCAGATACGGTCTCCTGATGGACAGGGTCAATGGCGTAAGCTAGGTCCATCCGATCGCTTGCTGGAGAGAGCCGATGCGCTCCTCACCCTTCCTCAGAACACCGTCGTAGATGGCCACCAGCGCCACAACGCCCTTGTACGAGTCGTACCACGAGTCGAACACTAGAGCTCTCAAAGGCTGGCGTTCGGCGAGCTCTTCGTCGCGCCTTCTCGCTTGCAGCACCAGTCTCTCTAGCACTTTATCTACGCCTGCTCCCGTCTTTGCGCTGACGTTGATGGCCTCCTCTTTGCCTCCTGGCCCTACGTCAAGCCCCAACTCCGTGAGTTGGTCTAATACTCGTTCCGGATCTGAAGCGGGCAGATCGATCTTGTTGAGGACCGGAATGATGAGAAGGTTGCGCGATCTCGCGATGCGGAGCACAGACAGCGTTTGAGACTGGATGCCCTCTGTCGATAATCAGAGAAGAGGATGCCAGTGGTGCTTAATGCGCATTTCGAGGATGACGATGTGACAAGAGGGCCGGCTTGTCGCGGCGCACCGCCACACGATGACTTGCGCTCACTCACGAGAAGCATCGACGACCAGAAGTGCCACCTGACAAGCTGAAAGGCTCCTGCTGACTTCATAAGCGAACTGAAAAGTGTGACGAAGTAAGCATGCAGACTACTTGAGGGTGCGCAGGACAAGTGGGCAGGGCATGCAAGGGCGAACGAGACTCACATCCACGTGGCCGGGCGTATCTATCAGATTCAGCAAGCACCCATTCCAGACCATGCTGACCGCCTGACTCTTGACCGTGATGCCCCTCTCCCTCTCAACCTTGAGCGTGTCCAAGAATTGCTTGTTGCCTCGACCGGCAGGTATGCAGCCCGTGAGCTCCAAAAGTCTATCCGCCAGTGTGCTCTTTCCGTGATCTATATGCGCGATGATGCTGAACGAAGTGACGGGCAGAGCCGAGAAGGTGGATGCTGGAGGCGGCGTGGGAGGCTGCTGACTTGCAGAAGCGATGCTTTGGTCGGCATCGCTGGCGTACCATCGCGAGGACGCAGGGGTGGGCTGGCGCAACGGAACAGATGCTCCTGTCGGTAGTCCTCGAATAGGTGGCAGCATCAGACGCCTTCTTGTGCTAATGTGAGCCTCTCTATGCCATTCCGCCGGCGCTGTTGCACGTTTGAATTTGCTGTGAGCCTCTAGTCCTCTCGGTCCGAAGGCAGAGTGCAGCGTCGAGGCACCACCTCGTGCAGCTCGTCCCACGACCATCCCTGCGGCTGGCTGGAAGGGAGCGTTTGCAGCAACCGTTATTGAGCCCGAGTTAGATCACGACATCTGTGTGGCCATCAAAGCATCCGAGTGTGTCCCTGGATCCGAGTGTGGACGTAGACAGCACCTCGTGCGTCGATGTTCATGCTTTGCTTTTTGTCTTCGCCTCGCGAAGGAAGTCAAGTCGTCAAATCATGCCGAGTCGAGAGTCAACCAGCATGCAGCTTTGTATCTTTTTGAGTGGTTTCACCTTTGCGTTCCCACGTGACTACGTATTCTAGATGGGTCCGTGCAGCGAGTCGACGGGCTCACTACTGAAGCTCGTGACTCAGGACTTTACGGCTCACGCCCATGCACGCGCTTCGCACCATCGTTCATGATTGCGTTCCCGCGATCCTTGACTCGACACCACGCTCGCTGTCTTGGAGACCATTCATCACTTTTGACTCACTGATGAGTCATGAGCGGAATGCAGCACACGTGATTGGTTACGGAATTGACCGAGAAGCAAAGGATGGGCGACTCACCAGCCTCGACATCCACAGCCAAGCCGGCGTCAGAGACAAGAAGTAGCAGACAGCCTCCAGTCCAAAGCAGGGCGTCATCTGGCTCAGCTATCAGCGCAGCTACACCCAGACGCTCTGCATTGCGCAGCGACGCGAACAATGGTACGCCATCATCGACGTCCCGAGGTGCGCATAGCAGCGCCCCATCCGTTGCCTCACGACTGAGCGGTAGCAACAAATCATCGCCGGCACAGCCGAGTGGCAGGACGAGCGTGGGACCGAGGCAACGCGCGACCAGCATACGCACGAAAGCAGCGAAGGAGGACGCTGGTGCAGCGACGAGCAGCGACGGCCAAGCCTCTTCAGATGCGGCTGTGTCCCTGCAACACGGTGGCTCGAGCATCACCAATGATGGATCCACCTTGGCCAACATCGGCCACGTGGACCAAGAGGCACTCGGAAGAGTCGGTGTGCTGCCGCTGTGGGACAGTGCATTGAAGCTGTCGGAGGAGGACAAGGCGAAAAACGTCATTTGGCTTGACATCGGTGAGCGTGTGCGAGATATCCGCGTGGTAACCTTGTCGCACTTCTGACGCGAGCTGATGACGGCTGGTCTGTCCTGGTGTACAGACAACACCCTCTACCGCAAGTCATCGCGCATAGCAGAGCTAATGGCTCAGCGCATCAGAGCCTACTTTCTGACGCTAGGACTGGATGAGTCGGAGGCAGAGCGTCTGCACAAACATTATTACAGCTCTTACGGCCTGGCTATCAAAGGGCTCGTCAGGCATCACAAGATAGACCCGTTGGATTATGACGCCAAGTGCGATGCCAGCTTGCCGCTCGACGACATCTTGAAACCGGACGCGGAAATACAGCAACTATTGGCCGATGTGGATCGTACCAAGACGCGGATATGGGCGCTTACGAACGCGTACAAGACCGTAAGTTGCTGTGAGCAATGGCATCAAATCCTTCCATATTCTCCAACCTTTGCTCACCCTGGCATCACGGCACCGCACCCTCCAAAGCATGCTGTGCGGGTGCTTAAGCTGCTGGGTCTGCACGAATATATTGAGGGCGTCATCTATTGTGACTATGCGGTAGACTCATTTGTCTCAAAGCCGGACAGGGAGTACTACGATGCCGTAAGTGCACGCGCTCTGTAAAGCTCCAAGCCTCCCCGCAACTCTCAGACTCGCCGCTTTGCGTCTCCCCTGCAGGCCTTGGCCCACGTCGGCACCACCGCAGAGCAGTCCTTTTTCGTGGATGATAGTGCGCTCAATATACGTGCAGCGCACGACCTAGGGTGGAGGTCATGCGTGCTGTTCAGCGAAGTTGACGAAGAACCCATAGAACCAGAGTCTGATCAATCCTCAAGCACCCTCACCACATTCGACACCGGCATGCTCTTGCCGAAAGCTGCACCAAATGGCAATGTGGCGCAGGACAAGACGACTCGCGGAGGTCACTTTGACGAAGAGCTTCTCAAATCTCAGTTTCGCTCATTGCCTCATCAACACCGCGTCAGACTAGTCAGCATCTTGGTTTCGGCTGCAGAACCTGCAGACTTGGTCGTCCTCAGTCGGCTGATTGACAGACATCTCAGGCTCAGCAGAGACATGATCTCCTCCCTGCCTGATCGAATAATCACCTCGATCTTCGAGAAGCTTGAAGTGCGAGAGGTGAGTGAAATCATCACAGGATGTCCTTCGCCACTATTCTGATGGCATTCCCACACGTGGTGTGACAGCTACTGCGATGCCGACAAGTGTCTAAAAGATGGCTAGAAATCGCGGCGATGCCAGAGCTCTGGCGCTCCCATGCTATCGCGCTTACTGAAGCGGATCCGACGCCAGTGATTCCTCCTGACCAGCCTGCAGGCTGGGAGCCGCTTGTGCGAGCTTTGTACTGGCGTGAGCGAAATTGGGCTAGAGGCATTGCACAAAGAGTGGATTTATTCGAGGGCCATACTGGCTTTGTCACGGCGGTCAAGCGAAAGGGACAAACCTTGGTCACCGGTTCCTATGACCAGACTGTTCGGATCTGGGATCTCACGACAGGCAAATGCACTAGGATTTTGCAAGCGAAAGCCATTGCCTGTCTAGATTTTCTTCCCGGTGCAATTCTCTGTGCAGGTTTGTACGACACTGGCAGAATCATGGTGTGGGATATGCGCACCTGGGAGCTCTTGCACACGCTCACAGGTCACAATAGAGGCATCAGAAATCTTGCGCTTAATGCGCGCCACCTCGTAACAGTAGGCCAAGACAAGGCGGTGATTTGTTGGGACTGGCGTACTGGGGAGAAGGTGATCAGATGGGGCCAACAGTCAAACGTCTCGCTAGGCGTGTCAATCGTAGACGACGACAAGATCGTCGCATGCACGGTCGACGCAATCGTCCGCACCTTTTCCATCAAGAGGCAGCAGATGATCGGACAGTTCCATATAAGCAAGTTGGGCGGAGACGATAAGGCGCTCTCCGCCGAGCTGGCTGGGCTAGGCGGAGATGCGAACATGCTACAATGGTTCGCCGCACACCGACGTACGATCACAGTGGCCAGTCGAGACTCCGTGGTGCACCTCGAATGGTCCGAGCACATCGAGCCCCTGGCGGAGGAGGAGTCGCCAAGAAGCACTCCAATTCGAAGTCGAAAAGATTCGACACAGAGCACTGCAGGTGGTCGGCCTTCCACGAGTCTGTCCAACTTAAGTCGCTCTCGACGAGATTCCACGGCGAGCAACGCATCAGATGCTACCACCGCGACTTCGGCTCCGATCAGGCGTGCGTCCGGAGCGCCGGCGTCTCGCTCGCCTGGCGTAGCACGTAGTCCGAGCGTCCTCCAACCGCTCAGCCGAGCAGGATCCATCGGCACCCCTTCGCGGCCTGCGCCTACATCTTCGTCAGACAAGCGTCGCAGTCTCAACAAGACGGTGTCACCTATGCCATGGCCAACCCCGCCTGGGGCATCCTCAAAAGCTGGATTTCCTGCTTCGCCGTCATTACCTGCTTTCCCTTCCTCCACATCCGCTCTTGAGACGCGCGATGACATCGGAGGCGAGGCAAAGCGCACCAGGATAGCGCCTAACCTGACCGTGGCGCCCCAAGTCATCGATATTGTTCGCATGCCCGATGGAGCGACAGGATGCGTGGACCCAGGCAAGAGACGCGTCGTGAGCGCGTGCCGATTCAGCAGCAGAGCTGGTAGCGACCGCCGCATCTTTGCGACGACTCTGAGATTGGAAGGCCGAAGGGAAGATGAAGAACAGGGCGGTGGGAGGACTGTGGTGCCGCTCGGTGGAGCATGGCAAGAGCAGGCAGACCTTCTTGCGCAACCCGCTGCGAATCCAATGTCCATCATCTTAGTGAGTTGATCACTGTGAACACTTTACGTACTATGGACAGCGTAGCTCATCCAAGTCCGTCATGTGAACAGGATCACGAAAGCTGCGTCGTTGGCACTTCGTCGGGGCTGATCTACCGCGTCTCCTTTGTGGGCAATGCATATACTCAAGGATGGGTTGAAGCAGAGTCTTCAAACGGCAAAGCAGACACAGCAGTTTCCCAGCGGGGCATCGGCGATACGACGATCACTGATCTCGTACAGCTTCGCGATATCTGGTCGACCTTGATGCTGCCAGAGGACAGTCCGGCTGATCACCCGGGTCGCTTCAAGCCACGAAGGGATTTGGTTGCTGCCATGGGTCTGCGATGAGATGCCATTCCTGATCTGCAATGCGATACCCATTTCGAAAACTTTGTGGCGTGTGCTGTCTTGCCGAGATCAGAGTCGCGACACTCACGACTGCCCGTTTCTTTGGGGCACAAAGCTTATCCAAGTGCTTGAGGGAAGCACTTTTTGATGAAACGACTTGCCGTACGCAGTTTGAGGTCGCGCCGGTGCAGTCACAAGTCACGACTCGGGGATGTGAGGGCGGCGCGCAGCGTACGCACACGCACGCGTACGCCCGCACACAACATGCACGCACGCGGAGACCTCTGTTGTGAGACGCGCGCTGCAGCTCGCTCGGTCGCCTAAGTCATGATTTCGATTCAACACATCATCATCGGCATTCTTTCGCAGCAATCAAGACCCTCGCGCCATCTCATCGTCTGATCCCGCTGGACTGAGGTGCCCCCAACGCGGAGCTGCCGTAGACTGCAAAGGCATCGTTCATTCTTCAGGAAAGCTGCATGTATGCGCTCCTAACGCCGTCTCGATCGATTTGGAAGGTGCGGTCTGGACGTGCAGCAGTGGTCAGAGGTGTCATGCCCTGCTCTCGCAGGTCAGCTCCGCCAAGATGCGTCTACGTGTCAGCTTGACCGACTCAAAGACGTTGCATGGAATGATTCGTAAGTGTCGCGTGACATGGCAGGCACGCACGCTTTCCTCGGGAGGTGCAGTGCTGAGAGTACGACCTGTTTCCCTCGGCAGAGTCTGTGGGAAAGGTTGCCAACAAATGCATCATTCGATTTTCTCAGAGCACTTTCGACATCATTGTTACCGGGGCTGATGCGCCCGAGGGAGTCCAAATTTGGTCACAAGTCATGACAAACGCGCTGTTCAAGCCAGACGTCCTCCGCATAGAGTCCAACTTTAACGATCAGATAAATCTCGAGGTGGCCACCGAGACCTTCTTGCACGCCTTGAAATCATCGATCAACGCCGTCGACGTCATCATTCGCCTAGCGAAGCGCGATCGTGATCCTCTGCTCAACTTTACCATCGGCAACAGCACCGTGAACGGAGCGCGCCTTGAGATCTCTCAAGAAGTGCTGATACGGGTGCTCCGACCAGCTGAGATCAGTCGCATTCGCGAGCCTGAATGTCCTGTGCCCGATGTGAGAGGATGCTCAGCTTGCGCGCGTAGGATGCCAAGCCGCTTCTGATTCGTCTCCCCTTTACCGGTACTTCTTGTGACAGGCATGCATCTACCTACCGCGCCTTCACAAGATCCGACGAGTCGCTGAACGCATGCAACCGCTGTCTGACACCATCACCGTGTCTGCAAATCGAGCGCACGAACTCAAATTGTCGATCGAAAAGGACGAGGTCAAGATAGAGACGACGTGGCGCGACTTGGACCATCCAGACCTCGAAATCATGACGCAGGCGCGCCACGGCCGAGTGGAGAGTGAATATCGCTCTGTTCGACTTGACATGAAATCGTTCATGCGCTTTCTGTCCTCTTCCGTCGTAGAGACCAAGTCCATCACCAGCATCTGCGAGAATCATTGTGCCATCTTCTACGTAAGTGGGCTCTGGGCGTTTCCGCGCTAAGCTCTGCAAGTTGCTGACTGCGCTGTCTCTCTGCAGGTTTACATAGGCGAAGAAGACTCGGGAAGCGGCGTGATGACGGTGCGTGCTTGAAACCTCGGTCTGGGCGCACGAATCCATGTGACGCTGACTTCCTCTTCTGCTAAGCAGTTCTTCTTGCCGGCGGTCGAGGTCTAGCAAGAGCACGGCCAAGGCTTGTTGCAGACCCGACAATATGAATGTAGGACGTGCGACACTCATTGAAGGTCGAGACGGAATGGAGAGCTTGAAGATGGCCTAGGCGCAGCCACAAGACAGGCCCCCTTCGATTCGAGTGCCAGGTGCACTAGCACGGGCAATGTACGGTGCCCATGATGTCAGGGCAGACTTGGCTCGGTTATGACGGTCATGCGATTCTGGACGAAAAGGAGAACTTGATACAGAAGACCCGAACGAGTATGGAAAGGCACATGATGGTGGGGGTGACTTGGGGTGAATGAATACGCAAGATCAAGAGGCAGAGGTCACAGCGGTCGGTGCAACTGCCTCTTGATCCTGCTTCGCTGTTTGCTCAGGAGCAGCGGTTGCATCGATGTCCATGCCATTCGATGCATCTTCAGCCACGGTTGCATTGGCCACATCTTGGCCTTGCTTGCTTGCGCTGTCGGCCGAACCCTCTGAGATTGCTGCGAGTCGATCTGAGATCCACGAATCGAGCTTCGTCTTTCTAGCGCCTCTCTGTTTCTTGGCGACCTTGTCTCGTCGTGCCAGTTGAGGTCGTTGTAGTCTTCTTGCAAAGACGTCTTCGTAGCCACGGTCATCGTAGAACAGTCGCAAAGTTGTAATGCAGATCTTGATGCCAAGGCCGCTTTGAGCGATCACCTTGGCTCCGGCAGGCTCGGACCTGTCCTCAGGATGAGCGCCGACAGATCTGTCCAAGAAGGGCGCTTGAACGCGCACGGAGAGTCCCTCTGTCGGAGCATGAAGAACGTAGCTAGAGACATACTGCAGCCACCTTTCTTCAGCAGTCTGCGGGTCGCCGAGCGTAAGGTCCTCCTTGGCAAGCATCTGCACAAGGAGCGTACTGCTGGTCTTGATCCATTCCATGCGGAACAAGTGCTCGTCTTTACCGAGCACCTCCTCTGCAGCAATACGACGGGCGATTTGGGCCTTCATGTCCGCCGCCGCACCTACTGCGCGATCCCTTTCCAAAATTGACTGTAGCTCTTGGCACTTGCTGTCTGTTGCGAGGACCTGTGCGGTCTTGACCAGCGAGCCAATAACTTTGTCGAGGGTGAAGACGACGTAGCCTTCTATGCCGTACATGTACCGCACGCTCTCTTCGAAAGTGACCCTGTCCAACTCAGCATCGAAGAACTTCTCGGTCAAGTCGAGCAAAGTATCATAGTACCGCAGTGGTGATAGGGACAAGCCGTCTTCTTCAACGGCAGCGCTGACGCCGTTTGGACCATCGCTGACAACTCCATTGCCGTTGACGGCAGCTGCGGTGCTTTCATTACCTCTGTTGACAGCAGCAGAAGCTGCCGCATTGCCAACGACAGACGCAGGACCCGTCGTTGGGTCTTGCAATCCTAGTTCGAGCGCCACGGGATTCAGTCGCTTCTTTGGCGGCTGGGCCGACGCCATTTGCTCCCCAAGCTGCTTCATCCTAGATAGCCTAGCGTAGAGCAACTGAAAGAGACGAATGAAGACGTAGTGCGAGGTGCTGCAGAAAAAGTTGTACTTGCGAGATGAAGCACCTTTGTCATTTCCTGACGCAACTGCCTTAGCGATGTGGGATGAGCCTGGCGCGGGGACCGTCTTCGCTTTGGACGAGTCGTATGCTTGCAGCGAGCCCTGATCCATCCACGTAGAAGGACCGTCCGAGCTGATGTCACCTGCGTCATCTCTTGCTTGGCCCTCTTTAGAAATGACTCCCTGTTCCGACTTGGCATCACCTGTCTTGTCGGTAGAGGCTTCTGCGACATCGTCGCTCGCATCCGTCATGGAGACATCTTGCGGCTCCGCATTGGCGCCAGCTACGACAGGGGTTGTCGCAGAGTCGAGAGCTTCAGCCGCTGCCTTGACCTCTGCAGCGATGGCAGGGCTTGAAGCTCGTGCGGCGATGGGCTCGGCATCAGCACCCGCCTGAGCAGCTCCAGAAGTCTCGGCCTGATTGCGAAGCAACTTGCGACGGAGGTCGGCTTCGTGCCGCTTTGAGCTACCTCCGCGCTTCACAGTCGACGACGCTCCGCTGGCAGCGGCGCTGTCTGCGTCAGAAACTTCGCTGCGCGCGTCGTCGTCGATGCGGCTTTCAGCGTCGTCGTCCGCGCCAGCTGCGTCGCGACCGTCTACAGCCACACCACCGTTGATCTCGTCGTCGAATTCATTCTGGTCTAAGCACATCAAGAGAGGGATGAAGGTGCGCAGCAGATGCTCAATGCGATCGCAATCACCTTTGCTGTACGGCGCGCGATCTAGGAAGCTGAGGGAGAGTTTGATGATATCTGTCAAGACCACCATGTCGTCCATTGCAAAGGCAAGTTGGTGATCCGGGCGCGGTCGTGGTAGTGTCGCGTCGATCGTGACACGTCTCTGCTGCTGCTGTGCCCGGCGAGATTCAATCTCGGCGACAAAAGCTTTGCTAGTGATTGTCTTCTTGTCACTGACTTTGAAGTTCACGCCTTGATGATCCAAACTCTTGTAGTAGTTTCGTGCATCCACTTCGCGCCAAACTTTGTTCCACTCTCGCTGAGCACGTTTCCACTCCTCGTCCTTCTGTTTGAGACGTGCCAAAACTACGGGCACAGCAACACAGGGGTTGTCATGCAGTGCGGCGATGACCTCGACTCCGTGCTCGCGGCCGTAGACTTTCTTAATGACGCGCTGATAGATGCTCTTGGACTGCCCGCCAAGACCGGGCTTTAGTCGAAACGCAGCGCGCTCTTCCGCATCCATAGTCTGGATTCGTGCGGCAATAGGTTCCAGAAGAGCAATAGTGCGCAAGTTGGCCTGAAGGGAAGTTGGAGTCAGTCACAAAGGCTCGATATCAAATCAAGGGCAGCGTGTGCGTGCTCACCTCAATGTGGTAATCGTACTCATGTCGCTCCTCCTCCGAGCGATAGAGGGCGTCCTCATAGACATTTTTCTTGTGGGGATTGAAGCTCTCGCCCTCGCTCGCCCACGTAGGATGACTGACCCAGACATCGTTCAAGACCTCCCAACACATCGGGTCGCGCCCGCTGCACGCCAGGTTGATCTCTGACTTTGGAAGCTTGCGATACGAGGCGCCATAAGTCTTGCAGTTGCTCAAGTCGACGCGCTCGCGCTGCAGCGCGGGCACATTCTCGATGATCGGGTCTTCGGCTTCGAGCCAGCCATGCTTGCCCATGTCGTAGCCGCACAGCCTCTGAAAAGCATCAAAAAGCTCCCGATCGCCCCCAATGAACAAAGAGGCACGATCGACGAGCGTCCTAATGTCGATGATGTCCTGTGTATAGAGGTTGAGCAGCTTCAAAAACTCCAGATACACGGCACGATCGTCGATCAGCTTCTTGACCCGATCGAAGAATGCTACTTCGTCAGTCGTGGCAAGAGGAGCGGCAACAGCTCCTGCGCCTAGTCCATAACCAGCAGCGCCGGCGCCGAGACCGACGGGGACCAGCGAGGCATCTGCTCCCATGCCCATGCCAGCGCCTAGGCCGGCGGCAGGAACGAGAGATCCATCAATGCTGTAGACCAGCGCGTGTGGTGGAGGCTGATGATGCATGAGGTGAGCGTTGCTGTAGGCCGCTGCAGCTGCGGCGTCAGGCGGCAACATGTCTCTCGGCGGGCTGTGTCCCTCGACTTTGGCCCCAGCGTGCCCGTGCTTGCTCTTTTTGCTCTTGCTACCCCGTCCTGTAGCTGCTTGCTCAGACCCTGTCGCTCCTTGACCTGACACGCCGCCCCCTCCACCAGCTCGCTTCTTGCTTCTGCTGCCGCTTCCAGCCTTCTTGTTCAAATCCGGTGGTACTCCACCATCGTGGCGTCCGGTGGCAGCGCTGCCAGGCGGTGCTATGCCTTGCATCATGCCATGCATGCCGTGAATCTGAGCTCCAACATGGGACGGACCCATTGCACTCGCAGTTGGAGCAGCGACGCCAGCTTGATTCGCACCCGTCGAAGCGTGGCCGAGCATGCCAAAGAGGCTGCCGCCGCTGGGTGGTGCACCAGCGGAGGTGTCTGGTAGGAATTGCTTGAATTCATCCAAGAGATCCTTGTCGTTGTTGAACAGCGTTGTAACTTGTGCATACACCTGATAAAAGTACAGAAGGCGCATATGCGTAAGCAACGCGGTCCCAATAATGCTTTTGGCGTGAGTGAACCAGGGTTGCTACGGCTTCACTCACATCACCAATAGGTCTCTGCTCTTTCTGATACGTCTGCAGGATCTCGAGGAATTGTTTGTACGTGTCGGGATCATTAGAAAAGCGCTGCTTGATGCGATTAACGTATGAGATTGCGTGGTTGAACTCGACAGGCGCCCTGCGGTCGCCGGCCTGTTGAGCAGCAGGACCACTAGCAGCGCCGCTGCTGCCGAACGAAGCGTGACTGAGCACTCCCGCGCCCGCAGTGGCACCAGGCGTAGCTGGTCCACCCAAAGCAGGCGAGTGCGGCTGACGCTGAGGCGTGCCAAGCGAGGCCATGGTGCCAGGAGGCAGAGCTGGTGCATGGCCGGCGGTCCCAGCTGAGACACCGGCACCGCCTCCGTACGAGCTGCCACCTGGAGTATGAGGCGGAGGTGGTGCACCGCTAGGTGCAGGCGTGCCGCGCTCGCGCTGTGAGCCTGTGGAAGCGTTGCCCGCACCCGACGCACCACCAGAGCCGGCTGCAGCACTCGAAGCGGAGCCACTGCCGCTATGCTGCATGCGGGAGATGGCTCCAGCGATGCCTACCCCGCCAGAGGTCTGAGTTGTGGTTCCCGTGGGCGTGGTGACGGTGATCAGATTCGACTCGCTGGGATCCAGTGAGCATTCGATGCGGTAGCCCGGGGGCAAGAAAGTGTTGAAACCTTGGATGAGCGATGGATGGCCTCTGAAAAGCGTGCTGACTCTTTCAATTACGCCTGGCGTATCAATCGTTTGCGATTTGAACTATTTGGAACGACGCGAGGTTTGATAGCATGAGCACAGACGCGGGCATGGCTATGTCGCGGTGAGGGGTGGAAAGAAGTAGCGGTCCGTCGCACGCTCATACGATGTTCTTGGCACTCACATCTTTCATGATATCGAGAAAGCGGTTGTAGACATCCGGATGCTCTGCGAACTGCACCTTGACTTGGTCGAGGTAGGACAGCGCATCCTTGACGTTGAGTGTCGCCTGTGAGCCAGAAGCTCTGGCCGTCAGCCACACTCGCGGTACAGATCCGCATCGTTTGGTATCCAGCTGCGAGCCTGCACTTACCATGATGGCGATCTAGCCTACCAAGGCTGATCCGAGATGGGTGGTGCCCAATGATTAGACAAGGCGAGGTCCAACGGTGCACAAGGTAGACAAGATCAATGATCCGCGCTTCAGCTTCTGCGCACAGTCAGCTACTGGCGTTGGGGTGGATGGAAGGCGCAGCGAGGGGAGAGGGGGGGTAAGGGGAGGTCAGGCTGGAGGACGGCAGTAGAAATCTCTGACACGGGTGTCCGCAGAACGAGAACGCGTGGCAGCAACAGGTGAGTGCCAGCGAATGATGTTGTTGAAGGTCGCGGTAGGGTGGATGAAGATCCCTGGTGACTGGGACGGGCAGAACGACTCGAACCGAGGGATGGATTTGGCACGCAGCAAGCGCGTGTCGCACGCGCACTTCACCGCATCACACAAACTCGCGGCTTATCCTGGTTGCCGCGCCTCATCAGCAGCTGCTCTTTGCGCGTGCGGAGATCGTGGACGTGCGTACATGCGTTCTCTCGTACGCATGCCGAGCGGCTCCAGCGCTTGCAGATCACGTGAGAGGTGTGGGACCTGCACTTGGAAGGCGGGCTTGCGTCCAGCCTAGCTCGAATTTTGAATCTGCGTAATCGTGGCGCAGTTGAAAAGTATCATCACTCACCGCTTGCAGCGCACGACTTGCCCACACCGGTCCGCATATAACACGAGCTTTCGAGCATCTGGGACTCAACATCCTGAATGGGTGCTTCCCAATCTCAAGGTGCCGGCAGCAGAGGCGCTGCATCGGGTGTGCCTGCGCACGACCTCACCGAAGATGGCATCCACAAACAAGACTTTTACGGCTTGCTTGGTCTGGAAATCCACGCGACCACGGACGAGGTGAAGCGCGCATATCGGAAATTAGCGCTCAAGTACCATCCTGACAAGAATCCAGACAATGTCGAAGCCGCAAATGACCGATTCAGACTCATTTCTGCAGCATACGAGGTCCTGTGCGATGATCAAGAACGCGCTTGGTACGATTCTCATCGCGATGCCATTCTCCGTGGCGAGACGGAGGGCGGTGATGCGCAGGGCCACAGTGAGGAAGGCTGGGACGAAGACCAATTCCGCCAATTCAAGACCGGCAAGGCCCAGCCTACAAATCCGGGCAGCAATACACCTGGTCTGACTCCTCGGCACCTGCTGCGCTTCCTGGACCCTACCTTTATTCTCTCGCTGCCTTCCACTGGGCCAAAGGCTGATAGCGACGCTGGCTTCTTTGGCGTCTTTCGTCGCCTCTTCGAGCGGCTGTACGAAGAGGACTACGCTGCTGCTTCGTATCCTGGCGAAGCAGCCACGCCGCACGTCTCATACCCATCCTTTGGTTACAGTCATACGCCCTGGGCTTATTCAAGAGCTGAAGAGGTCGTGGCCGCAAATTCGATGGCCGCACGTGACTTTTATCAAGCCTGGAGCGGCTACACTACTCGTAAGAGCTTCGGTTGGAAAGATGGATGGAAGCTCAGTGAGGCGCCAGATCGGAGGGTCAAGAAGTAAGTGCCGCTACTCGTGAAGCTGATATCTCTTGACGCGGTACTAAGTATCTCTCCACTGCATGAAGGATGATGGAGAAGGACAACAAGAAGGCTAGGGAGGCAGGCCGAAAGGAGTACAATGAGACTATCCGTGTGAGTGGACTCCCGTGAAGACTGTGCCTACAATCAACCGCTGACCAACTCGGTCCGGTCTAGTCCCTCGTGACGTTCTTGCGCAAGCGCGACCCGAGATGGAAGGCACACCAAGCAGCAACAGCGGGAGATGCAAGCGGCAGAGCAAGCGAAGCTGAGCTGGCACGACGACGAGCCGAGGCGGAAGCACGAGCTCGCGCCGAGGCAGAGCGGGCAGCAGCGTACGTGCCACAAGACTGGGAACGTCAGGCGCCGGTGGAAATCGATTCCGAGTTCGAATCCGAAGCTGAAGATGGCGAGCAGGATGGTCGCGAGCTCGATGACATCGACGACTTCCCGACGGATGGCAGAGCTGAGTCTGATGATTCAGATCTTCTAGACGATTTGGAACCCCAGCAGCAAGACTGGGATTGCGTCGCTTGTGATAAGCAATTCAAGACCAGAGCAGCTTGGGAGAACCATGAGCGAAGCAAGAAGCATCGGACAGAAGTGGCGCGGCTGAAACGTGAAATGAGAAAGCAGGATAAGGAGCTCGGGCTGAACCGCTTGACCACTCCGGCTACTGCTGCAGTCCCACTAGAGGAAGACGTTGCGACCTTGGGCTTGCAAGACTATGCAGAGTCTTCGGGAGACAGTGCTGGGGGACTTGACGTGGAGGAGTCTACGCAAAATGGTCGATCATCTCCTCCGAGCCAGCCTCTGAGCAAGAAGGCGCGCGCCAAGTTGAAAAAGCGACAAAAGAAAGGCGACTTGCTCGACAACGACGTGCCCGAGTCGCCTGTGCGGCCGTCACCGGGAACGCTCGAGAAGGCGCCGGGAGGAGGTGTCGAGGAACCCATGGAGGGGGCGCTGCCTAGCCGGGAGCCCTTGGATCTGGCTACTGAAGGTGGCGAGTTCCCCGCCGTGAAGGTCAATTCGACGGCAGAGAAAAAGGCGAAGAAGAAGCAGGGGAAAGGCAAGCTGCCTGCCGAGGTGCGTAGGGTTTTCTGTTCGTCACATCCTCGTCGCGGCTCACGGCTTATTTTCGATGCTCTTGCAGGCTTGCAACGTGTGCGGAGAGGGATTCGACTCGCGATCTAAGCTGTTCAACCACGTACGCGAGAGCGGACATGCCCGCGCTGACACCACTCCTGACGGAGGAGGAATGTCTGATTCGCGCAAGGGCGCTAGGCGTAAAGCGCCCAAGTCTAAAAGGTAGCGCCGTCCGATTCGCTTGGCACCATCGACTTTTCGCGGCAGCATAGACTTTTCATTCAGTGTCGACATCAACACCTGTACTCTTACCCACGCACAGCAACGATGCTGCAATCCATAATGAACCTCGCTGGCTACATATGATCTATCACGCGAATGGAGACGCAAATGTTTGGGGTGGCCCGAGGCCGGATGTGACTATTGAGTAAAGTGTGTAGATGCAGCGATGTAGAATGGTGAGAGGTTCGCAACGATGAGGAATGCTCGACGGTTGCGACGATACAAGTACACATGCCAGGTTTAGTACAAATAGAAGAGACGAAGCGAGTTACGGAGGTATCAGGTAGGACTGGGCAATCGTGCTAGATGGAGCCTTTATCGGCGAGCCGGCATCCTGCGAAGACTCAAACCATTATCTTCCTCCTCATCGCGGGCACAGTCTGCCAATGTCTCTTCTGATCCCTTGGACGCGTGCATGTAGATGGATTTGGCACGAATAGAAGAGGCAGCGGAGCTCTATAAGAAGGCGAGCAGCACATCGAGGGTGTCAGTTTCAGCTCGCTACTCGGGCACTGGGCGAGCATGACAGACGACCACACTCACGTTTGCACTGCCTCTCCTTCGCTCAGCGTGGAAGAGGGAGCTTCCGTAGCTGCTCTGAGAAGCGCTGGATGTCGAGCTCGCTCGAGACTCGGTCGTGTCCCATCGCTGCAGCTGAGGTTCGAATGAGACGTGAACCAAGCCTTGTTCCCTGGCCTTGGCGGCAGCGCGCCGAGCGCTCTGCACGACCTCTTCGTCGTGCAGCGCTGAAAAGGGCTGGAAGACAGCGTGATGCTGGAAGAAGCCGGTTGCGGCTGCTGTTGATGTGCGCGACATTGTGCGTTCAGTTGAGAGTGTGAGCGTTGAGTAGCTTGACTCTATGTTTGCGCAGAGTGCTTGCGCGCGAAGTGCGGAGTGATTGCAGAGCTGCTCGCCAAATGATGAGCAATTGTACTGTATCCGGCTGTTGCGGTGGGCGCAGTCGTGCGTTGTGCAAAGCAATGTGATTGTGGGATCGTCTACGTGCTGAGATCAGGTCGATGCCTTATATATGAGTCAGAGTGATGCTGGTGTCTTCGAGTCATCGATGGAGTCAGTGCTGTGAGTGTGGATGATGAAGTAAGGGCCGAGCCATGCAATATGAGAGGATGACCCCATGCTGGCATGATGACTCGTGACTCCGAAGGAGATTCTTTTCCGAGGATCCGGACGTAGCGCGTACAGGCACACATCATGAGCGCGCCGAGCAAGCTCCGCCGGCCGATGGAACCGGCAAGACGCGTTGGTCGTAAATCGTAATGGATGATGACAAGCGCGCGGTAAGCAGCGCCCTGCGCCAAGCGCGCGCGGAGCTTTGCTTTGTCGCCACACAGGCGTCTCGCCTGATCCTGGATTGTACCGCTACATAGAAGTCTAAACCCGTTGCGCGTACGTGGCACCCGACGAGCTCGGTCAAAGCGAGTCATGCAGCTGATGGGCATGCAGAGAGACCTGTGAATCACGCGGAAGGACAATGCAAAGCGGCGCTTCGGACTATGCGAGTTTCGGACGTCTGTCCACACTGATGAGACGCTGCACGGCGTGGGTCAGGCCGAACATGGCCGTCTGCATGCAGACTTGATTGAAACTGCGCCAGAGGCTGCAGATCAACCGGCCGTGTCGCAGAGCTATATAGGCGTGACGCGACCATTATGACGACTGACTCGATTCTGACTCGACTCTTGCACTCCGGACTTAAGAAATCACGCGCGCGTGCTGGCACGCGTGGTGGAAGGACCCTTGCATGGTGAGACCCATGCCGCGCGCTGCCCCTATATGCAGCTCGATCACGCGCGCTGGTGAGCTTACTGTGCACGACATGGGGACCGTGACAGCGCGACGTCAGCAGCGGTAGGCACGAGAAACGGTAGGGATGATGACTCCAACTCTCTACATAGGGTGAGCATCAGGCGAAGTCCATGAGACGCTGAATACTCTCAGCTTCTCTTGCGCACCGAATCCACGACTCGCGCTCGCATATAGCGTCGACTGGTGATGCAGCGCGGAGGCGCAGAGCTTCGCCGCGAGCGTGACCGCGGTTGCCAAGCATTTGAAGCATTCAAGATGACATTTCCTCGTGTTTTTTTTTTTTTTTTTTTTTTTTTTTTTTTTTTTTTTTTTTTTTTTTTTTTTTTTTTTTGGCGGTGCGGTCGCGGCGGAGCTTGACGACGTGCTCCTGCCATGCATGCAGGGCGCAGTCGTCGCGCACAGGGATCAGCATGTTGCGATGTCTCTTGCACCGGCAAACTCGGACCGGCTCGATACGCATGCAGTTACGCGCAGCATCAGTTGGTGACCCCGCGAAGCGCGATGAACGCGCGCGCGTGTCAAGCATTAGCTGTATAGCGGAGCGGCAGTCCGCGGTGAAATCGCGCTCTCTTCCGCGGATCCACGCGTAACCGCGCCGACCCCTCTGCCGCGGACATGCCCTTCCGATCGACCCTCATGCATATTTTGTATACATATAGCAGCTGGGCTTCCGATGAATCGGTGATATTCGTGAATGACCGCTTCAAGAATCACGTGAATGTGAATGCACGACCTACCACCATGACAACGAAAGGGGCTTCAGCTGCGGTCATACCGGCGAGTCGCGACCTGACGAAGTCATCTCACATCTCGATTCGAGATCGTTGAGCCACACCCGTAGTTGCCCAAACACCTTGGCTTATACGATGGGTGGCGAACGCTTCAATAATAGTTGACGGGTTACGCCCGGCCTTCAGCATGCCAATCGCGGTCTGACAGAATGTCAAGTCGTACTCAGAAAGAAGCAATCGTCTCATGGGCAAGAGTTGCGGATGCATTGGAGCCTTCAACCCACCTCCATCCATCGAGCTGGGCGCTTGGTGGACATGCATGAGTGGCGCTGGCTATGGTCACATTTTCGCTTTACCTTCCCCTATGCTTGTCGGACGCCACGAGCACATAGTGCTCGAGGACGACTGACAACACAAATGGTGGCTGAACGGCTCGGTGCAAGCGATTTGCATTCAATTACGCTACACATTCTCATCAGAGCTTCACTTCTGTTCTTGGGGGCGCATTCAGCTGTTCACAGCGCGCAACATATGGCCATCCTGAGCCGCTGCGCCCAGCATGAAGTCGGTACGAACCTGGAAGTGTATCAAGCCCTTGTCAAACCTGCCAGCGATGCAATCGAAAGCAGCGTAAGTCTCACGTCAAACCGGCAGTTTGGTGGCAGCGCGCCATTCACGTCGACGATACGTCGTGATCCTAGGCACGCTTGACCCGGCATTGCTCGCAGAGTCGCCTGTCGCCATGGCTCGTGTTGTGGGGCTTGGAGACCTCGAGCTGCTTGCTCTGGACCTGCCACCCGATGACGAGGCGCCATCCGTGATATGCCGTTCAAATACTCCTGGAGAGTTAGCTTTGAGTTTCTCGGCGACCTTGTTGATTTTCTTCCGCGTGCCCATGTTTGCAAGGTCACCACTCTTGCCAAAGTAAGCTTTCAGGCCATCGTAATTGTTAACAGACTTTTCGTACACTTCAACTTTCGGCACAAAGACGCCTGTGCCAGATTGGTGTCCACCATCGCCTTTGCCGTTGCTGGAAGCAAGTGAAGCCTTGACTCGATGAAGGATGTGTTTCTGCTTGAGTACACTGACTGGGCTTGTCGAACGACTGTCCGTCATGTGCGCTTCGGGCGATGGGTTTCGAATGAGGTTTGCGCCTCCCATATTTGCAAGGCTCGAAGTACCCTTTCCGAGGACCACTTTCTCGTACTCTTTGCGGGTCTCGTTGAGCTTGGTGGTAAGCTGCCCATGACGTGATGGCGTATTGGATGCAAAGGCATTCCTTTGAGAAGATGCTTGCTTTTTGAATGTAGGCAGTTGCAAGGCAGCGAAGCGCTCAGTGGTCGTGCGATGTACCGGCCCGAGCTCGGAGTGCAAGCTTTTAACGAATGGGTGCGAAACGTCGAATGCATTCGCGACGCTCTGCAGACCAGGACTACGTCTCATCACGGACTGCCAAGCAGTCAGACAACATGTCAACGTCCGCTTCATACAACAGTCTTGACCACCGCTTTGGGCCGCTCACCTCTCGCTCACTGCTCACTCTGCCGAGTGCTATCTGGACCAGGACCGCGTTGATGAGGATATGCTTGCGGGCCAGGAAGAGCATGTTGAGGACGTAGGCGAAAACGGAGCGACCAAGATCGAAGAGGAAGCAACGAGGTTGACCGGCGACCTGCGCTGGCGAATCTGAAGGTAAGAGAGAGATGGTAGGAGTGCCGACAGCCAACAGTCAGATACCTCTCCTTTTAAAGACATTGTTGGGCAGTCCTGAGGGGCAGGGCCGATGCCGCCCTGAGTGGTCAGAGTACAGAAGCCCCGCTCTTTTGGAAACCGTTGCTACGCCACCATTGCATGAAGCCTTGGGGAAGCTTGCAGAGCACGAGAGAGCATGCTCGGACCATCACCGACCCGTGCTTCAGCACGAATGAGCGCGTGACTGTTCATTCACGAGGCTTACTGGAGCATTGGTGATTGCTGGGTAGGGTCAGCGTGGCTGAGAACTGTTGCCGTGCGCTGCGCCTCGGCGTCGGTACGCAGACTGTTAGCAATGCCCGGTGGCAGCGCGTTTATTCTTGCGGCGAGCAGCTCTGCATTCTACAGCCGTACGCCAAGCAAGCGACCAGGCAAAGGCGCGCGCCAGGAGAAGGGCTCAGCGATGCTCAAAAGGCAGGCCCAATCTGAACGAAGTCAACCTGCTCCGCTTACGATTGCTCGGCGCGCCGTCACAGCCTCGTAAATTGCGGGGCCGAGTGACGCGCAGTCCGCTAAGATGTGACCGTCGTCCTTGACTACACAGCAGAGCCAAGCTACTAGATCGTCCCAAACGCCTCCCTTTCGCCACTCGCGACAAGTGTGAAATGTAGCGCTTGTGAGCGCCCACCCTGCCGCTGCGTTGTGCCCGAACGGCAGCTTTCCGCGCATGCCACTCGACGCCATGTTCGGTACGCAATGTGCTACTCTACATGCTCCTCATGGCTCACATCGCTGAGTGAGCCACTAGGCGACCAGCGTGGCACTGATGTGGATAGTGAAAGCTTGCCATTGCAGTTGCCGCTACCTGCTCGCTGTGTGCGCCACAGTCATCTACTTTTTGCCCTTCTTCTTCTTCTTCTTCCCACCGCCACCACCTCCACCCCCACCCCCCTGAGTGCCAGTCTGCACCGTCCCAGCGCCTGAGGACGATCCTACATGCTCTGCTTCCGTTATAGGTGCTGCATCTTGGCTGTTCGCGCCCGCCTGCGCCTCCGACGGCGTTGGTTTGGGTGCTCCGGCAAATTGTGCGATGAGCTCGTGATTCAAGGCTTGAAAGCGGTTGAGGATGATGGAACTTCGTGTTCGAAATTTGATCGTCTGGCAAGTACAGGGGCAAATGTGAGACCTTTCTCTCGATCCGACGCTCGTGTTCATCGCTGAGCAGACTGCACACTCACAGAGAAATCATCCGTGACCTTGAGAATAAGCGACTGCGTGGCTGGGTGCGCTTTGATCAAGTAGCGGGTCTTTCAAGTCACGGGATAGGACGCTGTCAGCATTTGGTGCGAGAGCGGCAGCACCACGCTAGATCCGGCGTAGTTGCGTTTGGCCTGCCAACATCGATGTCTTGACAGAGGCTCCGTTTTGCATCCAACGCCGTCCAACTTCCCAACAGCGCGCTGATCGAGTAGATCGCAAATCTGACAAGTCCACTCACCCGCTCGGGCTGCGCTTTCTGAAGGTCTATCGCGGCCGCGTGAAATGCGACCCAAGATTTGATGTACACCATCCCACGGTGAGGACGAGAGCGTCCTCGCTAGAGGATCTGCTCTGGGAGGGAGTTGTGTGCGGCTGTAGAAGACTTTGGAGCGCCTCGCTTTGATGCTCAGCCTTGTCGCCTGATTTGCTGGGATCCCTTAGATAGTATGGCTCAGAGCGAAGCAAGGTCGAGCAGCAAATGTGCCAGACTCCTCGCTGAAAGCCCAAAAGGCTGATGCACGCTGAGCAGACGAGGCACTGCACCTAGACTCTTCGTGAGGTCCGGCTCTTACCTGGCGGAAGTCGCGGACGGTTCGCACATTTGAGGATGGTGATCGAGCTGTCCAAGATCTGGATCGTGAATCGTGAATCGTGAGTCACGAGTATGCCGGCTCTCGAAGTCGTACCGCAAGTCCGGTCATCCAGATGCTCGCGGTCAAAGTCTTGAGTGGGGAAGCGTTGAAAGTATAGTCACGGCGTGTAGCGTGACTCTATACTTGACTTGGGACAAGGTCACGTGGACTTTCAAGAACAGAAATCAAGAACATATATGCGTATCTATCGTTTGGTCCAGAACGAACTTATTATTATTTCTTTCGATTAATAGTTCGCCGGATGATTTATTCTTGAAGGTCTACGTACGTTCTTGATTTGAAGACTTGGCGCAGTCCGCCGCGTACCGGCCGCGCGTCCGCTCAAATTGCCGAAAGCGCGCTGAAGATTTTGGGGGGCGCGTCTATGCTGCATGCATGCAGCAGTCGTGAGTATAGCAGGGGTGTGGCCCAGGTATGCTGGTGGTCGGAAGCCGTGGAGAGCCGAACCGCTGCGCATCCACCAACGAAGCTCTCACTGGACAGCAGTGATCTCCATCTTCGCAATCATCCAGATCCTCCCTCACCGCTGGCGGCTGCGATTAGGTGACCCTCTCAAGCGTCTGCGAGAATACTTGCAACGCATGCACTTGTGTGTCGGCTGATCTCTCCAGCCGCTAAGAATACGCGCAGCGCCTGATCTAGAAGTCGACATCCTCAGCTGTGACCTATCCCGGCGTATCTTCACGACGAGCCACATATCGGGGTGGTAGGATTCAGGAGCGCTACCTCTGCATCCAGTCCAGGCTTAGGGCTTGTCTCTCTCCTTCTCAGCATGTACCCGGGGAGCCAGCCTTCCCAGGCCACAGGCGGGCAGCACTCGGCATTCTCGCATCCGCCCAATCTTCATGGCTCGAATTTCTATGGCGGCCCCCAAGGTGGCTCCATTGGATCTCCCTCCACGCCGCCCTACAATACTCAGGGATGGCCCCCAGGCTCGGCTGCTGCTGCTTTCGGTGCTCCTGCCGGAGTCTACTCTCCAGCTGGCAACAGCAGGAACTTCGCCGGGGGCAGCTCGCTTGGACATACGTGGAGTCCTGCGGGCGGCGTCGGCTCGGATGCGCCACAGGTAGACGGCGATGAAGATGAGGATGATGAAGAAGACGAAGAGGATGAGGAGGACGAAGACGACGATGACGACGATGAGGAACAAGATCAGAGCAGTGGCAAGAAGCGCAAGCGTTCGGGTGACAAGGGCAAGGCCAACGGAGCAGGCAATGGCAAAGGGTCCGGCGCAGGTTCATCGGACAAAAAGGCGAAGCCGACGCGAGGCGCAAAGGCTTGCACCAACTGCAGGCGCTTGAAGATGCGATGTGTAGGAGCGGAACAAGGTCCGCCTTGCGCTCGGTGCAAGCACGGCGGTCACAACTGCGTGTTCGAGGAGAGCAACCGCGGCAAAAAGGGAGGCAAGAATCAGCGCGCCGAGGCGATGGCTCAAAGCTTGAGGAAAATGGAGGCGACTCTCAACTCCGTCTTGATGAGCCTGCGCGACCCGACCATCGCGGCGGGCGGGGGTACTGTGACGAGGAGTCCCTCTCCGACGCGCGAGGGAAGTAGGCCAAGCAGTGGCAGGCATTTCAAAGATCGGCCTGGCTCGCTGAGCCAAGCTGAGGATCGCGAAAGGCGAGAGCGCGGATGGGCCGCTGTGAACGAAGCGGACGAGTACGGCAGACCTTTCAAGCGCAGGCCTGGCACCATCCCTCCGCTTGCCTCCGCTTCAAATGCCGAAGCAGCTGCGAGCCCAGGAGGCAAGCATGTCAACCCATCGGCTCTGGCCGGACGGGATGACGGGAGGGCGGCCGGTACCCAGGCTGCACCAGAGTCCGGCGCTCGCTTCGCCGTGCCAGCTCAGCCCGCCCGCGGCGGACGACGACACTCGCCGCGACTGCATTCGCTGCCCGACAGCACTCTGACACCCTTGGGTCTGTTGGCGGAAGCGAGCTTGCACAATCACGAGCGCAGCAAACGACTCGGACCAAGGCTGCACAGGCACACCAGCAGCAGCACAAGCGTCTCCGAAAGCTCGCCAGCCAGCTCCTCCGTCCGCCTCAAACGCGATGGAGAAGAGGCAGAGGAGCACGGAACACCCGCGACTGTCAACGTCGCGATAGGTGCAGGTTCCCCTGATGACGCTGGTAAAGCTAGTGTCGCTGCCAGCAGCGGCAGTGGCTCGCGCGAGGTCAAGGGACTTTCTGCAGACGACTCAAGCGAGGGCGCCGGCCTTGACAGGATCGCGTCCAAACAGTATCCAGCTCCGCCGGATGAGTACGTCGATTTCCCTGGCGCAGAACGCGCCAAGCAGCGTCCTGGAGAGAAGAATGCAGCTACGTATAATCCGCGGCCCAATCCCGATGAGGTAGCAGTCTCGGGTCTTGGTGTCGCCTCAGACACTTATTTCAAGGTCAGTGGTATTGATCGCTGCAAGACGGTTGATTGCACGTATTGCTGACACGCTTTTTCTGGCCTCTCCCACGTCATAGCCGGGACCGATGAACATACTTCCCTTGCGGCGAATCGTCATTGAGCGCGAACTGCCGCCTGAGCTCCTGACGAGCGGTACTTTGACGTCACAGGAAGTTCTTGAGCTCTTCCAGATCTTCTTCCACTTTTGCTCTCATCATTGCGTCATCCTCGATCCCGAATGGCACACGCCTACGATGATATGCAGCAGAAGCCCCTTCTTGTTCACTGTCATCTGCATGATCGGAGCAAAATTCTACCCGAAGAGACCAGAGCTGTATGCCAAGTGCTTGCTTCAAGCGCAGAAGAGCGCCTATCTCATCATGGCAAGAGGTTACAAGAGTGTCGAGATCGTTCAGGGCTTCTTGCTGCTCGCTCTATGGAATCAGCCGGTGAGTTGCATTGCGGGGCTTAGTCGCAGAGTCGATGCTGACGTTCTGATGGTCTTTGCAGGCTGCTCGATTTGAAGAGGACAAGACTTGGCTGTTCAGCGGCGTCGCGATCCGCATGGCGACAGATTTGAACCTTCATCGCAAGTCTGTTGCCTCCTTGCCAGGCAACTTGTCGCCGGATGATCCGGCTGTCCTGGATCGTGAGCGCGAGATCATCAATCGCGAGCGGACCTGGCTCATGTGTTTCAGCGTGGACAGGAGCATCAGCGGGCAGATGGGTAAGCCTTGGACTATACGAGAAGATTGGATCATTCGAAACTCGCGCCATTGGTGCATGCAGAGACTGAGCCAGCCTTGGGACTTGGGCATCAGCGCTCTTGTCGAGCTTCTACGTCTGACTTCCAGGCAGGTCGACTTTCTCTATTCGTCCACCACTTCCGTATCGGGTCTTAACACGGAGCTGGAATACTCTTCAATCCTTCGCATCTATAACGAGCAGATCGAAGAATGGCGAGATACGTGGCGGTCTCGTGGGTTCTTTGGATCGCTTTCCGAGAGTGATGGGGCGGACGGAAGCTTTCCCCTTGCTGACGGACCCGAGGCTGAGGCTGCAAAAGAATGGCGCGAAGCAGAGGCGAAGATACCTGCCGAGGACACGGATCATCACAAGCGCACTATGCACTTCATCACCAAGCAAGCGCCATTGCGCTACCACTATGCGGTTCTCGTGATCAATTCCTTTGGTCTACAGCACGCGGTCGACTTCCCCCGCCGAAGTGGTCTAGACAAAGGCTGGTGTGAGTGTAGCAGACATCCCGGCTCAGACTGCTTGCTGATGCTGCTTGCGTCACCTCTGACCTTGATCGCAGACTTCGCGCGCTGCTACAACGCTGCCAAAGGTATCGTGACCGCCGCTGGAACGGGCTTGAGGTCCGTACTGTCGTACTCTCCCGAGACACACTTTGTCATCATCACGTATGCCTGCGTGTTCCTGCTCAAGGTGAGCTGCAGCCTTTCTAGTGGCTATTGCTCATTGTTCTGACCGACTCTGTTCCTGATCTGCAGCTTGCTCGGCCCACCTTCAGCGCTTACGTTGACGAAGAGGAGGTGCTTGGGCTGGTCGGAGAGGGTGCCAACCTTCTTGAGGCAGTGGCTCTAAGCCCGACGCATACTCCGGCCTTGTACTCGGGATTCCTTAGGACTCTGCTGCAGACGAGACGAGAGGCGTCAGCGACGAATCGAAGCAGCGGCACGACGCCATACAATCAGTCTCGCGCCAACTCTGCAGAAGCAGAGGCTAATGGCGGGGAAGTGGATGGTGCTGGTGCTAACCCATCCCGACGCCCATCGCTCGGTGGTGCTGTCGCCAGAGCCTTGGAAGGCAAAGCAGATGATGGGCCTTCCTCTTCGAATGCCTTCTCTAACATGGGTGGCCAAGGCTCCGCTAGCGGCTTCGCCACACCGTCAATGAACATCACGCCAGCTCAGAAGACGGCGCTGTCCGGGTTGGATCCTGCGGTCAGTTCAATACGCCAAGATGTTTGTTCGCTGTCCTCCATCGCTGACTCGGCACGCCCATTTGCACTGACCCTGTAGACGCTTGGTGGTATTGACATGTCCAACCCGCATTTGGATCAGCTCAACCTCGACGACTCGTTTTGGTCTCAATTACTGCCTCCTGGGTTTGGGGGCACGCTGAGTCTAGACGGCACGGCGGGCTTGGACGGTCTGATGGGCTCTAGCGCTGCCGGATCAGGCGGCGGCAATGGGCAACCATTGCCGGCGTTCGGAAGCAGTGCTCAAGGGCATGCTAGTGGAATCATTGGTCTAACACCTAGCCAGACCCGCAGCAATTCACCGCATCCTTCGTCCAACTTCACCAATGTGCAATTTGACTTGCCGCCGAGCTCCGTTCCATAGGAGTCCACACTTTTGCTATGCAGGAACACTGGCTACCCTTGCACCGCTCAAAATACGCTTGCTCAGTCATCACTTGCGCGAACAACTTAATCTAATCCGAAAGCGCTGCCGTGCCGTCTGCGGACGGAGCACCTTAGCCGTATTCAATAATTTGCATTTGCTTGTACAGACAGCAGGCATGAGCTGCGTGAATCCAAATCGGCAATGTCGCGAGTCTGTGTGATTAGGGCAAGCAAGAGATGGTAAAGCAAAGACGCAAGAGGATCCTTAGTGCGATTCGCCCTTTGACGATTCTGCCCACGCCTTTGTGCCCATCTCTGTGACTCTGCTGATCAGTCGAGCCCTATTGGAAGATTGAAGGCGTGATCGTCAGCGCAGGCGGAGCGCGGTCAGCCAGATAGAAAATGGTTAAGGGACGCTCGACGCGGCCTCGCCACGCACCAAGCAAAGAGCTCTTCGTCACCGCTGACGATTGGACTACCTCCAAGCGATTCCTGGATGTTTGTTCGAGGGAGCAAAGTTTTCAGCGCGACATCACGAGCAAGAGTGGCCAGGTCTCTTCCCGCATCGGCCCATGCGCGATTCTGCGCGACACTTTCCGAACGCACCATCGTCATGCCGAGGTCATCCATGAGCAACCTGAATTTTTCGATATCCGCCTTGTCCGTCTCTTTGCTGGACAAGACCTGCACGATGGGCACTTCCGAGCTCATGAATATCTTGCTCTTGGCCTCGTAACAAGCATCGACAAAAGTGATGAATCTTCTAGCCAAATCTCGTTGATGGATGCTCATCTGGGGTATATTGTCAATGAACAGTGTGTCGAAGCTCTTGCAAATCTCTAGATAATCTGCTGCGCTCTTTGGCGTGCCGCATAGATCCATAAAGTCGAATCTCGCTGCTTTGGTTGTGCTTTGCGGCACTGTCAATTTGCGTCCCCACACGCTCAATTGCCGACCATCCATGACGGGGTCGGAAGGATCACCACTCGTTGTCGCCTTCCACAACTTGTCCATCTCCCGCGTGGTCTCGTCGTTGAGCGGATGAAAGTACACCTTGGACAAGGCCCTCCTTTGCTTCCTGTAGTCGATCCCTGAATTGAGGTCCACTACTCGGAACTGAGACTTGAGCAGCTCTATGCACGGGATGAAAGAAGACCGCTGAATGCCGTTCTTGTACAGATCATCTGGATGTCGACTTTGCAAGGACGGCCATCAGCTTCTCAGCTTGCAACGGATTACAAGCAGCTACAACTCACTTGGACGTCATGACAAAGACCACGCCGTGATAGACCATGTGCTCGAGCAGTCTTCGGAGGATCATAGCGTCTGCAATGTCCGTCACCTGAAAATGAAGCCATCCTTGTGAGCACACGCCTCCGAAGCTCCCTTGTGGCGAGCCATCTCTCACCTGGAACTCATCGAAGCAGACCACGTCGTGTTCTTTGGCCAAGGCTCTAGCCACGGGCGGTATGGGATCCACCTCTTCCCCAGCAGCAGCCGCCTTCACAGCAGCGCTGGCAGCTCCAGCAGGATTGGTAGACGAGACGACTTCGCCCGAAGTGATGGCTTTAGCTGCGCTCATGACCATCCCGCTGGGTTTGTGAACGCTAGATTTGAAAGCGTGCATGCGCTTATGAGCTTCAACCATGAAGGCGTGAAAGTGAATGCGCTGGGCTGTTGGAGGCAGCGTGGCGTGCAGCATATCCATCAGCATGCTGTGCGCAGCGCAACAAGACCGTGCAAAGAGGTGTCAGTCTTCTGGGATACGCCGCTGTAGCGTTGACGCTTATCACCTGCCCGCCATGACGACTCACGACTTTCCCGTCCCGACATCTCCGTATAAGTACAGCCCCTTAGGAACATCCGGTGAGATGGGCAGCGAGTCGTGCTCATCTTTCTTCTGACCAAACCAGCGTGTCAGCTGCATTTTCAAAGATAAGGATCAGCATGCATCTCAAGTGAGCCAGCCTCTCCGTCCTTCACACCCACCAAGCCGGCAACCGCTTTCTTGATCTCTGGTTGCACCTGCTGCGTGTAGGACTGCAGCTCGTCGTACATTTGTTGCAAGGGCCCTTCCACTATTCTCCTTTGATGCGCATCTTCTCTCAGCAGCCCTTTCTCCACCCTCTCGTCGTACAGCCGCTTGGGCCCGGGTCTGTCGGGAGCGGATGTCGAGCTTGCAGCACTCCCAGATGCGGCAGTGAGTGTGGATGCGAAGCTTTTGCGATGCTGCGAGGTCGACGCTGATGATGTTGTCCTGAGCGGCAGAGAAGTGTTGTGTAGCTGCGACGCGCTGCTTCGCAATCGCCTGTCGATGAAGTCCAAAGGCTCGTGGTGGGCGGAATGCGATGCTCTTCGAGGAGCTGCGGACCTCTCTGTCCTCGAAGACGATGAAGTTGCCAGCCTGCTGCTTGCTTCCGGTGCGGCATATTGGAGAGCAGGCCTGAGACCGCACCTGCTGCTCGTTCGCACCGAGGACATGGCGCTAGAAGGTTGCCCAAGGATGTCGTATCGCCAGAGGTCGGGTGTAAATGCGCTCGAATCGAAGGGGAGCTCAGCGCGTCCACAAGCAAGCTCGACTGCTCTTCTCTATAGACGACGCCGACCAGGTGGTATTCCGTGTCGCTGTTGCAATCTTGAATCGCTCGAGTGATGATGCATGAAGGCATGCCTTGCGCATTCAGCGTCTACGCTGATACGATGCTGCGTGTCAAGTGTCGAGAAGCGTTCCTGAATCGTAAATTGTGAATATCGTGAATTCGAATCAAAATGCAGCTGCACGAGCCCCACCTGGCGACACCAGCAAATCAGAAGGTCCGCTTCCCGCCAACGAAGCTCCGCATTCACGTGATTCACATGTCGCCTTTCGGACGTAGGTACACGCGCGATGCCGGTACGCAGGCATGAGAGCAGCGTGCCACCTGCGGTGGAGCAGATGGATGATGGACGGTCGTGTGTGTGATTGGCTCCTTACTACTCTAGGGTGGTTCGCTGGCCCTGCTGTGCTTTGGGCGGCAGTCAATCAATTCAAGACTCGCTGGTGCCTCTCGATGTATACAGTGTGTGGCAAGTAGGTAGGGCAAGGTCATTTGGGACGCAAAGCACAGCAGTGCGAATGGAAACGCGCAAAGCAATCAGCGAGCACTTTCACGATCGCAAGCCGATCAAATTGGATCAAATTACGAGCATCATTTTTCGATCGCAACACGTACTCAAAATGGTCATGCGGGGTTGGGCCCAGTATGGATAGCATGAACAAGGAAGGGGGGGCGGAACATAGTGACGTCGATCGCTCGCCGGAAGGGATGGGAGCGCGAAGAGTCTTTTGCGAGGAATGTAGGGCGAGCCGTGATGTGAGACAAGAGCGACAATGCGGAAAGAGCATATCAAAGTTCGTCCTCTGACTCCACGGTCTCTCCTCTCTTGCGTCTGGCCATGCGCTCCTTCTTTGCTTTCCTGGCCTCAGCAGAAGAGAGCTTCTTGGCCTTCTTCTCCTCGATAATCTTGTTGCCCATGGCGTCGAACTTGTCCTCCTCTTCGTCCTTCTTCTTCTTGTCGATACGCTCGCCGCTGCCTTGTCCCTCGACCCAGTTGTGGCCAGAAGCGTGCAGAGTGCCATCGCGCATGGCCCAAATTTCCTTGCAGACACCGCGAGAGAATTCTTCAGAGTGAGTGATGATGGCCACACCTCCCTCGTAGTTCTCCAATGCCTTGATGAGGGCAGCAAGAGATTCACGATCCAAGAAGTTGGTGGGCTCGTCGAGCACGATGATGTGGGGCTGACGCCATGTGGCAGCGGCCAAGACGACCTTGACCTTCTGACCACCAGAGAGACCTCGCATACCGGAATGGGACACGAACTCGGCGTCGAGACCGAAGTCAGCAAAGTGCTTCTCGATCTCACGACGAACCAAGGGTCGGTTCATACCGGCACGTTGAGCTTCACGACTATCAACGGCGAGGACCTTCTTCTCGAAACCACGCTTCAACAGCTCGTCACGAGGCAGCCAGACGTTGTCGGCGCTACTCATGGCCTTGAAGGAAACTTCATACTGGAAGCTGTTCTTCAACTTCTTACGTCCGACAATGTCCTCGATGATGCGCTTGACACCTTCGTGTACGTAGACTTCACCATTCTTCATGGCTTGCTGCTCCTCTTCGGTCAGCTGGCGGGTAGCCTTCATGTGCTCCTCCAAGTCTTCACCTGTTTGGTACCGCCAAAGCATGTAGTCCAAGGGAGTCTTGTCGAGGTGCTGGTCAATGTGGTGGAAAGCGTGCTGTGCGACGTACCCGATGACCAGGTTGGGGTGCTTCCACGCCTCTCCAGAGTTGGGCTCAGTGTCACCGACAATGAGCTTCACCAAAGTCGACTTTCCGGAACCGTTGGGACCCAGAATGGCGACACGGGAAGAGAGTGACAGCTGCATCGAGATACCGTTCAGTTGAGGTGCAGGTGTGTTGGGGTATTGGAAGTGCACATTTCTCATCTTGACCAAAGACTTCTCCTTGGTCTTGACACCGTCGAGAAGGGGAGGGTCTGGCAGCTTGAAGGACAAGTTATCGTCGCCACCGCCGAGCTCGAGGTAGGCCTTCGCCTCCGGCACGCGCTTGACGAAGTCGGTGAGGGTACCGGGATAACGCTTGATCTTGAAGCGGTTGAGGTGGAGAATGTCAGTGCAGACATTGTTCAAGAATTGAGAGTCGTGCGACACGATAATGGAGGTGGCATCAGTGTTCTTGAGGTAATCGGTGATCCACTTGACGTTGATAACGTCCAAGTGATTGGTGGGCTCGTCAAGCAGCAAGATGTCTGCCTTGAACAGAACAGCACGCGCCAAGGCAAGCTTCATCTTCCAACCACCGGACAAAGCGGCAATGGGACCCTTTTGGCGGCCCTCATCGAAACCCATTTCGAGCAGCGTCTTGCTAGCATCCTCATGGTTGGTCTCCAGGCGCTTGTCAGCGACGATGAAGTCAAGAATGGAGATGTCACCCTCAGATCCGTCGAGATCGTGCTCAACGTACCAGGTGCGGACCTCCTCGGGAGAAGGGAACCCCTCAACTTGACCGTTCTGGATGGCACGCATCAAGGTGGACTTGCCAGATCCGTTACGGCCGCAAAGACCGTAGCGGTGGGCACGCTTCAAGCGCAAGGTGGCGGTGTTGAGCAGGATCTTGGCACCGTATGCGAGAGAGAATTGACAGTTGCAAAGGTCTTCGCCTTCCTCCTCATCCTCAAACACCTCAGCGTCCTCGCTGGTGCTGCGGGCCAAAGCCAAGAGGAGCTCGCGAACAACAGCCTTGCTCTTCTCCTGGTCAGCGTTCTTGAACAAAGTGACGTAAGGCCCAAGCGTAGTCTCCCACTCGCTCTCCTCGAAGTTCCTTGCGTTGGCAAGGTTGGTGGCAAGTTGAGCAACGTGGTGAGTCAAAAGCTCAGGTCCGTTGAGAGTTTGTTGACCAAGAGCCTTCTGGACGAGCTGGAGCGTCTTTTGGATGTCCACGTCCTCCAGAGGCTTCAGGTTGGTGCCGTCGGCATCCGCGGGCAGCTGACCGATGTCACGCAGAGTCTTGATAGCACGCTGAACCACGCTTCGTGCTTCGGGGTCAGCCATCGCGGACTCGACTTTGATCAGGCCGGGCAAGAGCTTGGGCAGGAAGGGACGGACGGTACGCTCGTTGTCGACCAGCTTGGACATGTTGTCGATGATGACAGCGCACTTTCGCTTAGTAGCAGTGGGTCTCTCGTTGAGACCACGCTGCAGCAAGGGGCCCATAAGGGCAAGGGTGGGGGAGTCGACCTCCGAGACGAAGGTCGTCGCGCCCAGCAATTGGATAGTCTTGGGGACCTCTTCCACGGGATGAATGAGAGAGTTGATGAGGGCAGGGATGAAGCGCTCAATGTCCTTGTTGGAGATCAAGGCGCAGAGCTTCTTCAATGCAGCGCGAGACGCTTTCTGAACGTCTGTCTTGGTGTCCCAGATGACTTCGCTCATCACCGGAATGATTTCCGGCATGGCGCTGGCCATGCGCTCGGGTGCAGCCTTGACCAGAGTCTCAAGAAGAGAGACGCAGCCGGTCTTCACTTGCCACTTGCCGGCAGTGCGTGCCTGCTCGAGAATGACCTTGAGAAGCTGAGGAACGGACCAAGGACTCATAGACTTGACAAAGCTGGTGAGGGAAGCCAGAACAGCCTCGCGAACAGGCTTCTCCTTGTCTCCAAGGGCCTCAACGAGCGGAGTGAGGAGGTGAGCAAACACGAAAGGCTCGAGTTCGTGGCCGACACCTTGGTCACTGAGCTTCTTGACGAGCACTGCTGCGCCTTCCCTGGCAGCTGCGTTCTTCTTGTCGCCCAGGCCCTTGAGCACGACCTTCTCGATGCCGAGAACGGTAAATGCATGAGGTCCCTCAATCTTAACAAGGTTGACGAGCTCTTGCGCGGCCTCCTCTTCGCCAGAAGAAAGAAGCCTGTCAGCTTCGATCTTTGCCGCCTTCTTCTCAATGGCGGCGTTCTCGGAAGCCGCAGCTTGAGCTGCTGCAGAGTCCTTGAGGCCCTTGGCATCAGCCGCCACAGTGGCTGGGACACCAGCGGCTTCAGGTTGAGCGGGCGCCATAGTGCTGTGACGACAAGAGAGCTTATGGTGAGCGTCGTGTGTCTAGTGATGCGGGCGGTCGTTGAGACCCCTAGATGACACAAAAGAGTTCCGGGGAAAAGGGGGGTTCATTGACCTGTATGAGGGGGCCGCGCACTGATGACTCACGCTGTGTATGCGATGCGGGAATGTAGCTGAGACCAGTGTTAGTCGAGCCAAACGACTCTTGCTGTTCTCTATCGAGGTTGGCTCTCTAGGATGCCGTGGCGAGAGACCAGCTGCGCGCTTACACGGCTCTAGTCTATCAGAGCCAGGACTCGCGGGTCTTGGCTGTCTACAGGTACGAAGTGGAAGAAGCTTCGAAAAGGTGAAGCCCTTTGGTGTGTGAAGTGTCTAAGAAGACTTTTGTGGGGAGGCTTTTTAGGATGGTGGCATGAAGACCGTAGAGCTGACTGCTTTCGCTAGGCAACGTACAACCACCACCACAGGCCTCGTGCAAACGTCGCGCGCGAAGCTTTTGAAAATTTCTGCGCAGACACGCATCACCGCACGGCACATGCATCCCAGCAGCAGCAGCAGCACACTGGACTAAACCTGCTGCTGCCTAGCTGATGCACAGCTATGTAGGCGGCAATCCAGCAGCAGGCGCCACGAAAGAAAATAAGGGCTCGCGGCCACGACGGGGAGCGCGCGGCAATAAGAGGGGGAAGCGCGTGCGCTCGCACAAAACTTGCAGCATCCAACAGCATCAGTCAGAGTAGGCGTTCGCGCTCGCGGTTGGCGTCGCATGCGCGTGGCAAAATTCGCGATTTCATCTTCAGCTCGAGGCCCCTTGCGTCCTCGCCTCCTTCATTATTATTAGCTGGTGTCTGATATGCACCGCCGCCTTTCAGGTCCGCATGCTTGAGACAAATTCGCATTGAAGATAGCGCACCGAGATTTTCATTCACAATTTGAAATGATTCTTGATTCTTGATGGGCTTGCCTGACCCTTTTCTCGCGCGACACGAATTGTGCTGGAAGAAGTTCACGTGACTGCGCATGGACCATATCCGACCTGCATATATAGCGCTGCACGCAGGCGCGCACCAGTCAGACTCACCCAGGACTCCCAGCTGTGACTTGCACCGGGACCATCCAGCTATCCAGCTTTTAGCGCTCAAATTTGGAGACGATCATCAAGTCTTGACTTGAAACGCACGGCCGGCGATGTGCCACCATTTTCAAACGTGGGCCCGCAAAGAGAAGGTATTTCACACTGGACTCTGAACCTGACCCATCAAGGCGTCGCATATGGTGAAGCATGCCGGCGACCGCTCAAGTCCCACCCTTCCTAGCAGCCTCCTTTTCAGCTCAGCTTGGAGAGGAAGCCTTATCCAGCCTCGCGGTACCAGCTGGAGCGCGCCCCGCCTCTGCTTCTGCACCTCCTGCTCCTACCTTTGACGTTGCAGGCACAACCGTCGTTGCGGACGTTCAGAGGAATCTCTCGAGCAGTCCGACTACAGCCGACTGTACCACAGACGGCAAGGATGTCAAGGAGTCGAAAGCTCAGCCGCTCGGTCAGCCGGCCGTCTCAGGTTCAGCGACGTCCTCGGACCATGTCAAGCTTGCACGGGTCTCCAAGGGCGGGTCGGCTGCTGCTGCTCCCGTAGGCGCCACCCTGGACATTTGGGCAGCTCAAGCTCTCGTCGTGCCTCCCCTCAACTTCGACATGGTTGTGCCGGGCGTGTACCGATCTGGTCATCCCAACGAGCGCAACTTCGAATTCATGCGCAGACTTGGCCTCAAGAGCATCATGTGAGTCCTCTGCATGCCAGTCTGGTGCGTTGTTTCCAGCGTCACCTCATTTCAGCGCAAGTGCGCTTCTTGCTCTTCATCAGGTACCTCGCAGCCGAGGACTACCGTCCGCACGTCGTTTCATGGGCAGAAGAGAACAAAGTCAAGGTTTTGCATCACCGAATCAGCGTCAACAAGGAACCTTTCGCAGAGAGTGAGCTCGGTGATCCCCATGCGCAGCTTGCCAGGATAATTGACACTGACTCCTCTTCATCGCTGGCAGTGGAGCCCGATGCCGTGGCTGCGGCGATGGGCGACCTGCTCGACCGTAGAAACTTGCCAATGCTCGTACATTGCAACAAAGGTGGGTCTGAGCTGTTCGAGCCGATGATCGTGGAGCCCATCGCTCAAGCTGCAGATTGACATCCGGCACAAGGCAAATATCGCGTTGGAGTGTTCGCAGCACTCGTACGTAAGCTCCAAGGTTGGACCTTGACCTCGATTTATGCCGAGTATGAGCGATTCGCGGGTCAGAAAATCACAGACGAAGAGGTGCGTCAGTGGAGTTGCGGTCCCAAAGTGCCATCTAATCAAGGTTGCTCGCCACTTCTCATTCGCAGTTCATTGATCTTTTCGAGCTGTCCTCAATACGGTGCGACCCAGCATACAAGCCAGGCTGGTGTGCTAGGTAATCAAGCGCTGGTGCTGCGTGAGCCAAGCGTGCGGAATTTCGGCAAGGTCGTCGTTCATCCATTGCACAACAAGCATGACTTCCAGCACGACATCATCGCAATAGCCCTTCTGTCGGCTGACGCCTAGCCAGATCTTCGCCCACTGCATGCGAGCTCGCCACTGGCCCGCTTGCGATCGACAGCATCGACGGCCTGGTCGCTCCCCAGCGAGCTTCCATCCTGCCAGCGTGAAGTTCAAAGTCTGTCCAGCCGTCCAACAATTCATCGGTGGGATGTCCCAGGGCCTCGGTACGATCCAGCTCCGCCTCCAAACGCTGCAACTCTCTTCTTGCGGTCTCCGCACGAGAGATGCCGCTGTCGAGAAGAAGCGAAGCTCGTTGCCTAGCATCGGTGGAAGTCCCGCCCTCCGCAGCCAGGGTCGCGATAGCTTGCGATGCATCCGCGTCGACCCCGCCAAAATCTGGTAGTTCGTGACGCGCATCTCCAACGCAGCTTCGTAGCGGATCGCCTTCTCGACCTCTTGGTAGAAATTCGGAAAGACCCAGATCTGCCCAAATCTCTCGCTCTGCCCGCTGAGGATGACGCTGCTCGAACCTCTGCAGGCTAGATGCACCCCCTGGACCTGGTCCATAGGCCTTGAAGGGCCATGCTGAGCGATGAGGAGCTACATCTGTAGCTGCTCGAAGGGCCAAATGAGCCGGGAGCTCCACCAAGGGCTTCTTGAGAGCCGCCTCGCTGCCTTCGTTGGCGTCTTTATCCCCGCCTTCGCCCATTCCCCTCCCTGAATGTCCTGCTCCTCCACCGCGCGTGCCGTTCAGCAATGCGAGATTGTTGTGCAGAAGCGGTGACAGCTTTGGCTCGCTGACATATGGTATGATGTGGCGACGTGGACGTCCAGTTGGGTACGAAGGATGTGCTGCCGAGGGCAGAAGCTCGCCTTCGTCTTCGAGAGTAGGCAGCAAAGAAGTGTCCACGTGGATGTCTGTTTGAGAGAGATCGATCCGATCGAACGCGATCAGCCCATCTGCGCCAATGCGTGTTATGGTGCTCACTCGCAAGTCGCAGCTTACCCATGTCGCGATCTAGCATTGCCCTGGACCAGCCAGGATGGCCAGGTTGCGCTTCGCTCTTCCACCACTCCTCGTCGTTCCTGGACAGCTTAGAAGCGCTAGAAGAAGGAAAGCAAAGATTGGCGCCCGTGCCTGAGCTAGGCACACCTATCAGCCTCGCCCGCCATTCTGATCCCGAACGAGCATGATCATGATCTGTGGGCCTTTCGCCGGTGTAGTGAAATGCCGTGTGTGACCTTGGTTGACGAGATGGGGCGGAGGACAGGGAAGGAGCTGGTCGAGAGCGGGCTGAGGAGAAGCGCGCATCTGCGGACATGGCGATCGGAGCAAAGAGCAGCCCTGCTCGCAATGGGAAGAGTGCCAGGTGGAGCGCGTGTAGGGGCGCGTGCTGAGCTGGCTGAGTACTTGGAGGAAGTCGTTGCGTTGAGCTGTCGTGCAGTCGGATTGTGCGAGAGGGTGAGGAGAGCGATGTGTTTAGAGGACCTGCCAGTCGAGGACGACGTACGCACGAGAGTATGCTGTGACGTGTCCAGCCCTCGATTCGCTTTGGAAACCTTGCTGGGATGTAGTGCTAACGCTGAAAGGTGCACACAACGTGAAGAGCGTGTTGGGAACGAGTGCATTGTGATTGACGGCAAGAAGTGAGGAGTGCACGCGTTGCGTTGGGGATATCAGCGTGGGTGTGGAGGAGCGAGCGGCAACATGCAAGCAAGCAAGCGTGCATGCAATCAACATCAGAAATACGCTTGCGCGTGGCTGCTGAACCAACGCAACGCAAACGGCGCAGCCGACCAGAAGACCATCCAAAGCCCATCCGTCGAGCTGCTTCCTGCAGTCACGAGTCGACTCGCCATCCCCTTGGTCCACGTACAGACAGAATCAGGCGGTCGCACTACAGGCAGTCAAGGAAACGCATGCAGGCGATGAGACGGTTGTCACCAGCAAGATGAAGCTGCTCACCTTCATCTCGCCATTGCTGCTCTCGCTCGCCTGCCTGCTGCTTCTGCTATGCATCGCCTCTGGATTGCTTCGCGCCTGCGATTACATCGAGGAGAGGACGGATCAGGCTAGACGAGCTGCAAAAGCATTGTCCGTCGTGAGATGCGCCTCTCTATCGGCTGCGAACCCCAGCCATGCGCGCATGCTTATCCCCATCTCTCGATCCTTCGCTGACAGATCAGCGCGGCCTTGCAATTGTTGGTGCAGCCCACCTGGACGCTGTCTATGCTGGGCTTGATAGCAGCAGCAGCTTTTCAAGCGCACGCTGCTCGATCTGCGTGGCCCGCATGGTCGTCAATCCTGCTCTTTGCCCTCATCCTCAGCACCATCTCTCACCTCTTGCTTCTGCAACACCTGCACGCCGAGCAAGCTTCCCTCTTGGAGCGGGCCCAACGCTCCAAATTGCCAGGCGGTCGACTAGACTGGGACCTGATGGACGCGCATCACGCTGGCACTGATGCGCCCATGCGCCTCATCGACGCCTTCGCCCTCGTCTTCTTGATCTGGTCCCCAGCTGTACTTCAACTCACTGCAGCTTGTGCTCGAACCCTCAGTCTACCTCAGCGCAACATCAGCAGCAATGAAGTTCATCGATTATAACAAAGAATCTGGTGTGGCTTAGCATGCCTGCACGCGAGCACGGTGCTACAGGTGTTTGGGTTGCGTCACCTGTCGAGGACGAGAGCGTCCATGAAGACTGCGTGCATGCCTATCGGTGACTGCAGCCGTTGTGCAAAATGCTCCAAGCCCCCGGATAGGTTGACATCGTTGGTAGCTGCCATGCGTCGAGCGACGTGGGCCGACCGCGGAGTGCCGAGCGTCATGCGGCCTGACCGAGTGGGTATCTAACCGTGCGGCAAGATATAGTGTTCGTGATTGAAGTGCAGAGAATACCGCGTGACAATTGAGTAGCTGGGCAAAAAGTGAAATTCTGTGCTGTGATTTGCTCGCGAGGTGCGCACTCTGACATGTCCGGAGCAGTGGTCACGCCTCCCCGATGCCGTCGCCAGGCCAATCGATCCAGTCGATGCTGATTGCCACAGCGACGATAGTGAGACAAGCAACTAGGAAGCAAGCGCTCCACATCCAAACCCTCTCCTTGGCCGTCGTGTGCTCAAAGTCGAGGACCGGCGCAGGTCCAGCTCCATGCTCGTGCGTGGGATCGGATCGACAAGGATCATACCGTTGTGCTTCCAAGTCCAGCTCGTCTTGCTCCTCTTCATCCTCGTCGCCCCGAGATAGGAACGGCACTGATTCACCTTCTCCGCGCGCCTTTGAACGAGCAGCCGATGCAGGCGGTGACGCTGCTGCACGAGCAAGTGCGCTGTAACCCGGCAGGTCGTCCGAGTCCTCAAACGACTCGGCATCCTCGAGGGTCTCGAGACCGACCTTACTTCCTTGCCTATCGCCCTGCAGACGAGCCAGCTCTTGCCTCCTTCGGCCTTCTCGGCCGTCTTGCTGCGTTGCGCTGCCTGTAGCGGACCTGGTCTGCGGCGTCGGGTGGGTTGAATGCGCTCCATCTGCAGCAGAGACGGGCGGTGTCCCGTTGAAGGGCACAGCATTCTGCGAGACGGAGCGTGTTGCTAGCTCGACATCCACATCCAACGCAAGACCGAGGAGATGCGGTTGTCTAGCCAGCGATCGACGCGTACGGTTTGCAGGTCGTGAAGCGTCAGTGGATGCTCTGCCAAAAGATGACGTGGTGCGGTGTCTCCCAGCAGGGCTGCCAGCAGCTGGAGAGTCCCTCACGTCGGCAGAGGCAGAAGCTGCAGGGGATTCCCAGGCCGTCGCTGGGCTGGACATGGTCGATCTTTGAGGCCGGGTATGCGAGCACAATCAAAATTCGAGGAGCGCTGACCATGACTTGAGCAGGCCTGAGACTAAGCCTGTGTTCGTTCCGAGCCTAGCACCCGTTACCCAACGTCGATGTGCTGAAGAGGCAGTGTGCAAGGCGGATCAGCCTCTGCGTACGCGACAGTGAAGAGAGCTTTCCCTAGGCTAGAATCGAGCTTTGCGTTGCGTCGCAGCGCTGGCAATGATGGTGAGGGGGGATGACGCTTGGTCGGGATCTGTCAAGGTTCGGTGTCTGCAGGTATGGAAGAAGAGTTGCAAGGCGGCTCGACTTCCTGACCTCGCGATCTCGCTTCTCTTGGCGTTGGGACTCGAACCACGATCAGCAGCGTCATTAAGTCATGGGCCTGCTTCCAAAGTCAGACTCTTCTGACCTTCGCAGGTGACGTGAAGTATTCGTGATTGTTCAGTTCGCATCAGTCACAAGAGCTTCACCAGCTTTGAAACAATTTGAATCGCAATTGAGTTACGAGCCTTCAGTCAAGAGTCGCAGCTAACGGAGGTAAAAACGACTCACGTGATGTCCGCGGAGGTTGTGCCGCGGCGGTGAACACGCGGACGCCTACAGCAGCAGCAAAGCAGCAATGTTCACCAAGGTGAGACACATCGTCGGCGTATACAGTAGCATCAAGGACGATTCTTGATTGTAATGCGCGAGCATTAATCGAGTGGCCGCGGCGAGATGCGCTCGCGGCGATGTCGTGCTGATATGCTGCTGATGCGCTCGCGATGACGGCGTGGGTATGTATATATATATAGGGACGCGCGTTGCATGCGCGAGACCCTTATCGGCAGCCGCGTCGTCGTCAGTGTGAGTGAGTTTAGCTGAGTGGTGAGTGTACAGGCGGCATGGCATGCTGCAGCATCACAGCGCAGCACCGCACTGCCCGAAGCGGTGGAGGGCAACAGATGCATGGCACCTCCTCGCAGCATGATTCATCATTTGTGGGGACGAGTCACGCGAGCGAGCGAATTGAGGGTAAGCTCTCCTATCTTGCATGACGTTGGGGTCTGCCTCCGCTTAGCTCTCATACCACCACCCCCCATTCTTGATTCCCATTGCTCACAGCGCTTGCTCGTTCAAGAGCGGGAAAGTGCAGCATCAGAGTCGGGACGCCTGCCTCAACCCCCACATCGTGTACGCGCTCAAGAGACAGATCTCACCCTCTCCACTCTCGGCACCCGCACCTCCTGCCCTTTCCCCACGGCTGCTGCCTTGTCAAGCCATCCAATATGATTCTGCTGGGTCGCACGCATCTTGCGCTCGTGGCAGCGGTGGCTCTGGCTATCCTGTCCGCCGCACCCAGCTCCTCCATCAAGCTCCACGAGCTGCACAAGTCCAACGTCTTCTCTCCCACTGGCAGACGCAGTCTCAACTTTGGCGCTGTACACGCTCGTCAGCGATCATACACGCATGCAGAGACGCTTCACTCTGATCATGCCGGTGCCGCTCTACAGCAGTCGCACCACCACGTATCAGCGATTCCCACGCATCTCAAGGACCCCACACACATCGCCTTGTACCTCGCTGAGCTCGAGTCTGCCCATCGTGAAATGCTGCAGCAGGGGCCTGACGGCTCACGCAAGCTTCGCGTCTTGCCCGAATCGTACACCGATGACATTTCAGACATCTCTCGCATCTTTGTCAAGCAATCCATCAACGGCATCGACGTGGATGACGCAAGTCTGCAGCTCCTTGTGGGCACCGACGGCCAAGTCATTTCCTACAGCTCAACCCTCTACAACGGCCCCAACCCCGCATTTGCCGGTGTCGGCCCAGCATCGCGCGATGACGGCGATGCTCTGTACAAACGCGACCAGCTGGTGTTTGGAGCAGGAGACGAAGGAGCGCATCAACAAGTCACGCTCACCGGCTCTAAGGTAGCGGCAGGGGACCCTCGCTACGCCGCGCTCTACTTCATGGCCCATGCCACCCCCAATACGATGCTTGCGATAACGTTGCAAAGTGCCACCGCATCACCAGCAGCACTCGAAGTTGCAGCGTCGCCCATTCGGCTCTCACCCGCCCAGGAGCGCGACGACGAGCCTTTCAACACCGCTGAGCAGGCCGGCAGCTTGCAGAGCGTTCCAGGTACCACCGGCGCAGTGGACGCGCGTCGCGTTTGGTCTCAAGATGGAGAAGGCGGCTTGCGCCTGGCGTGGCGACTCAATGTGCCAATGGACTGGCCCGACCACTCCAACTTCTATCAAGCTACCGTCGACATCGAGACGGGTGACATTCTCAACGTTCACGACTGGAACAAAGACTACTCTGGCGGACAGCATGATCTGGCCGCCAATTGGGCTGAGGTGCATAGTCGGCCAGCAAAGCATCAAGCCGTCGAAGATGCTGCGACCCAACCAGCCGAAGTCGAGAAGATCTCACGCCCCTCTGACATTGGCACACCTCAATATCGCGTCCTCGCCTGGCCTGCCAATGACCCGACCGAAGCGAATCGCACCACCGTGGCAGGATGGGCCGACTCAATTGCAAGTCCATTCGGCTGGCACAGCGTCGGCAACAAGACGTATGACTACACGCGAGGCAACAATGTCTGGGCATCCGCATTCGGTACGACCATGTCGCCGCCTTCGAACAGGTCGCTTTCCGCCTACGGAAAGCTCGTTCATGGTGATTTGAGCTTCATCTTCCCCTTCGATTGGCGCAAGGCGGACAAAGCCCACGAGGATCTAGCGCCCGAGGCGTACGCCAATGCAAGTGTCACCAACTTGTTCTATCACGTCTCTGCGTATCACGACCTGTTCCATCGCTACGGTTTCACCGCTCAATCTGGAAACTTCGAAGAATACCAAGAGCCAGGCAAAGGCAAAGGTGGCGATGCTATCTTGGCGTTCGCGCAGTCCGCTGCTGGAATCAACAATGCCGACTTCACGACCCCTCCTGATGGGCAACCTGGCCGCATGCGCATGTACAAGTGGAAGACGGTAGCCAATGCCACTCAGCGCGATGGCGATTTTGAGGCTGGTGTGGTGCTGCATGAAGCCACGCACGGTCTCAGCATCCGCTTGACTGGCCCTCCGTCCGACTCTTCTTGCCTTGGGTGGGGAGAGGCAAGCGGCATGGGCGAAGGTCTGGGAGACATTATTGCGACCATCGTACGCAGGCGCTCTCCCACTAGGGACATCTACCCCATGGGCTCTTGGGTGTCTCACAACAAGAACGGTATTCGTCGCTACCCATACTCTACTAATCTGACGCTCTCTCCCGAGACGTACTCTTCGTGAGTGATGATGCACGCAGGTACAAGCAGACGTTCTTCGCCCGCGCTGACGCTCACTGCTGCCCCTTGATCACAGTCTGAACGGCATGTGGGAGCCGCATTCCATCGGAGAAGTCTGGGCAGCAGTGCTCTATCAGGTCGAGGAAGGACTCCGAGGAGCACACGGCTGGCATCCAGATCTCTTCCCGCCTGTTCCCGACTCACCCAAGGAGAAGTGGGACGAGTTCTACTTGACGGAAAAGGAGATCATCAGCAACATGCCTTCCTCTGCCAAGGGCAAGCGCGCTTCTCGACAGCCCGTGCCTCGTCACGGAAACACGCTCTTCATTCAGATTCTTCTGGATGCGCTCAAGACCCAGCCTTGCCGTCCCTCCTTCCTAACAGCTAGAGATGCGTTCCTCTCCGCCGAGAAGGCCCTCACAGGCGGACGAGACACGTGCTTGATCTGGGAGCGCTTTGCTCAGCGCGGTCTGGGAACGAAGGCCAAGAACATTGGTTCCACGCCTTGGGGTGGCGGAATTCGCACCAACAGCTTCGAGGTGCCCGACCTCTGCAACTCGACCCTGAACGCCCTTGCTTGAGGATGGGCTGCGCGCTGCGCTCATGAATCCGGATATTTGCCAATTCCATCATGTAGACCTTGCCACGACTGTTCCCAAATCATGACTCAGCACAATGGATCGAGAAGATGTGCAAATCGCAGTGATGGCCTTGAGCAAATTAGAAAGTCATCGGATTCGATTGGAATCTTTTGAAGTGGTGATGGAAGCAAGTCAGAGCAAAGATCGATTCGGTACATTGCGTGCGATCAGAGCATGGCCCTTGCAGCTTGTGTTTGATGAGCCTTGACTAGCACCAAGCTGCGATGGGCTAAACGATGCGAGCTCAGGACATTTGAGCATCCCCGATGGAGCGCAAGGAGGCAAAGTCGCGCCAAGAGCGGTTGAATTCAATCTCCAGGCTGCGGCCTCCGTAGACGTAGCTGTTGAACTTGGCAATGGCAGTCTCTGCCTCTCCGACGGTTGCGAACTGCACCACGCCGACACCCTTCGAACGTCCGCCCTCGAACAGGATCTCAGCTTCGTCGACCTTGCCCGTAGTCTGGAAGAGCTCGACGAGATCTTCATTTGAGGTGGACCACGGCAGCTATAGTCCAGTTCGAGAGGTAGGAAGAGAGGTGATTCAGTCAACGCGTGCTCAAAGTCGGGGGGAATGCTCAAGCGATGAAACTTACGTTCTTGACAAAGATCTGCTGGCTTGGCTCTGCGGGAGGCAAGGGCGCACGAGGCTCACCACCATATCCGCCGCCGAAGCCGCCGCGGCCACCAGCAAAGCCGCCTCGCGGGCCACCGAAGCCACCTCGAGGGCCGCCAAAGCCTCCGCGACCGCCAAAGCCTCCGCCATACCCTCCTCCTCCTCCTCCGTATCCTCCGCCGTAACCACCACCGTAGCCGCCTCCGTATCCTCCTCCGTAGCCCCCACCGTAGCCTCCTCCAAATCCACCGCCTCCTCCACCGGCGTAGCGATCCTCGCGAACTTCGATCTGTCTTCCGTTCCAGTCAAAGCCATTGTACATGTTGATCGCGTTTTGAGCGTCGTCTGGAGTGGCGAAGACGACAATACCGCTGCCCTTTGGTCGGCCGTCAAAGCCCAGGTTGATATCGGCTCGGACGACGTTTCCAGCAGAGCGGAAAAGGTCCTTGAGCTCCTGCCAACCAGCCTGGAACGGCAGCTGGAGGACAGGCGCAAACGAGGAGCAGCTCACTCAGCAAGGAAAGTCACAGATCACCTCGCACAAGACTCACGTTTCCAATGTAGAGCTGGGCGCCAGGAGCACCAGCAGCGGGAGGACCACCGTAGCCACCGCCGTAGCCGCCAGCAAAACCGCCTCCATACCCGCCACGGCCACCAAAGCCGCCACCGAAGCCGCCGCGACCGCCTCGGCCACCGAAACCGCCCCGGCCTTGTGCTGGAGGTGCGCCATAGCGCGCCTCGTTCTCGCGGTCCTGCAGTCAGAGGTTGGGCCCCATTGAGCACCATGACCCTGCTGCGTCTTGCTTTCGGCAAACTCACCTCGCGGACGAAGACTTGACGTCCCATCAGGGGTGTGTCGCTGAGCTCTCTGATCGCGCGCTGAGCCTCGTCGGCAGTGGAGAATTCGACGATGCTATGTGCGAGGTGCTTCGAGCGTGAGATGGTGTTCCAGCGCGCAACTTGGCGTGGCCACACTCACCCGCATCCCTTGCTTTGACCGCTCGGCAGAGTGAGGACTTCGGTGAAGACAACGCTTCCAGCTGAATGTGAGAAATGGTCCGGGGACGTCTCCCGAGTCAGCGTTCCGTTCTCGCACGACGGGATCGAAATTGGCACCTGGGAGACTGTTGGCGCAGCCTCATAGACCGCGCGCCCACTACAGTGCTCTATCTATGAATCATTTCTCAAAGCCAGCGAGACGCGCGCTTCCAAATGCTGCGACAGCAGCATTCACCATCCCCGAGAGTGACTCGGGCACATAAGCCAATTGACCACTCCCCGTTGAGCCATCCAGCATGCACGTCTCGAGGAGGGGTGGAAAAGCTTACCTAGGGATGGAACACTTCGCACCCACGATGCCTGGAAGGATGTCCATTCATCCCACAAAACGCAGGTGGCAGCCACTACACGTCTACGCATTGCTCGTTCCCGTCACTCCTTTACTGCCCGTTGGCCAAGTGATCACTTGAGACTAGCTAGGTAGCGAGCGTTGCTGGCTTGAGGCCATCCGTGTTAGATGCGAAAATTTGTGGCCGTATTGGCCGCTAAATGATAGAAATGTCCAGCAGAGCAAGCAGCGACTCTATGCGGGCATTCCGATTTGCTGGAGCCGTAGAGGGGAGATGGGGAGAAAGCGGTATCTTGAACCGCAGGAGCCAGCGTATTGTGGATCGCTCACGGTGCCGCATCCTACTGACAGCGAGTGGATGCTGTGTCGAGCATCGAACAGCTGCCATGCGCATGAAGCAGCAAGGAGACGGCACTGCGCATCTACCCATCCGCATCAAAGTTTCCGACCACTTCCGAATTGCGCTCCACTGCGCTGCGACCCAATGCGCTCTGCTCTACACCTCAAAACGAAAAGAAACCCCTAACCCAATCCACAGCCCAACGCACCACCCTGCATGAAATCCTTGAGGTGACTGCTCCTAACGTCGTAGCTGAGGTTGCCTACGTAGACCCTGTTCTCCTTTCTGGAAGAGCGGGCCGCCTCTGCCGGGTCGACGCCGTTGGTGTCGCCAAGTCCGGCCTCAACGGTAGGTGTAGTGTCGTCCATGGTGCAAGGAAGAAAGGCTTGTCTGTCTGTGTGTGTGTGTGTGTGTGTGTGTGTGTGTGTGTGTGTGTGTGTGTGTGTGTGTGTGTGTGTGTGTGACAGCTTGTGATGCGATGGGTTGCGATGTGTGTGGGAGATGAGTGTGACAACCTGTTATGGCTGAGCGTGTGAAGCTCGGATGGTCGATCTGGACCGAGTAAATGCGCGTTCGCAGCTCATCTTTGCCGCTTCAGCAGATCTTCCTCGCCGCCGCCCACTCGCGACTCGTGATGCAGCCAGCACCCAGCAAGCACGTACACCAGCCAGCAGCTTCCTTTCCCGCAGCGTCGTTGCTGCATGGTATTTTGCTGCTGCGCGTATGCTAGCTGACATGTAGCTATAGGCGCTGCGCTGCCCGCTATTCAAGATTCCAGCGAAGTGCGCGTCGTCTATAGCGCCCATGCCCACGCCGCCATCTTGCGCGCCTGACCGGTATACCGCGCGCAGCTCCGCGGGCGGAGAGCATCTACATAGCAGTCATGACTCCAAGTCCGCCCACGTGGCGCAATTCAGTTTCAAGGTTGGAGCTTTCGGCGTGCGCGCGCATTCAAATTCTCAATTCAAGATGGTGACGAGTCTGCCTGGCTGAACTCTCGAATGTGTTTGACTTCAAGATCCGTGATTCAATTGAGCGCTTCAAGTGAAGAGAATTTGAACCAAGATCTTCTCAATACATACGCACTCATTCAAATTTACACAAGCTCGCAATCAAAATAAAAAATGGCTTTTCAGATGAGGAGTACATAGATGTGTGCGTGGGTGCGAAGGTGACGTTAAGCGTGGCACTCAAAGACTTTGAGATCTTCTTTCAGGGACTGCCTCTCGCTCAGCCAAAACACCATTCACGATTGGCAGAGCATCGCTGACCATCGCCACCGCGAGCGCACCGCACCTCTCCCAGACGCACACTCAACATGTCACAGCGACAAATCCCAGGCCCTCAGCCGCGCGACGTGCCTAGAAATGCTCCTTCTGCGTTTGGGAGGAGCGCAGCGGCGGCGGCAGCAGCGGCTGGTGCTTCACGATTCTCCGACAAGGACTTGGCCGCTCTCGACGGCGAGACGGAGCACATCACCTCTGTCCGTCTGGACGGCCTAGCTCTCACAAAGATTGTCAAACACAGCAAGGACGCTCATCCCCACCAAGCTGCTGGAGCGCTGTTGGGTCTTGATATTGGCGGCGCCCTTGAGGTTTCTAACGCTTTCCCTTTGCCTGCTTCTTCGCTCAAGAGTTCGGGCGGCGATGATGAGGACATCGAGAAGAGCGCAAAGAGCGGTGAGTGTCAGCGCGCTTGAATGCGAGAAGGCTGTCTCGACGCTGCCTGGCTGTCGCACGCTGCGACAAGCAACAGCGAAACCCTTGGAGCTCGTCCAGTCTACCGATGGCCTGGGAAAAGCGGCTGTAGCTTCACTGGAAGGGCGCAGTTTGCATCCATTGGTCTCACACACGACACTGAATCCATCTGCCTTCTCTGACCAGCCGCTCGCTACACCGCATCCATGGTCAAGCTTATGAGGGACGTAAATGCGGACGCAAATCCGGTAGGCCTGTATCAGAGCTGCTTCTTGGGCAGCTTCCTGCAGACGCCCATCGTCGAGGGTCTGTTCTCCGTTGCTGGATTGCTCGAGCGTGAAGGACCTCACGGAAGAGGCAAGGGAGTGCTCGTCGTTCACGGTGAGTTGCAAACCGGCTGGCAGCCCGATCGCAGCATGTTCGCGTCTCGCTGACCGCGTGTTCTCCTGCTATCTCGTACCTCAGACCTGGCGCAGTCCGCTCAAGGCAATACTGTGGTGAAGGCTTACCGCCTCGCCCCTTCGTTCATTGAGGCGCATCGCAAAAATGCTTTCACAGCTAGCGGGTAAGCAAGCTGGCTCTGAAACTCTTGGAATACGTGTGCAAATTAGCTCGACTTACCTATTTGCCCCCCTTCACAGTCTCATCGAGCACCGCCTTACCTTCTCAAACATTCTCACCGAAATCCCAGTCTCTTTGCACAACACTGCGATGCTTTCCTCCTTGCTGTCTACTCTCTCGACGCCAGCTGCGCCTACGCCGGGCTCTCTCGAAAGCTCCGCCGCGTACCAGCTCGCACACCCGCCCACAGCAGCCATCAGCTCGCCTCACACATTGCTGGCTCTCACGCATACACCCGTACTTTCCTCGGCGCTCGAGTCCACTCTGGAAGCTCTGGACGACTACGCTGCAGAGAATGGCAATGTGGGCTATCAGAGCCGGCAGCTGGCTCGAGAGAAAGCCAGACTGGAGTCGCAGATTGCCAGAAAGCAAGCAGAGAATGTGACTAGAGAAGCGCAGGGATTGGCGCCTCTGCCCATCGAGGAGAAGCTCAAGCTTGGGAATGAACCGAGCAGGTTGGAGAGCACCATGCTGCTGGGTCAGCTCGACGACAAGGCGCGCAGGCTAGCCGAGATTTGCGCCACTACCGCCGTGCAGCTCAACGCAAGCCGAACCGGTGCCATCTAGAAAAGCGAGGGACAGCGCCTCTCTACGCCAGACTCTCAGCATTTGCCCAAAATTGCCACAGTCCCGATCGGACCACTTGTACTCTTGTCACGGCTTTGCGAAACGAACATGATTCTGCCTTTTTCCCCTTCGAATGCGCGTGCGCGGTGTCAGGATGACCTCTCAGATGCAGCAGTGGATGCTTCTGTTCGGCGAAGGAGTGTCGATCTCAATCAGTCTCGGCAGTCATGCAACGCGACGGATTTACGGCCGGCAAGGCGCCTGCTTGGTCGGGCGCCTGAAGCGTGATGTGATCTCGGCTTTCGCACAGGGTTGCCCGCGATGTCCGACGAGCAACTGATCATGGGAATCCTGACTCTTGAAGTGGATGTCGTGGCGGTCCGTGATGATTGCTGGCACCTTTTTTGAATGATGGGCAGTCGCCGTCTGGACGAGAGATAGCTGCGATGAGCGCTCCTCGCACACAGCAGCGCGGCATCGATCAGCAAACAGGCCGTGCATGCATCGTAGGCCGCGACCGGTTTCCCCGCGCACGCACCTCGATCCCTGCGCTGCTGCTGCTGGCCTCGCTCCACCCGACAAATCCGCACGCACCAAGCCTCTTCGCATTCCCCGCATTCCGCTCCACGACAGCAGACCCTCGTCCGGAGCGACGCTTCATAAGAGGTCTCTACTGCTGCCTACTTCGTGACCTGCAGGTCTTGCTTTGCTACCAAGTTCACCAGGTCCGAGCTACTCCTACTGAGCGCTTCCCACCTGCTGAGCTCTCCTGCTCTCCAGTTCCCGGCGTGGAATCTTCTCAGGTGCGGACACCAACTGCGCTCATCAGCATCCTCAGCATCATGTCACTCTCGACGAAGCTGACGCAGCTCTTGGGCATTGCGCATCCTATCGTGTGCGGTCCCATGGCCAACGCTTCAGGAGGATCGTTGGCAGCCGCAACGACGCTAGGAGGCGGCTTGGGTTTCATCGGAGCAGGCTATTACGATGCCAAGAAGATGGGAGAAGAGTTTAGGGTAGCACTGGACGCCTTCAAAGGTCAGGATGTCAAGAATGCCTTTTCGTCCGTCGATGATTCCCGAGTGAATATCGGCGTTGGATTTCTAGCTTGGAGATTGTCTCACGTTCATTCGGGCGGCAAAGGGGGCGTCAAGCCGACATCCTCGGACGAAGTTCTCAAGACTTCCATCCATTCCGAAGCTGGAAGTAATAGTCCAGTCATCTCTCTGCTCGACGCTGCTCTCAAGCCCAGACCCATTGCCGTCTGGCTGAGTTTCGGTGATGCTGATGAGATGCGCGTGTGGACCGAGGTGATCAGAAAGAGGGATGCGGAGCTGAACGGACAGGGCGACGGCTTGAAGGTGTTCATTGGCATCGGCAGCGAGCAAGAGACCAAAGCTGCGGTGGAGGACTGCGGCGCGGATGTGCTGGTGGCGCAAGGTGAGCGGGGGCAATCGGGCGCGCAAGGTGGGCAGGGGGAAAGATATCACGGCGGATTCGCATCGTGCTCGGCAGCCCTCTTTGACTGACCGCTGATTTGCGCTGCTTGCTCGCCATAGGCTGCGAAGCTGGTGGACACGGACTGGGCTCCTCACCACCACTGCATGCTCAACTGCCTCGCATTGCCGCTCTCCTGCCAACTCTCAAGCCTGGCAACAGTCGGGGAGAAGTGCCGCCGTTGCTGGGCGCAGGCGGCCTGTCCGATGGTCGATCCCTCGCCTCCATCCTAGCCCTGGGAGCGGATGGAGGAGTGTTGGGCACGCGCCTCTTGCTGACGCCCGAAGCGGCCTACTCTGACGCGCAAAAGCAAGTGCTGTTAAAGGCTTCTTCGACCGAGACGAAGCGGACCATGGCCTTCGACGAGGCGCGCGGTACGCTCGGTTGGCCCGAGGGTGTGGATGGGAGGGGTGTGATCAACGCCACGGTGCAAGCTTACGAATCTCAAGAGGGTGACGCCGAGTCAAGAAGGAGACGATACAAGCAAGCGGAAGGTGAGGGCGACGAGAAGAGGATCGTCACGTGGGCTGGAACGGGAGTGGGGAATATGAACGTCATCAAGCCCGCTCGAGAGGTCATTCAAGAGGTCGGCAATGATGCCCTCAAGACCATCGAGGCGCTCAGTCAGACTCTCAAGCGGTAGCAGACATCGACTACCTCCTCGAGCGCGTGACAAAGACCTCACCTCCACCATCACTGCTCACTGCTCAACGCCCCTGACTCTCATCGAATGAGAGCAGAGTCTCGATGTGCTTACGCTCACCAGTTCGAATGTGAATGGGAAATGAGCCAGCATTGCTCTGATCGTCATTGCGTTACATTGAAAGCGATCCACAGGCAGCGCGAAGAAGAAATGACCCGCGACGCGCAATTTTTGAAGCGTGAGTCAAGAGGCTGCGATGGTGTCGCGCTTCGAGATCGCTTCTGCACGCCTTTGTGTTGTGACTACCCACGGTCATCCACGACCGTAGGAGAGTCACGAGTCACGAGTGTCTGACTTGCTCTTCACACGTCAGTGAGTAGCTATACACCCCTCGATGAGAGCGGATCACGGATGGCAATTAAGCATGCGAAAGGATATCCCGATCAAGGTGCGCGCTTTCGATGACGTATCCGTGATCACACCGCGGCCATGCAGCTTGTCCCGCCCGCCCGATCGTGGCGGTGCACGCGAAGACTGGCCAGTTCAATCATGAATTAAGAGGCTGCACGCGTGCATTGTTGTACGCTATACCTAAGCTGGGAATGTCCGCCGCGAGCAACTCCAGCGCTCCAGCTGCCGCTGGCGCTGCAGCTCGACAGGGACGGCCATGGTCACAGCGTGTACGAGTCAGAGGAAAGAGTCTGAAGAGTGACTTGTTTCGTGTGCAGTCAGTCACAGCAAGTATGGTGATACGAGGTGTGATGCGGGCGTAGAGCATCGTCCCGCCGTCTTTTGGAGATAGTTGAGTGCGATGTGGTGAATCGAGACGAGCGAGGTGATCGAGTGAACGAATTCGTTGATTGACGTCAACTCGCCGCTTTTCCCGCAAAAGCTTCCCACGCCATTCGTGCCGGGTCGTGACTCATGAATGACATCGTGTGCTGCTAGTCACGAGTGACTCGTGATTCACGACTGTAGTCGCAGGTGTCAAAGAGGAGTGGTGCTTTGCTGCTGCCGCTACTGCTGCCTTTCATTTCTGACTGCTGTCGCCCAAGTCGGACCTACAATGTGCATTGAGGGTGATGCCGGCGACTTTCAATGAGCCATTTATGAAGAGTCGCCGCTGTACAGCAGCGTCGCTGTAGCTATTTCTGGTCAAGTGCGTGTGGATGCAATGCGGGGCAAATAAAAGGCCAAGTCAAGAGCAGTGCATACATGATGGATGGTAAGCGAGGTTGATGTTCCTGCCGCGGGCGGTGAGCCGAATTAAGCATGGAGTGACGCACGAACACGGGTCACGAGCCACGAGTGTGATGATGGGGGTGCAGGGAGGACAAGTCGTGAGTCTCTTGAGCATACATATACCTCTCGATCCCAAGGCGGGCATACGACTGTCTCTGCCACCCACACCCCGCCCTTGACTCGCGACTGCTCTTTTCTTTTCGCCATCTGCAATTGTGACTCTTTGCACACAGTCTGAGTGCTACACCACTGCAACGCCCATCTCGATCCACAAGATGACGGACGCAGAGCAACCGCAAAGCCAATCCTACCTCGATTCTGCTCGAGACCTCGTCTCATCAGCAGGCGCCACTGCGCAGTCCGCATACGAGCAGGCTGCCCAAAAAGCATCGGACGTGTATCAAGCCGCACCCGCCATCCTGCCCGGCTCTCAAAGCGAAAAGTATTCGGAGGACAGTGGAGCAGTGCCCAATGATGGAGGCGATGCGGATGCCAAGAGCGGAGAATCAGCGGCATCGTCTGGCAGGGAGGAGAGAGTCGAAGAGACCAGATCCAAAGGACGTGAGTGGCGCCCGAGCAGCCGAGCCGAACCGAGCTCTTCCCTTCCTTGCCTCTGCGCTTAGCATTGTGCGGTGCTGCAACTCACGACGATCTCTCTTCTGCACGTTACGCCCCAGCTTCGGATCCCGCACGCCTGAACAAGTCGCAGCAAGACATTGGCACAGAGTACAATGTACCAACGTGAGTTCCTAGCGGGCGACGCGGACCGCGTTTGCCCCGATCCGGCTAGCTGGCGGCCAAAGCAGGAGGGATGCAGCTCATATCTGACTGAGCTCTCATCATCTCCTGGCTTTGATGCGCCTGTCACAGCGCTGCCGGTCAAGGGACGACGCGCAGTGCCGACGAAAAGGCATTGGAAGCGGCCAAGAACGAAAAGGGGGCAAAGCAAGCCAATGTGCCTCAAGACTACACTGACGAGCCATGTCCCGACAGCAACAACAATGGAGGCGAACCAAAGGCAGGCGGCAGACCACGAGGGAACTCGGAGGCTGTTTCGGATTATGGAAGCTACGATGATGATGGCAAGCCGACCAGAGGCATCGTGGGCAAAGCTGTAGCTTCGGCAAAGGGCAACGCGAAAGTCATCGCTGGCAAGATCCAGAAAGACGAGGACAAGGTGGAGACCGGCAAAGCTCTCAAGCGCGGCGAGATCTGAGCAGATCTGAGCCATTCAAACCGCGCAGACTCTCTTCGTCAAGCTCGACGTGCGCATCGATTTTCAACAGCATCGTAGCCTTTGTTCTCAGACGAGTCCCATTTCTGCCAAACTGTATTCTCCTCTGTGCTCCTGATTGGTCTTCTAACATGCATTCGGCCTCGGAACGACTCAAAAGTCCCGCTGCATTGCATCATCGACGGCTTGACTCAGAAGGTGCGCACTTCAGTCACGTTTCTGTCCGAGTCAAGCCCAAGTCGCAAGCCTCTGCCATGCCAAGGCTTCTTGACCCCCTGTACGCCATCCCCAAAGAGCTCGTAGCCAGGCATATATCTGAGGCGCGGCACAGCGCGTGAGCTCTCGCAACTATACCTTCTCGCCCCTCCTAGGCTCGCTCGCGCACTCACCTCGCGACAAATTCTCTTACAGCTTCGTCGGACATGCCTTTGCCCCCATTCCGCTCCTTCATGGCCCGCTCGGCTTGCAGCCTCCACGTAAAAACTGTCTCCAAAGCTTGTGGGCCTCCATCTCTTTGTCCCGAAGGAGGCGTGGGTGCCAGCTGAACAAAAGCATCGACCTGAGCCCACCACGTGGCCTCGTACGATGCAAGCTGCGAATTGACTTCTTGAAGGTGCACGATCGGATGCCGGGTGAAGTATGATGCACCGGATGCAGAAGTGGTGCCAATTTGAGCGTCCCTCGATGAGCGATCGTACTTGTCTCGCAGCACGGCTGGCTCGAGCGAGCCAAAGCCCATGCACCACCCTTCCCAGATGACCACATCAAGGGGTGCATGCACCTTCACAGTCTCTCCTGAGCGGTCGCCTTCCCCACCATGAGCTGATTTATCGTAGACGGGCAGATCGAGCACTCGAGTTGTACTCCCGCCTTCGCTGGCCTCATTCATGCCGGCTATCGACTGAAGGATGGCGGAGCCAAGCGGCACATCGTGTGTGCCGGGCTGACCTCTTCCTTCGAGCAACTTGTTGCCAGGATGCGCAGCAGCTAGTGCTTTCTGATCAGCGTGGGTCAAGTAGAGGTCTAAGCGGCGCTCAAGTCATGTCAGCTCAGCCTGGTGTCCAGTCCGCCTCCTTCTGCCCTTGTCCCTTCAATACGCGCTCACCATCCAGACTGAAGACGGCTGCGCGCAGATCGTACCTTGCAGTCCTCAGCTCGTCCAGCAGCTGAGATGTCAAAGTCGTCTTGCCTATGAGCGTGCGACGTCGAAGCGAGTGGGTGGTGATGATCAGCGCAGCAGTTCCACCTGATCATTTGCTCATCGGAAATGCGACTCACCGCTGCCTTGTGGCCCTTGCATGCCTACCAATAGAGGTTTGATGGCGTGCGATCCCGCGTTGCTGCTGCTGCCTCTGCTCGACAGTGCAAGCGCCTCTGATCGATGCCTGGCCACCTGCTTGACAATGTGCTCTGCGATCAGACGGACCTTGTGCGACGACATGTCTTCGCGCTCGTTCCGACGCAGAGATTGGGCCTCGGGCAAGCTCATCGCGGCAACGACTGCCCATCTGCCATCGCAAACGCCCCGAACACCTCAAAAATGCAGGGCGTTGAGGTGACTGCTCGAAGCAGTGGTGTTGAGTCGAAGAGGCAGGCGGTTTGCAATGTGAGTGGAGATTCGTAATTACGAGCGCACACATGCTCGCTGGATGATGACTGTTTGAGAGTGGAGCACCCCTCCCTCACAGGCGCGCGAGCATGTCTACCGTCGCGAGTGAGAAGAAATCACGTACAATCACGAGTACGGCTGTCGCGGGCTATAGCGCGGGGTTGTGGAGGTGATTGATTGGTGCATGCCTATGGTGGTGGTAGCGCGCTAAGCGCACGTTGACCCGCGTGGAGACTCGGGGCAGTTGTCACAGGAGTCGTGGGTTACGAGTGAACAACTGGAGTAAGGGCGAGATACAAGCACGAATTCCAGCTTGCCGTCACACGTCCACGTCAGAGTAGACTCGTCAAGCCTTTGTGAAGTAACAAATACCAACAGTGAACGCAGCATACTGGCCCGGCAAGAGCAGGGCACGGAGGCTGAGAGAGCACCGCCTGACATTACGAAAGCCGCACGCAAGCATCCACAGCCAATTGGCGGCAGAACGAGGCATAGGGCAAGGCGCTGCACAGAATGGCACCCAGCCCCATCTTCAATCTGAGCGCTCAAGACGCGGACAAGATCTTGTCCGAGATCCGCTCGTCCGGCTACATTCGCGAAGTGGCATCGGACGTGCCGCCAGAAGAGTCGGGCCTGTGGGACGTGGTCCATTTCGTGCCAGACTCTTTCAGCCCTTCCGCCAAGCTGGAGAATCAAGAGGCCATCATCGATCACGCTGTCGAGACGCTCGAGAAGCAGGAATGGGATAGCACAGCCATCGTCGTGGCCGATGAGCGCACAGCAAAGGACGGCTCTCTGCTCATCTACAACGTCGACTCCACGCAGCCCAAAGGCAAGAGGCTTGTTGGCAAATTGCGTGCGGTGCCTAGAAGTGTCATCGAGGTGGTGAGACGCATGCGTGCGTCGCGAAACCCCCCACAACCTCGCTTACTAAGCCCTTTGTGTTTCGTTTGCCCGCCTTTTGCCTCTTCTCACGAAAAATGCCACAGGTTTGCAACCTGCAAGTATCTAACATGGACCTAAAGGAGGTGAGTGCGAAGCACCGATAGCGACAGCAGATCCAGCATCGGACCTGCCCAACTGACTTGACATGCTCACGTCCATCTTTGCTGCCGCTCGTGGCAGTACGCCAATTGTATCAAAGAGGGCGACGTCTTTGACGCTGGCTCATGACGCACTCAGCACAACGCGCGACGAAAGCAATAGCATTATCGAGGAAGTTCCGGTGACAAATGAAGCTTGGCAGTGATCGGACGAATGCGGCAAAGCTCACTCAGTAGGTCCCACCAAAGAGGAGGGTTGCGAGACGGCGCGCCCTGATGTCCAGGTATATGCTCTATCTCTGCCAAGGACCGAGCCGAGGCGAGGTTGATCCTTGTGCCTGAGCAAAGGGAACGCCGCGTGCGAGGCCTCTGCGGCGTGCCGGCTGTTGCTCACAAAGTGCTGCGCTTTTAGCGCATTTTCCGCGATCCGCACTTTTGACATTGCGGACAACATGTTCGGACCTTCGCCGCTCGGCTCGAGCTCCTTGCTGACCCTGCGGTGCTTTGCGTGCGAGGGAGCGCACGGCACTGCAAAGCCATCGTTGTTGACCACCAGCTGACCCATGCGAGACGATGCTCGCGACTGCTCCGGGTCTCTGGAGGCGTCTTCGCTGCTTAGCGGCCGCTTCTCTCTACTCATCGGACGCCGCGATTTGGCATCATTGGCGGAATCCGAGCGGCCCTGTGATGACTCTGTCCGACGAGCCATCATGGCAGCCATCGAAAACGCGGGGACTGAGCCTCGCGAAGTGCCTTGCCCATCCCTCAAGTGCGTTGGGATGGGGGATGCGGGCTGGGATGGCGCTTGCTCGTTCGAAGCGACTTTGCTCCTCCAATAGCGACCCAGATGCCTCTTGAAGCTGGCGCCGCATCCGAGCGCTTCTGCATTGGCAACGATACCTTCCCACTTGACCATGCGAGAATCCATGGCGTTGGCAAGGGCGGTAAAGTCGCCAAAGTAGAGGTAGTGCAGTATCGCAGAGAAGGCGGATGGATCGGGAAGGGGAAGCACTACGGCAGGCAAAAGGTTGGGCGCCGCCGGTCGAATGAGGCGAGCCTGGGGTGCACCGAGCAGCGGTGATGTACCGTCTATGGTCGGTCTCCCATCCGCCTCTGCAGGCGACTGCTTGAGCTCAGCAAGTACGTCTCGAAAAAGGGTGGATTGTGTGGTGAGATAGTCTGAATGAACACGATACGTCAGCCGTCGATGAGCGGGAGTGCGAGCTACTGGAGCCAGTGCGGCACCTTCTTGGCGCGATGGACTGGGAGCAGATGCTCGGCGCTGCTCGTGGATTGGCTGTAAGAGTCTCGCGACTTCTTTGGTGGGCGCTGCTCGATGGCAGGCTAGCGAGGGTGCATTGCTGCTCATCGGCGTGATAGCTACACTTGTGGCAGGAGTGTAGCTCTGCTCCGCTATGCGGCTGCTGCCCATCAGAGACGATCCGGCACAAGTCGAGGTGGACGCCTCCGAGTCTCTTCTCGAGCTCTCCAAACAGCTTGCTTCGGGTCCCATGGGAGTCATTTCGCCGGCAGCCATCTTGGTCGCGGCACGACGCTCGTACAATCCGCTCTGCCTTCCGGGTGCCTCTATCCTGCGAAGGGGTGAGGAGGGGCGGCTCGCGTGCTGCTGTGAATGTACTGCAGCAGGGTGTGTATCGCGTATGGACGATCGCGATGGACCTTGAAGGCCTCTCGGTGACGTTGCCGCGGCATGGGGTTGGGCAGCAGGCGTGACGATAACGACCAGGTTCACCGTCTCGGGTCTGGTCCAAAAGTACGATCCAAGACTGTGGAGCCTATGGACGATTTCCTCCATTGGCATCGGCTGCGTCCCACGCTCGATTTGCGACGCTGGCTGATGCCATTGAGGCACTTGAGCCGGTGCGGGGAGGAGGTCGAGGCCGATGTCAGACATTTCAGACATTGTCTGCGTCTTTGTCGCGACCAGGGACATTTCGTCAACTGAATGTAGGGATAGGGGGAGGGAGAAAGAGAGAGAGAGAGGGAGAGAGCAGAATGAATGATGGGTGAGGATGACACCAAGGTAGGGGGCGGATGCGAGTGACAAGTGAGTTCAAGACTGCAACATCGTCGCGTGAGGACGGCAGCCTGAAGCTTCGATCTTTCCCAGTGGAGCGGCGAATCCTCGTGGAAGCGTCGGGAGAGCCAGACGTTCGACTTGCATGAAGCCGGTATCGCAACTCTTCTCGATCGTTCAGCGTAGTCGCTGCTCAACAACAGCTCGAATCACAATGGTCCCGCAGCGCCTTTGCAAGTATATCCGGGGTCGTACAGTCGTGAGTATTCAAAGGCGGTCAAGCGACTGGACGCATCGTGACTAGACTTGTGGTGGCTGCGAATGCGCGGGGCGGTGCAAATTGTGCATGCTGTACAGATCGAACTTGGCGCTTGGAACGAACAAAGGAACTCAAAAACTCGACTTTTGACTTGGTCGAGCCACGGCGGGAGCTGGCGTGACTGGACTGGACTGGACCGGACTGGACTGGACCGGACTGGACTGGACCAGAAGGATCGGAGACATAAGCTCATCAGACTCAAACTGGATCAAGCAGCTCGTCGTACAAGACAAGAAGTCAGCCAGCCTGCTGTGCGGAGCGAGGCTGTCGTTGTGTGTCGAGACGACACTCGAGAGGTTGATGCTCGAGTTGGAATTAAGGGAGAACAAGGGCCAGACAAGCAGCAAGGATGGCACCCTGCATTTGCATTTGCATTTGCATCTGCTGCACTCCACTGCACTCCACTGCACGCCACTGCACTCCACTCCGCGCCCTGCCTGCTGCTCTCGCACACTCGCAGCCACTCAGTGGCACTCGGCTAGCTCCACTTTCACGTCCTTGCTGCGTTCCAGGCCGCACGGCAGCAGCGGAGCAAGGCAGGCAGGCAGGCAGGCAGGCAGGCAGGCAGGCAGGCAGGCAGGCAGGCATGCATGCAAGTGAGCGAGTGGGCCGCTGCGATGCGCCCGCGTGGTGTGAAGCTACTGTAGGTACTGTATACTCTTTTGATTGAAAAGCGCAGCATCGCGCATTTGAACAACGAAAGCAAGACGTCGACTCGCATGCCGATGTACGGGTCAGCAGACTTTTGTCCTTGCCGTTGTTGTTGTTGTTGTCGTTGTTGTTCTCGGAAGCGAAAAAGCACTCGTCGCTCCTGACTGCTTTGGCCTGATGGTCAAGCTCCGATCGACGCTTTTTCGATCCGAGTCGCTTGTCTCTCCTCCCGCGTGGAGGGAGCACGCGGGAGGGGAGGTGGTGGTGCTGCTGTAGCCAAAGGCGCATTCCCCCATTCGCGGCCACGTCTCTTGGCTGCCTGTGATGTAGAGAGCAAGCGCCATGCGAGCCCGCTAAGCCGGCTAGCCAATCGTGTGAATGTGGCACAACTCCTGCCGTCAGCATGGGTCGACCAGAAGACAACTAGAAGAGTGATTGTGAGCTGCAGGCAAGCTCCGCACCCATAAGCAAGCGCTCATTGTTCGCGGCGACAAGGCAACGCCATGCCATGCCATGCCGTACATCGCGGAAGAATGCAGCAGCGAGCGATGCTTCGGCAGGGACCGACGCGCCGTTGTGTAGAACAAAGGGCTGTGCACGCATGTACGTTCTCATGCATGTCGCCCATGGTCAAGCAACTCGATCGTAGCTCGCCTTGCCTCTTTCTTACCTTTGCGGCAAAGCAGTCACCATTTTCCTCTCCTCGAGAAGCGCTTTTCTAATCCTCGAGCGCCACCTATATACCAACGCGACGCGAGTCACGAGTCTACGATTGTCCACGGGCCGGAGATCGGGGCTGCGCAAGGCCGCGATGATCGGCCTGTTTTTTTTTTTTTTTTTTTTCCCCTCCGAGTCAGCGGTCGTCGCACACAGACAGCTATAGCTGCTGTCGAGCCTGTGATGCCCACACGTTGTACATGAGTACAGACAGTTAGAAGAGTAGTATCACTTTGAGCGCAGGACGTCACGTCAGCCCGTCACGAGCGGCCTGCTCCCCATTCTGCCTCGAGTCTTGGGACTCGTGGATGTGAGGCGGACTATCTCGATCATTCATCAGAGCTGGACGCGTGTGCCAGCATTCGTGAGTGCGAGCGCGTGTGCATTGCCTCTTTTCGCGGGTCCGAAAGCGAGTCAAAGTGAGTATCGTGACGCAAAGGTGAGACGATCGAGAGCAGTGGCTGCGAGTTGTTGGAACAAAGACGTATAGGAGGCGCGCTCAATGATGAATGACCCACCTACGTATATACCTCCACTGCTGATCATGGTGCCCTGCAACGAGCGAGCACTCGCTGCCTGGGCGGCACTCTCAAAGATGAGATAGGAAAGGCAAACCTGTGTTGCTCCTCTGAGGTGTGCGAGCAGACTTGGAACCGGATGGTGGTGCACGGGGGGTCAAAATGCTTGCTGGCTCTCACAATCTTGAATTCATCCTGATGATGGTGAGACGGGTGACGCCGCTGCAATAAGAGCCCTGTCGCGGACGCTGGTTGTCGGCGGTCACGTGCATGCCGCCGCACGACTCCAATTGCGCGCATTCAAGATTTCCGCGCATGTCCATCATGTACCGTACGCGTAGCCCTTTGTCTGCGAATATAATTTTGAATCTGCACTCAAAACTCACACTCTTGACTCATCTCCTCTATAGAATGTTGAATCTGCCCTCATCAGAATGTGACTACAGTTGACGTTGACTGCACGGAAGGACCTCCGAGATGGATTCATCAGCATTTCAAATTGAATCTCAACAGTCAGGTCCAAAATGGGACGTCGTTAGTCCGGGATGGGTCTTCAATTTGACCTGACTTCTCCTGAAATTGCGTAGTGATTCTTGATTCCAAAACGGTATTTACTTCGTCAAGGAGTCGAGTGACTTTTAATTCTAGATTTGCGTCGCGTGCGTCGCTTCGAATGACGGTCACGTGGTGCGCGCCTGCCATGGAACCCCTGATGAATTTGAATCATGACCAAAAATCATCGATGAATTCGAAGAGAAGAGAGGAATACATGGCGACATGAATTCAAACACGCGACCATTTTCGTGCTGGCATGCAGGCACGTGCGACCCAGCTGATGATGGTGTCGTCGTCGCGAAGCCAAATGGCGCAAGCAGCATGCATGCATCGATCACATCAGATTTCACGCAGACAGACGAGCCAGCAGCATGGATGGATGGCAGATCGGCGCGTGCTGATTGCATGCCTGCCTGCCTGCACCTGCCGAAGTCCGCCGCTTGACCTTTGACGTGCCTTGGCGCGCGCACGCGCGCCCTCGGATTTAAGCTTGGTGGGCGCGTGGCGCCATCGTGTACATATAGCGCGCGCTTCAAGCATGCATCCAGCAGCAGCAGCAGCTCCGCTGTGGCACGGGGCTGGACGTCTCTGACACGTACGCCATTCTGGATGATTGCTACATCTGCAGACCAATAAGTCTGAGTAGTATAGGCACAACAGTCGTGACTCGTGAGTGCAGAGCAAGTACGCACAGCAGCAACATCAGCTGTGAACAGCGATTGAGCAGCACCCGAGACAGCTGCAATCAACAAGCACACCTACCACCGTCCGCTACAAAGTTACGAGTATAAAAAAGTCGAGGTAGCCGCACCCACCTTCATCGTATGGACCACGATCATCTCACTGAAGCCCGCGCACGACTAGAGGACCAGAAGGCACAACTTTAAGCACGCTCAGAAGCCATCGCACTCATCCTCACAAGTCACAATGTCAGAGGTGAGGGAGATCGTGCATCTGTCAATGAGGCGTAGCGATGCAAAGCGCAGCTCGGGTCGAGCACGCCCAGACAAAAAGCGAGGCGATCGACTGTCTCCTCTCAGTATGCTTACGCTGATGATCCCCTGACCACTTCAACAGCACGAGTACAGGTTCAACGTCGCCATGTCTTGCGGAGGCTGCAGCGGGGCGGTCACTCGAGTGCTCTCCAAGCTTGAAGGTGCGTGGCACAGGCAGGATCGCAGGTGGCTGTAGTGTGTGGCAGCAGGGCTGCAGCCTGCTGTGCAAGGACCGAAGGCCCTGAGGGAAGGCTTCTCCAAGCTCGGAACAGCGAAGCAGACTTCTTGCTACGCCAAAATTCGCTGGCTGCCCTGGCGATGCATCCTCCTTTTCGTGCCATTCGCAAGCCCAAAACTGACGTCGCGAAACCTCTCACATGCATGAATACCACAGGCGTCTCCTCTTTCGATGTATCGTTGGAGACTCAGACTGTAGTGGTCAAGGGAACTGCTCCTTACGATACTGTTTTGGAAAAGATCAAAAAGACGGGCAAGGAGGTTAGAGAGGGTCAAGTGGTAGCATAGACTCCGTGCGTATCTCGCAATCACTAGCCAGCAACGCTCGCCTAAGAGTAGCAACGTCGCAGCTTTGCTAGCAAGGCGTTCATGAATGCGGGGTCTCCTGCGCTCGCAGCGAGCACATGGGTGCCTTGTTCGCCGTCCAGCAAAAGTGACACCGCTCCTTGACTCGTTTCCGATCCGAGACCTTCAAAATACATACATTTCACGGGAGTGCCGTGAGCGACGCTGGGTGCTGAGTCCAGGGCACTGAGGATGTGGACATATACGAAGGTGCGTGAAACAAAGTGTACGGAGCTCTTCACGTAGCGATCGGCGCGGGCAAGCACCTCGGAACGCTTGACAATCTGTGGACGAGGCAGCAGTCCCAACGAGCGTCTACTCGTCCTCCAAAAAGCCTGGAAAGCTTCCTGGCAAGTCTCGCGGACGTCTGTGGTAATAGACGCCTTCCGCGGCTTCGTCCTCTTCATCTTCGACATCATCTTCGTCCTGATCGGGTTCCAACGCTTCAGCCTCCCCGTCGAGAACTCTTACTGGAGCGCCTCGAGGTGCCGACCGCGATCGCGGGCCATCTTCATCTTCCTCTTCTCTCACGCTGTGGTCCAGCAAGGAGGAGTCGGCTGTAGTGCCACGCTTCTGCGCCTTGCGTCGGGACGGCGCGACAGTCTCTGGCCCGCCCAGAGCTTCTCCGAGCGCTGCGCCTGCGCTGGACCCTCTAGGTCCTTGCTGCACACCTCCCCACACGCCTGCAGATTCTTCAGCCGATTGCGAGCCACCGCTCTTCTTTGCCGGACCGAGACTGCTCGACCGCTGAGGCGCGTTTGAACGTGAGATGCTTGAGAGAACGCTTCCGGATCTGAGAAGCGATGAGACGCCAGACCTTCTCAAGAGGGAAGACTTGCGTCGGCGGAGGGAGAGCACCACCACGTCAGAGGAAGTGCTGCTCTTGCGCGTTCTTTCGACTGCGCTTCCTTGACTGGTGTCTCCGCCAGCAGCTGCTTCCTCCGCGGCTGCTTGGTCGTCGAGCGTCCCTTGCGCCTTGTCCGCAAAGTCTTCCGAGGGGATTGGTAGCCATGGCTCTGGCAGCTGACCTGTGAGCGCGGGATGACCATATCTCCTTCGACCGGTATCGAGAGTACCATTGTAGTACCCGGTTGCTGGAGGCTCTCTGTAATCCGTGTGCGCATCGCGTTGCGCAACAAATAGGGTTTCGTCCTTTGCGCTATACCGCTTGCGAGCCAAAGCAGTGTGTTCAGCGTCCGGCGTGGTTCCAAGACGCAGCGCCAGTAGCGGGTTGACGTCTTCATGGCGCGGCGTGATGCTGGACAATGATCTCCCTTGCGACGCCGCGGCTGCGGCGGCCGCCTCTTGACGAGTGACAGCCGTGATGCTGGACAGGCTCACATACTCGCTGAGCGGCTGAAGCGTCTTGTTGAGATGTCTGCCGTACCACGCAGTCACAACAAACAGTGGCAAGCACAAGAGGGAGAGGAAGACTTGCTTCCTGAAGGAGAACAAGCCAATCTGAAAGACCTGATAGAGCAATAGGGCCCACACGCATCGAGTGGATGTCAAGAGCCAAGCTTGTCCCTTGCTCTCGTATGCCTTGTAAAAGACGAAAAGCAGCTTGTACTTGAAGACCACGTATCCAATCCCGAAGTAGATCGCACCAAAAACGGTGACCAAAGGCGAGACGATGCTGTAGACGACGCCAAGCGTCTAGTGCAGGTTTTAGACGTGTGAGCGAGAGACGGGTGCAGTCCCTTGGCTAGGCATCTTGTTACTCACGAAGACAATGATTGCAGCAGGATACACGCTGCCAGCGTATAGCTGCGGAGGTGCATTCAGCTCAGCGTGTTCACGCGGCGTGCGAGCGAACAGTCGACCCCAAGCCCTAGACAGGACCAAGGGCAGTTGCAGCAACTGCAATGGCATGACTGCGAGGGACTGCAGGACGACGTATGACAAGCTGAAGAAGCGTGCGCCAGGTAGAGATTGCGCCAACTTGTCCAACACCTTGGCTGGACTCGTAGCTAGGTCTTGCAGTACACTCCAGAGCGTGGTGGTGACCAAGAAGATGAAGATGACGGAAATCACCAGAAAGAGATCTAGATTGCGAGGGTAACAGCATCGTTCAGCGCGGAGTCAGGAGTATGTGAAAGAAGACGAGATGCATGACTTACGATACCGCTTGAGAACGCTGAGCTCCACCAGGCTTTTTGCGCGTAGACCCTGAAGGTAAGCAGTCCATTCCAACACCATAGGCAGCAGGGCGTTGAAAGAGATCAAAACCAACGAGGGTAGAGAGGTGAGAACGAGGGCTTTGAGACGATCGCTGCGTTCGAGGACTTTCCAAAGCCAAGGCAAGTACTTTTCGATAGCCGCAGGGCTGAGCAAAGATGCCAAGAATGCCAAAGGTGGAATGTAGAAGATGAACAGGGTGAAGGTGAAGGCCGAGACAAGCAGTTGGCGCAGGCGGCGTTCGAGAGGCGCCAAGGAGACGTTGGACCAGATGAGGTCTCTAGGCTCGACGGCGAGACTGGATTTGCAATAGAAGGGTAGAGGGTAGTGCACTGTTTGTGCGGCGATTTGCTGCGGCGGGGTAGCAAAGGCAAGAGGGCGTCAGCATACCTGCAAAGTCGTCCTAAAGACGTGGACTCGACATCTCGTCCGGCGAACCGCATACTCACTGCGCTCGCGGCGTCGACAAAGGTGACATAGCCGGTATTAGCGCTTGGCCTGTCCTGTTCTCGCATGCTTCTGACGGCAGAGTCCAGCGCAAAAAATTCACGCGCGAGATGGTCCAGCAGGTCGACCTTGCGACCCATTCCGAGCCACCCAAGTCTTTTGGTGGGTCGTGCCCGGCCAGCGGGATGCTTGATGCTGGCCAGAGCATCGGGCATGTCCAAAGTCTGCTGCTGCTGAGTGCTGCTCAAGAGTGGCGCCCTTTCCGTATCGATGTCAGCAGCACTGGTAGGGTTGCGACCATTGGCGGATATCGCGCTCTGCACCACTGCAAACTGCTCCGCCCTGGATTGCAATGCTTCAGCGATCTTGTCTGGATCGTAGCCTTCAGCGCTGGTTGGATTGCCGAGCCATTTGACCCAAGCTCCTTCCAGCTCGTACAGCTTGCTGGCTCTTCTGGCCAGCATTCCGCCCAGCCCACCAACCTGCCTGCCTACAGCCGTGCTCTCGACTTGCAGACCGCAGTTCTCCCAGTATTCCGCCAGCTTGCGCTCGTCTCGCAGGTGCTGCGGCAAGTAACGCATCTCGATCGTGCGTGCAGGAATCGAAGGGAGCAGATCAAGCGCGTACAGCTGGCGGTTACGTACGAACTTAAGTCCGCCTTTCCAAAGGGCTCGCAAGACGAGTGCGGTGGTGAGGTAAAGGGTGAGAAGGTGGGTCAAGTGCAGCGCCGACACATCCGGAGGCGACCAAGGGAAAGTCGGCTGTCCCGGGCCTGGCAGTGGCATCTTGTCGTCACCCACTCGTGCGAAGGTGAGCTTGCGGCCTCCGTCGTTTGGCGGATCGCGGCGACGTCTGTCATCCTCGGATGGCGGCACGCCATCGATGGTACCGTTGTAGTGCCAGTGCACAGGCATAAGCACGCCGCAAGTCCAGATGCTCAGGAAGGCAAAGATCCAAAAGCCCATTTTGAAGAAGGAGAGCAGTACAGCAGCGTCTAGCCCAACGATGTGCAGAATGCTCGACTCCGGCGTCGCAATGGTCGGCCGAATCCAGCTGAACACGCCATCGTCGATGCCCTGGGCGTGCGGCGTGAAGCCCTTCAACTTGGTGCGGGGTGCAAAGACGCTCGAATACTTGCGTCTGATGAGGGAAAAGAGCAGGAACGATCCGATGCCGATGAAGAGCGAGAGTGTGAGCTGCTGCTGTAGCCAATAGCGGGGAAAGACGCGATCGTTGGGTAACCCTGGCAACTTCCCGCCATCTTCAGGCGATCCAGCCCAGGTCATGGTGCACGGCGCGCAAAAGGTCGACGCTCTGAGCTCCGATCAAACAGGCCTCGGGGAGCTCCCGTAGAGGGACGACTGTGAGTTCGAACCTCCGCAAAGTGTCAGCGCTTTGACAGTGCGTCGAGTGGAGGCGACTGCACAAGGATCTCAAGGTTAACCTTGTGATGGTGATCGGATGCGGCGTGCGTGCACTCTGTGAGTGACTTGAGAGTGGACTGACGCAACGAAAGGACTGGAAAGCTGGATGCACTGCTCGCCTCGACGGAGCGAAGTGGTCAGATGTTGGTATGTAGTCCTTGAGAAAAATCTTCAGCACCAAGTCATCGATCCAAGCTTCATCTCGAGAATCCCATCGCGCGATGTACGGTAGAATCTCGAGGATGCTGACCATCAGCACCCGTGCTTTCGCTCAGGAGCGCCCGCGATTTTATTCAAAGATTCAATTGCTCCCAACAGGCCTCCACAAGCACGTGATTCTTCCGCGACCGCTTGACCTTGGAGTGCAGATCGCACGTGACTTTCACCTTAAGTGCTGCGTAGTCGGAAAAGTACGGGCAAGCGCGTAATGACCGAGACGGCGCCGCGTTGCTCCTGCTGCCTTATGATTCATGAAGCGCGGGCACGCGGTCGAGCGCGTTCGCGTGGGGCTTCCAAGAAACAATACGGTACCGTACACATAGTTCACGAGAATAGGAGTTGCTGTTACGGTATCAAAAGTCGCCGTGAGCTAAATGGATCGCAAGAGCCGAGGGCCCGACGGGCGTCCGCGGACGCTACCGCGATGAGCGGAGTGGCTTGCCCGACGCGCGCCTGCATGCATGCATGCATATACATAGTCCGTATCACAGGGAATCGTGAATCTTGAATAAGAAATCTCCGCGCGCTCCATTTGATCCACCACACACGCTACTGTATACGCAGAAGTGGAGGATGTGCTAGGTGTGCGCGCCGCAATGTGAATCAAAATGTGAATGACATCCGTGGATGACGAGGAGAGAGCCACATCGACCACACACTTTGACTGCAATCAAGGGAATCTGAGGAAATACTCACAGTGAACCTTGGAGGCAACTGCCACAAAGGCGAAGCGGCACTCGTCTTTATTGCTGGATCGCATCGCATCCTTGTTGATGTTCGTGTTGCAGCGGCCGACAAACGCGAAGGGCAGGATTGGCCAGCAGGGTGCGGCCGGGTGCGGGTGCGGGTGCGGGTGCGGGTCGCGATCGAGCATGGCGCATGAGCTTAGGCATATGGGCACACTCACGACTCGCAACTCGCAACTCGCACCCACACACACACACACTCCAGCATGTCCTGTAGAGTAAGACTTTCAATAATGAGGCTGCCTCATCTAAGGAGAAACAGTCTCGGAATGCTCCGGCGGAATGCTCCGGCTGACTATTACAACAGTGACGGTATCCAATGCAGCACAGACGCTCGCTGAGGTTCATTTGTGCTTTTGTGAGTCACCCACGGCTTTCTCTTCTAGCTGCTGCTGCTGCTCGCGCATCTGTGTCATGCACGTCGCTGCAACACACTCACGACTATCCACGCCTGCCTCGCTGCTGTGGAGAAGCGCGCGTGTGCATGATGAATCGGGAACACGCACAGCCACAAAGTGTGTATATAAGGGCGAGCCTACGTATCCTCATCCCCCCTCGGGGCGTCGTTCATCGTCTACCTGCTTCACCAGTCAACACCTTTCCCAGAAGTCAACAGTACTACAACATCCCATCCTTCTATCACCACACATACCGCCGCCCTGTCCTACCCCATGCTCACTGCCGGGTTGCCTGCTATGGCAGGCTCTAGCCTACACTTGGCCTATGTGGCTTCAACGAGCGCAGCGCGCGTGGCTCCCGTCATCGCCCTCGCTGGTAGATGTGCAGCCCATCAGGGTCAGCTCACGACCCCATCATCCCGCAACATGGGCAGCTTGTCACGCGGTCAGCTCAGCGCCACATCGTTGAGCTCTTACCCGCACCCGCGGCTCAGCAAGGAGGATCAGATGAGGCACTTCTTCACCTCTCATCCTCACAACAGCTCCGTCTCGGTCGGCGGCAGCAGTGCTTCTCGCACCGATCCAAAGGATAGCCCTCACCTCGTGCCTCCTTCAGAAGCTGCCAAAGATCGTAGCGAGCCCGGATGGACACCTCATAATGCGTATACCGACGAAGGTGAGCGATCCTCAATGACCTCCTTGTGCCTGCCTCTCGCCGACCGTTCTCACCGTGTACGCACAACCGCAGAGCTGGATGCTGTGCGCGTCGTACACAAAGAGCTCAAAGGAGCATCAGATCACATCGGTGAGTCCTTCTGCTTTGTCGAAGATGCTACGCGCTTGCTCACTGAACGACTTCGAAATTCCCCAATTGGCCTTCAGCCGCGTTTCTGGTGCGAGTAGTGAGGTGCGCCCTTTGTCTTCCTCCACGTAGTCGCGATGAATTTTTTTGCTGACACGTCATCTCTCCGCTCCCTGCTCGTCAGGACCGGATTTGATGTTGCCACTCGATATCCAAAGCATCGGGAGAAATTCCCAAAGGTGATGGGAGCCGAGGGGAGACAAGTCTCGACCCCTTCCATGGACGATGAACGAGCAGCGGTCAAGCCTCGCCGCAAAGATCACGCGCTCGCAGCCGAAAGCCTGCCAGAGGTGATGGAGTTGGGGGAAATGCGCAAGCGCGGCATTTGCTTTGGGCCCGAGCAGTGGCTCATTCGCATCGTGTTCCTCGAAACCATCGCCGGGGTTCCAGGTTTCAGCGCAGCCATGATCAGGCATCTGCAAAGCCTGCGCCTGATGCGCAGGGACAAGGGTTGGATCCAGACGCTATTGGAGGACGCTCAAAATGAACGGATGCACCTGCTCGTCGCGCTCAAGCTTTACCGCCCCGGCTTCTTCATGCGAACCATGATCGCCCTTGCACAGGTCGTCTTCACTGCTGCATTCTCCGTAGGCTACATGATCGCCCCTCGGTTGGCCCATCGCTTCGTCGGCGTCTTGGAGGAAGAAGCCGTCATCACCTACACCAACATCCTTCGAGACATTGAAGCGGGTCGACTGCCAGAGTGGGAGCGATTCCCGGCACCAGCTGTGGCCAAAGACTATTGGGGCTTGAAGAGCAGCGCCACCCTCTCGGACGTCATGCGCGCTCTGCGAGCTGACGAAGCCAACCATCGCTTCATCAACCACACCCTGGCGTCTATCGAGAGCCAAGACTTTAATCCCTTCGCCTATGGTGAGGCTCGTCCTACCGAGCGAGGCGGAAGATGGGGTTTGGAAAGGAACGAGGCTTTGGAGTGGTTTGAAAGAGAAGATGCTAAGCGAAGAGAGGCCAAGGGTCTAATGCGAGCGGAGGGTGCTACCGAAGCGCGTCCTGTTCGACAAGACAGGCTGCCTGTGAAGGATGAAGCGCAGCGAGACACCAGCAACTCATCCCGCAACGCGGTCTGATAGAGAGGTCCAGCTCTTGCGCAACCGCCTGTCGAATTGTCCACTGCCATCACAGCAGAACCCCATCCTGGTTCTAGATCCCTTGTCTCCCAAGAATCGGTCGTATCAGCATCAAGAGGGCGCTGGCGTCTCTCTTCGTCTCCAGCGTCAGCTTGTACCACCTCTCAAATCGCCTGTGCCACATCAACGTCGAATAAAGCCTCTCGCAAGCTTGATGGCGGCTCCTATGCCAAGGACATCATCATTTCTTAGTGCCTTGATTAGGTACGAACTGTATACTAGATCCACCGCCCTCTTGTTGCGTGATTTTGAAATTGTCCGTCGAGAGTCCAAACCAGCCTGGCGGGAGACCGCATGAGGATGTTGGAGAAGCGTAAGTCTGTGCAAGCTTGCGAGTTCCGAAGCTTTGCGACTCTTTTCCGACGAGCGACTTACCGAGCACGCTATCACCTACACCTTTTAGCTTTTGCATCATCTCCTCCTTTTCCTTCTTGCCCACTTCCTCAATTCGCGGCGGAAGCGTTTGCAGCTTTGTGCGCAGCGTCGCGCGCAAAGAAGCGGGCGTCTCGTGCATCTGCGAAAGAGTCTTGTAATCTGGCATATTGTTGAGTCCGCCCTCAGCTTCAGTGAGCGTGTCTTGCGTGTACGCGCAACTTAAGCGTCTGATAGATCACTCACCATCCAATGCGGAGCTGAGGGAAGACCAGTTGCCGATGGTTTCATTTGCCTGAGCACGTCGATGGAGGGCCTTGATGTACGCGGGATCGTCGAGCAAAGCTGTCATTTGAAAAAGAGGGACAAATGAGCGCACGAACTTCCGCATGCACTTGGCAGCGAAGCGGCCGCTCACCTTCGTTGCATGCCTTCACGGCGCCAGCATTGTCTTCCAGCTTCAGATGGCACGCGGCGAGATTCGCGTAGATGACCGCTCGTGATTTAGCGCACTCGTGCATCAAGAGTGCTTCTTCTGGATCCTCGTCTTCCCGGAGCTCGACGAATCGACCATTCTCGGCATTGCCCTTGCCCTTGCTTCGTGAGCCTGAGCTTGATCCGTATTGAGCAGGGGTGTGCCGGCGTGATGTTTGAGACGCCGGCCCGACTGAATCGTCGACTTGATCTGACTCGCTTTCCTCGTCTGATGCAGGTTCGGGCTCGGGTCGGACTGGCAAAGCCATCAAGGCATCATTGTAAAGGCCAACGGCTTCATCGTACCTCGCTTTTGCGAAGCTGTCATTAGCTTGCGCTTTAAGTGTCGAGGCCTGTTCGAGTGCAGCCTGCGGAGCGATTTCGAGGCAAGCGCGAAAGCAGAACAAAATGTCAGATTGCGTGTTGCGCTCGGCAGCGAGTCTGGGATGGTCGGTAGGATACAATGCATGGAAGAGATCTGGGATTTGATATCATCCAGATAGAAGCACGGAAACGTAGTCAGTCACGTCAACCCACACGGAGCTTTTTGGAGAGAGGAGCATCATCTTCGCCGGGAGCCAGGACTCCGCCTTCCGCCTCGCCTGCTCGTTTTGTTGATGGTCCCACCTCAGCTTGCTGGCGCGTGCCATGCATATCATCACTGACGATTTCGATGATCGCAGACGAGCCATCGGCAGCAGCCTCTCCAGCAGCTTGAATGTCCCTCGTCTTTACCGGCCTGTCCTGTGTCGCAGCGCTGTCGGCGGTTGCCACCGACGAGGTTGATGCGGCTGCACTGCCCTCATGCGACCTGCCAAGCCTCTTAGCATCCTTGGCCATCGCCTCCGCCTTCCGCACGGCCCTTGCTGCTGCATTCGCTGCTTTCTGTTCCGGTGTCAGCTCTTCGGCTACAGGATTTTCGGGCCGGAAGTATGGCTGGGCCAGCCAATGAGGAACGTATGTCGGTCGGGCTTCGTCCGTTGTTCCCTCAGCCAGTGCTGACGCTCCCTCTGGCCTCAACGGCGTCGAGCCGTACCGGGGTATCGCTGGTGCTTCCAGATAATTCGGATTCGTCCGGTCGGGCTGCAAGTGTGATCTTGAAGTATTAGGCACGCAGACATTTCTGGTCGGGCACGAGCGCAGCACACTCACAGAGAGTCTTTCTTCTAAGGCATCCACAAAGGCGCGGAAGCCGTCCACTCTCGCCTCGCCAGTCGCTTTGTGATCTTTACCGCTCGGCCGAGATTGCCCAAGATCCGCTCGCATGTCGCGATGCACTTCCAAGGCTGGGCGACACAGTCGAAAGAGGTGTGACCGAATGGCAGAGACAGCAGTGGGGGTTTTGAGTGTCGCTACGATGTCCAGATACTCTCGCGCTAGCACTACGATGTCGGGAAATGGCAGTCTGGGTGCAAGAGGATACAGAGCCGAGGGAGAGCTGGGCGCGTCGGCAAAAATGGTCGGCGTGTACAGGTTGCCCTCCGCGGACATGACGGCATCTGCGCCCGTCACTCGCAGCGCTTCCTCGACATCCGCAGGGAACAGCACATTTCCATTGGCAATGACTGGCACACCGACAGCCTCCTTGACCGCACGAATTTTGTTCCAATCGGCGAGACCAGTCTTTTGACCCTTCATGTCTCTAGTACGGCCGTGCACGGTAATGATTTGCGCGCCCGCTCTCTCCAGCATCCGGGCATACGCAATGGTCCTCTCAACATTGGGATACACTCGCATCTTGGCAGTGACTGCTACGCGCAAGCGGAGGTGGAGATTGTTGATGAGTCTGAAGATGAGTGGCCAGTCTTCTTGCAAAAAGGCGCCGTAGTGGCCCTTCCGAGCAATGCCCTGAGGACAGCCCAGGTTGAGATCCACAGCATCGCAGTGCGCCTCGACGTCCTTTGCAGCGCTCAATAGCGCATCAGCATCGTTTGCGCAAAACTGGCACGCGGGCGGTACATGAAGTGTCAGCTACTTGCGATGGTGGCAAACAGGTTTGGAGGCCACGCTCACCTGAACGATCAGAGGTCTGTCAGTGTCGACTTTGACTTCCGCTGCTGTGCTCTTCACCGCATTCGAGCCCTCCTCTCCGAGCAGCCTGTTGAAGTTGGCCTCCTTGTAGCTCTTTGCTGCCGTAGCTCGGGCAGCATCGACCCAAGCTCGCGCGTTGATCATGGGCGTGTACACCAAATCAGAACCGTGCCGCCTGGAAAGGACGCGCCAAGCGAGTTCGGACTGGTCGACCATGGGCGCCACCACTCTCTTTGGCGATCCCATCGATTTCCACAGATCCCATCCGCCAAGCTTGGTGTGCTCGGGTGTGCCTGTCGGAGGAAAGTCGTCCAGCAGTGGAATGTGCGTCTCTGGAGGGGACGCCTCCGCAACTGCTGGGCCAACCGAGCCTCCAGCTCCACCCAATGCGCTGCTTGGGCGACTGCTGCCGTCGTCCGAGACGGGCATGTTGCTGGCTACCGCTCTCTTGGCCCGGCTCCTGCTCACGATATGCAGCTCAGTGCCACTGCTGCCTGCTACGAAGCGGCGCAGTGACTGGCTTAGCGCCGAGGTAAAGATGTTGACCCTTGCTGAGAATTGCTGCAGCTTGACTGGTTCCGTGTGAGTTGCGCCTGGCCGCCGCCCTCTCTGAAGTGAGTGGACGAGCTGCGACCTTTCCGGCAATGTCGTGCGTTGATGCTTCGAGCGACTTGAGAGCTTTTAGGTAAGATGGAAAACATGAAGGCTTTGTCTGTAATTCATGAAGAATCTGGAAGCGCATCAGAGGTACCGATCAGGTCTGAGTTATGAGTGGATTCTGACTTTGTCACGCTTGACTCAAGACTCGTGACTGATCCCTCTTTGAAGTTTAGATCTTAAGCCACGTGATTCGACAGCTTCGAGAATAATTTTGCATCTCTCGGTCCGCCCGGGTCGGTGCGAGCGCGCGCGCGCGCGTCGGCTGGCCACTCACAGGGCGCGGGTTTGGATTCTGATTTGCTGCGAGAGCTGCTGCAGGCGAGACCGCACATCATCAGCAGCAGCCAAGGCTGTTCTGGCAGAGCATTCACTCGGGCACCGATGACGACTACGACCACGACCAACCCACCGAATCCCTTCTGTCTGCTCAAGTCGGGTCAAAATGACGTTTCTCGTGGGTACCCTGCTCCATTTTGCTCACTCAACATGCTGCATTGCATACATGGTGGTGCAGCTTCGCTAACCTCAGATCCTTGGTGATCTTCTTCTCGTAACAGGATGGAATCTCGCTCATCAACTTCGTCAAGAGGTCGCCAGTGCTCTTGCGAGCCCTGACACCTCTGGCCAAGGCTTACGCCCAATCCTCTGGCTTTCGTCAACTCGGTCTCAAATACGACGACCTTCTGATCGAGGAGAATGACGATGTGCAAAAGGTGCGCCTCTCTTCACGTTGGCGGCAGGCTCGCGGTCGTAGCGGAGGGAAAGCAGTGTCAACAGAAGGCAGGCGTCGAGGGCAGCGAGCAGAGCTCGAGGAGCTCACAAGTGGAGGATTTGTGTGGTGACAATGATGACAGGCTAGCAAGGGGGTGTCAAGGGTGTTGATGCTGGACAACGCGCCCGCGTGCGCTTGGCGCTTCGACTGCGTGGCATAAGCTTCATTGAGCCCACGATGAAAGAAGAACGTATGAAGAAGAAGTTGCCAGAACGTTGCCTCCGACGATGGCTCGCCGACACGTGACTGCAGGGAACATTGGCCACCTTTGCTGACACTTCTTTTGTGCTCTTGCCAGGCTCTTAAGCGTTTGTCGCCCCGCGAGCAATACGACCGCGCCGCTCGTTTGCGAGCAGCTTCTCAATACAGTGTGCTTCACCGCGATGCTAGCAAGGAGCACTGGATCAAGCCAGAAGAGGTGAGCGCATGGTCTTTTCGAGTCCGGAATGCCAACGCAAAACGGGCTCGTGCTAAAGGTTTCTTCATTACTCCCGCATTAGGATGTCCGCTACTTGCAGCCAATTGTAGACCAGGTCAAGAAGGCAGAGGAAGAGCGCGCTGCATGGGACACGGTCAAGGTCGACAGGAAGTAGAGGTTGCTCTTGATCGAGCATCCCCCCCCTCTTTTCCAGCCTACGTACCTCAACCCCCAAGCAATTAGACGCCTTTCTTGACAAACAGATCTTTCGAGGATTTGATCACCTCCGCAAGGTGGAAGCCGAAGTCTTCTGGTCAGCAAATGCCCGCTTGAATGCACACTGAAGGAGATTGTGCGCGGAATCCTCTCGATTCAATTGCGCAACGACGCAACAGCAGGCTGCGCTACTTTGTCCTCGACAAAGTGCAAATGCCGTCGCGATGCACACGAGCCCCCTCTCGCGCTTGTCAATGTGCTATTTTGCAGCATGATTACACAGTGAGGGGCGCGAGCGCAGCGCAGGCAGACTCAAACAAGGGGCTACGCGCAGAGAAGCAGACAGCAGTGACCGATGACTATTGAATTTCGGGCATCTCAGGGGAAATTGCGGATATGGTAAATGTGCAAGGGGCTATTGTTCAAGCGATCATGGGAGGATGCGCAAAGGCTTTGCGAGAGCAGAGATGGGCGAGCAAGCGGGCGAGCTGTATCCCCTGGCCTGTCGGTATTGGGTTCGTGGACCCTTGTCTGCCTAGGCTGCTATTCGGTCACTTCACAGAAGAGAGACTGGGTTGTCGGTCTGGCAGGTCTGACCGTCGAAGCAGCCTTCGGGGTTGGCAATGATGGCTCCAGTGGGAGAGTCCTCGATGTAAAAGCTGTAGCTCTTGTTTCCGGTTCCATAAGGCCTGAGATTTCCGTACTTGTAGTGCTGCACGAAGAATTGGGGCTCCTGGCTCGCAGCGTTGTTGACCGAGCTGCAGTCGACTTCCTGCAAGCGTGTGTTTGCCTTGGTCAGGTCGGCAAGTGCAACGCACTTGTTGTTACGACCGACAACCTGCAGCTTGACTGCGTGGTCGTTGGGCACTCCGGAGGGCTGGGTTCCACCCTCCTTCAGCGATGCGCGAATGCCGTCGAAGGTGCACCTCGTGACTTGCACTTGGAAAGGTGTGACGGGTCCGGTTCTGCCGTCGATAGCGATTACTGCTGGAGAGCTAGCGTGGGAATCGTCCGGGTTGCCGAATGTTCCCAGCAGGAGCCCTCCGCTACCGTAGCTGGCGTCTCCCTCGGAGAGCCAGACAGGTGCGCCGGGCTTCTCGCAGGAGAAGCCGGCTCGGCGCTCGAAGGGCTGAGCAGCGACGAGTGAAGAGGTTGCAGCGAAGACGCCGGCAGCAAGAGCGAGGGAAGAGATGCGGGCGATCATTGTGATGAGCTTGAACGTTGTGTTTGGAGTTTGAGCGGAGCGGATGGTATGAGGAGGCAAAAGTCGGAAGCGGAGCTGTATTACTGTGCAAGGTCGAGAGCGAGAGAGCGAGATGAGGAATGATGTGAGAATTGCTTGGCCTCGAAGGCTGCCCTCTTATACTTTTTGCGCCTTTACTCAGTCTGTCCAGAGCCTTTCACTTTCCTGCTATGATGGATAGTCATGAGCCGTGCGTCGACGTCAAGGTCTCTCCAGTCACTGTATAGACAAGACATCGGCAGCTTTTCCGCAAGCCGTAGTAGTAGTGATGTTGCAAGATGCCATGGTCTGCCGTCGTCAGCTGTGCAGCTATAATGCGCTCTCCTCTCTACAGCGAGCATACCAATTTGCCCTGGACGTGGTGTTCCGAGATTGCAGAAATCGGATCAGACCAACCCACGATCGCGGCTCGCGGCTGCTGGCTAGGGGAATCCACAAGAGTTGCGAACAGCAGCGAAGTCATCGTTTCCGAGGATCCTGTCCTGGACTCTCGCTGCACGACCCGCTGATCCGGCACATCTACAGTGGCGTTAAGCGTCATTTTGACCTGGAAACGTTGTTTTTTACACGAAGCGAGGTGGAGACATGAGACCAATCAGTCGCGATGATGCATCGGCATGAAAGCGACCGCCGGAACCTATAGTTGCGTAGATTGAATGATGGCCCAATTCGATCGATTACGACCGCCTTAAAATATGATGTGTAAGCGGGCTGGGCCGGCTTGTGTGACAACTTTAATTTGATTCATCTTACGTCAAATCCGTACCAATCAAAAATGGAAATTCTTATGCCTGCGCGGCAATTGCCAATGACCTCGCGTCCCATCAGACTCTTGACTCACGACTGCTTCTTCTGCTGGCTAGCTTCGTGACATGCGATTTTGCCCCTGTTCGGCCCCTGTTCGGGGCTGAGGAAGTGCATGCATGGTGCATCGGCGGATGATGACGGTGCAGCTTTTGTATGCAGCATCTCAACACTCCAAAACTGATTCAAGATCTCTAATTAGCCTGCACCGACGCCTCGCGTGCACATGATCATCCAGATCGGCGCGGGGGGAGGCAACTTTGCGTTGCTCGATCTACCTTCGGGCCTCGCGTAGCTCCGCGCGCGCCCCGCGCATGGAACGCCGTCTCTGGAAGTCCGCGTCACGGTGGTTGCGCCGAACGGTCGCTATTCAAGATTGACGATCCCTGCCATGCCCCCGCCTTTGCTAATCTCAAACGCGCCGCGGTCTTGGGTTCGTCTGAGCGCGACGTAACGTAGCAGTCGATCGCGAGTGGTTGCTGCTCACATTTGTGTGCGTACCTTTTTGCGAATGTGCAGCGTCATCAGGAGATTTGGCTTGACGCAACCCCGATATCGGGCTTCTGACGCCCGATTCGGGATCGGCGGCAAGTGACCGTCGGACCAGTCGAGAGTGCGAAACCAGCACATCTTGCCTCGCACTCCATGGCTCCGTTCCATTCCACCACCCTGACCGTCTGTGTGTACGACTCAGCAGTACACAGCGGCGTTGATTATGCAACCATTCAATGTTTCGGCAACCCATCGCTCCCGATGCATGATAGGTGCCACCAGAGTCGTGCCTCATGCAACTCCAGAATACACACCGAGAGGGATGAAAATCGCTACAGCACATCGACAGGCAAACGTCCTAACCCGATTTTGAGATGTATGCAATTGAAGAGGGCTGCGACCGATCTCGATCCTTGCGCCAGATAGTCTGCAGGAATATGTAGGCGAATATGTAGGCAGCCTCATGTGCAAGACCGCGAAGACGCGAGGCGAACGCTGAGATCCGAGACTTTGATGTGCTACGAGAGGGAAAGTTGCGCGCAAAGATGATAACTAGGGCAGGAATAGCGATGATTCGTGAAATGTTCGTGAGATTCGTGTCTGTTTGCTATTAGGCAAAGTTGTTCGTGAGTCAGGACGCTACACCGTCGATTGGGACGTTACGACGCCTTGACGGCGGTCACATCGGGCTGGGCGGGCGGAGGGCTTTTCCCCGAGCGCTTGTCTCGCTTGCCCTTGAACAAGCCCTTTGCACCCGCTACAGCCGGTGGAGAAGCGGCGCGCTGCTGTTCGCCCAACGCAGCTTGTCGAGCCAGCGCTGTCGCAGCTGGGGAGGCTGGGCGAGTAAGCGGGTCAACAGTGCTGCTGCCACCAGAGGCCTGGCGCGACGCGCGTCGAGAAGCATTGACGGCGCTTAGCACTGGAGTGCCTGGAATCTGCATCTCGAGACATGATGGCTCCGCAAGTTGAGCGCAAGCGACGTGTGTCTTGACGGGACAATCGTCGCAATCCATGAATGCGCCGAATCCAAGGCGCCTTCCGCAAACGTAGCACTTGGCGAGCGCATTTGCCAGGATCAGCCCGGGCGGGATCATGCTGCCTGCCGTGGGAGCAACTTGACCGGAGGCAGCTGCGGCAGCAGCGGCCCCCATCGGCGTTGGCTTCCTCATTCCGTTCTTGACCAGCGTGAAACGATGGTAGACAAGGGGATCGTGATAATGCTCCTGACCATCTTGCGTAGGGCTGCGTTGACGGGTAAGCGTGGAGGAAGCGATGGTCGCCATTGCAATGGAAGGGTCCTGACGATGCGATCTGGCGGTCATAAAGGACTGCGTCACATCATCATCCCCTTCGGCTGCTGCCGCGCCGTTTGCGTCGTGGCCAGTGTCGCCGCGCAAGGTGGAGGCGTCCGACGGCTCCACTCGATCTGCTCTTCCCGCAGTGCGCTTCGAGTCACTTGCAGTGACATCCTCTTGCTTCACGGTCATGGTGGACAGCGTGTTTGATAAAGCTGCATGTGCATCTTTGATCTTCGACGGGCGCACCACACTCGTACTGTAGGTCGTGTCTGTGTCGCCGCTGGCAAAAGGATTGGAGGCACTCGACGCCCTCACGGTACTGTCCTTTGCCATCGTTTTCTGCGTCCACGAGGTGCGCAGACTGGGCAAAGCGCTTCCCTGCTCGTCGCTCCACCAAGGATTGCCGTGGCCGGACACCTTGAAGGTGCTGCCTGTGTCAAGCTCACCGAGCTTGTTGTCGAGGGGGTCGTGGACACCCACGCGCTCCAGTGCGGCGAGTGCCTCTTCCATGTCCTCGTCGCTGTCCTCGCCTTCCGATGACGATCCGCCGTAATGTCCATTGGGCTCCTCCTTGATGGTGGAGGGCTCTCCAACCTTGACCTGTCCGTTGAAGCTTGGGAGTCTGGGCGGTCCGCCTGGTCGCCCACCTGCTCCTTTTCGCTTGCTGCCGGCATTTAGCACAGCCTTGAGGCTGGAGCCTCGCAAACTTCCAACGCTTTGCAGAGTACCAGCTTTGGCCTCGCGCGTCAGAACATCTTGTTCGATATCGCGCAGGCGACGCACGATGTCGCGCATTTCTGGTCTCGCTTCCGGCTCGACCGCCACGCAGTCGATGCAGAGTCTAATGAATGCCTCTGGGCATCCCTTGGAAGCCATTTCACGAATCTCTACTTCCTCCACGCCAAAAGTGGGCATCTGTCGCTTGAACGTATTTGCATCCACGAGGTGACGAGATGCGATCTCGCAGAAGATGACTCCAAGGGAGAAAATATCCGTGGGCAGACTGAAATCGACGCCCATCAGAATTTCGGGCGACATGTACCCATCAGTGCCGCAGAACTGGTGGCAAAGGGGCAGGAGAAGCTTAGACGAGATCGTCCATCAGGCACAAAAGGACATTCTTCACTCACGCTCATCCTTCGCATCTCTTCTTCGTTCCTCGCCGCTATGCGCGCGAAGCCAAAGTCGCACACCTTGACCCGATTGTTCGCTGTGATGAGAAGATTCTCGCCTTTCAAGTCTCGGTGCAAGCATTGTCGTGCGTGCAGGTACGCCACAGCGCGGGCAACGTCGGTGGCAAAGCTCATGCGCAAAGGCCAGTCGAAGGGTTTGTGCTTGTCGGCAATGTAAGACCGCATGTTGCCGCCGACAAATTCGGAGACGATGTAGACTCTTCCGTCGGGATCGGGACTTTTCGATACGCCGATATACTGAACGATGTTGGGGTGCCGCGCTTCTTTCATGAGGACGCATTCACGCTCAAAGTACTTTTCCACGTCGTACGTGTTGTTCGGAAGCACTTCCTTGATGGCCACTTCTGTCCCCAAGTATTCCCCCTGCCGGCACACCCAGAGTAGAGAGTAAGTCCTTGAGTTCGACTCCGCTTCGCTCCACCAGACTCACCTTGTAGACTACACCAAAGCTTCCGCCACCGATTCGGACCCACTGACCGCCGCCCGGTCCAGTAAGGTCGGCAAAGTGGATGCTGTCGAAGCGATTCATCCTGGTTAGAAGAGTAGGGCTGGAAATGCGTTTCGCACGATGAGTCTGAGTGATCGAGAGCCCTCGCAAGCCGTGAAAGAAACTGAGACGAATGCAGGCTCTCGAGCTGTAGAGTGTGAGAGGCGAAATTCCAAGGTCCCACCAATTGCCTTGAGATGTCTGCGTGTATGCTATCAGAGCGTCGAACCGAGAGAAGGCAGTCTTCGATGTACCAAGTGCCTGTATTTAGAGTCAGCGCCTTTGGCGACCGCTTTGCACTTCGAGGATCGAGCGACAGATGATCGACGAAAGGCGCGAAATGGCTTTGCGAGCTCGAGATTCGAGGGGCGGGCGCGAGGGCCAGCGCGAGTGAGGAGGCAAGTCGTGACAGAGAACAAAAAATGTGAGTAGCGGATCGCGCTGATCTGTCAGGATTCTATGGCGGGAGTCACCGATGCTGAGATGTCGTGAGCGATTCGTACCTGAATGATCGAGGAGGAGTGTTGAGCGCGACAAGGATCAAGTCAAGTCAAGAAAGTTGGGACAGGCAGAGGAGGCAAGAGTCGCGCGATCATAGGACCAGCTCCTCCAGGAGACCGCGTCAGCAAAGTGAAGTGCGGAGACGCTAGCGGTGAGCAGCGCGGTAAGCGGCGGCGAGGCGACAGCATCCCAGCCGCCTTTGTTGTGCAGCGCAGATGCATGAGCGCACCGCCATCATGCAAAATGGCTTGATTTGTGAATTCATGGGTCACATATATGCAGCACAGCTCCCCTACAGACTCAGAGTTGGAGAGCAACACTTAGACTAGCTTGGCAGTGTGAGTCTTGAGTCCATACTTAGCGAGCTCAGCTAGTCAATTTTGATTGTGAATTTGTTTCAAGATTTGTGATCGAGCCTCGAGTTCGGCCCCCCGACAGCGACTGCGCGGAGACCCTGTATGGCTCCCATGCCGACTTGTATGTCGAAGAGCAAGGATGTGCATCCAGGGCAATGAGTCAAGAGTATACTGGTGATTCAAAATTGAGATCCAATAAGTGAGTGCTCCACTTGACTCTTTGACTCGATCACGACTCGTGCATCGTGACTGACTTTGACTTGAAAAGGTGCATGTAGACATTCAATTCCAATTCAAGATTCTTGATGTGATTGTTGCGTATTCACAGTCAAAGTTTGAGTAGATGCTGCATGATGATCGCACCACCAATAAGCGGGCCGCCCAGCAACCATCCATCAGCAGCAGGCCGCATCAGGGTGTGCACCGCCTCGCCTCTATATTCACGATTCTTGATTCTGCCTATACAGGCGCGCGCGGCGAGCCCCTGAGCGTCGAGGCGGACCTACCTGATTTGGATCGAACCCTGATGATTCAAGTCGTGCTGAGTGGGCGACAAAGCTTTCACAACATTGCCTCACGTGACCATATTGCGCGCTCTAGGCGCGCGACTCAAGACCACTCAAAGTTGACTATCAAATCGCGAATCTTGAATCAAGAATCTTGAATGGCGAATCTTGACTCGTGAATACATGTGACTACAGAACATCTATACCGGTGCCGGCTTCAAGCTTATTCCAATGAAATGGTGGATGAGGCGCAGACGAGCACTCACCACGACTCAGGACGATCTCGCCTTTGCCGCACCCTTCCGACCTCCAATGCATAGCTCCTCCCTTCCCTGATCTCTGCATCTGCATGGCGCAGACTCTCCCGACAAAACTCGTGACTACGAGCAGCATGGCTGAAGGCCAACTGAGGCGACGGTGCAGTCAGTGCCCCTTCCTTGCCATTGCCTCATCCACCTTGGGCTGGCTGTGACGCTCTGGTGCCCTGTGGTATCATCTTCCCGCCGCCAACGCGCTCGTTGTCTTTCGAGTCCGGCAAAGCAAAGGCCAGCATCGCAATGTCGCGCTTCGAATGGGCTGCCTCACAATCGGCGGCCAGCAACGGCGTGGTTAGCACAGTGTATCAGCTAAAGTGGCCGTCTGACGGCGCGCCCCCAGCACCTGCGGATATTCGCGCTCCTGCTCTTGCTACACAACCTTCTACACGCTCCAAGTTTGAACTCATGGCAGTAGATGCAAGTTTCGACTCGCCCTCGCCACACTTGCTCTTTCAAAGTGAAGATTTTGAGGAGGACATGCGCGAAAAGTTGTCATCGGCAAGTTCCTACACGGCCGCATTGCAAGTCGAATGTACCGAGGCTTTTCGCGCTTCGTATGTGCTTCGCTCACAAATGAGCACAACAAAAGCAACGATCTCGTGCGAATTCTTTTCAGCCCTCCGTCGTGAGGCATCAAACCTAGTACGCTGGGCTGGTGAGCGCATCGAGTCTTGTCTTGATGCAGAAAACGGCAGCCTGGAGGTCAGACGTGGTGCGATCCGGTTCGATCGTATCGATGGCCGCAGCTGGAACGGGGAGGCCTCTCTCTGCTCTGGAGTCCTCTCTCCAACGCTGAAGATGGTGTCAGAGCTGTGCAATGCCATCCTCGCCAAGCAGCAAGCACAGTCGTTGGAATCCACCGAGTGGCTGATCACCAAGCATGTGAAATGGTTAGGCGAACGCGAACGACGGCCCGTTGTTCTTGAGGAGGCTGTTCGGAATTCGCGCTCCCCTCTCTCCAAGTGGGACTTTGCTCTCTTCGATTACCGGACTCGCGGATCGCAAGGGGAAGGCGAGTCGTCGCTCTCTGCTCTTCATTTGCTGGCTGGCTGGCTGGCAGGCTGCATACCGCTGACTTGAATGCTGCCATGCTCTTGCTCATCAGACGCACGCATCCTTGCGATCATCGAGGTCAAGCCATGGATCCCGCCTAGCGTCATGTCGAGTCTGTTGGAACTCGCAGACCTTCACCCCCTCCTTGAGGTTGACCTCGAGGCAACAGGTTCCCGGGCCGAACAGCACAAGAGCCTGCTCGCCCAAGTCGTCAATCACTGCTTTCGCGCCGGAGCAAGGACAGGTGCACTATTCACTGGGACCATGCTCCTTTTGATCGACATTGACGGCGAGCCCGGCAATTTGAAGATCACGCTCAGGACCCCGGTTGCTATCAACTCGAGCATACGTGGACTGGACCCAGACGCAGCCTTTGGCGAGGACCATTTTGATGCAAGCTACTCAATACTCTCGCAGCTGGTAGCTTTCACCTTTCACGCCATGTCGCGCATCGAGCGTCTGGGCGAGATCGAGCCATCCGAAACGACGTACGCGACCATTGGTCTTCGAGCACCAAACTCCGGCCGAAGCTCGCATTCCAGGAGGATTACCCGGTCGATGACGGCCTCGGGCTCAAGACGCGAGTCCCAGAGCACCTTCAGTACATTACGAGCTCAGGGGACGGATGGATCTCCGACAACCCACTCGAGCTACGTCAAAGTGTGCGACAGGCCGCTCTCTGCCGGCTCTGTTGCAACGGTGCACAAAGCCCGATTTGAGGAGGGCACTTCCTCGCTACCTGAGGGAGATCTTCTGGCCAAGATGTACCATTCATCTGACAAAGATGAAGAAGGCCTGGGCGAGGAAGATCTGCAATCGGTTGCTCTGCACGAGGCGCACATCTACTCCACACTTTCAGCTCTGCAAGGGTGCCGAGTCCCTCGGCTCGTCAGCGCGCTTTCTGTAGCTTCAAGGAGGTGGAAGGCTTCTGGCTGGATGGATCATGTGCGAGAGGATAGTGACGAGCTCATGGATGGCGTGAAGACGCCGCCTCAAGCAACCTCAGCCCTTGATTCTCCTCCGTTGACGGCATCCCCTGGCTCTCAAAGCCGCAGTGCCACCGATCCCCCCCGACAGATCCGAGGACTGCTGCTTACAAATGCCGGCAAGGCTCTGTCCGACCTGGCTCTTGTCGACCTCTTTGAGATGCTGCCAGCTTGCAATGCACATAAGGCTCTACCGCTTGCGCAAGCGGAAGTCACTCGTGTAGTGCGAGCGGCATTCTTGGACTCGATCGAAAAGATCCACCAATGCGGTGTCATTCACCGAGACATCCGACCGTCCAACATGTGTTTGCAAGCCAGTCAAGGCGGCCTGCAAGCATCGTTCATAGATTTCCATCTTGCAGAGCATAAAGACTCTCTCAGACGTCCCGAGCAGGCGTTCGATGCGGAAGTCAAAGAGGTGGCAGCGGAGGTGGAATCGGTGCTTGGCAAGCTCTTCAGTCAAGCGCACAAGCCTCATCCATGAGATCTCGTTCGAACAGGCCTCGACGCGCAGAGCTGCGTTGCGTGCGAAAGGCAAAAGTTGACAACGCTGTAATTGTAATTCATCAACATCGAATGGGGCGTGTAAAACAGCAGTACTAGTCGAGATACAATAGAATATCGCGAGGTGGTTCCGGTGCAGCGCGAACGGGGTGGGGGCCCGAGCCGTCTCCAGGGAGAGCAATGTGTCCATTAAAGCAGTCTGAGGTGTGGCGATCACGATGCTGCTGCGCCAGCGCTAGCGGCGAACGCACAGGCAATCGCCAGTGTAGAAGGTACGGCGAGCTTGAAGAGGGCACCAGATGCGCTGCCGTGCATTGCGATGAGACGTAGATGGACGGGAAGCTTCTGAATTTCGGCCTTGGCTAGTTTGCGCATCTGCTGCTCGAGCTGAGCCTGATCTGCCAATTCGTCGGCTTCTGAAGAAGGCACGAGGGCGTCGAAAAGCGCACGATTGAGATCAAAGGCCAGGCTCGCCTCGTCCACCAGAAGAGGACTCAGAGTCTGCTGTTCCTGCATCGACAAATCTTCGAATCCGCCATCCATGGCGCGTCTAAAGTCTTGCTTGAGCGACATTTCCCAAGCGCGCTGACCTCCTTCGAAATAGGCCGGCTTTTCGAAACGGTAGAATTGAAAGCCGGCTTCTGCACCGGAATGTTCGATGGGCCAAAGGGCCTTTGCGCGCTTGGCAATGTGCTGACCGCCAGACAAGTCGCCCATGTAGCGAACGTAGGCGTGTGCGAGCAGAAGGTCTTCCGTGTCGTTGAGGCCGGCAGTCTGAGCGGTCAGTGGCGTCTTGTGCTCATCGAGAGGGGTGAGGCAGACACCTTCGTCGGATGGAGTGCTTCGTCCGCTTCTGCAGGTTGTCGCCGCGCGACCAAGAGTGTCGAGACGCTCAGAGTATCGAAGCACGGCGCTAGCGTGCAGAGGCGACATGATAGCTAGGTGCTGCGCTGTGGGAAACTGCGCGCGAGAATGTTCGATGGATCTTGCGGCGTGAGGCAGATGGGCCAGCAATTCAGCAAGCTGCTGGTGTGCTGGTGACTCTGATGCAAGAGGGTGTGCCAATGCGTCAAGCGCTTCAGTCTCTTCGAGCTTGGAGTACAACACGCCAGCGGCGGCGATGTGTGCATCAGTGCATAAGTGAGCTCTGACATCATCTTCGAGTGTGGATGTTCTGAAGAGGCTTGGCAGGTCGAGCACGGATTGCAAAGGTTCCAAGAGAGGTGCAGAGATTGTGAGATAGGCCTCTAGCGTTCTGCAGAGTCGACGAGGGAAGGGTCAGGGCGGCGCACAAGAAGCTACATCGTACGGAGACGAAATGCTCACCGATAGACGCAACCGAGACCAACGAGCCACGCGATATACTCTGACCGTTCAAGTCCTGGGGTCTGACCGTCGCTGTCACCCCTTGCGAGGCCCATAAGAGCTCGGACGCCTCTGCTACGCTCTATAGCAGTGTGAGCCCTGGCGGTGCCCTGCTGAAGTCGCGCAGAAAGAGGAGTGTCGCTTGTAAAGGCTTCAGGGGCCAGAGAGAGGTCGGCCTGAGATTTGGAAGTTGAAGGTTGAGGGTGATACATGGCGTGCGCGGATGCATCCAAGCGGACGCCAGTCAGCTTGGCCAGCGTTGCGAAGGGGCAAGGCATTGCGCGTCTCTTTCTTGTAGTGGGTGGCACGGTGTGTGAGGGAATGGACGGAGCGGAAGGGGTCCGAAACGTTGCAGCTGTGTCGACGGTGTTGAGGTGGGGAGGAGGGTCGATGGCAGTGATGGTCGACGGAACAGTTGTTGAGTAGCTCATGATGTAGCGCTGCGGAGGATTCGCAGTGTACAGGTGAGAGACTGTGTTGCTGCTCGCAATTTCATCCACTCCCTCCTGCGTGCAGCACTCACGACCCCGTAATTCCGACACGTCGAGGAGCCCTTGAAGACGTGACGCGATCTCCTCTCTGGGAAATGTGCCCAACGAGATGACGATTGCGTGTGCTAATCCGCTGCTGCTACTTGACTGCTGCAAGACGTCAGTGATTCGTCCGTGCTGTGCCGTGCCAGGGGTCTGATGCGCGCTGAAGCGTGATTGAGCGATGTCCTCCCTCCTCCTCCTCCACAGCGGCGGCTAGACGGCGCTCGCTGCCAAGCACCTTCGGAGCGCGAATGGATGAAGCGCGACAGACCCGAAACTGTGTGAACTGCAAACGGCACGCTGATGGGGCTTGCGCTGGACTGCGATAAGAGATCAGGTGGGCGAGTGAAGGGGTAGAAGAGCAGGGCAGAGCGCACACGCATGCGTGCGTATACAACATCAGATATGATGAGATGAGATCAAACACGCGTCTCTGTCTGTCTGTCTGTCTGTCTGTCTCTCTCTCTCTCTCTCTCTCTCTCTCTCTCTCTCTCTCTCTCTCTCTCTCTCTCTCTCTGTGCGCGTCAAGGCACAATCACGATTTATTCGCCATTCGCCATTTTCAAGTCTGCTGGATGGGGAGTGGTGACTTGCACTTCGCTGTGCTGCACCTGCACCTGCATCATCACCCTAAGCTGCGGCTGTTGAGCCGCAAGGAGCGCAGGTTCGTGGTGATGGATATGCAAGGCGATGTGCCTCGATCGACAAACGCACTCGACCCACGAATCGTAGCTACGCGCGCGGTGCAGGATCGCAAGGCAGGGTCCGGTCCGCCTCGGCTGCATCATGCGCAGAAGCGCGCGCGCGCGCGTTGCCGCTCTGCCTCTGGTTTTGCCGCGATCCGCGCGATCGCAATTAATTAATCACGAATTAAATTCTTGATTCTGAATCGTGAACACATCATATGCGACACTTATCAGGCTTGCGCAAGAATGTCCGAGAATGCATTAGGGCTATCCATATACTCAAGACTCACGACTTTGACTCACGACTGCGCGTAGCGTTGCATCTGTAGAGTCACGCGTGCGCCGGGCTCGGGCAAAAGCCACAACCGGTTGCGATTCGCGCTCGAGCCATCCATGCATCCATCCATCCAGCTTGCTGTAGAGAGCCGTGATGCACCAGTCTCATGAGTATGTGGTGAGGTCTTCGCATACACACACACACCAAGCTGTCCCCACACCGCTCCAGCCAGACATCTCGTCGTGCGGGGTCGAAGAGGGAGGCAGGGTAGCATCTCGCGCTGCAATCACGGTTACAATATATGTGACGCTGACGAGTGCCAGTCATCATCACCCTCAGCGCTCCTCTCAGCAACATCACTGCTGAAAGCGCAATTTCGCCAACATCCCCTGCATCACTCACGTCAACCTCACTCTGTTCAGCTCCCACGCCATCCAGCATGACCCTTTCTCTATCGCACTATCAGGCACCGCGCAACGCTAGCCCTCCTTTGTTAGGCGGCAGTAGCAGCCAAGCCGGCGCTGACTACTTTGGACTGCGGATGACCCTGCCACCAAGCATACCTCACAACTACACTCCTCTTACGCCCGTGTCTTTTCTGCTGCGAGCTGCTCTGATCGCACCGGACTCGCCAGCCATCGTCCATCCCGAGAGGGGGGTCAAGTTGACTTACTCGCAATGGGCGGCGAGGACTCTAAGCTTGACATTTGGGATTTTGGGGACGCAAGGATGGAGGACTGGCGAGCGAGTGGCTGTGATTGCGCCAAATTGTCCAATGATCCTCGAGCTGCATACAGCCATCCTGGCCGCAGGGGGGATCATCACGCCTATCAAGTGAGCGAAACAGGCACGCGATGTTTGCGAAGAGGTTCCACAGGAACGTGATCGCACCAAAGCGCTGACGCCTTGCACGCGCCTACCTGTAGCATTCGCAATACTCCCGCAGAGATCGCCTACATCCTCAAACATTCAGGCTCCCGCTTGATCTTCTGCGACTCCGAGTATCAACACCTCCTACGCAGCAATGAAAGCTCATCTCCCTCCGCCCAAATCATCATCTCAAACGACTCTGGTGGCCGCGACGACTCGGATCCCTACGAGCACTTCCTCGACGCTGGTCACCGAATTTGGGCTGAAGCAGAGCAGGCGGGCGAGAAGAGCTCAATGGGACAATTAAAAAGAGGTTGGGAGCTCATCGATCACCCGGCAAACGAGAATGCGCCTGCTGCTCTGTGCTACACCAGCGGTACGACGGGCAGGCCAAAGGGCGTGCTGACCACTCATCGAGGTGCGTATCTGGCGGCGATCAGTAACGCCTTCGAAGCGGGCCTAGGCGCCGAAAGCGTCTATCTCTGGGTGCTGCCAGCGTTTCATGCCTGTGGCTGGACATTTGTGAGTCTCTGCTGCTGCTTCAATGCTTTTGGCACCGTTGAAGACTTCTCACTCTCATCCTACCGCTATGCCTCAGCCATGGGCAGTGAACGCCGCTTTTGCAGCTCATTACATCCTCCGCAAGGTGGACAATGATCAAATCTGGTCTGCGCTCTTGCAAGGTGGTACTACCCATTACGCTGGCGCACCTACGGTCCAGATTGGAATCGTCAATCATGGGCGCGCAGAGCGACTGCCTCGGACCATACGTGTCGCTGTTGCGGCAAGCGCTCCCACCAGCGCGCTGCTCTCGCAGATGGAAAAGCTCAATCTTCTGCCGGTCCATGTGAGGAGCCATTGCGATTAGCTGCAACGAGATCCAAGCCGACTGATGAGTACGCTCTTTGACGCAGGTGTACGGCCTGACAGAGTCGTACGGACCAGTCTCGCGACGTGAGTGGGCACAGAGGCCCGAGTCTTGTGGGCGACTGCAAGGTGCTAAGCAAAGTCCTTTTTGCACTCAGGCTATCCGCATAGATCTTGGGCAGACCTATCTACTGATGACAGAGCACGACTCATGGCGCGACAAGGTCACGGCTTCTTGACGGCCGACGAGGTTCGCGTGTGCCGCGTGCCGCCTGAAGACGCAGATCCACAAAGCGTGGCTCTGGAAGACGTGCGCAGGGATGGCAAGGAGATGGGCGAGATTGTGATGAGGGGCAACATTGTCATGCAGGAGTGCGTTGGACGTACCATATGAGGTGTTCGTGCTAGCAATGCTGACCATGTGAAACTGAATGCCCTTGCAGGTACTATAACGATGCGGAGGCCACGCGCAAAACGTTTCGGGATGGCTGGTTCTGTACCGGTGACCTTGCAGTCCGTCACCCTGGCGGCGAGATCCAAATCGCAGGTAAGCGCGCCAGAAGACTGGATTGAATCGCCAGATGGCCCGCCAATGCTCATCTTCTAACGCCCCCTTCTGCAGATCGCAAAAAGGATCTTTACATTTCTGGCGGCGAGAACGTCAGCAGTCTGATGGTGGAGACGGAGCTTTCCTCGCATCCTGCCGTGCTCGAGTGCGCTGTGGTGGCGCGCAAGGATCCAAAGTGGCAAGAAGTTGGGCATGCATTTGTCGTGTTGCGTCCTGATCATCGAGCATCCGAGAAGGAGCTGCAAGAGCATTGCCGGAAGCACATGAGCAAGGTCAGTGGGTCTATGTTGCCGCTTTGCTTCACCGCTGCGCGTCTGACGTTTCATCGTATTCGCGCCCAATGCTTCGTCGTAGTTCGCAGTGCCAAAGTTTGTGGACCTGGTGGCGGAGCGTGAGTCAAGCGCACCGGCGCGCATTACCTGGAATGATGACATTGGCTAACTTCGCCTCTTGCAGTCCCCAAAAATGCAACAGGAAAACTTCAGAAGAACGTGCTGCGCGAGCGTGTCGCAAAGCTCGCGGAAAGCGCGGCAGATCGCCAAGCTAAGAGCAAGCTGTGAAGAGAGTTCGCACACATCTCCTTCCAGCGTTCACAAGGTGACCTTGTTCTCTCATCGTCATTGCGACTTGGCATGGAGCCTGCGCTGACGCTGGTAAAAGGCTGTGACATGTATCGCTTTTGCCAGACGCCACTGCTCTTGTACGTTCTTAGGACTGCGACACCATCACTTCAGGCGTATCAAGATGAAGCGTGTGCTTTGACACCGTTTATTGCATCTGATCAACTACAATCTATCACAGACGAAGGAGCCGGCAGTCTACTGCTTGTTGTTGAACATCATGGGGGCAGAACCAGCGAGGCCACCGACCAAGTCACCGCCGATGCCCTTCATTCCAGCGCTTCCGCCCATCTTTCCGAAAGCGCCCGCTGCACCTCTGCCGAGGGCACCAATAGCCGCTCCTGCCAAGCGACGGTCGAGGTGCTGGCCGTACTCGTCCTCCCATTGAGCAGAGTTCTGGACGTCACGTGCGGCGGGTGCAGGTGCGGTCTGCTCGCCACCACCACCCATAGACGGCATCATCATGAAAGGCAATGACCCGGCGAGGCCACCGGCGGCCTGCCCCAAAACACTGGCCCCCATGCCAGGCCCTTTTTCTGGTGCACCTGCTGGGTTGGGCTGGCCCGGTGTGTCCGCGTTAGGCTTGCCCGGCGTGGGTGTGTCCGTCTTGCCCTTGCCCTTGCCCTTGAAGGGGTTAGGAATCTTGAATCCTCGCTGCATCAGTGTGTCGATGTGATACGTCTCTTCAACGTCGCGAGCACCCAGGGATGGCATAGCCATCATGCCCATCATGGGGAGAGATCCAGCGAGACCACCAACTGCTTGAGCGGCGACATCCTTCCCGAATCCTCCTCCCCCGCCTCCCCTTCCTCCCCTGGGCGAACGAGCTTCGAGGGACTCGACGTCGCGAAGGCCCAAGGATGGCATAGCCATCATGCCCATCATAGGGAGAGACCCAGCGAGACCACCAACTGCTTGAGCGGCGACATCCTTTCCGAATCCTCCTCCCCCTCCTCCCCTGCCTCCCTTGGGCGAACGAGCTTCAAGGGACTCGTCGACGTCGCGGAGGCCCAAGGCTGGCAAACCCATCATGCCCATCATGGGGAGAGATCCAGCGAGACCACCAACTGCTTGAGCGGCGACATCCTTTCCGAATCCTCCTCCCCCTCCTCTCCCACCCTTGGGCGAACGAGCTTCAAGGGACTCGTCGATGTCGCGAGCACCCAGGGATGGCAGAGCCATCATGCCCAGCATAGGGAGAGATCCAGCGAGACCACCAACTGCTTGAGCGCCGACGTTCTTTCCGAACCCTTTCGGAGCACGGGCCGCGAAGAGGGAGCCTTCGCCATGCTCGACGGGAAGAGGAGCCGCGTCAGTTGCAGCGACGAAAGCCAGGACGGCGAGGATGAATGCTGAGTTGAAGCGAATCGCGGTCATGTTTGAGTAGAGAGTGTAGGTGTGTTGGCGTTGACTGCTAGAAGTGCTTCGAGATTGTTGTTGCAAGTGCAAGGATGAAGATGCCGCAGCAAAAAAAAAAAAAAAAAAAAAAGCAAAGAAAAGGTCTTGGTTGAAAGAAGAAGAAGAAGAAAACAAAATTGGACCACCCAGACCAGCTGAGGCGAGACCGAAAGAAGGAGTAAAGAGAAGAGTGGTGTTGGACAAAGTGTCTGGGGAAAAAATTTTGGCGATGAATGGACGCTTCAATTGGTCTCTTTATACCTTTTTCCCTCACGATCTTCACTCTCTTCCCATTCGTGACCGATCACCTCCTCGAGTGCTCCATCGAAGCAGGCGAACCAGCTTGCACAGAGACGCTCGGCGCAATGTACACTTCCAGACACTTTTGCTGGGCTGTGATTGCGACTACTAGCGTGCGCTACGCTGCGCCGAGATGCACGCCTGCGTGCAGTGGAGATGCGTCGACCGCATGACAGCAGACCCGGCGTTGCGGTGAGAGGGGCTCGGCGTGTGACGGTGGGAGCTAGAGGTGCTCAAGCGTCGCTCTGCAATTGTCGACGAGTCCCGCATTATGCGCGTTCGGGTTCGCTCCGAGGAGACACAGTGCCCGATCTGATGCTTCTGGGTAAGGGCGCGCATGATGATTCCAATAATGCGAAACGGCGGGGGCTGTTGGCTGATGCGAAATAAGCGGGGCGTCTCGATTATGTGCTATCCTGCATATGTGCCTCGCTTGCAGGAAAGCAGCGCAACACGCGACATTCATGCACGCTGCGCCGACGCGCCGACGCTAGCCGCCCGCGCTGATGCTTATTGAAGCTCTGAATTCAGATGCTGATGATCGACTGCTGGAGCTTTTATGTGCCCCTGCACGCGTGATGTAGACTCGCTCGCGATGTGCGACGAACAGGGACGGGACATACCACTCACGACTCGGTGAAATGAGTGCCTGCGTCGCTGTGCGGGTCTGTCGGTATTCAGTATAGTTCTCGTCGAGCGCAAGTCTAACTTGACGTTGTTGTCTTCATGCAAATAACCGTGAATGCTATGGCACCGCGCTTGCAAATTCAAACTTCGATATGGAAGGTACGCGTCAGCATGAGACGCTTCTATAGCATGATGAGCGATCAGAGATGCGTTCGCATCGGCGCGAATGCATGCAGAGAGGAGAGCAAGTCAGCAAAGAGTGACCAGCAAGCTGAATTGCGGCGGCTGGAAGCCGAGTGACTCGAGCAGTCAGCATCGTGACAGCTTTGCGCAAGCCTGCGCTGCCCCTGCTGGCTGATCGCGAGAGGGCAGCGATCGCACCTAGCTCGATTCGTGATTGCGAACATGCAGCATGAGGTCCGCGCCAGCAGTCAGACCAACGGCCAGCTAGGGGCTATAGCTGTCATGGACGCCGCCGGTGCTTGCCTTGCTTCAGAGTCTGGCGGCCACACAGCTAGCTGCGCCCACTCTGCTCTAAGGCGAATGCTGAATGGTGATGAGCATTGGCCGCGATCGATGCTTATCATGCAACGAGAGCACGCGGTCTGCCGGCGCATCGCAAGCCATCACATAAGATCGTGCCACACGCAAAGGATGCTATTTCGGCTTCCGGAGCATTGCCTGACAGCCTTGTCGATCGAAGAATTGCGACCTCGTGCACCCAAGCAGCAACTAAGCTTGCCATCGGTGAGGTTTCCGATTCGCGCTTGCTCCGTCTTGCTACCAGTCGTAAGATGCCGCTTCACCGGCGGTTCTGCGCGTCGACCATCGTAACGCGAAATAGACCTGGGCCGTCCTTTTCAGTCTCCGTTGCTGGGAAGCGCTCCTCCAGCTCGTCCGAGACTAGCAATCCCGCAACGGCGACCGCTTTGCAAGTGGGACAGCAGTCAGACGCACGAGTGCGAGGGAGAATGCCAAGTCAGCAGGAGAGTCTCACCTGCCAAGCCAGCGCCAAAGATGAGTCTGCTTTTGGGAGTCAATGCTGGTACGGAGAGAGCACTGACTCTCAGCGGGCCTTTGACGCAGCGGAGGAAAGACTTCAATTAGCAGACCACGCTCACCGAGATAGCTTTGCCAGATGCTCTTTGATGTGCCAGATCCGATCTTGAGTTTGTCTGCGCCAGGTGGAGTGGCGGGTGCAGGTCCAGCTGAGCTGGGAGGCTCCCGTGTCGCTCGAGAAGCTCGGCCCCTTTTCGGGCTGTCGTCAAGGAGGGCCCTGGCCGGAAACATCTTGACAGCTGCCGTCCAGCAGACTCTTTAGAGCAAGAATGACCAAGAAAGGAAGCTCATGTGGGCGTGCAAAGTACGTTGCTGAGGACGATACCATGCCTCCTTTGCGTGAGAATTGTTGCATCCACATGATTTCATCAGATTCACGATTCTGATTGCGCTCTAGATCCGCGGCGCGCGTCTGCGCGACCAACACCGTTTCGGCCGAGACGCTCGAGAAGTTGTGATGGCTGCAGAACTCGACCACATGCAAATGGCGAGTGAGGTCTAGGTGAGGTGCAATCACTCGAGCTGCAACAAGCGTCACTTTGTATGATCGTGCACACGAGTACTCGCTACGGCTAGGAGCTGCATATACGCTGGATGTTCCGAGCTCAAGTCTCAACCGCTGCGCTATACATTTAGCTGTCGCACGGTCAAAACACAAGTTCTGGCCGGATCGTGGACACGTCTCGACCTTCGCTGTGCGGAATGTGCATTATGGTACAATGAGGATGAAGCACGGAGTGAGGATCCATGAAGGCGGTCAGTGTTTGGAGTCGTGTTTTGGTCTTGGGCGACCTGTGCCTAGCCTGCGAATCGAAGAGGAGTTCGATGTCCTGGCAAGGCCCGTCGAATGAGCGAAAGTGGGCTTCTGGGGTTGGACATGTGCTGCAGAAGTCGACCCCTCGCCCGCGTCAGGGTCGGGGCTTGACTCGGGAGGGAGCAGACTCATCATACTCGCTAGGCTAGATTTCGCCGCGGACTGAGGGGCGAGCAGAGACTGAGCGAGGACTCTGTGCAGTTCTTTGGGCTCGATTGACTTACTTGGAAGCTGTCAAGATCCGCCACTTGTCTTCCTGGTCTGTCCGTAATGACGGCCTCATCACCGTAACCCTCCCGCTGAAGAATCTGCCGACCGCTTCCTGCATGCAGCTTTGCTGCGCTCGAGAAGCCAGTCTGGTGCGGTCCAGCGGCAGAATTGTGGGGTCCCGATGATGAGCTCGACCAGCTTGTCGACATTCCCATCTCCGTACCTGGCAGGCAACCATTTTTCAAGCGTCTGTTGGGACCCCCAAAGCCGCCTTGGGCTCTGTTGTAGCTATTGAAGTCGAGCCCATAAGCATCTTTGTAACCATGAGCTCGATACGAGCCATACGCTTCGCCTGTCAGCGCATCATCATAGCTCGTCCAGGTCCTTTGCCTTGGTCCTGGTGACGGCAGATCTATAATCCTTGCAGTGTTCGAGCGATTGCTGACCATGCGCTCGAGGTAGTCAGCCATGCGCTCGCACGGGCGCTCTGCTGAAGCATTGCGAAGGGTGCGACTCACAACTTCGCTATGCTATCGCTAACGGTCTCTTCGTAATCGGAGGGCAGTCGCCTCTCCAGGATTACCGCGATGTCGCGGCGGTGCTTCTCGGTGAGCACTGGGCGCTGTTGATGGCTGAAAGCCACTGGAAGCGGCGCCATGTTTGAGCCGCGTCTCAGAACAGCCGGATTTGGCCCGCCAGCAGCCTGTCCCCCACGGTGGGCTCGGTCGGCGAGTGGAGAGATGAATTGAGACAAGATGCGGTCCGTATTCTCCATCTGGCCTCCGATATGGCGCTGAGCTGCGTGTGTCAAATACAAATTTGTCTGGGCGCGACTACACGCAACGAATAACAAACGACGCTCTTCCGCGATTTGTTCTGCAGTGGTGCTACGATAGAAGCTAGTGCCCATCGCAGACGGTGGGAGGTCAGCTCAACCATAATGAACGGGCTCGCATTGGCATGCAACATCAGGGCTCACGGAAAGCTTCCATCTTCTACCCCTAAGACAAAGACGACCGGAAACTCAAGACCTTTGGCAGCGTGCGCCGTCTGGAGATACTCGGAAAAGTTGGCTCAGCAGCTCATCAAGAACTATGAACTTTCAGACTCAAACTCACCGAGATCGTGACTTTGGGCCCATCTTGCTCATCATCGCCCTCGCTGTGCATGTCTGTGCTTAGCGTGCAAGCCTCGAGAAACTTTGCAAGCGGTCCATCGGGTTGTATCTGAGTAGCTTCGGACGCATCTGGCTCCCCGTCAGACGATTGTGGGTCGGACGTGTCCTCCACCTCGTCTGAAGGCACCTCTTTTTTGGGTCTTTTCGCCTTGTCCGAGCGCCGCAGAGCTTCGCCTTGACGCTTGAAGTCTCCAGACAGGACGGAGACGGACTTCGTCGATCTGGAAGATTCTTTGAAAGTCGCACTGACAAATTGGATTTCGTCATCAGATTCTGCCTTCACGCTCTCAGGTGCCTGCTCCAGCTTCCCAAGCAAATTTGATGCGCCTTGGCTTGCAGAGTGCGAAGTTCGTTCTTCAGCGGGCTCTGCCTTGACAGATTGAGCCGCGCTTAGCTCGCCTGCGACAAGTTCGGCGTCTCCTTGTATACCGCTTTTGCTATCGCGAGCGTCGTGCTCGTCGAGACCCGCCTTTACGTTCACTGACTGAGTCGCTCGAGCGGACACATCCTTGACATCATCTGCGGAATCGTCTGCAGCTTCGTTCTTGGTGCGTTCGAGCTGAGATCGCAGCTGTGCATCATCAACACCTGATTGCCTGACAATTTCAGCGAAATTGATCAGCTCCTTCACGTTCTCCCACCTGCTCGTGGAAGGACACACGGATGAGTCGGTACAGTGCGCTATCTCACTCCTGCAGAGATCCTGTAGTACTCACCTGGACTCGTGTTCGCCAAGCTTGCGGAGGTAGTCTTCGAAGTTGGTATGCTTTAGTACCGTCTCTAGAAGCTCGGCAGCGGTGCGTCCCTGGGGCGCATCAAGACACAGGCCAGGCCGTCAGACTTGCAATCGATCAGAGCCGCTGCATATGAGGGCGACGCACCTTTGTGGCTTGCCGGCGGATGCGTGCAACGATGTCCACGAACTGCTTCAAATTCTTTGTGACCGCAGGTTTGATACCCTGGAGCTTCTTGGTTCCATGCACCAGCTGCTCTGCAAGCTCCATGGGCTTCATGCTCAACTCGCGCGCTTTCGTGAGCAGCTCTTGCACAGACTTGTCGCCAATGGATCTTTTGGGTACATTGACGACCCGAACGAATGCTGACACATTATTCGGGTTTGCTGCTAGAGTGAGATACGCGAGCAAGTCTTTCACCTGCGCGAGCGGCTACCAATAAGCTCTTGAGAAGGCGCGAGAACTACATAGACGCTCACCTCGACACGATCGAAGAATTTAGAACCGCCAAGCATTTTGCTTGGAAGACCCTCTTGTTGCAAGGCTTTTTCAACCTCGCGTGATAGAGCGTTGAAGCGCAGCAAGATTGCGAACTGAGACCGAAGTAAATCAATTTTCAGCAATCGTTTAGCACGCGACACAGCAAATGCAGCCGCCTCACATCTGCGTATCCAAGGAGGCCTCCTGTGTGCGCGATCAGGCGCTTGATCTCGGTCGCAATGAATTGAGCCTCGCGGCCAGCGCTGGATGCCTGCTTGAGTACGACAGGCACTCCTAGAGGATGGCTTGTGCGCAGGCCCCGCTTGATGCGTTCCTTGTCCTGCTCGATGATTCGCAAGCACAGGTCCAGAATATTTCCAGCGGATCTGAAGTTCTCTTCCAAATTGACTCGCATCGTCATGGGATAATGGCTCGTCATCTTGTTCAAATTTTCGATCTCTGCGGATCTCCAAAGATAGATGGATTGATCTGATTTGCCGGGCAGACAAAGCAGTGACTTAGAATCGACAGGCACGTAGTGATCGCACGATGAGATTGCTCACCTGGGTCGCCGACAATGCTGAGGCCGCAAGGCGTGGCAGGAGACTCAGCGGTTCCGTCTGTAGCTAAGACCAAGCCAGGCGCTCGAAGAAGATTCGCCGTAGTTGCCGCAGCAAAGCACTGCATCAAATCGTACTGGACGACGTTGGTATCCTGCAGAAAGATCCTTATGAGTCTCAGTAAAGCGGCACGATTATAAGTTAGCGTCATTTTGCATATTTGTTACGCACCTGGAATTCGTCGACCAGCTGACGAAAAGGTAACGTCTGAGCACTTTTTTGGCGGGATGCTAGCTTCAGCCATGTGTGACTCACAACATGAACGATATCATCGACGACCTCCTTGTGCTGAAGGAGCTTACAGCCCTTCAATAGCAGATCGTCGAAATCCAAGCATGAGTTTTGCTCCAGTCGCTGCTCGTAGGAGACGTATACATCGGCGATCGCTGTGCGCAACGTCGTCGCGTCCTTGCCCTTCTTGGCCGACTCCTTTGCAAGAGCAGCTTCGAAGTGCGATGCGGTGTAGCCTTTGGACTTTGCTTTGCTGATTTCTGTGGCTGCTTGATCTGGTGTCACCTTGATGCCATGAGGCGCGTTGTCGAATTGTTCCTTGAGAATCTCTTTCAGGACTTTTTTACTGTGCAATGGATAGGTCCAGCGGTCAACATTGCTGCACTTGAGACGTCTGGTTGTGCTGGTGCCTCACCTGTCATCAGCGTCTAAGATGGAGAAATTGTTGGCCAGGCCAATTTTCCTTCCATGCCTCCTGAGGTATCTTGCCATCACCGCGTGGAATGTTCCTTGGAAAGTTCATGACGGGTGAGTCGCGGGCTGCTGACGTAAGCAGGGCTGGCGACTTACCCAGGACTAGTCTTCCGGTGCGTTCGGTTCCGATCAGCTTCTCCAAACGCTGTTGAGACGACGCAAGCCCAATTCAGACCGGCTTGAGAGCAAGGAGTACTTTTACAAGGAGCCTCACTTACCGAGCGCATTTCCCTGGCAGCTTTGTTCTGTCAGCCGCAAGGAAGAATCTAGTAAGTGTCACTCCAGATGTCTTCTCATCACACCCAAATGATTTTCGCGTCACTACACTGACAGTAAAAGTGATCATGACTATGGACTCTGGCATGATTTTGTGGTGCAGCACTAGCCAAGCGGCTCTGCTCGTGAGGACCCTGGTCTTGCCACTTCCCGGCCCAGCAAGGATCTGTAATGGTTGAGCTGGAGGCGAGGTACACGCCTGACGTTGCGACTCGGTAAGAATTGACAGATACGCTGTTGAGCTAGCGAAGTTGGTGGAGTGTTCCGCGGCACCATGATTGACACGAGAGGAGGAGGATCCTTCTCCGTTCCGAGACGGAACCGCTGACGAGGTCATCGCTCTGATGTAATGGAGCTTTTTGCCACTCGCCGAGTGCGCTTGAAGGCTGTTCAATCCTATATGGCTGAGCCAGACCTGCACTGGACGGCCACGTCGAAGCATGACTCGTAAGTGATAGTGCATGGGTGTCGTGAAGACGGGCTTTCAAGACTCTTCTGACACGCATTCAATCACGCGTGCGGTGTCGGGAGCTGCTTCGCGTTTGAGCATCTTGCGCAACGCGTCTGGACAGCTTTGCAGACGCGGCAGCATGCGCCCACAGATTCCGGATGAGTCAAGAATCGAGCGAGGGCAAAGACACGTGATACTGCAAAATCGGCTAGGCGAGGGACCGCGTCGGCGATCAACTATAGGACCGTGCGTGGGTCTGCGTTGACGGTCAAAGGTGAACGCTCGTGGTGCGTGCTGGGCTTCGGAGCGAAATCAAGCACCTTAGACTCGCAATTCTGTACTCCAATCGTTAATCTTGAATGGATGGCTGGAGGGAAGCGCGAATCGCACCCCGCGCTCGATCGTAAATTCGCGACTCTAGATCTCTTGTGATCTCAAAATCTGCTTTCGTATGATCCTCGCAAGCCGGACGCGGCTCGAGCGTTGCGGGCCCAAGATTCGATGGCGCAATGCAGGATCAAGCAACGACCCGCCTTGCCAGCGGTCTGCATGAGGCCCTGCATGTGGATGTCCAATCCCAATTCAATTTGTGAATTCGCATTCAACAAGCACGCTAAAGCCGAGGATGCGGGTCAAAATCGAGAATGAAGAATCAAGAATGTGAATGAATGTGCACCTTAAAGGCACGTGCCTGCTTGCTTGCTTAAATGAAACGCGGAGCCTCGAATCAAATTCTGAAAGTCTCGCCTAGCAGTTTGAGTCACAATCGTGAATGCCACACTTTGTGGGGATTCAATTGAATGGAAGAAGCTGTGCTGCCACTTTTCAGGCATCCAAGAGCCAACGCTAATTCAAAGTCTCTGAGACAGACCCACAGAGGCTCGGCAAGAGTGATGATAACAGGGCAGGACGCCGAAGGAGTCGGGAGACAGTCAGCCGCGTGTACGATTCTTGAGGTGAGCTTAGGCGCGGGTAATCGCAACGCACCGCATGTCCGGATACCCGGACTCGGCATGCAGCAGCGCTTTACGGTACAGTCAAAATTAAGGGTAGCATCGACAGCCATGCAGCCAGCCACCGTAAGTCAGCCGACCAGCAGATTGGAACACCTGATTCAGGATTCTTGGTAGAACCTCGGAGATCTCTTGAATTGTTGCTTGGGTGTTCAGGCATGATGGTGCCACTACTCAAGACTCGAGACTCACGAGCGTTCACAACTTGATTGTGCGAATGAGGTGCAACACTGTCAACGCGTCTAGCGGCAGCTAGAAGAGTGAGTCAGGTGAGATGCCCGTGCGTAGTGCTGCTGCTCTTGAGGCTTCAGCTACCAATGATGTTTTGCACACACACTCTGACTCACGACTCTCGTGACTCTGATGACTGGCAGTCAGCTACATGCACTTTCTACCGCGCGGCTTATTTCTTTCCATAGCTGCTACTGATGATGTGCTGCTGATGCGCGGGCCGGGATCCGCTGCGAGGGCGGGAATGTCGCCCTTAATTGCAACGTTCGCCTCTTCAGCTAGGCTGCAGGTGTAGCACATGCTGCATCTCGTGCGTGATGAGTGTGCACTCACAACAGCTAGACTGCTGCTCGAGCAGCCAAAAGTAGCCGGCGAAACTTCGATCAGCTATATACGCGTATGCATCAGCGCGCTTATAGCTTTCGCGCGCGGCACTCGATGGTTCACGGTTTGCAGTTCTGTTTGTAGGACTGTGTGATTGTCTCAGATACTCGTGACTTGTTCATCACCTTTCATCACCTTTGGTCGAGCATCATCGATCGTGTGAGTGTGAGAAGCGGCACACAAAGTTTCATCTCCATCAGCTTGCACAGCATCCTCGATTCTATATAGCTCTTCGCTACTACTACTTCGGCTGTCCACCCACACTGCATCAGCAACTACGTGCCGGCACAGGTGTGTGGATCCGTGCAGCAGCAGCATTAGCACCGCCCCCTCCTTCAAACTCGTCCGCCGCCGCAAAGGATCTCCAAGGGCCGGCCACGCACCGCTATACCCCAACCAGCAACGCCCACGCAGGTACGCGCCCGAACGCGTACCCGTATCCCACAAACACAATCGCCTAACAGCACCCCCGGCTTCAGCGACAGCCTATAGCACTTGATGGGTGGCGAACGGCACCTCGTCGCACATCAATTATACCTGCAGCTGTCAGATGTCATTATGAGCTAATGCGTCTGGCCGCAGAGCATCATTTGCATTACACCTTCTGCCATCGCTGTGGAGCCGACGGAACATCACCCAAGCTGCCATCGGGTTCGATGCTGGGCAGCTCATAATCACCATCTACCGCATCACGATCTTCTCTGATCACACCGCAGCCATTCGAATCGCTGCACGCCGTACTCGTGTCGCAGAGTGGCGTGCGAGGGTGAGAAGTGCATAGAGGAGCCAGGTCAAAGAGACCCTTCTCTATGCCCCACCACCGCAGTAATGTCCTCATATGCGAAAAGCGATGGGGCGCGAGCTCCGATCGGAGAGGGCCATGCACCTTCCTCGTCGCACCGAACATCCACACCGGCGCTCAATGGCTCGGGCGTGCAACGTTCTCGCTCGCAGCGGATGACCTCCTCTGGGACGAGTGCGAGTCGTCCAGCGATGGTCCGTCCTGGATCTTCCCACCAGCACCAATCTGCGCACAGAGCAAGCACTGGGGACGGCGCCTTCAGCACTTTGAAACCGCACAAATCTTTAGGAGATGGAGCAGCGCCAGTCGAGTCCGGCAGGTTCCCTTCAGTCGTCGTTCCACAGCTTAGCGATCGCTTCGAAGCAGAGCGAGAGCATCTTACTAGAGCATCGGAGATGCCCTTTGGTCCGGAAACTTCCGACGTCGGCTTGAAGCCCCCGAGCATTTCAAGCTCCTCATCCAAGCCATCTAGAACGGCCAGCATCTTCAGGCTTGGTCGCGGGCTACGTAACAAGTCGAAGCCCAGCACATCCGCAGGAGACTCTTCGGATGCGCCCAAAGAAGGCTCCGCCTCTCCTTCCGCACGCGCATCGAGCTCCACCCGGTCTGGCAATTCTTCGAGATCGATCAGTGCAGTCACCAGCGCGGTGGAAAATACGGGATCCAGCGAACCTCGTTTGTCCATTTCGAGTTCGCGACATAGTGGCAGCTCTCCCAGCGACGGCAGGGCTAGCTCTGATCTCGATCACATGCTGAGGAGTGGTCGATTTGCGTCTAGCAGCAGCTTGGTCGCCGCGCCATCAAAGCTCAAGATGCCTCAGGATCCGGAAGAGGATGGAGAAAATTTTGCGGAGCAGATCGAGCTTATCCACCACCCCGGTCAAGCTCTTGTGGCGGGCAGCCATGCTGTGTACGATTCAATCGCTGGCGTCCCCTCGAGGCGCCATCTGGGCTCTGACGCGGATCAGGAATCGGCTTCAGCTCAAGATGACGTTGCGTCAGCAAAGAAAGGAAGCTATGTTGATGGCAGCATTCTGGCCGAAGGCTTGGGTACCGCCAAGAGGCAGCACCGAGCGGTCCCTTCGATCGACAGCAACCCAGAATCCACTTCCCACGGTCGGCGGAGGTCTTTGGCTTTGTTCAGTATGCCCAAGCAAAGCAGCTCTGTAGCTGGTGAACCAGACGCCTCCTGGGAGGTATCACAGGAACAATCTCGGAACCGTCAGTCCGCCAATCAATCAGCTAGCATCGTTGATGCGGAGAGGACGATTACTGGACGCGTGCATGCTCCGAGCATCGCAGTTGCATCACCATCAAGTAACGACTATCCAGCTACGTCCCCGCGCATCCTCGGGTCATTCTCCAGAAGAACGGGGGTCGCGCCTCCGCAATTGCCACCTCCAGCTATAGCGCCCCCGGCCCTGCCTTCCGAGCTCGCTAGGACTCCAAATAAGGCGCGGCAAGTGAGCGCTCCGGCCTCCACGCCTTCTCGAATGGCAAATCTATTCAAGTCCAAGTTGATGGGTCCGCGCGATCGGGTGGGTGATGAGGACGAGGGTCATGCGGCGGTGGCAAGCCTGCCTGCTAGCTCCGCTCTCGTTGGTCTTGGAACCTTTGTCATGCCAACACGGGACCACGAGGCTGAGGAGCGGCACGTCGAGGGAAGACGTCTACGGAAAACCCGTTCCCAGGTCAATCTGCAAGGGTCGAAGGCATCTCACAACTCTTCGTCTCGCGAAAGAGCCATCGGCGCAGGCGGCAGAGACGAAGGCCAATCTGGCTCGAGCAAGGGCAAGTCCACAGATCGCTCTGCGGACTCTGCCAGACCAAACCATCGCCGGCCACGCACCAGCGGCGCTGCTGACGCAAGCAGTCGCCTTGCCCCTTCCATCGCCATCGATGGGGCACACGAGACCCTGACTGCTTCGCCCATGGATTCCCCCACGCTTTCGTCGAAAGCTTGGGTAGCTGATGAAAGGTTCAAAGCCGCGAAGGAAGCATCGCGAGCAAAGTCGGGCTGGGAAATGACTTCTAGCTCGCGCCTCGAGCTCTTAGATTCCTCACCAGAGGAGGAGAAACGTCAATACTTTCCCCCAATATCACCACCAGACAGCAATGCTCCCGGTCGCCGGCGATCATTCGTCCAACGCCAAGCTCCTCCTTGGCGACTTGCTAGAGCCAATAGCAGCACTGCGGGCGTCGACGACTATCCGAGTGGAGCGGTCAATGTTTCGCGACGCTCTAGTGTGGCTCGCCCTTCGTCTGCTAAGACTTTAGATGGTGCTGGTCCTTCAATAGCTGCTCCAATCGGCTCGTCAGCTGGCACATCACGTCTGGATCACAGCGGAGGAGCGTCTGCGTTATTTGGTGGCAGTAGCGCCTCGGCTACTCCAAGGCAACGAGCATCCTCGCTCATCCCTAGCTTACCTTGGACTCGCTCAAGAACTTCATCTAGTGTTGCACTAGAGGGTCGCCCTTCGCTCCCTTCAGGCGATGGACGGGGGCACTCCACACAGCAAGTCCTGAATTCAGTGGCATCAGCAATCGCCGCCAAGGACAGCCTGCAGCAGGATGCCATGCGGCGAACCTCTATTGCACTGGAGCATCTAAGGTCTGCAGACTCGGATCCCGCGTCCACCTCACTTCAGTCTAGCACAACGCATGTTGACAAGTATGAAAAGCCAAGCAAAGCCTCTCAGGATTCCGGCGCTCGAGAATTTGACTCGCCAGAAACGTTCGTCGAGCATGTCGTCGCGTCCGTGCCTCGCAATGACGTGGTTGCCGTTTTGGCTTCGAAGACCGATGATCTGCACAAACACGCTTTGCAACTGTTCATGCGGCGTTTTCTGTTCGCAGGTCATCCCTTGGACATCGCGCTGCGCAAGCTCTTGATGAGCTTGTGTCTGCCGAAAGAGACTCAGCAAATCGATCGCGTCATGGAAGCCTTTGCTCAAAGGTACAATGAGTGCAACGAGAACCTCTTCGCAGCGCAAGGTGAGTCTCAACGCATCGGAGGTGTGCTTCCTTGTGTGCTCACTCCAAGGCTCGCATCCATCAACCTCTCATAGACCAGCCATATATTTTGGCGTTCTCGCTGATGATGCTGCATACCGACGCCTTCAATAAGAACGCAAAGAACAAGATGACCAAAGCTGATTACGTCCGCAACACCGCGTCCAGTAAGGCTCCTGTCGAGATCCTTGAGGTAAGTTTGTGCATCGGCATGAAGTCGATGTGTCGAAGAGTTGATCGAACTCCATTGTTTGCCACAGTATCTCTACGATAATTTGATCTATGCACAGTTCATCTACGTCGAGAATGTAGACGACATCAAGCGAAGAGTCTCGGAGCCCGTCTCAGCTGACGGTGGCTCCGGCTTCTTCTCAGCCATAGGGGCAGGCGGGAACAATGCTTCCAGTCGCGTCAAAGTGGACGCGTACGCTATGATCGCTCAAGGCCGAACTACCGAGCTGAATCCAGACATCCTAAGCTTGGTTCCAGAGGAGTCTCCCTTCTCGTATACCGGAACTGCCGATCAGTTCGATGTCGAAAGCCTCAACGATGCCTTCAGCAGAGCCCCGTCGATCGAAATTGTCACTCAACGGGGCCCAGCCCTTCCAACTGGTTCTTCGTGGGGAGGCGATAGTCCGTACTCAAGCACGGCAATGATGACCACGCTAATGCTGGATCGCGCCCCGGCTCACACCGTCAGCCTTCGGGTGACGAAGGTCGGCTGTGTCAGTCGCAAGGACGACTTGGAAGGCGGCAAAAAAGCACAGTCTCGCAAATGGAGGACTTGCGGGATGATTTTGACCAGCTCGCAGCTCCTCTTCTTCAGAGATCTCATCTGGACATCCGCATTGGATCAGCAAATCTCAGCGCAGACTGAGAATCACACGGTACCCAACGTGGTCATCGCTCCTCGCATCAGTTTCTTCCGCCCGGATGGCGTCCTTTCTCTCAGCAACGCTTTCGCTGTGCGCGACATCACTCACAAGAAGTATGAGAATGTCTTTCGACTCATCGCGGACCAGGGCGGACAGACTAAACAGTTCTTGTTTCAGACTCCTAGCGAGGCTGAGATGAATGATTGGATCGCCAAGATCAACTTCTGCGGTACTTTTCGGTCCGGTGGCATTCGAATGCGGGGCCTCGATCCTGCACCCGAAGATGACGACGATGCAGCTTCGGTCGTGAATAGGAGCGCGACGTTTGATTCTTCGACAATGTCACGGCGCCCGAGTGCAACGCCTTCTTTGGATGGGATGACTCTGCCCGGAGCTGCTCTGCCAAGTGCTACACCGAGTCCAACTTCTGGGACGTACTCCGGGCAGCTTGGCGCTGCACTTTCCCAAGAGGCGTCACCTCTGTCTAGCCCGTCGATTTTTGGTGGACAGAGCTCGGCAGGTTCTACGCCGCTTGTAGGAGTCATGCGCAGAAGGGTCTATGCTCGTCGTCGCGAATTGAAACCTTTCATTAGGGAAGTAACGGAAAAACTCCAAGAAAAGAGGAGCGAGCTGGACGACAATCTCCGGCTGGCGAGGCATTTCGCCGTCCTCACGCCTTTCCAGAAAGTTACGCGAGATCGCATCGAGGCGGCAGCCGTGCCTCTGAGTCAAAAGATCCGTGAGCTGCGTCTTGAAGTTGCCCGACACGCTTCCCGCCGAGACATCTTGCTTTTGGAGCTTGTTGCAGGCGACCGTGCAGCGCGAGCAGCGGGACCGCCTTCTTCATTCGTGCTTGAGCCCGAGGAGCATAGTCGCTCTCCCCGGCTTCGCCAGAGCTTTTCTTCTGTAAACGCAACGGAAAGGGGAATCGTCGCGCCTAGTCTCGAGTTGCCTTCGATGAGCCGTTCGAGCTCGAATCGAATGGCCAAGCGAGTCAGCGCTGGAGGTCAAGGTCTAAAGATATACACATCCCGCGCGAGGGACAATGAAGAAGCGGACCCATCACCCCTCGGGGATAGATCTCCCCGCACACCAGAATGGCGCCATTCGAGCACTGGATTCGTGGCAGTCACTCCGGCTTCCAACGCCAATTTCCACTCGCCCTCTTCGGTGCTGGCTACTCCTGAATCAGCGACGAGCAATCGTAGCGCCGACTCCTACTCCTTCCACATGCGCCAGATGGAAGAGAAGCCTCGAGGCATTCAGGCTCTGAGTCATCGAAGCCCTTGATTCAGTAGGCATTGTTAGTGATGGATCACTTAGGTACCGCCCATTCCTTACCCATGTCACGCATCTTCTCCCTTCTGTAAGATATCCGTCTGCCTTTTACCGGTGACGTGCAGGCCCACAAGCTTCACTGCCTGAATGGGACGCCTTGACGGTTTTGCAGAATGACCAAGAGTCACCTTAGCTTGGATGAGCTGATACGGCGATCCCAAATGATGACTGTTGCAACGGCGTGCTGCTGGCCCTATAGTCTCAGCATATTTGATGCGAGAATCATCCAGAACTTTTGCGTTCATTCCGGGTTTGACGGAGCGGACGCGCCTCGCGTGCGATACTTGAAAGCGGCTGGCTTTCAACACATCATGACTGAGACTCTACGCCCGTGCAGGGCGCTGCTCTCGTCAAGCGCGCCAAGTTGCGCATGCGAACGTCATTCGTCGCCAGAGACGAGGCTTGGGGGCGCGGGCAGCCAGCCATCGATGCGTGCAGTGATGACCCGCTCAAGCTCACTGCGACTATACAGCCCAAGCTATAGGTGAGCTGTGCTCTCCCCGGTAACGCGCGCGAGAAGCTAGCCGGGTCGCTCGTGAAGATCGAGTTGCACATGCAGAGACGCATTGGCAGGCGCTACACCAGTGACAGCGCGTGCACCCGAACGACGTGCATGCAGCATGGCCGCTGACGCTCGCTCTCCTCTCCACACATGCATGCACCAGCCAGGCGCTCCAGATGATGTTGGCCCTGCTGGTGCGTGGAGAAAGGCATTCACACGGGACACCTTGCAGCGAGATCGAGAGCCATGAAGCTTACAACGCACACCCGGTCCACCCAGTTGCCGCATCCTGCCCACCGATGCTCGCACAAGCCGGGTGCGCGTAGAGTGTAGCGGCCTCCTCAAGCAATGAACACATCACGCTCTGCTCTTTCCCATCAGCCTTCGCATCTTCCACCACCATCATCATCACTGAGCATCCTCAATCAGTCAGAATTTGCGAGCTGGACCTCTACACACTCCACTCGAGACTGACTTTGACCTGCTCCAGCGTTTCGAACATTCCGCAATTCCCCTGATCCACACTCTTCATTTCAAAGATGTCAGACTTCCCGGCGACAGAGAATGGCAAGATCTCCCTCAAGGGACGTGTTGCCATCGTCACTGGCGCTGGTAATGGTCTCGGCCGCGCGTGAGTAGATGCTTTGCAGCGCTATCGTAATGGTGATACCTGCACATTCTCGACTTTCGCTTACGCACCTTTGCGCTCCTCATAGCTACGCGCTGAGCCTTGCCAAGCGAGGAGCAAAGGTCGTCATCAACGATCTTGGTCCCTCCACTCAAGACAAGAACCGCAAGGCAGCCGAAGTTGTGGTTGAAGAGATCACAAAGGCAGGCGGAGAGGCCATCGCCAACCTGGATTCCAACCTCGAAGGCGCCAAGATCGTCAAGCAAGCTGTCGACAAGTGGGGACGTGTAGACGTGAGTTTTGGCAGAGGCTCTTGTCATCACGCTTGTTGGGGGGATGAAGCTGCTTCTGCGAAGACGCCGGACAAGCGTTGCGATGAGTGTGCGCATTGAAGGCTCCATACAGCATGAGCTGATAATCTCGCTTTCTTTCGATATCTGTAGATCCTTATCAACAATGCTGGTATTCTGAGAGACAAGTCGTGAGTGCGAGCTCCGATCAAGTCTCGCTGAGGGCTGCCCTGATTGACTGACTGCGATGCTTGGTGGTGCAGCTTCAAGTCCATGAGCGACAAGGAATGGGATGCGATCACCGCTGTGCACATTACTGGCTCGTACGCGTGCGCGAGAGCCGCTTGGCCTCACTTCAGGGAGCAAAAGGTGCGCATTCGGACTGTCTCACTCGAGCTGAACAGAGAGCTCCGAAGCATTTGCTTGAGGTCGAGGCTGACTGCTTCTTTCCTGGCGTTCTGCGGGTTCTTTGCTCGCTAGTTCGGTCGCATTATCAACATCTCCTCAGCCGCTGGTATCTACGGCAACTTCGGTCAGGCAAACTACTCTGCCGCCAAGATGGCCATGATCTCCTTCACAAAGACTCTCGCAATCGAAGGTGCAAGGTACAACATCTTCGCCAACACTATTGCACCCATCGCTGCGTCCCAGATGCTGGCTTCAATCATGCCTCCCGAGATCCTCGAGAACCTGAAGCCCGAGTTCGTCGCACCTCTGGCTACTTTCCTCTGCTCGGCCGCTAACGAGGACATCAGTGGCCAGCTCATCGAGTCTGGTGCCGGCTTCATGGCTTCCCTACGTCGCCAGCGTTCCCGTGGTGTTGTGTTCAAGACGGATGAGAGCTTCACGCCATCTGCCGTCAAGGCAAAGGTCGATGAGATTCTCGACTTTGACAACTCGCCCGAGTACCCCGACAAGATCACTGACGCCAACCACATGGAATTCTTGGAGCGAGCCAAGGAAGCGAAGCCCAACGAGGGCAAGGACGAAGTCCGCTTCGATGGCAAGACGGTTCTCATCACTGGTGCAGGTGCAGGTCTTGGAAAGGCGTACGCCGAGATGTTCGGAAAGCTCGGCGCCAACGTCGTGGTCAACGACTTCTCCGCCGATAACGCCAACAAGACTGTCGAAGAACTCAAAAAGGCGGGCTACAAGGCTGCCCCCGCTATTGGCAGTGTGGAGGATGGCGAGAAAATCGTCAAGGCCGCTGTCGATGCGTTCGGCGGTCTGCATGTCGTGATCAACAACGCCGGTATCCTGCGCGACAAGTCTTTTGCCGGTGTCGAGGACAAGGACTGGCACGCCGTCGTCAACATCCACTTGCGTGGTACCTACGCCATCTGCAAGGCTGCCTGGCCAATCTTCATCGAGCAAAAGTACGGCCGTATCGTCAACACGACATCCGCTGTGGGCATCTACGGAAACTTCGGACAGGCCAACTACTCCACTGCTAAGGGTGGTATCCTCGGATTCACCCAAACTCTGGCTATTGAAGGTCAAAAGTACAACATCTTGGCCAACACCATCGCCCCTAATGCAGGTGAGTTGTGAACGCGCGATGCGACTAGGTCGTGCTCGGTGCGGTCCATCTGAAAGTGTTAGCTAATCTTGTGACAACTACAGGTACCGCCATGACCTCCACCATCTGGCCTCAGGAGATGGTCGATGCTTTCAAGACAGAATACATCGCCCCTGCTGTGGGCTACTTGGCCAGCGAGGCCAACGAAGAGCACACCAAGCTCCTTTGGGAGGTCTCCGGAGGTTGGGTTGCTGCTGTCCGCTGGCAGCGTGCCGGTGGTCACGCTTTCAGCTTCACTCGCGAGCTGCAAGTCGAGTCCATCCAGAAGCGATGGGGTGACATCTCCAACTACGAGTCTGAGGAGTCTTCCTTCCCAGCGAGCAACCAGGAAGCCATGGAGCAAATTATGAGTGAGTGGAAGATGCGATCGCGCCCGCGCGCTTACTAGACGTGCGTGTTGCTCACGGTTGACGTGCGCTTTGCAGGCAACATTGGCAATGCGGGCGAGAGCGAGGAGGGTGACGAGGAGGATGGAGAAGGTGACGAGGACTTCTCGCACCCAGATGACCCCAAGGAGATCGCTGAGGCCAAGAAGGCCAAGCCCGAGCCAAGCGAATTCTCTTACACCGAGAGAGACGTCATCCTTTACGCTCTGGGTGTAGGCGCAGGTGCCAAGGAGCTGCCTTACGTTTACGAAGGCGACGATGACTTCGCTCCTGTCCCCACCTTTGGTGTCATCCTCAGCTTCGGCGCTAGCTCAGGTCTGGACATGGGTTGGCTTCAAAACTTTGACCCTACCCGTTTGTTGCATGCTGAGCAGTACCTTGCCCTGCACAAGAAGCTTCCCACCGAGGCGCTCGTTCGCAACGAGCCCCGCTTCATTGAGGTTCTCGACAAGGGCAAGGCTGCCGTTGTCACCAGCCGCACCTTGACCAAGGCAGCCTCAGACGGCACTCTCCTCGCCACTTCGGAGAGCACCGTCTTCTGCCGTGGTGCCGGTGGTTTCGGCGGGCAGAAGCAGGGCAAGGACCGCGGTGCTGCCTCGGCTGCCAACCAGCCCCCCAAGCGCAGCCCAGACAACAGCACCAAATTCAAGACCGGAGCTGACCAGGCTGCGCTTTACCGCCTGTCTGGTGACTTGAACCCATTGCACATTGCGCCAGACTTTGCAAAGATGGGAGGCTTCGACCAGCCCATCCTTCACGGTCTGTGCAGCTTTGGCATTGCAGGCAAGATCCTCAAGGATGTCTACGGTCCTTGGAAGGCCATCAAGGTGCGCTTCACCGGTGTGCTCTACCCCGGCGAGACACTCCAGATCGACTCGTGGAAGGAGGGCGAGCGTGTCATCTTCACTGCTACCGCCGTTGAGCGCAAATCTCCCGTGCTCGGTGCTGCTGCTGTCGAGCTGGGTGAGCTTAGCGATTAACCACCTGCACCAAACGGTTTCTCTTTCGAGTCTCCTGGAAAGCCTTTTGATGTTCTGTTACCACCCTCTTCGGACACCCGTACTCGAGATTCGGAAAAAGCAATTTGTGAATGAATATATCGATTCAGCTACTTTGAGTTAAAGTCTGGCTGCGCGACTCTTGCTGTAGAGACTCGCGTGATTTGGCGAGGACGATTGATGTAAATGACCTGAATGAGCTCGCACTGCGGCAGTCAAGCGCCTGTGAAGACATCTTCTAGAGTTTCCAACGACACATCAGTCCAGCGGTGGCTAGCACGAGTCATCTGAATGGTATGGGCACCTCGCACGCGAATGAGATTGTAGCGGCATGCCAGCAAGTGCGCCGGTGAAACCTGAATTCAGTGATTGCGATTCTGTAGCAAGGGTGGGTATCTAACAAGGACAACTTGCGAGGCGTCCCGAAAGGGTCGTCATGAGGCCAGAACGCTGCCAAGTTTCAGATCCCAAGACGCTTTGATGGATGAATCGGATCGGGAATCGAAATGTGCCATAGCCCGTCGTAGCTCGAGCCAACCCTCCGTGCCGCTGACGTAATGCACGCCTGATCGTCTGACGAGAAACTCTTCCAAGCGGGCGGATGAGGCGGTGGACAAGAGCGCAAAGAGGTGATTGAGGCTGGGTTCGTCAAGTGACCCGTCGGGCGTGCTAAGCTGGTCCAATGGGTGAGGAGCATCGACCATGTTCGATAGAGCCGATGCGCTGTGAGGCCCTTCGCTTGGCAAATCGCAAAATGTCAAGAGCCAAGCAAGGTGCTTTCGTCTGATGGACCGCGCACAGCGGGTCCTCCAGCCCATTTTTTGCGCCGAAGATTTTACAAGGGGCATCAGGTAGCTATGCAGCGCGTCGGCCGGTGCATCCCAACGCTGACCGGCTACCGACCCGACAAGATGCGCCAAGCGGGGAGGAAAGAGCAAAAGGTCGCTGTATACAGCTTGCGAGCGCGTCGTGATCACCATCGCCGGAACGTCTGCATGCTCTTGAGAAGTGGCGATCTCAAACTTCTCGGCCAGAGGATCAGCAGAGACGATCTTCAGGCCTGGCCCATTCTCATCTGCCCGCGCTCGCGCAAAAGCGGCCAAGCGCTCCCTCGCTGTCTTTTCTGCGCCAGTCTCGGCTTGCCAACCGATGGCTCCGCGGACTAGTTCCGCTGCAGCACTGCCACGTCTTGCTTGCACATCATTCGACAAAACTTTGCTTGAAGAGAGCTCTTGGTGATGAGCTAGAGGAGCACGCACCTCGGGTTTTGGAAACACCGAAAGACGCTTCTGGAAGTGAAGCTTGGCTGCTTCAGCCAGGATGCGGCCAAAGGGCAAGATCAGGTCGAAAGGTTGTCTGACAAGCGCCCACCACATCGTGCTGGTAGTGAGGGGTCGGACCTGGGTAGAGTTGAGTGTTGCAAAGAGCTTTTTGCGCCGAAATGCATCGTCGGCATGAGGCTTTGCGACGAGCTCTCCAATTTGCCTTTCACCACCTTCATCCTTTGACGCGACAAGTAGCACGAGACGAATGTCAATCTCGGGATGCTGCCGACCTTCCTTCCATAGGGGGGATAGTAGCAGCCGATACCACCCACCCCTGTCATTGAATGGGCTCACATGGAATGCCCTGTCGAAGGTCCACGAATGCTCGTACGAGCCGCGATGTTTTGTCGCGCTGCTTGGTAGAGCATCCTCCCCCTTGCCCACTTCGAGGATGTACAGGTGCCTTTCGGAAAAAGTGTTGTGCACTTCGAGCACGCAAAGCCAAAGCGGACCTCTTTCGCTCTCGCTGCTCGTAGGTCGATGGACGAAGTAGGTGGTCAAGGGGTTGATGCCTTGCAAGCCTGCTAGGCTGGGCATGCACACCATCCACACTTGTCCAAGCTGACTGCGCCAATCGTCTCGAAGCGATGCTTCATCCTGCGGGCCTGTCTCTGTGTGACCCCTCTCTCGCAGCTCCCAGGCCAGCTTGCGCAGGATGCTACCTTCCACCCGGTATCGCGTGCTGGTCGAAAGGGAAGGGATGGCGAGGTGCAGGTGAGAGCTGGGATGGATGGCAGTGACGCATGGCAGCCAGTCGGCCCCGCTCTCGTCCTCCCCTCCCACCCTCGCCTCTTCGCCATGACCTTGCCATCGAAAAGCGCCCTGAGCATCGCATTGGCCCGATTCGAGCGCGCTGAGCTCGTAGATGCCGTACAGAGCGGGGTAAGCAAATGCGTGGGTAGTTGGAATGAATCGAGCGTGCCTGACCTTGCAGCTAGACACCCAAGCTTTGTGCTGCTGCTGCTGCGACTGTGGTGAGTGCTGTGCGTGCGCGGTGGATGATGCGTCTGCTGCTGCGGCTTTGCTCTTAAGTGCATTCCACGCGTGCTTGAGCCAAAGCAAGAGGAACAGGGTGGGAACGGCAATGTCCAATGCTCGCAAAGCGAAGACGATGCTACAGCGCCCACACTCTTCCCAGCACGAAGCTGGTGTCGCCAGACGGAAGCCGCTTCCCCACCATGCTTGCGTGGTGTTGGTCGACATGCTGGTGCCTCTGGGGTATGCCATCACCTAACGCGCCATCGCATGGAGACAGGTGGTGTTCTAGTAACGTCGAACCTGAGCGATGAATGCCGGTTGGCGAGACATGTGGCTTTGCCCTCGATGACGGTGAAGAGCAGGCCATGCTTGCTGGGCTCGAATTGTGAGAGAAAGGTGATGCTGACCATGGGAAAGCATCAAAGGAATCACGAATTATGACCTGGCTATATGCGGTCCAGCTATTCGCCTCAAACACGTGATCACCTTCACCGCCGCCTTCCCACACGCATGCGCGCCTCAGATTAGATCAGCGCATACAGCTAATCACGTGAATGATGACCTGATACATACGAGCAGGTGAGATTCGTAAGCACAGCAGCGAGACGAGACGAAGCAGCCGTGCGTGCGTGCGCAAGAGCGTCGTTCGGCCGGCGGTTCACTCAGACTCATCATCCTCTTCTGCCTCCCATGCCGACCTGCCGATCTGGGTTAGATGAGAGGCGCATGCGCGCATGCACGCGGACCATACATACATAGCTATTTTGGACCTCGATTGTGTGAGCGGAGTAGAGTCTAAGTTGCAGTATGTAACAGTCACTCACAGGACTGCGCCTATAGCCGATTGGCCGGCAGGCGTGACGGTGGGTGATGCGTGCGCGCTTGATGCCCATACCTGCTGCTGCCGCCTACGCGCTGCCTGCTGTAATCTGCATGCCCACCATGCACTTGCTGCCTCCACATCACGGCCGGCGAGCCAGCCAGGAAGGAAGCAGGGTCTGCTATAAGCCCCAGCATAGCTAAAGCTGGCTGCTTGCGTGCATGGGCATGACGCTCTGCTTGCTGGGGTAGTCGCCGCCATGCGACTCTTCTGACTTCTGGCTCTGCAAGATAGTCAGCACGAATGGACAGGAACAGCCACAGCCACAGACTTAGGCCGATCGATCGATCGAGTGAGGGTGCATGCGTTGTGATTGCATGCCATGGCCGCCTTGTCCATCGAAGATCTCGCGTCCATCGACGAACACGCGATGAGCCGGCCGAGGTGCGGAGCGGAGTTGCTGGTTGGCGTTGGCGTTGGCGTTGGCGTTGGCGTTGGCAGGGAGCTTGTTCATGTTCACCAAGCAAGCACGCACGTTTGCTGGGCTCACGTCGACATCATAAGGATCTGCTGTGCACCATCCCTCCTCACTTTCACCACCCACCATCCATGCCTGCGCTGGAAGTCGTTCGGGCGCCTTTAGCATTCAGCATACCCACACAACAGCTAGACTTCTATCATGACGCTCTCCAAGCACGTCAACGTCGAGGCACTGCTGCAAGCTGCGGAGGATCATCCTCACCTCGGTCTGCTCTCAGACACTGGCAGAAGCTCGAGGGCTTTCCACAACCTGCACTATGGCAGGTATCAATCCCATCCCATTCCCAAGTACAAGCTGCCCGAGTCCGGCATCGATGGCTCAGCAGCTTACAACATCATCAAGGATGAGCTCAGTCTGGATGGAAAGCCCACGCTGAACGTGAGTCATGACAGGAATGGTGCGACCATGCGGTGCTGATCAGTGCCATTGCTCACTGTCCTGCCTTGTCCATCCCACCGCAGCTGGCATCGTTCGTGCACACTACCATGGACGAGCATGCCACTCGTCTCATGAGCGAGAATGTCGGCGTCAATCTGTGCGACCAAGACGAGTATCCCGTGAGTCATCTTCAATGCGCGCTCTTCGCCACGACTTGGACGCGGACGTCATGTGCCAGTCCTGGCTGACAACGCACGTTTTCCCTTTTTTGTGTTCGGCAGGCTACCATGGCCATTCATGGACGCTGCATCAGCATGCTGGCAGACCTCTGGCACGCACCTCACGAGACTGATGCAGAGGGCAAACGCAAATCCGCACAGGGAGTAGCAACGACTGGATCTTCCGAAGCGATCATGCTGGGAGTGCTTGCCATGAAGAAGGTATGGCAAGCCAAGCGCAAAGCTCAGGGCAAGAGCTTCAAAGAGCCAGGACCCAATCTCGTGTACGGAGCCAATGCTCAAGTCGCCATCGAAAAGGCTTCGAGGTACTTTGACATTGAAGAGAGGCTCGTACCTACCAGCAAGGAGAGCCACTACCGCATGGATCCCACCAAGGCCATTAACATGGTCGATGAGAATACGATTGGTGTGATTGTTATCCTCGGAAGCACCTACACTGGTGCTTACGAGCCCGTCGATGAGATGAGCAAGCTGCTGGACGAGTACGAGAGCAAGACGGGCATTCATATCCCCATCCACGTCGACGCAGCCTCCGGTGGCTTCGTCGCTCCTTTCGCTCATCCTTCGCTCAAGTGGGACTTTAGCCTGCCCAGAGTCGTCTCCATCAACACCTCTGGGCACAAGTTTGGCGGAGCATACCCAGGTATTGGATGGATCGTTCTGCGAAACGAAGAGGTGCTGCCAAAGGAGTTGGTCTTTGAGCTGCACTACCTGGGAAGCGTGGAATACAGTTTCGGTCTCAACTTTTCTCGCCCTGCCGCACCCGTCATTGCGCAGTACTACAACCTGATTCAGCGCGGATTCGAAGGCTACAGGCTCGTGATGGAGCAAGATCTTCGCAATGCTCGTTTGCTCTCTCGAGCGCTCGAGAACAGCTCTTACTACGATGTCCTCTCCGACATTCACAAGCCTGCAGGCGCGGTCGCTGGCGTGGCCAGCAAGGTCAGAAGAGCGGCTGGGGGTGATGACAGCGCGGAGAATTACGTCCCCGGCTTGCCAGTTGTTGCGTTCAAATGGACGCAAGAGTTCCAGCAGCAGAACCCGCACCTGGAGCAACGATGGATGCAAACGCTTCTTCGTGCCAAGGGCTGGATCGTGCCGGTGAGTCGCGCAGCGCAAGGCGCTTCTTGCGTTCTCTTGGCTATCCCTGGCTGACCTTGGCGTCGTCCTCATCTCTTCTTTCCCCCTTCCAGAACTACGAGCTCGCGCCAGACTGTCAGTCGATTCAGATCCTGCGTGTCGTGGTTCGCAGCAACTTGTCCGAAGACATGATCGACCAATTGATCACCGACATTATGTCCATCACGGAGGACCTGGTCGACACCAGCTCGGCTTCTGCACATCTCGCCAGTGTGATGAGCAAGCAGCAGCCTCCCCTGCAATCTCAAGCTTCGGGCAACAACCCTCCAGCTGCCGCCGCTGCAGCCGCTGCTCATGGCCACAAGCATCATCATAAGCACAAGAATGTCAGAAAGGAACCTCATAACCTTCCTGCTGGAAGTGGCAACGTGCCTACCGGCTACGCCAAACAGTGCTAAGGGCAAACATTTCGAGGATTCGATCTCGCGCCCGATGATGATGAAATAGTGTACGAACGAAGATCGCAATCGCATGCATGCCTCGAACCGTCGTGAATGTGCTGACCAGTATGATCGCCCGAGCACGTGGTCAGGATCCTGGGGGTGCCAAGTCGAATAGCAAGCCGACCTTCGCCGCCCTCACATAAAAGACAAGCGCACAGTGAGCACAAAGCAGCGAGTATTGCAAGGAGTCGTAGAGTAAGGGAATCCACTCGATGTGTCCCCAGTTGCTAAAGGCCTGAGGAAAGATTGATAGACATAAAGGGGAAGGGGGCCAACAATATCGTCCGCCGGAAAGTATTATATTGCGCGGGCAGAGACGAGACCGGGTGACGCATAAGGCGGAACATGAGACGGATGGCTAAAGAACATTGCGGATGCCTGCGAATGCGTGTATTCATGTGCACGAAAAGAATCGCGAGCCGGTCAGCTCAAAAGGTGTGGCGCGTGGTAGCAAAAAGAAGGGCAGAAAGCGGGGCACAGATGCAGCGAAGGGCATGTCGAAGGTCGAGAGACCATGAGCCAATGATTGTCGCGAGTGAGACCTCATGTCGATTAGTCTTGCAGAGCGGTTTGGGGCGGACCGTGCGGGTGTGTTGCCGTGGCAACGCTAGTCAAGTCGACAACAGCCGGTGAAACGTGCCGATCAAGCGGCGAATCTTGGGAGACATGTCCGGCGTCAAACTGGGAGGGAGCGACGAGTGCGTCAGACAAACAGACTCTGGTAATGCGGCAAACATTGTCCATTTAGTAGCCCGGGCCGGCCTCTGCGTCTCAGAGGGAATGAGGATGGGCATCCATGCGCGCGCTATCGCTTCACGCGTCCTCTCGTATCTCTGTTCGCGAAGCTGCAAGCTGCGAACAACAGGTAGCACTCACCTGGGTTCGGGTGAGTCTAGAATGTGACTGAGTTCACCTGCCACCCTCTTGACATCTTCAGGTGACTGTTCGTCCTGACGAGCAGCGCTCAAGTCTCTGTACGCCATGCTCCAATCCGCAAAGCTCCTCTTGGCGACGGACACGCTAAGGATCTCAATGACACCTCTGTGCCTATCGTCCTTTCTGATACGCTCGTATACGCGCTTCACATTGGCAGGAGGACCTTCGAGGAACTGAACAAAGCTACCGTCGTGAAAGAGGAGGAGGCCGGTAATGTCCTCTGCTGCATTGTTTCGTCTGGATGTGCGAAGGATCTGCTCAACGCTGGCTGCAGCGGGGCTGCGCTCGGGCGAGGATGATGCGTAGACGATTTGCAAGAGAGGCAGCTCTTCATATCCGCCGGGAGCTGAGCTGCATCGAGCCATCGATGAGGAGCTAGATGTGGAGGAGGAGGATGTCGCCATCCTCTGCGCTGCGGGTCGAACTTCGACTGAGGAGTCTGAGGAGTCTGCGGAGGCGATGGGCGCCGTGTTAGGTGTGCAAAGCCTCGAGAAGAGAGGTAGCTGGTATGAATGCGCCGCTTCGAGGCAGTGAACCAAGTGGCAGTCAAGACGTGTACCACTGCGAGGCGGAGACTTGGACCTGGTGGCGGTAAGTGAGGGAAGGCGGGAGAGTGGAGAGGAGACGGGATGCTGAGTGAAGCGAGGATGGATTAAAAGGCAAAGACGTAATTGCGTCGCGATGGATGGAGAAGATGGAGATGAGACAAGAGCAGCAACAACACCAATCAGCCTTGCCGCGCTGTATGCTGATGCGAGTCAGTGATGGTGAATGTCTTATTGATGATTGATGCGCGCGCGGTCTGTCGCGCACGCTGCACGTATGGCAGCGCGGAGAGACCGGAGGCTGAAATTTGATTTTGATTTGAATCTCTCGGTGTAGCGCTCCGGCAGCAGCAGGCACGCCGGTCATTCAAGATTATATGCAGCAGACACGGCATGTGTGCGCCGCGTGCGAGCCTTACGCGTTGACACCCATGCATGCAGCATGCACTCAAGATTCAAGATTGACAGCAGCAATTAACGCATCGTCGCGTGGATGCAACAGCCAGAACGATCGCAGTCACGTGAGTCGCGACTGAATCAAAATACAAATCGCATTCAGATTCAACTTGTTGTGAGTCATCGATGACTCTTGACTTCAAATCGAGGACTCCACTTACGCTCGTGAATAATCACGAAACGTGCTCGATGGCGAGTTGAGCCTGACCAGCCATGCACGGCCACGGTCTTGTTTCCATTTCCACTCGAATCTTGGGTGCTACAAAAACTTACGATTTGAATGTGTACAGTCCTTTGTCCTGTCGGTATACCAATTACGCGGGCACGATCAGCTACATAGTAGATGAGCTGAGCGCTGCCGCCTCTACGCCGGGGCCCCCCGCAGCTTTCCCAAAAGTCCGATCGATCATTCAAGCCAGGGCTTCGCTTGAGACATGTTTGATGTGAGCATGTCCGGTACGTCTCTCACATGTGTACTCACACTCTTCTGACTAAATATATGCTTGCTGATGTGTCGCTCGGCCTTTTCATATACCTATTATCAAAGCGGGCAAGTCATGAGAGCGAGAGCGAGCGGAGCGCAGTAAGGATGCTTCAGTCCAGCGTGCTGTTGCTTCCGGGTGGCAGAATCTTCTCGACGTCTCGGGAGGTCCGTGCGCGCGCCTGCGAGTCGATATTGCGTGATTTCACGTGTCGCGTTTTAGAAAATGCCGCCATCCTTCTTCTCACCTCCTCATCCCAGTCGTGCGACCCATAACGCTGTTCTCAGTATCCACTAGCGTCTCTCGAAACGTGGTCGTGTGCTTCGCAAGTGGACACACGACTGTGAAACAATCTGATACCGATTCAGAGGCAGGGAGACACGACAGGCAAGTTCGGATCGGTCCTTGTAGACGCGAGGATGGGTGCGCGTGCCCTCGTGCATGCGAAGCATCGCGGCTCAACCCTGCCCCTCCACCGCATCATTTGCCGAAATGTCGTCAACGCCCTCACATCTGACGCTTTCGCTCCCAGGCTTGACCTCGGCGTTAGCTAGATCGAGCACGGCCAGCCGGAGCGTGGGCAATGCCTGCTTTTCAAACAGCCCAGGATGATGAACATCCCCATCTCTACCATCACAACGACTCTGATATTACTCATCTCGCACAGTCTGTAACTACCCTCTCTCCCTTCTGATTGCAGTCACAATGCCAGCCTCTCAACTCGACCTGCCTCCTTGGATCCCTCCCAAGCCCACTACGGCTACAGGTAAGCTGAGTGCTGCGGCTATCAATCGCTACACTTCGAGCCCTTCTGACCAGCGACTTGCTCTGTTCGCCGCTTGCAGACCTCGAGTGGGCGCCGCTGAACACGCTCGACCTTTCACTCATCAAGGGCGACAATTTCGACGAGATTCCCACATCGCTCGTCGAGAACGTCGGACAGAGCTTCAACAGAGATGGATTCATGTATGCAGAAAACCATGGCTGGAGCCACGATCAGGTGTTGAGGCAGTTTGCCATTGGACAAGCTGCTTTCAACATCGTTTCGGACGAGGACAAGGTCAAGTACAAGGCTGATATGATCAACAAGGGCTCCTTTGTCGGCTTCAAGCCCGCTGGTCACTGGAAGTCTGGCGATGCGGCAGTCGCTGACAGGATCGAGGTGAGCTTCTCGTCGCCTTGACTGAATGCCGCGGCAGGATAAGTGGTGAGCGTTCGCAAGAGCTAACCCTCAATCCCTGCCTCCGATGCAGCAACTCAACTTTGGCACCCAATCATTTTCTCAAGAGGCTAGGCAGAGGCTGTACCCTCAATCCATTCAGCATCTGATCCCCGAGATCGATGACTTCAACCACGTGAGTGCGAGAAGCGAGAATGATAGGCAGTCTCTATAGACAGATTGGGCTCAGCTCACCCGGCTTTCTTCGTACAGTTCAACCACGATGTCGTGCTGCGCAAGGTGCTCAACGTGCTGTCGCTGGTGCTGAAGCTGCCCGTTGACACGCTTTGGAACCTGTCGAACGACGCGTCTCAAGGTCTCGACCTGTTGCGATACGCCCTCTACCACACCCCTGAGGAGAAGGACGACAAAGCTCTTGGTGGCGTTCGTCTGCAGGGTCACACCGACTTTAACAGCGTCTCCATCTTGTGGTCACAACCCATCACGTCCTTGGAAGTGCTCATGCCAGACAACCAGTGGCGTCTCGTGAAGCATCGCGACAACGCAGTGAGTCGCTTCTCACTCCATCGCAGTCTCTTCGAAGCTCTGCTTGCTGACCAGCGCATTTCGCTCTCATACGTCCTTCAAGATCGTATTGAATTTGGGTGACGCCATGCAGTTCTTGTCCGGAGGCTTCCTGAAGCCCACCATTCACCGAGTCGTTGCACCTCCAGCTGATCAAGCTCACTACGAGCGTCTCGGCGTCTTCTTCTTTGGCCTCTTCAACGATAACGTTCCTCTCGAGCCTCTGACCGACAGTCCGATTGTCCAGAAGGCTCTGGGCGGCAAGGATCTCTGGGCAGAGACCCGGGCAGCAGGCAAGAACATCCCCACTGCTGGCGATTGGGAGCGCGAGCGCGTCCGTCGTTACGGCCAGGGAGGTGTGAAGAAGGGGAAGAATGGCGAGGTGCACAAGCACGAGGAGTTTGCCGGTCAGAAGATTTACGAGTACGGAGGACCTAGAGCTGGCGCTGCGCCAGCTCAGGCTGGCATTTGAATGCTCGCAACGGACTCTCGATGCCTTGAACGTGTGGTAACTCATCATCTTCCCCATGCTTCTCGCTTGACTCATGACCTCAACTGTACCCCTATGCACTTTATTCGCACCCTCTCGACTGCATCACTACTGCAATGACAAAGCGCCTCAACCGCGTTTCTGGCCTGCGAGTGTGACGAGCTTGCTTTCGAGAGGTGTAGCATGTGGCAGGCACTGAGAAGCCTGCTCTGACTGAGCATTTCGGTCCACCATCACGAAGCGATGCGTGTGCGGCAGTAGGCTTGTGCCTCCCGCAGCGAAGCCAGTCTGATCATTCAGCACTCATTACAGCAAAACAACAGCACAGCATCACACTTGACAGCTGGCGGTAGTCATGACCTCATTGGGGTGCAATGCAACAACCACGGTACTGTTCATGATTGGATGTGCGCCGCACTCTTAGACCTGGGCAAGGACCTTGTCAGCAGCGGTGACGGTGACGTTGGGAGCTTCGTCCTCCTTGGCGAGGTGCTTGACCACACCATCCTCGACGATGGCGACGTAGCGCTGAGAGCGCTGGTTTCCGAGCAAGCCGGAAGCGTCAAAGTCGAGACCGGCAGAGCGGGTGAACTGCAATTTCGTGTGATGCGTCAACAATGCAAAGAAGTGTTAGCGAGCAGTTTGCGAAGCTGATGAGAGGGCGAAGCCTACGGAACACGACAATACTCACAGCACCCGTGTCGTCGGCCAAAAAGTGGATGGCGGGGTTGCTTGCGCCCAACTTCTCCTTCCAAGCTTGGACAGTGAAGAGGTCGTTGACTGCGACGATGTAGATTCCCTTGACGCCCTTGGCGAGGAACTGGTCGGCGTGCTGCAAGTAGCCTGGCACTTGAGACGAGCAAGGAGGAGTGAATGCACCTGGAACACCGAGAATGATGTCTGTCGAGAGGAGTGGCAGAGGGAAAAAGGCGTAAAGATGTAAGTTCCACGGGGCGTGCATGCTTGCAAAACGGAAAGCGGAATTGCTTCGCCTGCACGTGTAGGAGGAAGCAGCCAGCGCACGACCGGTACTTACTCTTGCCAGTCAGACTGTCGAGGGACACATTGGCTTCCGTGGGGTTGGTCTCCTTGAGCTGAACGCCAGTAGCGACCTTGCTGCCCTGCTTGAGAGGGTTGACAGCTCCCTTGATGATTGCAGCAGCGGTAGCGGCCATATTGGGCGAGTGTATTGGTAGGCGGGATAGGTGTATTGGAAGGGATGGTCTTGTCGAATGTGGTCTTTGCGAAGATGGTGGTGATAGCAAGCATGAAGGTGGATGGACATGCCGGAAAGACACGTTCTTGTATGGCCCTCAATCATCAGCCCCCAACGCCAGTCGTGTCGTGCTAGCCTCCACACACGCACACGCGCCTGCCTGACTGCACCCCTCGAGTCGGTCATGAAGCACGCATGTCGAGCGTCTGCGCAAGATGGCGCCATCCAGAGCGGCAGCAGCAGCAGCGAACTTCACATGAAGCGGGTCCCTGCACGCACCTCACCATCTCATCTTCTCCATAGCTGCTGCATGGCTACTGCTGCACGTACCCACAGTCTGATGAGTGTAGCTGCTAGCCGCCATGTGGAGCAAAGCCCATTCAGGCAAAGCCCGACAATGGAATGTTGTGTCCATGCAGCATGCCGCATGCCTTCGGACATTCGTGCTTCAGAGATTTACGATGCTTCGTGAGCTCGCTGGTGGTGCGACTGCTCGACAGCGAGCCGGCCGCGAGGATGAACATCATGCTTCGTGCTGCTGGTGTACTTCATTCGTAATTCTCATTCGGCAAATGAGCACGCTCAGTCAGCGCTGCTGCTGCTGTTGCGCACGATCATGAATCATCAGACGTGGCTCTGGCCACATGCAGTATGCCCGTGCGTGTGGAGGTGGCATGTGCGGCGGGTGCAGTGGCCGCCAGCGCAAGATCACAGGTTGCAGCAGCTCTCGCGCCTCTGGCTGGGCCTGTGCAGCAGCGCGACGTGTCAAGTAGTTAGATTGTTCGCGAAGTAACTCCACTCCATCGACCAAGATGAGCGGTCGATGTTCCCTCTTTGGCGCGCATCTCGATTCGTGAGCATCCTCTTGATTGGCACCGTCAATCTCAACCTCACACCATCCTTGGCGCGGTCAGCGCATCAAGACGCATGCTTGGCACCATTCGAGCTCTCTCCAGCCTGATCATTTGTCGGTGCCCTGGCTTGGCTTGACGCAGCCCTCCGCTGCTTCACTCCCCCTCTGGTGGTCATTTGCAAAGCGCGGCTTAGCGCTGCCGGCAGAGCTCTTGACTCTCCTCTTTCCCATTGCGAGCTGGGGTGGCGCACGACGAGACAAGTCTGGAGAAACGCAAGGCAGTGAAGACGATGGTTCAGGCTACGCTGGCCGAGGCGAAGGGTGCACCAAAAGCAGTCGGCGATGGGTCGATGGAGGCAAAGCCGGCCAGCTCGATGGAGATTCAAGCAGCCATGCAGCAGCTCTCTCAGATATCTGCGCTGCTGTCCTCGCCAGGAGCCTTGGAAGCCGCCGCAGCTGCCAATGGAGCTCCTCCTCCCCCGCCATCTGATCGACCTACGCGCGGATTGATGCACGCCTTGCCCTCCCTCTTGGCGCCACTCGCTGCTCTACCTCCAGCAGACGCTCAGAGCATCGCAGTCCCCATGCCGATGGGCGTACCTATGGTGGGGGCACCAAATGACTTTCCACCCGTGATTCGACTACCAGCAAGACAAGCGGCCCTGCTCGCTCGCAGAGCAGAATTCAATCCCACCGATGCCCTGGGCAGGGCAGCGGAAATGACTCGCATCGCTTCGACACCCGAAGCTCAGGCCGCTTTTGAATTGGTAGAGCGGCTGGACAAACAGCGCACAAAAGAGCAGAAAATCAAGGATATCTTGGACGGACGGAAGAGGAGAGCCGAGCTCAAGAGGAAACAGGTCGAGGAGAGACCATCATGAATGGCGATGCTCCTCGCTTCCATGACGATGGCCCTTTGCTAGCTGTGCAAGTTCACCCTTGCATCTCGATTGCTCAGCTCCGTCGCTGCAACGTTTGCAAGACCGCAACTTTCTGGCCTGACTGCAGAATCACGAGCGACATTTACCTCTCACAAACGAGACCCCTTCATCTTCCTGGCACAGCGGAGAAATCAATTTAGGAAGAGCAGAGAGAGGCGAGGTACGATGAGATAGGCAACCTGGCGCGACTGAACCGTCTTACACGATCGGGAGCGACGGGTCAGGCTCAAGGTTGGCTCGCGCAAGGGTGGCATTCGAGCATCAGTATTTGTCATCGAAACGAGGACCCCCGGCGTGGGAGATGAAGTAGCCTTCAGGGTCGTAGCGCTGGTTGATTTGCTGAAACAAGTCATTAGGCAATAAGTCAGTGCAGTGATCAGCCATGCGAGACTCTCCTGTACGCACCTTGAGGCGATCAAGCTGTCGATAGGTCAGGAAGGGCGCCTGCTCAGGGGACGCGTAGCTGACAAATAGCGGGCTGGCATCGAAGGGAAAGAAGTAATTGGATCAGCCGCGCGACTCAGCCTCCACTATCCTGCTCAAACGATGGTCTTACCGGCCAGCATCGCTCGGCGTTTTGTCGACAGCGGCTTTGACGATCTCGAGCAGCTTTTGCTTGTCATTAGTGGGTGAAGATGGCGAATAGATCATCACGTAACTCTGTCGTGCGAGGGATCATGGTCAGCCGACGTGTGCTGCGCAGCAAGTCGCTCTCGGCCCTTCATTCGCGCACCTGAGCAGAAAAAGGCGTGCCATCAAAGCTACGACATCGCAGACATGGCGGAGTCAGCCCATCGAGCACTCGATGCGTAAACCTAATCAACAACTCACCCGTACGGGGAGCCGCCTTTCGCCGCGTGCTGCGCAAGGCCCTGGCGCGTGAAGAGCTCCAAGCCAACCGACATTGAGAAGTACAAACCAGCGGCGTCAACGACCGCCTGCTTCCAGTTGTTGTAGATCGCGCGAGTCTTGTCCTTGTTCAGCGCGATGCTGGTTGTGCGGAAGTTCACGTTGAAGCCGTCTATATTTGGTTGGAACAAATCACATCGACCGACAATCAGCGGGACAACGACGAGCTGAAGCAGCAGATCAAGCACCACTCACAGATTGCGCCAAAGTCGTAAACGCTATTGATGTCGGCGTACGACTTTTTGCCGACATTTTCCGCCGTTCGAGGGATGTTGAAGAACATGTCGAACACCCCAGCTGGACGATCGGGTCCATTGTATGCCAACGCCACGGAAACAAATTCCCCGATCGGACCTAGAGCCGCGTTGAAGGTGGGAATGATCGCTGCCTTGGGATCCGAAAAGGTCTCGGCAAATTCGGTAACGGCATCGCACACCTTGAGTGCGTCTTCGCCCTTGTACGTCAACAAACCTCCCCACCAAGACCCGACATCGTAAGCCTGAAAGCCGTAGCGGGTGACGATACCGAAACGATTTTTGCCTCCCTTGAGCGCCCACCAGAGGTCGGCATTGGTGGTGTTGCTGACGGTCAAGGAATGACCCTCTGGCGTGATCAGATCGTACGATGCGACATTATCCGCAATGAGACCGTGCAGGTTGGAGAGGTGCGACAGGCTTGATGTCCCCAGGGAAGCATCTCGATCAGTCCTTTGTCCGCGGAGATCAAGTGACGCTCAGTTCAGACTCACCCTCCACCGAGCGTTGCGCCAAGGCCGACGTTGCTCAGTCGACCACCGAGCACAGTCTTGCCTTTAGCTTCGAGACGCTTGTACACTTCTCCCCAACGACACCCGGGCGAGACATTTGCGATGCTACCCTGGTTGGCGAGTTCAACGTTGCACCAGTTTTTGAAATCGATCATGACGTCTTTGGTGGATGACCAACCGTCGATCGTGGCATGGCCGCCGCTGCGCACGCCAAAACCGGCGCCAATTCGCTTCAATCCAGCATAGGCAGCCCGCACATGGTCTGCGCTGGTGGGCAAGATCAGGCAGTAGGCTTTGGCAAATTCGGAGGGGGGCCAAAACAAGGTACTCGCTCAGTCGCCCTATCATCCGACGTTTGTAGCGGCGACTCGTCACAACTTACGGTACTCGCTGATTGGTGTCCAATGGAAGAGCGCGCACACGGTCAGAGCTCAAAATGCATGTCATTCTCGGCCGCCTGCCACTGCGCACTCACTCTGCTTGAGCGGCATTGTAGACGTGTAGGCGCGATTCTTCGTACTCGAGGTTCACGATCGCAGGTCTCGGGATGACGATCTTTTTGCCGAGCTGCGTACGGAGGTCCTTGCACAATTGACGGATCTGGTCCTCATTCGCCGTGCCTCTTGGCGGTCCAGATCCTTCAGCTGGTGAGGATGGAGAAGAACGAGCACCCTCGAGGGCTTGGCTGACTTGACGCCTGGCGACCTCTTTGGCCTCGCGCGTAAAGGTGTGGGAGGAGGTGCGCTTGAGGTAGTCGCGAGCTGTCGTCTCGATGGTATCTTGCAGCTCGACACGACTCTGCCACGCGTGGACGGCTGAGAAGCTGTACGAAAGCAGGATGCAGAGTGCCAGGGTGGAAGACCAGAGCTTCATGATGGAAGGTTGGGGAAGGAGAGGAGGACGTAGGATGGGAGAGGAGTGACACGGTCAGTTCGCAAAGAGGGCCTTCTTCATACGTCTCACCTATTTGAAGTGTTAGAGGCCCTTACTCGACTCCGATGGGGGTACGTGAGCTCACGGCCCTTTCCACTCGTCTTGGACAGGCGACTGTCGCCTGAGGGATCACCGGTGGGCGTGACTTGTGGCCACGACATTTTCTTCTCTGCACGCGGGAGCGCACCGCCCCAATGTCCCGTGCGACACCGCCGTCCTCTTGACAATCGACAGTACGACCAGGCACAAGCGATCCGTGCTGCGCCATTGCTTTTGACGGCAAGAACAATATGCCGCAAAGTGACCCTAGTATTGAATGTGTGTAAGCACAGCACGGCGAGCGGAGGCCAGCTAGCGGCGCCAAAGCCCATCCCATACCCATGAACAGGAAATTTAAGACTGGGGTATTGCCGATCAACCTGCAACGAAAGAGAGTTAGAAACACAGGGGCGCAGCCTGTCTTCATTGACTCCCGGCACTTTGCACTGCTACGGGCAGGCAAGCACGCTAATTAGACGTCTCGTTTGCCCGAATATTTTCAGGGAAGATCTCTTTCAAAGACACGGTGCAAACACGAGGACGAGGTGCGAGCTACTGCTCTACTTCTCTCCCTTGCTCTCTCTCTCTCTCTCTGCCCAAACGACCGGGCCGCGTCTGCCATTTCCATGATAACCCTGCTTACCGCTTCACGCAGTCTGATGACCAAGCGGTCTGCAATCGGCACAGCTCGATGAAGTATTTTGACATGCGGACACCGCACGAATCATTCATTGCCTTTGGCGGCCAATTAGCGTTCGCACAACGAGGCAATCCAGTTGAGCCGTGTCTGCACTGTTGGCAGGGCAATTTGCATTCGACACCTCTTCAACAATGTCAACGGTTGCTGAATGTCGTTACTCGATTGCATCGCGTGCTGAAAGGCCTCTCTACTCGTGACTTGACAAGTCCGTCCAGTCTGCTTTCGTGATTTGGTAAGAACAGGCAACCCGGTACTTGATGTGCGATGTGAATTGCTTTGGTTCTCGCGGGCCCGGACCTCAAGACGGCCCAAAGCGGCCCAAAGAGCCTGGTCCTACACGGAGGAGGCTCGCCGGGCACTATGACCTCCCTACGACGTTTTCGAGCGTCCGAACGGGCTCAACAACACCACTTATTCTCCGTTCCCATCAAGTACGAGCAGAGCATGGAGCAGTTTAATGAAAGCAGTCAAGAACTTGCGTGTGCGTCCTAAAGTGCGAACAGCTCGAAAGGCGAGAGCCAAGCGCTCTCAGCGCCACATCGGTCCCGCGGAGGATCAAAGGCCCGAACGTCTCGGAACGTATTTCCGGCGTCATCTCTGCACCATATGCCTTTCCGCTCTTTGCGCCGACCACGTGTAGCTCGCGCCCAGAGCCATGACTGTGTCGAGTGTTGATGTGTTGATCACGACGGTCCCAGCTTGAGCGCTGGTGCTGCGCTCAGGACATTTATATACTTGATGGGAGAGTGCAACCACCGTGTTTACAAGTGGAATCGGCTGCTCTTAGTACATATTCTACGGCACCGCGCATGCTTCGCAACATTCTGCAGCCATGCAGCCTGAAAGCCGCACTCATACCGGATGTACACTGCTATCCAATCATTGCTTTGCAGTCTTTAGCTTCGGCGGGCCAGCGACACAAGTGAAGGCTCACGCATTGCATCTATTAGCGGCCAGAACACTGTCCTAAGCCGTCAGAAACTTTGCGTGCCAATTGATGTGCTCTCCAGCAAATGTCGAGATGAAGAAGTCTGAAGGCGGGTGATGATTTCATGAGATGGGCTTTCAGCATGCGGAGTATGAAGGGCTGAGCTGTGAATTCCCCCAAAAGATTTACTCACAAGAGTGATCGTAGCCTTCCTGCAATCTCACATTGACGTCCTTTGCATCGTATCCAGCTTTCCTAGCAGCAGCTTCAAAGTCCTCAGGCAGCAGTTGCTTCTGCTTGTAAAAGTTATCGCCCGTACCCGAATCGATGAGGATGTTCAGCTGGCGCTTGGAAGACCCACCAGCCTGAGAGATGAGCTCGGTGGAATCGTGCTCTTTACCTTTTGCGGCATCGTTGAAGTAGCCCGAGAAAGCCTTTTCGCCCCACGGACAGGCAGTGGGGTGCGAGATGGGCGCAAATGCCGAAGCTGACTTGTACTTGCCCGCTTCCCGAAGGTAGATGGACAGCGCACCGTGACCTCCCATCGAATGACCAAAGATCGAGGCCTTCTCGACCGCCTTTCGATGACCGTAGTATGAGTGCGCGTGATATACGTGAGCAGAGTTGCAACACGGTGAGCCGAGTGCCGACACTCACAATGGGCAAGCCAGCTTCCGAGAGCTTGGCTGGAATCTCTCTAACGACGTAGTCGTACGTGTTGTAGTGCTTGTTCCAAGGGGCCTTGTCAGCATTCACGTAAAACCCAGCCCCTGAGGGGCAGTAGAGCGAGCAAGGGCAAAGCGAGAAGTGGTCAGCGCAGGCTCAGTGGCAAGCAAGCGCTTCAGCTGATGCGCATACACTCACCCGTTCCAAAGTCCCAGCTCTCATCCTCTCCTTCGATCTTGGCACCGCGAGGGCTGGTGTCGGGAAAGACGAGCGCGATGCCGTGCGAGGCAGCCGCACCGAACATGCCACCCTTTTGAGCGCCATTGTCCTCGGTGCATGTCAATCCTGCAAGGTAGTAGAGCACGGGCGCTGCCTTGGCAGAGGCACCAATGGCGGTAGGAGGTAAGAAGACGTTGAGGTTGGTGGTGAGGCCTCCGAGAGCTTGCGATTGGTAGCTGTACTTGCGCAGCTCTCCACCAAACGTCTTATTGAGTGACTCTTGCTTGAGCGACATCGTGAGTCGGGTGATTGTTGTAAAAGAGGCAAAGATGATGACTACTGCAGATGCAACCGAAGTGAAGGATGGTGGTGTGTACTAAGCGGTTGCGGTGTTGGTGATGCATCGATGGGAATGCGAATGTAGACCAAGGCGCCAATTAACCAGCAGCAGCTTCGAATGCATGCTGCATGTGGAGGTGCCTGCTGTGCAGCGAGCTGTCAAGCATATACAGTCACGGCATAGCCGACTATAGAGAATCGTAATAATGAACTTGGATAGCAACACGTGCTATTGAAATGGCAGCGCTATACTCGTGACTGCATGTTGGCCGCCCGCGCCGTGCATGGCTCACCACTCGCGCTTGCTCTCGCCGCGGCCTTGGCAGCCCTCGTCATGCAACCCAGCAACCCAGCAACCCATGCAGTCGTGAATTGAACGCTGAACCCTCCACTCGTGACCCTCAACCACTCATCCTTCATCGATGATGGTTCCTGGCGCTGCGCATCGCTTCATAGAAGGCCCTTGGAATCGCATCAACAGTCCCCCCTCCCATCTCTGTCGACCGCCATGGCGTCCGCAGCGGTATTGCTGCCAGCAATGACGTTGCTCTTGAGGCAAGAGCCCACAGCTACCCCCACCTCTCCTTTACCAGGACCAGGACCAGGACCCGCACCTACGGATGCACCCTCGCCCTATCCCATCCCTTTACCTGGAGCAGAGATCGGAGATGAAGGATGCAGGCTGTTGGGGCCTTTCGCGTTGGCTGTGCAAGCTGCCATGGGTGTCATTGTCGTCGGCTCGCTCGTGTTCAAGAGGAGGAGGGAACGGCCGATGCGACCTTGGAAGATCTGGTGAGTGCACAGGCATCGGCGTAAATGCCCTAAGAGCGGCGATGGTGGCGAGTGTGGTTGGGTGTATGCCGGTTCATTCCGACTGAGCGCGGCGTCGAGCGTCAAGTGCGCTCTCGTTGGCAACGCTCACACTACCGATCCCTCTTCTCGGCTCTCGCACCTCAGGATGCTGGACGTCACGAAGCAGATGCTTGGACAGGGCTTTGTTCACAGCCTGAACGTCTTCCTCAGCGATTGGACAAGTCACCATGGAACTGATAGGACCAATCCCTGCGCTCTGTACGTTCTCAACATCGGAGTGGATACCACACTCGGTGAGTTGGCGTTCCCATGTCAGCTCTTTGGCACCTTCAGCTTGTTGGTCGCTGATGGTCTCTGCGCTGCAGGCGTCGGATTCATCTACCTGGCGATGCGGTTCTTGACCCACTTCTTGACGGATGTAGCTGGCATCGAAGGATGCGTCAGCGGAGTTTACTCAGCAGCACCCATCGTCACTGCCTTGCCACCCCCCTCACCATCCGGCTCCACGTCAGGTCGTCCACGTCTGCCGCGCAGCAGGACGAGGAGGCGATACAGACGAGGTGCAAGTCAACATGCTCAAAGACCTCGACTCTCATTTTGGGCTCGACAACTGGCAATGTACCTCTTCGCCATGCTCCTCATGAAAATCGCCGTTCTCTTCCTCTTCTCCTTGCTACCCTTTTTGGTCGATCTCGCAGACGGCATTTTGGCTCTGTTCGGAGGTCACAAGAGGGCAGAGCTGCTCTTTTCGTTGGCCATCTTCCCAATCATCATGAACGTCTTGCAATTCTGGCTCATAGATTCTCTTTTGAGGCACGATCCCGTCAAGAGCAAGTACGCTGCGGATCCAGACGGGCACATAGGGGGCGCTCCAGAAGCCACAGGACACGAGGGAAGACCGAGCGAAGCCTCGGAGTATTTCGATGGCGATTCACTAGACATTGAACGGGGCGGAGGTCGGAATAGCAACAGTTCTGGAGGAATGTATCACCAAGCTCGTAATCAATCCGAAGCACATCTTGTGGGCGACGCTAGCGAGAGTGACGACGACGAGCAGTCTAACAACAGGCGGCAGCGATCCAGCACGACGGACGCGCACGCATACCCACCTTCATTAAATGGTTCTGCAGCCGGCTCGCGAGCAGGCTCTCCCCGCAACGATCTGCGCGGTGCCAGCAAGAAGGGCGCGCATACAAGCTCCGTAGCACAAGAAGCCAGCCTTCGCAAGCCCGAAGGCAATTCCTCTCACTCTCAGCTAGGAGCACAAGCAGACACTTCATCAGCACGAGTAGAGCAGGCGTCGAAAGAAAGTCTCAGAACACAAGCGGGCAAAGCTTTGAGCGACGAAGGTGATGCTGAAGATGCGTGGGACGCATGGGATGACATTGACGGGGCACCGGCTGCAGCAGCAGCCATGGGCACTTCTACAACGGCCGAGGACAAAAAGAGGAGCTCCAACGACATGAAGCTGGCCATGACTTCTCCCGGCGCAAGCTCACCGCCTGTCGACCCAAAGAGGCGCGATTGAAATATCGATGTCTCATGGCTGCGAAGCTAGCTCTTGATGTGCATTCGAAGACTGACTGTCCCCAAGTTCTGAGCCTGCTTCTATCCGAATTGGTCGATAAGATATGCAGAATCGGCCTCGAGACCTTTTCCGTTTCTTCACAAGGATGATGTTGACTCAGCATGCTGAGTCCATGGGGACACGGAGCGAGAACGCATGGCAGTCGAGGATCCAGTTGGAGTTCCACTGCCGAGCGCGAGTTCGACGCTTGCTTCGTGTCCCGCTTGACTAGCAAGATTCAAGTCCTTCGCTTCGCACCAGCGCTGACGGAGCAATGCTGATGGTAGGCACTTCTTCACAAAATGAGCAACAGCCAGTCCATCAGGATGACAATCGCAACGAGAGCTGCTGTTGCTAGCACCAAGGTCGGCACGATGCCAAGGGCGTAAGCGGGCGGACGATTGCGTCTAATGGCACTGTCCGCATGACCTGCAGTCCCTGCGACCGTCGCGTTCGGCGCGGAGCTAGGCATCGTCGTGTTCGTTGCGCTGGTGTCTGTGCCAATGCCACTGCTGTTAGGCGGGGTGGTGGGTGTGGGCTGGTCGACACTTGGCGTTGGCGCAGGAAGAGGGGCTGTAGGACCCAAAGCTGAAGCTGACGTCGGATCTGTGCCCGACTTGGTCGGGCTTGGGTTCGGCAAAGGACTGGGAACCGGATTCTGCTGACCCGGAGTCGGTGGAGGCGCGCTTTTTGATCTGGAGGGCTGTACCGTTGCGTCACCCGACTCGTCGCCCAGATCAGGCTTCTCTGGACAGTGCGGATTTGAGACTGGAGACGTTTTGTTGATGACCGTCGGTTGTCGATCTGTCGCTTGATACGACGAATTGGTATTGTAGCAGGCTGCAAGCGGTTCCGGCAAGAGATTGTCTGCGTAGGAGTCCGAGACGCCTGAAGAATGAGAGTGGGGTTGTAGCGGACCTCCCGGCTCTGAAGCTCGTAGGGTGTCGGAGCCTGGCGGCGAGCTCTGACGATCGATGAGAGCCAAACTTGCGCTTGTCCTTCTGCTCACGCCCAGACCTCCAGTGGGCAGGGGCGACCAGGGCACGTGCGGAATGGGCGCTGGTCTGGGACCTGGTCGCGGTGCTGGCGCTGCCCGTGGTCCTGGTCTCGCATACGCTGGTAAGTGTGCGATAAAGAGCACCGAAACAGCTGCCACGATGTAGCAAAAGTGACGAGAGGACGTCGAGGTCAGCATCTGCGATGTTTGCGAGGAGAGCGCGTGAAGTGATGGGCGGACGGGCGAATGTATGCGCCAACTGGAAGAGTAGGCGGTAGAGTCTTTGCGCACACAGATGGGATGTGGTCATCTGTTGCTGCATCATTCGTGATCGCTCTTTTAAAGGCTCTGGCAAGGCAAACTTCTCTGCGTGTGCCTGCTGCAACTCCTAAGCGATGCCCAGCCCTCGCCCAATTCATTTGCCCAGCTTGCGTCACAACTACCGCGCACGAGGTACGGTACCTGGGCCCTCGTTGCGACTGTGGTATTTGCGACTCGTGTTGCCAACCGCAGACACAACAATCACTGCGCTGCGTAGCTATGCGGCGCCCTCTTGGCTTTCGGTGGCGCCTTCATTACCTGACCGCAATCGTTGCGCGCACTTGGCATGGGAGCACTTCATCGCCGTGCGGTGAATATGCGTGCGTTAGGCGGCGTGGCCCATTGTCGACCTCTGGCTTCTTTCTGCCTACCGTGTCATGGAGAAAGCCACGACGTCGACTTGACGATTGCCGAGCAGCTTGCTTTGTGATATCCGCGTCATCACGAAGGGCATTCGGGACCATGCCGTCCGCGGAGATGCCTGGTCTCAACTGATGTAGATGGCAGATGGCCAAGAACTGGCAGCATGGCGACATCCAAGCCGCGCAAAACTGTCCAATCTATATGTAATCTAGCTACCGCGCCCTCCTTCGGGCGGGCTCGGCCGGCCACACCCCAACCGCAGCAAAGACTTGGTGATCGGTGTCGGCACTTGAAAAGTTCATCATGTACTCACCTATGGCGGAAGGCTACCAAAGATTAGAAGGCCCGCCAGGTGCATCATCGAGCGCTTGACATGGGCCTTAGAGGAGGAGGAAAGCGGGATAGAAGAGCCTCAATCTCGGCGCAAGGGAGCATGCGTACGTCGGGCGCGCTGCAAGAAAGCCACGAGTCTTTGAGTCATCAGAGTCAAATTTCAAAGTAGTCACAACGGTCAATCAAGAATTCAAGAGCTGCAGCTTGCCGTCACGTGCGCGTCTCATCGGCCTTCGCCTCTAGGCCGTCGACTCGTGACCTGCGAAGGCCCATGCAGTCGTGAGTCGAGTCGAATCGTGCACATCATCGCATCGATCTCACTTGTTTCTCGCCCATGTACCACATCCATCTTCATTCAGACCACGTCGAAGATTTTGCCGACGCTCACTCTCAGCTCTGACCAACTGACATAGCATACATCTCTGGACTCGCTCGCGCCCTCGCTACACCCCAACCTCAGCCTTGTGAGAGGGCATTTACGATAGTTCCCTCGCGATCATGGACGCCACCGAGTGAGCGCGATGCATCCGCCATACTTTCTCTAGCGACGCTGCCATGCTCACGCTGTTTTTCCTGTATCGCACTCCTCAACAGACTGCAGTCGTACGAGTTTCAGCTGTCGCAGGTCAATGACGCCTTGTCCGCGGACCCTAACAATGCGGAACTCAAGACACTACAAGAAGAGCTGACCAACCTCATCGCTCTGACTCGGGAGCTGGTGTCACAACAAACAGCCGAAGCGCAGGCTACCAAAGCGGCTTCTAGCAGTCCGCACGCTGGCTCATCCAAGCTTCCGAGCACGAGCGCAAAGTCGCGTGATGAAAGTCCGAGAGGAGAGGCCTCCAATTCACGATCAACAGCAACCGAGAAGGAAGTCAGGAAGTATGCTGCAGGTGAAGAATGCATGGCAAAGTACCAGGTGAGCTAGACGCGACTAGCCCGTGTCGAATGCCCTGCGTACATTACAATGTCTCTGACTTATCTTTTGTTGACCTTCAGGCGGACGGGCGCTGGTATCCCGCACGCATCACGTCGGTCGGAGGATCTGCCGCTAACCCAGTCTACAGCATCGTATTCAAGGGATACAATACCACCGAAATGGTGACCAGTGCTTCCTTGAAGCCCTTGGCCAGGTCATCCGGTCCAGGCGCAGGGACTGGCTCTTCAGATGCCGCATCCAACACGCCTGTAACCAAAGCTGGCAATGTGAAACGCGGCGCTAGCACCTTGACGCCAGAAGAGGAAGCTGAGCGGGAAAGGAAGCGCAAACGCAATGAGAAAAAGACAGAGCGTAGTCAGGGCAAGGATCAGGCAGCACTGGAAAAGCAGAGCACCTGGCAGAAATTTGCTAAAAAGGGTGCCAAGAAGGGATATTCGATTGCAGGCACATCTGGGAAGAGCATGTTCAGGACGCCCGAGGATCCTTTGGCCAGAGGTGAGACTTCTCGATCAGGCGAGCGCATACGTGCACCATCGTCGAGTGTACGGCTTACCACTCACTCTTTTTTTGTCGCAGTCGGTGTCGTAGGCGCAGGCAAGGGCATGACCCCAGGCGAATCTCGCAAGCGACATGTCTACGAAGAGGACTAAGGCGCGCGACCCACCTTCTAGCCTCGAGCACATTTGCCACAGGAGTTTCCGCTCGATATTCGTCGTGTCTTCATGGGTCCACAGGCTGCTTGCGTGTGCATGCGGACACTGCTGACCGGGACCCTCTCGAATATCCTCTCTAGCCAAATACAGCTGCAGATCGCAAACCTGTGGATCATGCTCGGTGAGGACAAAGCGTCGCTTCTCTGACGTCCCTGCGTCTGAGCCGTTTTGGGCAACTTTCATTTCTCACGATGTCCTCTCACGACTACGACGACTGCAATGCGCATCCATTGTCACGAAAGATCCGGACCTGGAGTCAGGATGTGATGGTAAGATGCACAGGTACACGCGAATGCCGGTGGTTGGACAGCTTGTCGAGCCTGGCGAGGCTGTACAAGCTTCTAGGCGACCTGGCTCAGCTTGCCGCTGCCGACATCATACTGTTCCCGTTTGATGGAGGAGGCGGAAGCGATCGCAGTCAGTCACGGTCATGCGTGTTGCCCCGGGCTCATTTGAACTCACGACCCAGCCAGAGATGTCAGTGTTGGGCTTGATGAGGGTGTTGCTCTTCAAAAATGCGACATCACTGGCGACATTGGAATGGAGGTCGGGGAACCTAGACAGTCGAATGCCTAGCGTCAGGCATGATGGGCAATGCGCAAGTAGCACTGTCCTGCGACTCACTCGAGGAAGTTCAGAGAGTCGAGCTCGGCCTGTCCCTTGCTGTCGAGGTGACTTCCTTGTTGCTTGGCCACGATCTCGCGAGCTTGAGGCGTTTGGAAAGCTGAGAGGATAGACAGCCAAAGATATGCTCAGCGAGTGCCAGTTTGCGTGCGAAGCACGTCTCGACCTACTCAGCATTCCACAGTCGCTTTTTTGGTCAAGAGGGCGAGGGGCATTGAGCTCCTGGTGGCCAACCCTGAATCTGCGGGGTGCGCCTCACTCACGAATGGCCAATCACCAGAATGGTGTCCGTGCCCAGCAATTGCTGGCTGATCACAAGACTGCGGACGGCGTCGGGGGCACGGGCGCCCTAGAGATTTGGCAGAGAGTTGGAAGTATGTAGGACAGTTGAGCCGAGTCTTCTTTCAAATGCAGTTGGCAGGTACGGTATCCAACTCACAGCATTACGAATGACATGAGCGTCACCTTCCTTGATACCAAATGCAGCCTACCAGAATCGGATTCTCGTAGGTCGTCAGCTCTTGTCTCGTAGTGTGCTCTCGACCAAGGCCGGCTTTCGTCGCTCCCTCCTTCCCCAGGGACTCACGACGGGGTCGATGCGGGCGTCCATGCACGTCAAGACGGTCAGCTTTCGCGCAGGCGGCAGTGGCAATTGACCAGTCTTGCGGCTGGAAACGAATGCTTGATTGGCACTTGCTACCTCTTTGGCGACCGACATTGTGGTTGAAATGATTTGGAGTGATGGACGATTTGTTGGCTCTGCTGGACTGGAGACAGAATCACGAGGCGGGTTGTCGATGATTCACCACATCTTATAAGACATCAGACCCATCGATGTCGTGTGCACAGTAGCACTCCGTATCGTGCGCACTGGCATTAACAAGTGTGTCGATGCAGCGCTCGACTGCCAGAAGCGTTCGTGGTGTGACAAGCAATTGGCAGCTTCGAGTCTTCAAAACACGCTGCTATCTCATAGCCCCACATGACACCATCCAGGTCCTGTGTCACGCCCTTTGCGAAAGGACGCCAAGCTGAGGTCGAGAAAACTCTCGTCTCGATGATTGTGGTTTATGCGGCTGCTGTTCATCCGCCTTTTTTCAACAGACAATCTTGAGCGATGCGGGCCGAAAGACCTTGATAATGTACCGATACACGTTGGATAGCCAAGGCAAGCCCGCGCCCTCAATCGCCATGCAGCACCTTTTAGCTCAGACTCGGGACTCTAAATGGCGATGGCGCCATCCGCGAAGAGGTCCGTGCATGCCGTCCAAAGCTGCAAGCACTGCATGCTCTTGAGATCTGATGCGGCAGCCATGCACCGGGGGCCTCATTATCCACAATCACCAATGGGCTCACGCAAGCGCGAAACCTCACCAGGTGAGCTTCCGCACCTCCTTGGCTTTCCTGATCGCGATCGCGAGAGGTCGCTCGCGATTCTAATCGTTCCTGACTTGCCATGTGCTGATGACGAATGTTCGCGGCACGCTGAATTGCAGAGCAAGGCACGCAGGGCATTTCACTCGCGTGTCTGCGTGTCTGGATGGAGGAGCTCACCTACCGCCAGCATGTGCACATCTTGCAGCAGATTACCTCCACGCTGTGAATCTTCAACTGGCAGCAGCCGGCGTCGCGACATTCGATTCTATCATGGTGGGAGTACAAGTGTGGATGGTAGACTGTGGAGAATGTGACATGAACCGGTCTTTTCGTGTGTCGTCTACCTCAAACGCGGAGACGCGCAAGGCGAAACATGTGTGAGAATGATGGATGACCGAGACCCTAGAATACGAAGCGGAAAGTGAGGTGGTCATTTCCTTTGTCGGTGGTAGTGGCGAGGTAATGCTCCTTCTCCTCTTCGGACATCGAGGACCACCTTTCGTCTCTCTTTCCGTTGATGCGACGATAAAACCATCGGGTGAAGAAGTAGGAGAGCATGTTCACGGTCGTGAGGACGATGAGGACAGTGTTGCCTTTTGAGTATTCTGGTGCGTCGCTCGCACGATACGTATTGGATCCGATGATGGAAGAGCCCTGGACAAACATGTTGTACACGGAAGCGGTCAAAGCACGCTTGCCGACATCTCCGGAGATTTCCGAGACCCAAGCGACTTGGACTGGAGCAGAGCATTCAGGACTGCGAATCAGCACCATAGCGCGTCTTATATTTCAGAACGCTTGCGGTGTCACCACTCACTTGGATGGATGTAAGGACCTGAAGTGAGCACGGTAGCAACGGCAAAGAACCCCCAAGGATTGGGGAAAGGCAGAAGCTTGAGAGCTATCAAGCACGGCAAGACCCAAATACCGAGCAGGACGCAGTTCAAAGCTCTGGTTCGAGTAAGCTCAACGAGGATGTTGACGGCCAGACTCGTGAAGATGGTGCAAGCGTAGTGCACCGAGCTGAGGGTTTGCGAAAGCAGGGTGGAGAAGCCGAGCTGCTTGAGAGAGATCGTGAGGTATTGCTGCACAGTATCTTGAGGCACTTCGAAGAGCAGACCGTGAAAGTAGAGCGGGAACATTTTGTAGTCGAGCACCGTCTCAAAGAATTGCTTGAAGCTCAGTCCTTGACGGTTATGCATCGTCGCTTTGCCAGGATCGTCGCGGATGACGCGCATCACGGCAATCTTCGACTGTCGGTCGTGATCCGTATAGAAGCCTCGCTTGACTTGCGACGGACCTGGAGGCATCTTGAACCAAGCGAGCACCGCCATGCCGAGCGTCAGCAGGCCTTCCCAGAACTACATCGGCAAGAGAGAAGGCACGGTCAGATGGGCCACTACCTCCTCGTGAAGCTTGCGCGCAGCCAGACTCACGAAGAGCCATCTCCACCCTTCTTTGCCAGCAACGCCGCCCATCTGCATGAGGCCGTAGGTGAAGTAGCTCGAGACGAAAGAGGTCGCCTGCATGCCGAACCAAAAGATGGCCAAACGCATGTACAACTCTGCATTCTTGTAGAAAAGTGACAAGAAGAGCATGAGATCCGGAATGAAAGATCCTTGACAGAAGCCAAGTAGGCATCGGCACAAGAGATACGACGTTCGTCCGGAGATGAAGAACTGAAAGATGGTTAGGATGGCCCAGGCTCCCATCTGCAAAGGTACGAAGCGATCGGGACCAATGCGCTTCGAGATGAGTTGACCCGGCAGCTCTGCGATCAAGAAGCAGACCTTGAAAAGTGTGTTGGCCAGGCCATAGTCATCTTGTGTCAGCCCAAGATCGGGCAGCATGCCGTCCGAGTTAGCAGCCAGTAGGTTGTTTCTGTCCAAATTCAGTGAGACGAAAGCGAGGCACGCGAAAGCCAAGACCTTTCGGTCCAACAGGCGAACCAGGTCCTGCCAATCAGAGTTCCGCCAAGTAAATGCATGAGCACCGGTCGTGACGCATACTCGTCGAACCAGGCTTCGCTCACCTTCTCTTCTCTCCACGTCCACCGAAATTCGGAATCGAAATTGCGGTAGTTTTCCCAGGTTGTCGGAGGCTGAAAATGCTGCGCTTTGACCGGATCATCAAGCACTGATCGTTGGGTGGCAATAGTGTCGAGATCCTTGATCTGATTCCTCTTTTTGTTTTGCGGCAGGAAAAGATCCACCAGACGCGGCGGTTCTAAACCCTCCACCGCCAGATTCTTGCCGGACGGTGGACTAGGGGAAGGCGTTTCTGAACCCGAAAGGGTAAGCTCTCCGTCGCTATTGATCGTCTTGCGGCCAGACTCGTCTTGCTTCTCGCTCGCGATGCTTGAAGAGTCTGAAGTGGGCGCGACCGCACCGGGATGTGGAGGCAAGACGGGCACGCCAGGTCCGATCTCTGCAACGATTGGCGCGACCATACCGACTGATCACCCAGATCTGGGCCGTGTGACGCCAGGCGAGATGGGGTGAAATGGTGGAAGGATGTAAATTGTAGGAGCGGATGTCCGTCCATTTGCTTTGGGGAAGTATTGGCGCTCAAGTATCGACTGGAGGCGGTATATATGGGAGGCTGACAGGTTGCTGCACTTCCATGGGTGTCACGACAGACTTACGGCTACTCGCAGCCGCGACTTTGATTGCAAATGCAAGCGATCAGTGCACAGGGCGAGTGTTGTGAACCAGACTACGCCAAGTCTGAGGTTGGACCAGATCGAAGTGCACTTGCCATGCCATGCGTTGCTTTGAAATCTAGGAACGGAAGCCGCGCCCAACCAGGGCAGTTGCCGCGTGAGAGAGTGGGCGAATGTGGCGTATAGCGATACCAGCTGGGAGGAACCGCACTTGCGAGACAGGTGATCACGAATCGCTACCCACTCACTCTTGTCAATTGTGCATAGGTTTGGACCGATAGCAGGTCGCGTGCTATTGAGCTCTGCTTGCTCATCCACCTCAATTTCGAATCCATCATCGTCGCTCGAGTCGAGCGACGCTGCAAGCACGAAGAGAGCGGGAGCTATGGCCAAGCAGAGTAAGCGTTCCTGAAGCCGGGGGGAGGGTCCGATGCAGCAGCAGCTTGCGGTGAGCAGATGGAGGTCAGTCATCCTGCGACTTAGCTGCCGCAGTGATCTCGGCAATATGCTATGCTCTCCATCACACCATCGGCCCGCACACCAGCGTGGGGGTAGGCGCGCACAGAAGAACAGCGGACGAGACCAGATGTGTGATGCTGATGGAGCGTCTGCCAAAGCCAAAAGGAGCAAGAAGCGAGTCAAACCGCCGTTTGATCCAGGCGGACATTATCAAATCAGGCGGCAGGCCAAGAAGAAGCTAAGCTGAGTGATTGTGCTTGTTGCATGGAGATGCCGAAGCTCGTGATTCGTGATTGCCTCGACCGTCGGCGGGCGTGCCGATGCTCTTGATTGCAAACGGCGAACTTCGTTGGAGGAGTCCATCAAAGCGGTCCATGCTCGAGCTCGATCGAGCCGCGTAGGTCGTCTTGCCTGCGGCTGCATACCGATGGCCCCCATGCTGCTGGCCGCGGGTCGAAGTGCTGGATTCCGATTGCTTCGCTCTTCGCCCCACGGTTGCCATGCTGCAACGGCGGCTCAGCTAGCTGTCATAGACCTCACTCATACTCATCAATAACTGTATCATCGGCACGAGGGTACGGTGTGCTGAACATGCAAGTTGCGCGTGTGTGCCGAAGTCGCCATGATGGGCGGTTTATGCTAAGCTGTGCTGGTGTGTCGCGCTAAGCAAGGCGAATCCGAATGTCGCAATCGTGAGTCACGGGCGTGGGGATGGCGTGCTTGTGCTTCTATCGAGCGAGCACACATATCACGCGCATCAAGCGGATGCTGCTGAGTGGACGATCAGTCACGTGCTCACTGTGTGACTGAAGGTCAAACGCTTGGAAGCGGATTATTCTCGAAGGTGAGAGCACTCCCTTGCCTAGCTCCCTCCGACGACGCAAGTCACGAGTCAGTGAGTGCGTGTGCGCGAATGAGCGTGAAATGCCTGCTGGCCGGAGTCGGATTGTTGGGGCGCGAAGAGGGATGGATGATGCGCTTTGGAGAGCGGCTTCCCTTCCGACAAGCGACGGAGGCGTATATCATGCATGCATGTACACACGCATCATGCTTGTATAGAGATGCAGCAGCATAAGCAGCTGCTACTGCGTGCGCGTGCTGGTGGTCTGTGGTGTGTGTTGCACCCACGATCTTCCACACACGCACAGATCAGCGGGCAGATGCGATCTGCTTTGCATCGCGAACCGTGCGAAGTCGGGAAAGCACACAGAATCGTAAATCATCGGCATCCGGACGTCAAGCATTCAGCTCACTCACTCTATCCATCCATCCATCCATCCATCCATCCATCCATCCACCCACCACTCCCTGCTATTCTCACTCAGACGTGACGTGACGCCGACACTGCGAGCGACCGAAGATGACCTTCGATTTGGCCGAGTGGGCGACGCCTTACGCTATTCAAGCAGGTCTGCCGCTCCTGCCTGCCCATCTGAGCACCATCATCCGCAGTCTCGCGCTGTGGACAACCTTGCAGCTCCTCTCTTCCCTCGTCTCTCCCTACATCTTCCCCAACACATATCCCAAACTCAAGAGGAGCACGAGGATATCGTGGGACGTTCATTTTGTCGCTTTGGTGCACGCAGCCATCATCACCCCGCTCTGCGGAAAAGTGTGGTGGGATGTATACCAGCATGGCGGCCTGAACGGCACTCACCCCTTGGCGCTGAGGAGGGTGTATGGATACACTTTCGAGGCCGGACAAGTCTATGCCATCGCCATTGGCTACTTCATCTGGGACACTGTTGTCTCCATCCTCTTCGATGGACCGGCCTTCGTAGCCCACGGAGTCGTCGCGCTCACCGCATTTGTGCTTGTCTATGTGAGTCGGCAATGCAGTCGATTCACGATTCGGGGCGCTGTTTGGGCCATGCAAGGAGCAGGTGCATCGGATCTTTGCTGGCAATGCATGGAGAGCGTTGAGCGCCGCTTGTGTGCTTGCGCGTGCTCGTGCGCGAATCGAAGACGATCAGCGCACGTATCCTGACTGTCCACGCAGTCGACCGGCAGACAGCTGTATCAGCCTAACGTGCGCGCTTCATGAATGTGACGCTGATGCATCGCCTTTGCCAATGTTTGCTTTGTGCAGCACCCAATCTTCATGTATGATGGATTAGGCTTTCTCCTGTGGGAGCTCAGCACACGTGAGTCTCGACCCAGGCTTCTGCATCGCAGCTGTCACATCGCTCAAGTAGGGAGCCAATCCTGAAATTCTTCCAACACAGCTTTCCTCAACATCCACTGGTTCCTAGACAAGCTCGGCAAGACCGGAAGCAAGATCCAGCTCATCAACGCCGTTTTCTTGCTGTCCACTTACGTGATCGCTCGCTTGACGTTTGGCGTTTACAACGTGAGCTTCATAGAGGGTCTGCCAATGTCGATTGCGCTCACAAAATTAGCATCACACCCTCGTCTCTCTAGTCCTACTCGTGGTTCATGAATGTCAACTTCCCTGCCACGCCGCACGTGCCGCCCATTCCCATCTCTTACCGGGTCTTTTACACCCTCGGCAACATCACCCTGAACAGCCTGAACTTTATTTGGTTTAGAGCGTGAGTCTCATTGCCCTCGCAAGCGGAAGGGGCTTGCTTGACTGACCCGCTTTTGTCCTCACATCACACAGCATGATTCGCGCAGTGCAAAAACGATTCACAGCCGCACCGGCTGACGGGTCCAACAAACTCGACGCCAAAGCGATTGCCGAGGGCAAACAGGGCGTTCAGGTCGGAGTGACTGGCAAGGACGATTCGCAATTTGAGAGGGAAGCCGGGGTGGGAAAGTACTCTCGGCCCGACATTGGTAGCTATGGTGGAGAGAGGGAAGCTAGATGGCGCAAAGTTGCCAAATCGGCCGAATAAGCTTGAGCCCAGCGCGTCGTCGATCCTGCAACCATCTAGACTCCGATCCACCGCACGTGCTTTTGCGGAGGACGTCGTTTCGGGCACAGCTCCAACAGACATCTCCCCTTTGGAGCGCATACGACAGTCCGGCACAAACCGGCCTCACACCCGCTTCCACATTTCATGGAATTCATTGCATTTGACATTCACGCTCGTCGGCTTACAAGGAGTGCCTAGTCCAAACGAAACGTGCAGGTCCGCATCGAGGAGCCGATAAGAAATGGTCAGCGGCCTTCAGAGCAATGAAAAGTCGTGCTTGAAGCCAGCTTTGAGCGTCTTTTGGTAGGCTGGTCTAGACTCGAGGCGTTTGAGCCACGCATCTATACCGTGCCATTTCTGATTACTCGTGCCAATCTGCTTGAACAAGACGTACTCGACGCTAAATGCGACTGCGATATCTCTTCAGTCGTGAGCGTCAAGGCGAGTAGGCGAGGGGTTCATCAAAGCGTCAGACTGCAGAGCAAGAGGACGAGGCAGAATAGATGCGCTTGCTACCTACGCAGCGGTGATGTCGTTGCCGTACAGGTAACCAGATCTGTTTGCAACCAATTCGCTTTCGACGTAGTCAAGATCCTTGACCACGTTTGCGCCCAGCTTCGGGCCAAGCTCTTTGGCAGTGCCCTCGTCTGCGAACCATTGGACGTAAATGATTGGCAGAGCGTGCTAAAGCGAGCATCACGAGCGAGCAAGTGCCGCACATTGCGCAATGCAAGACGCAAACGTCGTCAGCGCATGGTCACGACGCAAAAGCTGATCCTTGCTCACCGTCATGAGAGTCTCGGCAAATCCGATCCAGCCTCTGACTGCTGTGCGACCTTTCCAGTCTGGCGAGTTTGGTATCCAGCTGGCACCTTTTGAAGCGTACCTCTCTACGAGGTATCTGTGCATGTCCGTCGCAAGCACCCATGCGGCGCATTGTAGACGGGGGCATTGCGTTGAGCAGCAATGACAGCGGAAAAGGAGGAAGAGGTGGTCTTGCATCCAAGAGCTCAGCCACTCACTCCATGCAGTTGCCGCTCTCAACGACGAGCAGATCATCGTCCTCGATACAAGGACTTTTGCCCAATTTGAACCTGCTTTGCTCTTTCATCTTGGGATCTGCACCTTTGCCATCGATCCGAGCATAGCTCTTTACGTCCAGCTCGATGTCGAGCTCATTGGCGAGCCAAAGGACTCGGAAAGCTCTCGAGTTGTCCAGCGCGTGCAGGATTGGTGTCATTGTATTCAGAGCTCGTACAAGGAGTGCTTTGCCAAGGACTTGAGTGGTAGAAGATGGTTCTCGTGGTCAAAAGAGATCATCACGAGGCGAGCGAATGTTGCTTCGAGCGAATGTAAATGCATCTGCGTCAAGACTCCGAATGGGATCAGAGTAGTGGGTTGTTGAGCTGCGCTCCGGTGAGCGGTGAGCCCCACACGGTTTCTCCGTGACCCATGCAGGTGGAGGCCTGGCATCGGCTATATATAGCTGGTGGCTCGGCGGCGGCTGGCTGAGCACGTGTGTGCTTCGACGCTCCAGGAGACCTTTTACGGCCGGTTCATCTGACTTGTGTGCATCAGTCACTCTGTCAGTTGCGAAGTTTGCTTCGAGTGTCGACCTCAATATTCGCGAATTTATCCATTCTATCCCTGGCGGGGGGGAAATCTGCTACAGCGCGACCGACAGGACGCGGAGTGATTACCAGTGGAGAGTCTTGGCCGAGAACCGAGACTTGGGCGGATCCACGTTGATGTTGGGAAAGGAGGTATCCATGGTCTGCTGTCACAGAATTGCAAGACGTGGCAGATTCGAGAGGCGCGCTGTGATTGAGTAGACATACGATTCAGGGCTCATTCAACCTGCGTGGATGCTCACACCTCTGCTGAGCCGTGCGCCTTGTCTGATTTCTATCCCAACAGCAAGCAGCAGCTCTCCGTCGGATGCCTGATGTCTCGGCGCGCCACAAGTCGTACGATGTCGCTCCCCTACACCACCTCGATCAGGGTTCGTGCTGGTGTATGCCAAGTACAAATGCACAGAGAGATCAGCAAGAATGCAGGGTGGGTGCATGCGCTCGGCTCACTCAAGACTTGAAATGGGCGCCCTCTGACTGGCTGCTGATGATGCCGGCCTGGCCTAGCCAGCTGGTCGCATCCATGCTGCTGCATGCAACGAGAAACTCCGCGCACGGCAAGCTTCAAGGTCATCAGGGTCACAGCAAAGCTGTGCTGGTGCCTGTGTAAAGCAAGGCGGAGAGAATTGAATGCAGAAGGTTATTGATGATGTGCATCACTCTTGACTGCTGCTGCTTAGTACGTCATGCAGCTCGCCAAGCAGAGCAGGCGCACGCGCATGCACGCGCAGCTTATCGCGTTCCAGATCGATTAAAATAAGACGATGCAAATGGAGACTACGGTACATGCGTGGATGAACAAATCGTAAATACGAAGTGAATCGGATTGGAGTCTTGAGTCACAATGAGTAGTCTGAGTGGCCAAGCCCTCCACGCTCGTTTGTGAGCGGCAACTCGTGCGTGCTCTTTGCTCTCGCGGGTTTGTTGTTACAAATTCTCCCGCGTGCGTGTACGGTATCAAAATCTTGGATGCAAGATGTGGACCTCATCAGATGGATGGTGCGAACCTGCCTGCCTGCCTGCGCCCTGAATCAGAATAATGTACAGCACACGATCGCGTGAGCTAGGCGTCGCGATTTCAAATTCTGGAGTCCTGCTTTCAAATTGATCGCATGCACGTCTCGTCTGAACCTTCAAGAAACGCTGGCTCAAGCATACTGTATGGTGGCTATAGTCCTGAATGAAAAATTTTATTCGAGATTGTAGGAAAGCCATGCAAACGTCGAGCTTGGCCCCTGTGAACCTTCCGAGCTAATCATTCAAGATTACAAATGCATCACTTCACTCGTAAAATGCATGCAAGCAGGTGAAGTCAGTCTTGAGTCCCTTCTTACGTGGCCGGGCGGCAAAGCGACGCGTGTGCGTGCGAGCCGCGCTCAGAAGCGCGCGCCTTTTTTTCTCTCCTGCGCTGCGCTCCGCGCTGCGAGGCCCGCTGCTGCTTGGCTGCATGCTGGCTGCTGCTGCTGCTGCTTGATTGCCTCTGCATGGCTTCTATTGTTTGGTGATCGATCGTGAAGTCACGAGTTTGAGTCAAGAGGGTGAGTGTGAGTGAATTTTGAATGAGAAGCATCCACACGCACCTCACGCGGTGAGCAGGTCTGCAGCCATTGTGATTCGCCGCTTGTGATTGCCGAAAAGACATCTCTCTCCTCTTTTCGTCTCTGCATTGCCTCTTTTCCCTCGCTTCCACAACAGATAATCGCCTCTGCTTTGCGCTCGACATTCAGCCCAGCGCATCATCTAGCACGCACATAGAGCGTCTGTCCCTGGCGTGCACAAGAAGAAAGCGAAGCAGTGGACAAGCCCCCTGCTCAAACCTCAAGCGCATCTTTGTAGTCTGTGTGCAACTGCTATAGCCAAGCTGAAGCCAGGCTTCCCGCCCTACACCAAAGCATCGAGAAATACGGGACCAGAGTCGTAGCGCAATTTGTGACCCGCTGCAACGCACTGCGAAGCTGCAAGCTCAAAGCCTAGTCGAACAGCCCTTGGTGGTGAACAAGATGGCAGACGCAGGCGAGGAGGTGGATTATGAGGGCCTGGGAGAGGGTTTCCCCCTGCACATCAACATGATTGCTGGAGCACTAGCCGGCATCAGCGAGCATGCAGTCATGTTCCCCGTAGACGTCATTCGAGTGAGTGGCACAGCGCACTGCGCAGCTCGACGTGCCGCAAACCATTGTGGCAGGCTCGACTTTCTATGACGCTCTGCTAGAAATTGCTAGCGCTTGGGTCGGCTTGGCGGTGATCACCTGCTGACCTTCCTATGCTCGCCGCAGACCCGCATGCAAATACTTTCAGCATCTCCAGCAGCCACCTACTCGGGTGTAACAGAAGCGCTTCGCAGGATATCTTCGGCAGAAGGAGGAAGAGCATTATGGAGAGGTGTGGCGAGCGTGGTGATGGGTGCCGGTCCTGCTCATGCAGTGTACTTCGGAACCTATGAGGTCGTCAAGGAGGCGACTGGAGGTAATAGGAGCGGTCATCAGTTTGCGAGCACTGGTGAGTATCATGCTGGGCGAGCGGCAGCTTCAGCGCAACACCAAAGTGGCGCATGACATCCGCTACCACGACGAGCTTTGCGCTTCCACTTGCTTGCTGCTTCGCAAGACCGTGCTGCTGCACGAGGTCCTGTTGCTGACTGACGCTGTACTCGGGGATTCTCCCAAACAGCATTCGCTGGAGCTTCGGCTACTATTGCTTCTGACGCATTTATGAACCCATTCGATGGTGAGTTGGCAGATCCGGCGTTGGCTCGCCTCGATGAGGAGAACCGCTGACTTGCGATCATTACACATACTGCGCTGCAGTGGTCAAGCAGAGGATGCAGATGCACGGATCCACGTATCGATCTGTGCTCACCTGCGCATCTGATGTCTACAAGCGGGAAGGTCTGAGGGCCTTCTACGTCTCATACCCAACAACGCTCGCCATGACAGTTCCATTCACGGCTGTGCAGTTCAGCACCTACGAATGGGCCAAAGAGGTCCTGAATCCCTCAGGATCTTACAGTCCCACCACACACGCGGTAGCAGGTGGATTCGCAGGCGCTGTGGCTGCAGCAGTCACAAACCCTCTGGATGTGGCCAAGACGCTCCTGCAAACGAGAGGCAACTCTTCGGACGCGGTCATTAGGAAAGCGAGCGGAATGCTTACAGCTTTCAAAATCATTCACGAAAGGGAAGGGCTCAAGGGCTTTGCACGAGGTCTCTCTCCGCGCGTACTCACCTTCATGCCCTCCAACGCTTTGTGCTGGTTGGTGAGTCCCAGAGCGAGGAGGTTAGAGGCCGGCTAGCGTTCGTTCTGCAGCCCTGCTGACCATGTTGACCTTGCTGACCTTCTCAGTCGTACGAGGGCTTCCGATGGTTTCTGCGCGATCAGACGAGAGAAAAGTTTGTCGGATGATCGACTCTTGCGGATAGCAAAAGTAGAGCATACGGCTGTGGCGCAAGGTCAAGAGCGACTGCTACAGACTGGGATGAAAGCGAAGCAAGGTATGACGTGCTCAATCTGGTATACCGTTGGTCACGAAAGGAGGACTGGCTGGGAGCACAATCTTGCTCCTGTTGCAAATCGACTCGAGAGCGGGACACTACACAAAAGTTTCAATCTTTAAGCGTCACTCTTAAAACCCCTCACGCGCAACGCCGATGCCATCATGCGTTGCTCATTGTCTGACTTGGCGAGGAAAGCGTCGGGCGAGGCGGCTTTGCATTGCAAAAGCGTGACGATGCGAAGCAATCGGGTCTGTGTGCACGGTCTTGGGAGTGTTTCGCGCTTCGTGTTGTCGACGACAACCATCGTGCATGCATTGAAGCTGCATCGACCGCGTGCGGACTCGAGCAAGGGGCAAACGTGTAACAAAAGAGGTATTTCTAAAGTCGGCGGCTGTTCCGTGGTACGCCAAAGTGGAGAAAAAGGGCAAAGTTGTGCAAGCCGGGGAAAGGAGAGATGCAAGTTGGACTAGAACAGGAGCACGTCGTCAAAAGACGCTGCAGTCACAAGCGAGTGCGTGCTTTGAGTTGAGGAGGAGGGTGCATTGGGGAGATGCCTCGGCATGGGCGGGACAGGGGAAGGTTGTGCGGGAACACTCTAGTTGTGGCCAACGAACTGATATACAACGCGGCGAACAATGCCTGAGAGGTGCTCGGGGCTTTGAGCGTAGGTGCCCATGACCAGCGACATGCCTGCGGAAGTGAGCAGCAGATCGCCACCGGGTACGAATGGAACCCAAGAACGCTTTCGCGCTACGGACCAAGCAGACTCTGCGCCCTTGGGAAGGACGTACATCGCGAGCTCTGTGCGACGTTTGGAATGCTCGATGAAAAGAGAAAAGCAGGTCAGGAAACCCGCAAACCAATGCATCTCTCCTTTTGTGAGGGCGTGAATGAACCAGCCAGGGACCCTGTCCCGGATGGATGGGAATTTGTCCAGCCAGGACAGAATGGAGTGACAGCCGCAGAAGAACGTCTGGAAGATGATGACGAAGACGCCCAGGAAGGAGGACGATCGCAGAGAGCCAAAGGCGGCTCGCGACAAGATCCGCCAAGGGTCCTTTCTGAACGCGCCCATCCGCAAGAAGATGGCAGGCACAAAGTGCAGAGTTGCATACACTGGCAGGATCCAGCGAGTAACCTCTACAAATCGGTCTACTGGACTCCACCAGTGACTGTCCTCCCAGGGATGGACCAGACAGCAGGGCACAAAGGGGTCCAGCTTGCCCTTATCCGTGCGCTCCTTCCACGCAACCACTTTCGCGACATTCTTTCCCGTCATGCCGCGCCTGTTTGCTTTTGTGGCAGGAAGGTTGGGGTAGCGCATCTTTCCATTCGGCATCTTGATGAGGTCTGGGAACTTGCCGCCAGGGAACAATTCGAAGCAGTCGTTGGTGACCACATCCTCGTGATCGCGATGCACCTTGAGACAGATAGGCGTGACCTTGGACGCTTCGGTGATCCACTTGACGTAGGACCGCGGGAGCGAATCCGGTGCATCGATCCAAGCGTACATGATCTGCCCGCACGCCAGACCGAAGGCCAAGACGGACCCATACGGGATGGTGATAAGACCTTTCCCATGGGCCACGTTATAGGTGCCCTCTAAGCCCCGCACCACTAGCTGCTGAGCCAATCCGATGCGATTTCCCGGTGCTTCTGCGAGGATGGCCAGACCGGAGAGGGCACCTGCGACGTACGCGTGCCACACCTTCGATCGAGGGTCGCGCATGAAAGCACGCTTCTTTTGGTTGTTTTTCAGCTTCGCTCTCTCTTCCCCCGTCTTGCCTTCTAGCTCAGAGTACCCGCTGCGAGGAGTCGCGCTCCCACTTGCAGTGCCATCTCCGCTAGCGCTGCGCTTGCGGCGAGGAACACGCTCGGGCATCGGTGTGACTAGGCGAAGACCATTGTGCACAGCTTTGTAGATCAGCGTCCAAAGGCCAAAGACGGATGCAAAGCGCACGTTGGTCGGACCGAAGAACGCCAGGACCAAGGGGTTTGTCTTCCATTTCCTGCAAATTCGTGTTGAGAGTTTGTTAGTACACACGTTTGACTGGCTGGAAAGCGCTGCTTGTGTTTGTGCTTGATAGGTGACTGTATGCGCAGCTCCGTCTCCAGACGGCGATGACGTCTCAACGCTCTGAGAGATTCGGGTCCAGCTGACGCCAGTGTTGGTGGTAGCGAAATCACTTGAAGCCCGATCCGCCTCCTTTCTCGAGCACTGCTAAGCCGTGGCTACATTCTGAGCATGCTCAAAGAAGATGCTTCTTGTACTACGACGGACGCGAACCGCAAATTGCAAAATCTACCACTCCCGACTCCCGAGCGCCGGCTGCAGCCCAGATTCCAGTCCTCCGATTCAAGATCTCGCATCGCCAAGTGGCGCGTGCGCACACATCGAGATTTCTGCGGAGCACTCACTTGGTTCGGAAAGCTTTGACCAGAGCAAAGAGAAGCATGACCGTTCCTCGACATCCAAAAGCGAAGAGCCATGCGCGCAGACCTCCCCGGAACTGAAATGGCGTGCGCAGGCGGGGCTCGCTGTTAGCAGGTGCTGCTTCTCGAGGCATGACCAGCGCACAGCATGACGCACCGAATGGACAATGACCCGCTCATAGTCGTGAGGCACATGCGCAGGGTCATCTGCCGGTCTCCACAGCTTGTGCCTGATCTGCGCCGGATTTTGTGCAAGCTCGTGCAGTCCGTGCACCGACAAGCTACGACGAAGCTGAGCAGCGGTCTCTGCAATCGAAGGCGTCGTGGGTCCAGATTTCCACCTCTCCTGTCCTTCTTCGTCCGAGTCCGAGTCGGGGATATCAGTGTCCAGCTGAGTGAAGCCTCCCAGCCTCAGACCAGGGTCGGGTCGTCGGCCTGTGGTCAAGGACTTGCTGGGGGGAGTGAGCAGCGATCCAGTAGAAGCCGAATAGTTGACACCCCCTGGATTCCTAGAGGGGGTCGAGGGCTTGTCGGTCGCATCCCCTGTCTGGGCCTTGCGGTTTGGCGATTGCGAGTCCTCGCCGTTGCTTCCCATCTTGATGCCAGCTGGAACGAGATGGAGAGCGGGTAATGTCGGCAAGGCTGGTGGTGCGTTTTGGTCGATGGTGATGCAAAAAGTGTGCCCAACCCGTTGCCTTAGATGGGGAAGGGGCTCGCGCTGACCAAGCGACCGTGTGACCTTTCGTCACGAGCGGTACAGAGCTGAACGGGTCTGCGCCAAAGATGCTGAGCGGGAAGAAGAGCAAAGTGTTGACGCTGCCAGGCGAGGAATTTGCCGAGCAGAGGGAAGAAGTTGAAGGAAGCTATCGCGAGAGAGAATATGCGACCGCAGCAAAGACGAGGCGACGAGGCGATGAGGCGCGTTGAAGGGAGTGTGTGGGCGGGGGTTCGTGGGGAGGTTCGTGCAACCAAAGGCAAAGCGGTCGTGCTGATTTCTTTTGTCGCGCGCTTTACCCGCCGCGCTGTGCCTGAGTCTTGGTCGTGCGCGCGCGGTGCGTTCGCGTCCGTGTGCTTGGAAATCAAACGTCGGTTCGGTGGAGATCGCGCTTTTGCTTTCGAAGCAGCAAATTTGCCCGCTTGAGTCACGGTGCAAGCATAGAGAGAGACCTCGACCGAGAATTCGCTCGCCTCGGTCCTCGCTTGCTATAGAAGAGCTGAGTTTGGACGTTTGGTTGCAAGCGAACTACGGATCGCCTCGTCGGTCGGTGTCGCAAACGCCTCGATCGATGCGGCCCGGCCTGGCAGGGTGGCACGCGCAGAACCCAAAGAGGTCTGTCTGTCCACTCGCAGGAAATCACGAACGACACTCAGCATCAGACTCGCGACTGGTCCAGACGCTGCTCGGCAGTCTGATGAGTCTTTCGTGCTAGCCAAACGACGATCCTGGCTATGTACAGTACGGTACAGTACGCGAAGGCTGATTGGTGATGATTGGACGTTTTGAAATCGAGCGGATGCTAATGGCAAATATTCCGCTAGACTGATGAGACTAGCGTCTTGCTGTGTGAACTTTGTGAAACGCCAGTTGCTGATGCTGCTGCTGCTGCTTGCACACAACGTCAGCATCAGCAGCGGCACACCATGCAGGCAGCAGCATCCATCCAAAGCAAGCGCGGGACAGCGAGCAAATCGTGGAATTTAGCGGTCCGCGCGGCAAGCGTGCAGAAAGAAGCCAAGAGCTAGGCGATCGAGCAGCAGCAGCGAGAGGCACTCTGAGAGACAGACCCCCCTCGCTCGTCAGGCAGACGTCAGCAATAAGGCACAAAAGTAGTAGATGCAAGCGCCGACGACAAGCACACAGACCTCTTTTCTTTTTCGTGCTGTGTATAGGTCACCCGAACGTTGGTTGAGGTGGGGTAAAACTGAGACCGCAGCCAGCAGCAGCGTCCCGCACCGCAAAATTTAATGTTCTTGCAGAAGCGCGGGGGAGGCGTCACGGCGCGCGCATTCGTGACGAAGGTGCATGCAGCAGCAGCGCGCATGATTGATGTGCAGTCTGCTGATGAGTACGCGCTCGCGTGCGGCCGCGCCTGGTGACGCCTGCATGCTGCCTTCTGCTGCTGACTTCCTGCATCAGTGGGCATAGGTGCTGCTGCTGTAGCGATCGAAGGCGAGCACAACTTCAAGCCCCGACTGAATGAGGCTTTCAACTCGCGTCACCTGCAGCAGCAAGCCAAAATCGTTGGGCAAGGTACGCGTGACTGAAAGCATGGGGGGCGGGGCAGCCATGATGCATGCACATCGCAACGACATCCACGCGCACCGCAATAAGCCTTGTCGAACCGTGCAAGTAGTGCACATGCGCCTGTCATGAAGCCCCGCGTTGCATGCATGCAAGTTGCCCCAGGCTTTGAGGCCGTCGTTGCATATCTTTCTGCATGCTGGCCGCAGAAGGACGCAGGTCAAGAGTCACGAAGCAGCGAGCGACCACCACGAGGTCCGACAGACAAACACACACACACCTTCGCCCTTCCCCGAAAACATTCTAGCCGATCCGATCCCTCTTCGCAAACTTGATAACCCTGTCTCGCGCCCCCAGCCAGCCAGCCAGCCAGCCAGCCACGGTCAGAAGGGTTCGCAGGGCAATCCCCTCACCCCGAGGCCGAGGCCGAGGCCGAGCCTCAGCGATGATGATGGCTGTTCATCACCGACAAGGGTTGACTAACCAAAGGCCGGGGGAGCCAGGTCCGCCAAGCTGCTCTTTCTTGCTCCCCGCCCGCTGCTACAACTTCAAGTGAGAGAGAGGGCTTACCATCGTGAATCCTTGTCGCTGACATGCAGAAAGGCCAAGTTGCAGGTGCATGGGGCCGCTGCACATGACCGCTGCTCGCCGTGCCATTGCTACCGGTGTCAGCGTTGCCATCCAGCAGCAGACGTGCGCTGTAATGTATATGTAGTGAGTGCAGGGTCCATGATATTCCGCAGTTGATCGCACGCCTCCTCTCTCCTGTGGTCAAATGGTCAATCTTGAATGAAAGAAACGAGTTGGTTGAATGTGATTGAGGAGAGGTTGTTCGGCCTTGCGTGCACGAGGGCATTGCTTCAAGCAGCCAATCAGAATTCCAAATTGTGAATCTCAAATCGTGAATCTTGTATGCAATGCGATCATGATCGCATGCCTCATCAGAATGCCATTTCAGCATCCCTTTCTCCATTGGTAAACGGCGCATGTCACCCCTCGGCTTTCCCTTTTGAGCTTCAAGCGGCGGACGTAGTAGAGACATTATACCTCGGGAACGGAGGTGAGCAGGATCTGGATCGCTGGAGGGCTCCATTGGCCCGACCCCGTTCAAGGACAAGGCTCTTTTGTCACAACTGCAAAGTTCACACCGCATGCCGCCGCTGCATCTCGTTCAGACGTTGCCGCGACTCTCGACGATTGAAGTGAAATGTGAATGAGGTGAGTGAGTGGTGAATGCAACAACGTCAAACCGAATCGAGTCTTGAGTGAGCTCAAAATCGTGCCGATCAGCCGGTTCGTCTAGCTTGACGCTTGGCAACGCGGACCGCGGACCTTTCATCATCCGAATCGCACGATGCACTCCAAAACTCTTGACTCAAAATCACGTGAATCTTGAATCGTGAATTGCTGGATACAGGAAGCGGCTCGTGTCACTCAAAATCTTGAATCAATAAATTTGAATCAAGAAATTGATTCTTGATTGGGACAAGACCCACGTGATCTGCTTTCCTAGCTTCTTTCTCTCGCACGGCAAGCCACTCAGGCGCTGGCACAGTGTCGCCACTCGCAACGCGATCGAGTGGAAGGTTCGGCAAATAAATGGAAATTGGCCGAAGACCGGGGAGGAATTACTTGAAGAAACGCCTTCATCTTATGAGTCGACGTCTCCGCATGGCAAGGCGTGGCATGTCCGCCGCCTGTACGGTAGTTGTTAGTAATATGAATCGTGAATTCGGATGTGGGCATCTCGATCATTGTCGATGATGCGAGCATTCGAAACCCTGCTGCCGCGGTGACGTGCTGCCGGTGCAATAATCAAGTGCCACGCAGCAGCTGGTGGACATTTTGGTGGAGGCCGGAACCCTCCACCCCGGACATTGAGTATTCCCTTCCTTACGACCGAGAATCGATCAATCGACGGAGCTTGCGCGAGAAGAAAGGTCAGTCAGAGTCATCACGATCCCGTGCTGATGGCTCGGACGGCGCTCACCAGATCTATACCTCGTGTGGAACTTGCTCCGCCCGCCAATACGGTTAAGAAGCTTCGGAAAGCACCCAACGCACCGGCCACTTGTTACCCACCTTCACCTCATCCTAGTACTAACCATTGGCCGACAAACTTTGGAGCCCGTCACAGCTGCAACAACAATGAGCGACGCACAAGTCCTTGGACAAGAAGTCAAGCTGCCCTTCTCGGGCAGGGTGGCCCCTTCGCGATTCATGAAGGGCGCCATGACCGAGCGACTATCCAGTTGGGATCAGCACAGGCCTGAAGCGCGAGGCATCCCCTCGGATGGCCTTGTCAAGGTCTACGAGGAATGGGGAAACGGTGGCTTCGGGTGAGTATCTCCGCGTGCCAATGCGCTGCACAGCCCGACATTGAGACGGGAAATATCGTACTTTTGTTTGCGTGACTGCCGTCAGCATCGTGTTGTCCGGCAACACCATCGTCGATCCAGTGAACCTCGAAGCACCTGGAAATGCCATCATCCACGAAGGCTTGGACAAACCCGAAGAGCGCGAAAAGCAGTTCAGGCGCTTGTTCAAAGCAGGCAAGGGCGCCGCGGGCAAGTCTTTGTTTGTGGTGCAACTCAGCCACGGAGGTCGACAAGTGGCCGACGCTCTGACAAAGAATCCGGTCAGCGCCAGCGACATTCCTTGTCCTCCAACCATGGGCTACAACTTTGCCAAGCCTACTCCTCTTGACGAGGATGGCATCAAGAAGGTCGTCAACGACTTTGCCTATGCTGCCCAGAAATGCCACGAATGGGGCGCCGATGGCATCCAGCTGCACGCCGCTCACGGTGCGTCCTCGTCTCTCTGGCCGTTGCAAGCTTGCAGAGCGCCCCGCGCTCACCCGTGCCCTCCGTTCACAGGCTACTTGCTGGCACAATTCTTGTCTAGCACCACGAACAAGCGCACAGACAAGTACGGCGGTTCCCTCGAGAATCGTGCGCGCATCATCTACGATATCTTTGAGGAGATCGACCGCCGCATTTCGGACCCCAAGTTCATCAAAGCTATCAAGATCAACTCGGTGAGTCGCCTGTCCAATACTTGAACAAGCATTGGCTCTGCGCATGGAAATGGTGCTGACTTGTACTGCATTTCGGAGGCAGGTTGAATTTCAAGAAGGCGGTTTCCAGCCCGAAGAGTCTGCTGCTGTTTGCAAGCACCTAGAGCAGCTGGGCGTCGATGTCATCGAGGTGAGTGCGGGATTCATAGTTCACATTGCGATTCAGCTTCTCAATAACAAAATGTCTCTTTTCATCGCAGCTCTCTGGCGGTACGTATGAGAGCCTCGCCTTTACGCACAAGCGTGAATCGACAAAGGCTCGCGAGGGCTTCTTCCTGCAATTTGCCGAGACGATACGACAAGGTGTGTCCAAGAGCAGGATCTGGACCACAGGCGGTTTCCGCAGCGCCAAGGCAATGGCAGATGCTGTTCGACAAGGCGTCACTGACGGTGTGGGAGTGAGTGTAAGATGGAGCATCTCCCCTTTGCCATTGCTCATGCTCATCGCGTGCGATCATTTTGTCTTCGCCTCACCTCAGATTGCTCGACCTGCCACGCAAGACTTTGGTTTGCCTAGCCTGATCATCTCTGGCAAAGTCGACGGAGCAAGAAAGGGACTTTTGCCCGAGCACGACTTTGGCATCACCAACGTCGCTGCCGGCACTCAAATTCGACAAGTTGCCAACGGTATCCAACCTTTCGACGCTACCAATGAGGAAGCTGTCCAAAAGTTCAAAGAAGAGGTCGGCCAATTTATGGAGATTGCCAAGAAGGACGGAGCGGAGGGTGTCGTCAAGGCTGGTTACCCTGACCTTGCCGGATCGGCTTACCAACCCATTTCGCTGTTGTAGAGACTGTTTGCAGCATAATTGGTGGAAACAATACTCAAGAAAATGTGGAGCGAAGCAATGAACAGATTGAAGAAATATAGAGACAAATGGACAAACTCTCAGATATAATGTGCGATGAGTTCCATTACGTGTGACTGAAAGGCCCTTGACGAAGCAGGAAACCCAAAGGTGAATGCTACAGAACGCGAGATGCGTTGGGGAGACTAGGGAAATGAGGGCGAACGGAGAGTTTTGAGCGACATGAGGGGCGCCGAAAAGGAGTCAAGAGGCGGAAAGTGTGCAGTAAGTAGGTCTGTGCGGGCTATGGCTTATGTGACGCGAGACACGTTAGGGAAGCTCTGAAATGCCAACCGTCCTTGCTGAACGAGTTGGTGAGTGCGAGCATGAAGTCGAATGGAGGCTGCGTCGAGCTCGGGGAAAGGGGGGACCGAGCGCGCAAGGTGAAGAAGAAGTCGAAAGTATCGAGCGCCTTGGAGTGTGTCTGGACTGGGAGCATTCGTGGGTGCAGGGGGGCGTAAAGAGCGTAGCGTTGGGTCGTACAGTGTGCCGTCTAGTCGGCGGAACACCAAGTGAGATTGATCAGGGAGGGCAGGAGATTACTGGTTGATCAGGTAGGGCAGGACACCGTGGTGGGCGTCTTGGGAGAGACGCTTAGTTCATGTGCCAAGTGACTGGAACCTCGCCCTCCTCGGTAGTGCCGATCTTGTTGAATGCACCTTTGGACAGGTCGATGTCGTCGGTGCCGCAGGTAGGGCTGTGCGCACGAGGAGAGATGAGAAACGAGTCAGCAACATGATGTGGGGACGTTTCGACGGAACAGGAAGAACGCACCAAGTGTCGGCAATTTGAGCGGAGGTGGTTTGACCAGTTTGGGTGTTGGTAATGGTGATCCACTTTCCACAGTTTGAAGAGTCGTGCTTGGCGGAGCTGATGGCTACAACGGCGTCGCTGTCGCTGTGGGCGGTGCCGCAGCTACCGGCGTTGCCTCCCTGGTAGAAGAAGGTGGCATGGCCGCTGTTGGCGCGCTTGACGGGCGCAGCGCTAGCGAGCGCGACGGTAGAGAGTGCAAGGATTGCGACGGTAGAGAAACGCATTTTGAATGTGAGTTGATCCGGTAAGGATGGACTAGGAGTTAGATCTTGAGTGGCAAGCTTCTGCGGTGAGAGAATGTGTGACTACGGGATGTGTTCTTGGTAGGGGTTCCAACTTTCCTCCGAGCTCCAACACACTGCTTTTATAGAGCTTTGACCCTTAGTTTCACTCATGTCAATGCATCCAAGCGAAGGAAAAAAACTCTGACACTGACTGTCCGCCATTGTGTTGTGCGAAACCTGAATGTCTATACGGCGACGGGGATTTGGAGGAGGAAAGGAGGCGCACAGGACCTCGGGACTGCCGAGACGTCTATGGAGCTGCCAGGAACCCCGCTTGGAGAGCAGGAAATCTCGCGCTCGATTCGCGATGCCTGCACCAGCGAGATCGTGCCTACATGAGTCTGTGCCATCTGACGACCCTGCTGAGCACAGAAGAGGCAAGCAGCTGGTCGATCCCATGCGAGTACGGCCGCTAGACGACGAAGGAACAGGGGTGCTTCCTTTGCAAACAGATTGATGGCGGTGACATCAGTCGAGGTTCAGAGCGCGGTGGAGCGAGGGCCAATGGACAGCCCTTGTTTCGAAGGCGAGCGAAGCCTTTGATTGTGCGTGTGCGTTTCGCGTTGCTCTCTAGCAAAGCAGAGTGGCACTCGGGAGTTGGAGTGCTTGGCGTGTTTCATGCATGGTTGGATCAATTTGCAGGGTCAAACCTTTCATCGACCCTCTCAGAACGTCCCCTGCACTGCCCCCCC